ATTGGTTGCAAGTTTTTGCCAGTGCTTTTCTCTCAATGGTGTAGATTTAAGTCTGGCTTTAGAAAGTATGTGCTTGCAGCTTCAGTATTTCTTGTATTCTTTAAATAATTCAGGCAGTAATAACTTTTGCACACATTTTTCGATTTCAAATTTATTTTTGTCTTTTTCAGTCAGCAGAGAGATATCTTCAAGATTTAATGGGATGGAACTCATAAATAGCCACTACCAGTTGTCATACTTCACTCAGATCTGATATACTAGCAAGATCACCAGAGTGGGAAACAAGAGGGTTAGGGATAGGAAAGATAATGCTTTATTTTATTAATTACAAGGATGTTTATATGTGCTTATTTGGTCTATGTTCTTAAAGAGGATAATGGCTGAGTGGCTAAAACTTTAATAAAAGGATGATTGTACTTAGCAAGATGCTAAGCTGATTACCATTTTTGGACGTTATCTGCTTCAGCCATGACAACGTTCATGGCAACACTTACATTGATAATGACGTTTTGATCACCTTCAAGCAAATGTTTCCTTTATCGAACAGCTCAGCTGAAAGGCTGAGCATTCAGAACCAAAATACCCTGCCAAGCCAACTATGAAATTATTATAGATTAACCCAAAAACATATAAATATCTCCTCAAAAAATGAATAAAGATCATCAATTATCTATCCTCCAATTCTAGTTTATTTCTTTATTTATCGTCCATAGAACCAGTATTCGGAATAGATTCAGCAAACCTCAAAAATGACAATCGTTGTAGAAAATTCAGTTTTTTGCCTGTAACTTTTGAACTACGTATGCTAGTCACAAACGGTCACAACCATCCAATAGACATTATTTTCTTCTATTAGTAAACCAAATTTGAAGTTCATAGCTTTGTTATTGAATGTGTCAGTTACGCCAGTTCTTCTTTTGTGCTGATTAAATTTACTACTATATACCAAAGTTTAGCAAATACGAAAGACAGCGCATTGGCTTGTCTGCAGATCGATGTCTGGAGGAACCTTCGAGAAGGTATGAAGGACCAATGGATAAACGAGGCATACCAAAGGTATTGCCTGGAAAACGGAAGAAATATAGACTGAATCTGTTCAGCATTAAAGTGGTCCATAATACTTTTTGATTGGTTATGTTTTGGAATAATAGAAAACTGTGCAGGAAGTTGACGAGAAGCTTTCTGAAGATTATAGACATAAAAATGATCTTGATAGAAAATATAAATATGACCATGTTATAGTAGAAATAAAAACAATCAACAAACTACAGATTTAAACTGAACTCTAAAGGAGTACTCAAATCTGACAACTGATAGCAGCTGAAAAGAAACCTGACCTGAGCCCAATTACTATTACAACGAAACCGGAACTATGGACACACAAATGAAGACTCTCACCGAAGCTTTGGCTTACCTTCTGGAACGCGAGAAAAAGAAGGGAGAGAACGCCGGAAAGCAGACCCAAGGTGCAGAAGTCAAGGTTCCTCTGCCTGCGAAGTTCCGAGGTGTCAAGGACCCCATCATTGTGGAAAACTGGATCGATGATGTCGACCAATACTTCACCTTTACAAAAATGCCAGAGGAACAGCAGTTCAACTTTGCTGTTACAGTATGCTCCTCGAAGACAAGGCGAAGATGTGGTGGCGACGTCACAAGCAGACTAGTGGTGACGATACGATCGATAACTGGGAAGACTTATGCGATGCCATTCGACATTATTTGTCCCAACTGGTGTGTACCGACAAGTCCGTGGAAAGTTGCACAACCTACAGTGGGGGAAAAATGGTCCAAACCTATGCCCTTTTTTTACGTTTTTATTCATACGGCGGCTTTCACTATATACCGTCCGAATTTTTTTTTTATATGAAAGGTACATTCTCTTCTCTACATTGTCGCGAAATCCCGGTGATCGCATTGCAATTCATCCCATTGCATTCACCATTTCAAGATAAGCGGTCGGTTTGGACCATTTTTTCCAATAAAACGAAAAATAAGAAAAAGCGCGTTTTTCTTCCTTGCCGATATAATAAACACTGGCGAAATAAAAATATCTTTATGGCAATATCCTCTAAAAAATATACACGAAGCATTCCGCGTGAAATCGTGAAATTCATTAGCTCCATTAGCTCCATGTTGCATCCGACGCATAATGGGCAGGTCTGGAGACCGCTATCACGTTGCATCATTTTTTTGAACACATTTTTCATAGCACCGCAACTTTTTTTTTTTATTCATGGAAAAAGAGAATTTTTTCTCTACGCTGTGCCGAAATCCTGAGCATTTTACTCCAATTCATCCTATGCCATTGCCAATTCCGCATGTGATCTACATTAAGAATAGTGCTCAAATGACCTGAAAAAAAGCAGCCGAAAAAGCCTGTGAAATAGCATTGCGGTGATCAAAAACCGTGCTGGCGTGCATTTTACAGCCTTTCGGATCATATTCAAGCTGACGAAAATACTGGAAGAATAAAATCTGTTTACGCCATGTGGTCAGATTAACCTCATGCCTGTCATAAGCGCATCCTCCGCATTTCACTTATTATAGCAGATCATTTACCGGGAAATAGCCTCAAGGCAGCAGTAACGACTTTCTTAAGGCTCTCACTATGCAAAAAAAGGCACCCGGAGGTTGTTAAGCTTATCAGGAGTACGTTGATCTGCTATAATAAGTGAAATGCGGAGGATGCGCTTATGACAGGCATGAGGTTAATCTGACCACATGGCGTAAACAGATTTTATTCTTCCAGTATTTTCGTCAGCTTGAATATGATCCGAAAGGCTGTAAAATGCACGCCAGCACGGTTTTTGATCACCGCAATGCTATTTCACAGGCTTTTTCGGCTGCTTTTTTTCAGGTCATTTGAGCACTATTCTTAATGTAGATCACATGCGGAATTGGCAATGGCATAGGATGAATTGGAGTAAAATGCTCAGGATTTCGGCACAGCGTAGAGAAAAAAATTCTCTTTTTCCATGAATAAAAAAAAAAGTTGCGGTGCTATGAAAAATGTGTTCAAAAAAATGATGCAACGTGATAGCGGTCTCCAGACCTGCCCATTATGCGTCGGATGCAACATGGAGCTAATGGAGCTAATGAATTTCACGATTTCACGCGGAATGCTTCGTGTATATTTTTTAGAGGATATTGCCATAAAGATATTTTTATTTCGCCAGTGTTTATTATATCGGCAAGGAAGAAAAACGCGCTTTTTCTTATTTTTCGTTTTATTGGAAAAAATGGTCCAAACCGACCGCTTATCTTGAAATGGTGAATGCAATGGGATAATTGCAATGCGATCACCGGGATTTCGCGACAATGTAGAGAAGAGAATGTACCTTTCATATAAAAAAAATTCGGACGGTACATATAGTGAAAGCCGCCGTATGAATAAAAACGTAAAAAAAGGGCATAGGTTTGGACCTTTTTTCCCCCACTGTAGGTCCAACACTGTCGTCATCAATATCCTGTGCTGGGAGTGTGATATAGATGGATAGAGACGTTGAAGTACGGTGAGACTGTTGTTTATTCTCGAAAGAGATGATCTCTTTAGTATCTGATATTCAAAGATAATAACTGGTATCGGGATTTGGAATGTACAAATAGTGTGAACTACTCCAGTGTCTCTTATCTGCTTAAACCGAGGTAATTCTTATGTAGTGGTATATGAACCCTATCTATACGACATTACCCCCCTCCAGGTTGAAGCAGGCTCTATTACATGGTCATGTCGGTAAAAACCTCTAAAAAACCCTGTGGGAAAAAATACATGAGGAAAAGACTAGCTCATGAATTACAGAGACTTATGCGCTTAGTATGGAATTATCTTTTGAGAACCACCACTTATTGTCTATTGCGCTTACTACGTCTGGGGTTGACGTTTTGTGTTTTACCCTTGCGTTTCACAGACTTATCTTCAGGCAGATTCATTTCAATCTCGTTTGATCCACGTCTGTTCCAATATTCCATAATGGATGCAGGGTCGGTAAATTTATCAGCGGTGAGCCATTGATCATCCTCGGCACCATAACCTTTCCATCTTACAAGGTATTCGCGTTTGCCTCTAGGACCTTTATGATCAATAATGGCTTGAATTTCGTACAGTTCATCTTCGGGAACCACATTATCTACGTTGATCAGTTTCATTTCAGAGGGCGAAAAGTCTCTGGGCATAAGTGCACCAGTTTTGTCTTGAAGAACATATGATCCACCTTGCGTCTTGCGCAGAATGGTGTATGGGCCTTCATAAATAGGCGCTAATTTACCAGCTCTATTTTGTATCTTGACCATAACGTGACTTCGCTCTGGGAAATCCATGAGTCTGTGCTTGGTATCAAATTTGTCCTTCATGTTGGAACCATGATGCTTCACTTTCTCTTGGAGTGCCGGAAACACAATATCCGTCATGTGTTCCACACGCTCCATCAAGTCTTCATGTGTCATTGGATCTTTCGGTACAACATTTCTTGAGCGGTAGTCCACAAAGTCATTTAATCGTCTTGCAAACATAAGAGAGAAAGGCGAGGATTGGAGTCGTTTTGATATGCGACTATTGATGTGTAATTGTGTGCTGGGAACATAGTAGTCCCAGTCATTGCCAGCACCTTCTATCTTTTTCCGCAAGATATGTATCATTTCCTGTACATGTCGTTCAGCCACACCATTCGCTCTTGGATGGTAGGAAAGGAAAAGAATACCTTACATTTCGAAGTCCTCGAATGCAACTCTGCTACAGTATTGGAAAGCGGGACATGAGTGCCAGTAAAAGCGTGCTATCCACCCCTCTGGCTGGATAACGATCACTATAAAGTACGTATAATCTGCGTACTTTGTCCAACATCTAAAAACACCTCAGATGGCCAGCATCTAGATGTTTTCACTGTAAGTTTTATACATTAAAAATCCTTGTGAATAAAAGGACGAAAAAGTTAACTCAGTGCTCAGTCATTCTTCTATGGTAAGCTGGATCATAACACGTGAGCATTCAGTACGCAAGGGTTGTCATTGAGAAATGGTTTTATTACGATGATCAAGGTGAGAGATTAAAGGAATCGATTTCATATAGGAGATGCTTGCAATGTAGTGAAAGTGGTGTGACAAAATAATTTGGAATGTATGGAGAAACATTTCCCTTTACTGTGAGCGAAAGTTTTGGGAAGTTGAGTACATAGCACACACGGCATTAGACGACTGGTTTACGATCCATCCATGCTTAAGGCCAAGTGTTGCTCGTCGAAAGGTCGGTGGTGGAAGGGCATATTGATTAAAGATTCGGAAAGTGGAAGTTGTCGAAGTGTGAATACGCGCGAAGCAGTCATCATTTCGTCTTCGGTCTCAGCATCGCTCGAGTTTGACTTGCCCGAAGCCGCGGTTTGCGATATCAAGGATACTGTATTTCCATTTGAATCTTCTCCATTGATGGGCTGTGTTGACATTAACCAACGTCGTCGATGCGACTGACATTGTTCCCTGCGTCTCATCACATAGGCTGTCCAATCTTCATCGAGTTTCAGCTGGGGTGACGATACCGCGTACTTTCGTGCAATCAGACCCACGACTTCAGCGTCGGGTCTATTTTCCGGTCGCGGCTCCAAACACGCCATCGTTAACTCTTGGTACCAACGCGGTACTCCAGGTACCCATTCTAGTCGGTAAACGTCTGGTGCATCGAATATAACTTCCGGTGATGGGAACACCACGCCTGACACTAATTGCCACATGATAATACCTAAACTGTAAACGTCCGATTTCTCCGTATACGTTCCTTGACGTACTTCAGGAGCGATATACGGTATCCTGCCTGGATCACAGACATTCTTTAATAGCCGCTTGGAACGAATGAATCTTCGAAACTTACCATAATGAGCTTTTGATGATTGTGTGACCTGTGTAGCTTCGTTTGAGGCAGTGGAAAAGCGGTAATCCACAAGGAAAAAATCATCGTCTGAACAAAGGACATTGGACGGATGAATATTGCGATGGCACATGCCAATCTCTTCATGAAGACTCGAAAGGTTAAAGGCTAATCGTGTAACGATATCCGCCACCACGCCCAAATCGAGTCCGCCCTCGATCGGCCGCGCAATATGCTGTTCCAGGTTGCCTTCGTCTGCAAGCGTACCAATCATCAAGAGATCCCCCGTACTTTCGCAGACCGTTAACCCGTGAAAAAGAAGAGCCAGAAAGGCTCGAGACTGAACAATAATCTGTATAGCAGAGTAAAAATAAAGTTAGATCGCAATGCGCATGTATGGGAAAGCAGCCAAATCATTGATTTCGTCACTTACTTCATTAAGAATTTTCTCATCGACTACCTTCAAAGCGACTTGTCTTCGGGTGGTGCCAAATAGCTGCTGGCCTCCAATGGGGACATCGTAGATTAATGAGATATTCGCAGCATAGACCGCTGAAAAACCACCGGATCCAACGAGTACAAGGTCGGAAAACCAGCGCCAAGGGTACCAGCGCATATATCGCTCCAGACCATGTTCATGAATAGCGTTGAGGGCATTATGAGATTTTTTATGGAACGAATTAATCACCGTCGAGGTATTATTGTTGGCAAGTTCGATAAGGCTCTCGAACGACAACGCTTGTCGCCAGGCTGTATTCCAATGCTGCCCAAGAATACGGAAGGTTAATGAGCTGTAGAGCCAGCAGTAGAGAAATAAACCCAATAAATTACCCAGTGATCATCAAAGTGCACATTATTATTTTTATAGAGAGCGACGGTGTCCCGATACAGTTGTGCTATTGCTTCCTGAACAGGCACCGATGGAGGAGAATGAGGTAAAAACTGAATATCGAACTCGAGCGGGTATAGCAAAATAATACGTTGAATAGAGCGAATAGTGCGGTTCACAAGGTCGGTCTTGATGAGTTCCTGTTGATAACGATGCGAAGGGTGATTTCTATTCAGTGTCGAGTGATCCATGGCGGGAAAATAGGTTAAACCACCTTGGAAGCGGCAGAGATACCGAGTTTTAAGTGACTGTTCGCGCCGTTTGAAAAAATAGACGCATCAACGAAAAAAAAAAAAAATCATGGCATTTTCGGGAACAACGGCAAGATAGAAATTTCGAAAAAGGATGTGCAGTGCACAAATGTCCTTTATTATTTTTTTTTTCGAAAAATCTTCCCATCCTGAAAGATGTATTGTGAAGGTAATAAAATTTCATCTTGGCCTTCATACACAAAATTCTATTATCTGAGCTATTAGTTATAGAGGCCGCTTCTTATATTTTGCTCAAAAAGCCGATATAGCCTGGGGAAGTATATCTGGCAAAAATTATACATCGTAAAAAATATGTGCCCATTGGCGTTATTTGCAGATTTTTGCCGAGCTGTGGTAAAAGAATAATATCTTCCCCAGAAAATAATGCCTCTGAAGTCGTCGTCCATTGACTCTGCCAAACCAGAACTGTTTTGCGCTCTGTGAGGGATGGGGTGAAGTCAAATGCCTCAATTCAATCACCGCCGAGGATATAGAATTTTCCTCAAAAACGGAAAAAAACCCGGCGACATGGAAAATACGGAAAGCTACATCTGAGCTTCAGAAGCGGCTAAAGATAGCTAACATGTATAGAAATACATCAGACAAGAATAGAGACAGAATAATAATCAGTGTAACAATATTTATTATACAAGGAAGTTGATCAGATAGTCCTTAAAGACATCAAAACAGGTATGCTTCTTTGTTATCCCGTCGGCGCCATACAGAAGTTTTTCTAAAACACTCTACGATCCATTATTAAATATCGCATTTTTCTGAGCAAACATAAACATTGAGCTAATTCTCTCGTTGAACTGCAGAACTTCGACATTGATATGTGACAGACCACATGTCTTCCCTGTAATATGGTGACATATTGCAATAAAGGCCATAATCTTGGTTTCTACCAGAGATATAGGATAACAGCATCATAGCTATGCTAACTTGTTGTATCGCTTCATTTTACGCGGTGATAGCGGAAATCCCTGCATGGCTCCTGAATTTGCTTGGCTAGAGCGTAGCACGGACGTTAACTGACACGACTGTCGTCGTTAAAACAGACTGCATGAATATAATCCAAAATGAGACCGATATAATGAAATAGTTGAAGTATCCATGCAGATGTAGATTTCCGACAGGAGTTGCAGAGAACTAGGTGCTCCTAATTGTACGTTGAACCAATCTTTTTCGCTCGATTTTCCTTTCATGTCGAGATGTCTCCGCTCTATTTCAGGAGCATGCAAACCGTGAACCGTCTAATTGACCGCACGCGGTGTGACTTGCTTGAAATACTAACCTGGCGTACATTTTTCGTATGCCTTGTGCGTTTCGTATATATCGCATTTTCTGTTGTACCTGAATGTGACATTGTGCAAGACCGATGGCTATTCATGGGCTAGAAAATGTTCCTCACGAAGCAAATTTGCGTCATGTGACATCTGAGGTTGCAATATAGTTCTCGCGTCAGATAGAGACGATGAGATTTGCTGTATGGGCTTTAAAGCCTGCATTTTTCTGCCATTTAAAAAGGTCTATCCCGTCATCTCTATTGTATTGTAGTTTTTTCCATCACGAAGTCAGTATTTCAAGAAATTACAGTCAATGCTAAATGCGTGTTTCCCAATCTTTGGCGGACCTTCATGACCAGGAGGAAATGCAGACCAGTTCGGAGTTTCTTTCTGCCAAACGCCAGAGAATGCATTAAACGATCGTCATTATGTTGTCAAAGCATAACTCCTAGGTACAGATCACAGGCATCTGCCGATCCTATACCGTTCTTCTTCTTCTATACCAAATGCATCATCTGTCGATGCGAGGAAACTAGTATTTCATGTTTAGATTACAAGATCTTTAATGTTCGATGCACGTTTGAAAGAATTCACAATAGCGAAGGAGGTGGCATAATTTTCAAGATATCAGCAGGACGAGTTTGTTTCTTATTGTATATTTGACAAGAATCCGCTACCGGCAAACACAAACGACATTGACCAGACGCAGCGCGGACTGTCCCCGCATCGACGCCTTACCAGTAGAATTACCCCGATCTCGATGCCGTATTAGGACCACCATCCAAATTTGCTCCTTGCTTTTCGGTCAATAAACGCAGCATGAGGATTTTCGAAAACCGTTACATCATAGTTATGTACTACTTTAACGAGGTCTATTACCTGATTAGTTTCCTACATGGGTTTGATTAATCTTCTTGAAGAAATGTGAATCGAACTGGAGCGCACAAGGAAAAGACACAGATCATTTACAGTCACGGACATCAAGGTTCATTTTTGGAGGAATCCAAAAAAATCGGAAACAGAATGCACAGCGCTGGCACCGGGAAAACTGGGATGGTACACATTTTAACTGGCCGATGTTCGGTGTGTAACCTAGTGGTGCTTGACAAGTTCCACGTGTGAAGACCTTTTTTTAAGTTGATCTCGACCCATACGTGAGGAAATGTCTCGACCGCACCGACAACGCTCGGTTGTGAGCTCTTTGGTGATTCTCGGCCAGACATGAAATTTGGAACACCCATCGTGCATTATTTCCTCATCATGAGCTCATTGCCCACATGAACTCCTAAATAAAATGGTTGTGACCATTTTGTAAATATGAATGCCTTTTTGATTGAATACATCATCTTCAGCACAAAGTCGTTGCTCGTTGAGTAAATCGATTTCACATGATTTATTGTTTGCTTTTAGTGCAACACGAAAGAATTGAGTGAATAGAACCAGAAATGGATTGACAGCATTGAATGCAATCAATACCTCCATATTAGGAACTGGGAAAAAAATAACAAGATCCAATAATGGCCTCCGGACCGGACGAAGTTCAATTATAAAAGAACCCTTTTGAACAGTGATCCAAGTTTTTCTTCCTTCTGCTTTACGTCAAATTACATAAGATATTGGAAGCAAGCACGCAGACAGAAATATCAATTGCCCACCCTTATATGATGTCTTTTCATTTTATTGATATGCGAACCGGCAAATTTCAACTGAAGCAGTGTATCAACGCTCGCATCGCTGCTGCCAGCAAACTATGTTACTTTTGCGGTTCAACCAAACATGCCTCGTCTGATTGTCCCCTTTATGCATGAGCGCCATTCCGTTGCCATTCGTTTGACATGACTACGAATCCACCGACAAACGATCTTCTTCGACGCACCTAATTTTCACTCTTTATATCCTATGGAAACCACTCGAGCACCCTGTGTCGATATTTCAAGCTTACAACGATTTGGCATTTTCTTTTATCATCATTTACACAACTCACCAAGTACCATTTTTCTTGGCTGGTCTTTCGTTTGCAACACACATTTATATGCTCATGACGTTAGATGCTTTTTTTACTGCTATGCTGTTCCTAGAGTGCGGGATTATATTCATATTGTTTTTATGGCTGCTGGAACATGCCGATTTATGTAAATATCGTGAAATATCTATTTCTGCCACTTTGTTTTGATTTCTGCCCTTCCCAATGTTTTTTTCTTCTTCGCAATATTTGTTATAATGTAAGATATAAAGCACCAATTCCCTAACAAACCATGAGGAGGGATCCAAGGACCGAGAATTTTGGTCATGGCGTCATTGCTTTATTGCTCAATTAAAAGAAGCAATTTGATTGGCTGTTTCATATGGATTTCATCACGCATAATTGCGGGCGCTTGGGATTTCTCACACAATGTCACACTTGTCATCTCCTTGCTATGGTTAGCTTTCATTGATTGCTACACTGAACACTTTCCATGGTCCCCTTTCCGCTTTTATTATCCTTATACTATCTATGGTAACTGACCTTACAGCCCTGCTTGGAAGATCTTAATTCAGCTTTTTTACATGGATAAACTTGTGTAGCGTTGTTTCCGAAGAGGAACATTGTAGCCTCCTATTTATGATATTTTTGCATTAATGGCCTCTCATTTGATGTCATTCACATTAAAGCAAAGAAGGAGGGTAAAAAGATTCGATCAAAACTAATATTTTGGAAAGGCAGTCGCATTGACGTCAAATCTCAAACGTTACGTACGTACAGTATCTGTAGCAACGAGCAAACTCTTCTTGATAATTATTGATCTCGTTGACTTTGTAGCGTACGTAAAATGCTAGTAAAAATAGTTTAATATGCACACTGGAATGTTATATTATGGTAGGCGATACGGGAGCTTCTTTTTCTTTGTTTTTCTAGAGTGTAATCCGTAACGAAATTTAAGCTTGTGTCAAATAGCCACAACGAAAACTTTGCCAAGTCAATAAAGCATTATTACAGTTTACTAAAAGCACGGCTAATGGTCTTGTTGAAGTTTAGCTTCCTCCACAAACTCATCGCACGGCTTGAAGCCTAAAAGTTGTTGCTGGAAGTCGGTTTCTTGGGAACATCCAAGCTTACAACAATTAGAGTCGGAAGGGAGGCCCTTATTCTGTGGTATTCAGCTGAGATTGCGCTCCACTCATCCAATAGATGACGCCATAGAAATGGTGCGCTTTGATGTCCATCGCTGCTGCAAGCTTGAATATTCGCAGCGGATGGGATGTTATAAACGGGATGTGAGATCACTGGAAACGTAGGCCATGTTTCTGTTATCCTCTATGGTATGCAGCGTGGACCTTGGGAATGTTTTCCAAACGGCTAATAAATAAGGGAAGTAAGTTCGTTGGGTACAGAGCAACCAGATATTTGGTCTTGATAACGAGGTCCGAGATCTTGAGGAGTGTTGTAATATTTTGAACTAAGCGGTGAATCTCTGAAAGATTCGAGCCGATGAGGCACTTACTCTTCATAGATTTCCGATTGACCCAAGAGGCTGTCCATAGGCTTTTTGAATGCTGATTCTTGGCTTTAGGACGGTGCCCATAAGAAATACTCGTTTGAGGCGTGGCAACATTTCTGTGATGCAGTCATTTCACGCCGTTAAATGTAGTGATTACGGACAGTCGCTGATAACATTATGAACCTGGAGCACCTGAAGGCAAGTTCATCACGTTAACAGTACTTTTTCAAGTTTTTAACGCATCTTCAGTATGGTTTTTCGAAATAAAAAATGACTAGCTTGTGCAGCTCCTAAGAGAGATAATTCATTTACCAACGTATCGGAAGACGTTTCAGCATCATCTTAATCGATCTTTATGATCCAGTTCTTTCGCTGCCTTGCCAAGTCTATAATTTTTAATTGAAGCAAGCTTAAAATGAATCAATTGGGCTTAATAAAGCTCGGTCCCAGTTCCATGCATAAAGCCATGAGGACAGACGAACAAAGTTACAGCAATGATATAATTAATTTTCCACTAGTGAGGGCGATATGAGGTGAACAGACATTTTCCTTTGAATGATTTGATCGGAATCGGACTTGACTCACTTTACCAATAATTCTATAAAATGAGACGCATATTTAACCATGAGAGAAAACTGGTCAATTGTATCTGCGAGACTGACTTGTTAATCAAACATGAATAAACGCGCAAATCCTTTTTTTATTATTTTGTATCTATTTTCCTCTCCCTTTCATACTCTTCATATCAACCCGAGTATACTGCAACCAGAATTTACGATGAGCACTGCGGAAGGATCCTTCTCAGGACGCCATTCGTGCCGACACTGATCCAAGACCATAAGCACTTGCAAAATCGAAAATAAAATTGTCAACAGTCCTACGGCCAGAGTTCACCTCCTACTGGGTAAGGTATCTGAAGTTCTACAGAAGCTATTACGTATTAATTGAGCCCCTAAATAGCCACATCTGCGGAAGTTGGCCGAAGATTATACCGTATTGAAGAGAGAAGCAAGCAATCTAGCACTTTTGCATGTATTGCGTTGGATAGAAGCTACCAGCCCACTCTCTTTTCCGCCAATAAATACCGAATTATTCTGCAGCAAGTACTTTATGTTTGTATATCTTTTTATGGAGAAGCGAATGAACGGGTAATATATCAATGAAAAATATTATTAGTTTGCTTGCTATAAATTTATCGATTTTCCGTATAGATGGAACCCAGAGCCACGTGGGAACGTGACCTTATGTACACATTTGAAGCGCCCTTCGAGCCATCCACTCGAGGTATGATGCCGGGAAGGAGGAAAACACATGTATAGTCACTCAACATATTATAGGATACACATATCCCAAATGGTACCCGTGTTCGTTTCATTTGATACTCAGAACGCTTCCGCCTTGCGTACAAGTAACTATACGCCTTTTCTAACCTGATATTGGCTTTAATTTATTTATCATATGTGTAGATAATATGGAGCACTTGAACTTAAATTACCAGAGTGATTTGTTGCGGGTGTGGGAAGCCTTTTTCAAAAATTACAGCAAAGCGCTGTGATATTGCGCTTCCATCCAGTGCAAGGACGCTCGGTAAGTTAAATATAGATATGAAAAAGGACTGCGAGTCTAAATAAGCGATGTGGATAAAAAAGCTACCCTCATGGCGTACAAGTCTTTTGATGTCAATAATTGAAATGGCGTTCCCGGCAACCATCAAGATATTCAACAATTGATATACCCAACCATGAATTTTGTTTTTGGGTTAAATGCTGATCAAATCGAAGAGAAAACCGGAACCACATTGACGACAAATTTCGTTCGCTATTCCTCTTGGATTCTGCAAAAAGCGCACGAGTTAGAAAGCAAAATGATTCAATCCTTCCATTCGCATGGCATCAAGCTGATAGGATATATGACCGCCTGGAATGTATTCCTGTAGAGTGTAAACATACAGTACGCTTTGCAGCCTATGTGCGACCAGTGGGCGAAGGGTTTTTTATTTCTCTAATGAAGCGCGGATGTCAGGCCCCAACAAAGTACCTCCAAGCTTAAAGGCTAGTAAAGAACGAACATACATACAGGAACTCAGCGATTTAGCTAAGGAAGCTTTGAACAAAGCAAATAAAGCGTGAACGATACGAAATTGAGCCGAAGGACGTTTCATCGTCAAAACCTTTTTTGAAAGATCGTACCAAAATCAACGATTCAAAGAGTACTTGTAAGAAATTGTTTTTGCCTTGGATAAAACCTGTCGAAAAGATTGCGTTTTTCGCAAGTGGAAATAGGTAATGTCAATGCATGAATGATTTTTGAACACTAAATTAACTGGTAATCTTGATTAAAATAACTGGCAGCGACATGAAGCACACATCTGTCTCGATGGTGTGATGACGAATGTTGAATTTTGCAAACACTGGGATTGCCGCAAGCCTCTTATAATTAAAGGTTAATTCTCATTATTCCGCTGATCTCACCCATATCATTAGCACCGTATACATCATTGCAAAAGAATTCAATTGGCTTCCTCGCAAGCCGGCCATGTCAAATTGGACTCGTGGCTTATATCATTTACGGAAAGAGCCAACTGGCCTGAACCCTGCAGCGCGGATTATCGGCAGCGAAATGGGTGAGTCTATTGGGAACTCATGGTGAAGTCAATTTGAATACAACTAATTGATGATATGACAAGTATTCGATTGGTCATGATACCGGTACAGATCTGCACTTGGATGAGGATCTAAGGAGCCACGTTCTTCCCATCAAAATGGCTGCATATCAGTTAGTACAGCAGTTGGATATTTATCAGGATGCCTTCAAATACGTACTGATATGTTGTAGGCAGCGAAGTATGTTCCGTTGGTCAACGCAGATGGAGCTTAAAAACACAGTGCAGACTGACATCCAACAGTCGTAAGACGAACTCAAAGAGAGGCCACCAACATCTTCTCCACGGACCGTTTCAGAAATTATATCGAGGCCACTACTCGCTTTCACGACAGGTAAGTATGGAGAGAGTGCGAAAAAAGGTATGATGTTAATTTAGTATGGTCTCACCCATAGTTTACATGCTTTCAGTTGTGGCTTCCACCATTGGAAAAAAGGTGCTTTAATATATGCCCGGAGACAGACGATACAGGATAAATGGCAGACGCTCTGCCGGTGACCCATCCGAGCCAAAAGTTGTGAGTTGGCGGGTTTTCATGGTCTATCTTCCCTACCTATAATAATGCACAATTCGACAGGTCCCCCAGTCGGTGAAACACTCTCGAAAATCCCATCGCCGAAGAAGGAGAAAAGCTCGCAAGAATGAGCGCAGGCCCGAGGGTCAGGCGATAGTAGTATTTGGGGAAGCAGATTTTAAATTAATGAAAGGAAATGCACCCGTCCCCGATCAAGGTACGGCATGATGGTCAAGATATATTCTAGAGTGTGTTGGCAAAAAGAATCACTAAGGATCCCGAAAAGTCCTTTCTCGGAAGGCATTGGTATTTTGCGTTGATGAATACCGAACCAGCAAGCTTTACAATCAGTGCGGCTCGGAAACGGTCGAAGTACGCGATGAACAACTGTATGCAGACATAAGCCACTTATTGCGGACTACACTATTGTATCGTGGTACTAACAATGTCATAATAACAAGAGGAAGTATTGTTCCCTAAAAAATGTCGATGAAAACTCTAAAAGGCGGTGGTTGGACGATGGGAACATCATTTTTTATTCATCAGAATGCTGTCCGAAAGCCGCAGGTAAGTCAGGACGCTCATTGAAGTTTTATTAACGATGCTGACATATCAAATAGGTCGATCGTGGCAGAGCGTCATTTACCCGATTAACGTGTCCCGCCAGTGCAAGTCAGCCAATGATGATGCCAAATGATTGGTAAATAAAACCAAGGAATACTGAAAGGGTTCGATAATGATCATCAGTGTTCGTTTTATTGAACGGATGCGTCGTATCTAATGCAATCCCGGGCTCCGACTTCCAACGGAGTACTGTTCTTAGGTCCGAAAGGGATTGCGATATAAATCCTGCCACCAATATCAGAAGTCCTGGGGTACATAAACTCTGAATACCAGATCGGCTCTCGTGCTCCTGCTCTTTGTCATCCCACCAGTGCCCAAAATATGCTTAATCAAAGTGCTCCTTAGTTGAGTCAATATGTCGCATGCCTGATAAGCTGCCTGAAAAAAGTGCCAGTAAATTGCATGCCCTTATTTTTCGAGAGAACGTCATCAAAATTACTAAATTTGCACGGCAACAATTCCTTTTTGCAATCACAGCTTACCAGGCATGCAAAAACTGGGCCTAACGGACGATACTTTGCTCGCTGAGCGCAGATTGTGCGCCGTGGGACTGTCGAAGAGCTGCCGGACGGGAATCGAGACGATGACCTGATTCTATGTAGGCCTGTAGACTTCGTCTCATGTTTACGCCCAGCATTAATGTCCCTGTTCCAGATCTAGTTTCTAAAGTTAGTGTGATCTTGCAAGTGATGCCATACCGTTCCTCCTTACCAAGGGCTTGGAAACATAGTTTTCAGAAACCTAATGGGGCCACATTCGTACCGGATAAGCAATGCTCAAATACCCTTGACCTTAAACTTCACTGTCAGATATGTCCGTTAAAGCGGTGGATAATGCTGCTTACCGGGGTCGTCTCGCTCCACAGTCAGAGCTGTATCCAATGATGTCGTTGTTTTCGTCAAGGCATCTCTGTCGCAGTGTCTTGTCAATTTCTCGCACTCGTTTCATCTTTTTTCTAGGTATAATTGCGTGAAATCGATCTGATATCTACCCGGGCTTTTGATAACTTACTTGTGTCTGCAAAGCATTTGATTGTTGTCTCGGACTTCGATCGTCGTGGTATCACAACTGCTACAGACTTTACTCGTCTTATACACATCTACACAGAGTGACAAGAGCTTTTTGTGCGAGAACTTGTCGGAATTTTTATCCGTTCATCTTTAAGTTATTTCCTCGTACGAATTACATTTCCTTTCTTCTGTCACACCTTAACGGGAACTGGTGGATCGCCTTTCAATGAATGCAAATCGGCATCGCTAAATGCAACTACAGCCGCATCTTGGGGCCTCTCCCGCCCGCGACGGGCTCTCTGTCGTCTTCGCTTGCGGTATCGTTTGGACTGCTTGTAGACCCACAATGGTTTCTATAGCATAGAATGAGCCGCTATCACTTTTACGTACGATAACACAAAACTCACTTGCAAATTCTTTTCTGCTGGGTCTCCTAACAAGCTGTCGGTCATTTTGTGCACGGTCATTTGCCGCTGTCTCTCGAGTAAAGCACGTTTCTCTCGGTGACGACACGATCGATTGAAATTGTACAGCCTGTTCTTGAAGTCTTAAGCCCTGAGAATCGATCTGACTATATGCAACTTACCTGTTGTGAACACTTGCCAAAGTTCTTAAATGGTCACGCAATTCTGCGACCGTACTACATTTGGCAGTGTTCTCGCCCAATCGGTCATATACATCCTGAATGCTCGCAGAGCTCCTATTGTTCAGTTCGATCTGATGACTCCAATGGACCGCAGAAGACCGATGACGATGATTTTGACGATCGATAATTATTTTCATGAGCTAATGGCAGATTGGGGCGAGTGTATGGGTCATTTCTTTATAACAGCAACATCATCGAAAATAAATGTGTCCAAAGACCGCTTCTCAAAAGCAGTTCATTTTTTTATTTGTGTATGGATCTATGGATCTAGATATGACACCTCCAACTTCCTCAGTGGCAAGAAAGCATTTTATACCATTGCGGCTCAAATGCCCGAGAATGGAAGGTATGCCGTTCATGCGGATGAGTACTCTTTCAATGTACCCCATCGCAAATGCTGGTTGAAACACGGTCATGGGTCAAATCCAAGCAGTTATGATCGATAATGATTGTAGCTAGATCAGCGGAATCCATTCTATGTCGCTCCTCCTACTCTGTCCTGTTCTACTATTAATCGCAATACGCCTTTTTCCTTGGGTCAGGCCCGTACCTTGTCGTTCCTGAAGATACCACTGCAAGATGTTTGCAGAATCGGATCGCTTCCTGTCCCAATATAGCAGATCCAGAGTCTCGTTCCCGAAGCTAATTGAAGAGGTTGCTCGCAATGCAATTGTGGGGATTTAAAAACACGCATGGACAGCTTGCGAATAGCCTCAGAAGTGGTCGACAATGTGAAAATGTAAGAGAACGGCAATCACACACCTGAATACAGAGGTAAAATATTGCTGTTGGCACACTTCGAGTTACAATACTAATGGTGCTTAGTTTATTATTTTATCAGGTTTTTATTGGACCATGTCGTCAATGATAGTTATCATTTTCATGCAATCACCGGATTTACGTGACTAGAAAGTCGTCGGAACACTTGTCCATCATGCTTCTGCATATTGGCGCGTTGAACAAATGGCGCAGCCCTTGAAACTGAAACCAAGCTCGTGAGGCACTTGCAATCAAAAGCATCTGAGCGCTTCTTGCTTTCACTTCCATCTGTTTCTTTATTTTTCCACGTCTGCTGAATACTTACCCACCTCTTTCTACTGTCAACACGTTAACTACTTTCTTTATTTCCGTTCTGATTATCTACTGTTCTTCACTTTTCTCTTAAACCTCGGTCGCGTGTTAAGCGCTATGGCGAACGCTGCGCCAGGACGGCAGTTCAGAACTTTCCATATTACCAATCTTAGAAATGCTGTGACCCTACAGATCAAGTTGTCGAGTATTTTAAAGCAAGAATATAAAGTTACAGGGTAAGGATGAAGATGCCAATGATATGACGCATAGTAGCACTAATTAATCTCAATGGAACAGGAACTTTTTCCAACTTGTGCAGAAAATTACACCCTGCAGAGACGCGATGCAAACAACTTGGCTCTAATGCATATGTTGCAATGGACTGAACAGACTACCTTACTCCCTTTTCCACCTGTGCATACGGAGTCATTCTGGGCGAAATGCTTCCTCTTTGTTAGTAGTTTATGCCTGGGAGCTAGAGATTTGGTACGAAATAATTATCTCCAGTCCGAACAATAATTCAAACTGATACTTCCCGCATTTTAGAGATCTTTCCGACATCCTTGGGAGCACAACCTTTGGGATACATTCCAAAATTTCTTCATTCCCAGTAGCGAAGGTTAGTTTGTTTCGTTTTTCTTCGGTATCTCGAGAGACTCACAGTTGTCATCTCTGTCCATTTATGTACAGGATACCGCTATCTGAGATGGATTCAGCTATACAATAACTGGGCAGATCCATATTCAACAAAAGCTCTAACCAGTAAGTCGAGATATATCTGATTGAAGCCATTTGAGTCTTTAACTAGAGCTGTTTCTCAGACGCCACACGGCATCTGTCATCAAATATCTTCAAATTTATGCTTCATGTTTGTGAGGCTTTTTTTCGAACCTACAGTGAACACCATGGCGTCACTCTGTCACAGACAGCCAAAACGCTCAGTAATACCTTTTGATCAATTGATATAGTATAATATAAAACACAAGCATGTTTTTCCAGGAAAAAAAGTTGTTAAAGCGATCCAGAAACACGATCTTTTCAACCAAGAAGAATGGAATACTCTGTCAGGAGACTGGCTACAAATACAGACACTCTACCGGTGTGCTGATCACAATATATGGAATGTAAAATAATATATTCTTATGCTTGCTTATAGTGAATTACAGCAGACGTATAATCAACACTCTGGGGATCACAACAGTGACGCCATCGAAGCCCTTGCAGGCACCTCAGGGAGCGTTCAATTGATTCAATTTTCTACCTGGCTGCTTTCGCAAGCCAAACTTTATAATGGACGTATATGGTCCGTTCTGCCTTTGGCCTCTCATCAAATAGGTATGTATCAAAGATTATAAGCCATCTATATTGCCATTCACATTGGGTTCCCAGGCTATCTTCCATTGAGTGGTGTATGCTTTTATATTTCTGTTAGCACGCCTACAACAATTGGCACATCGTGCCTAATGAAATGAAAGTAAGCAATAGATCACCTAACGTTCACTTTTTTTTGTGACAATGTATTTTACTCCAATATAGATAATGAGGAGGGATCGTTACGAGATTGAGGCGACAGAACGATTTATTGGACTTCAAGTTTTTCAACGGTCCTGTCGAGATGATCAAATTTTCAAGCAAGCCATGTGGGAGACGATATTTGACTTTGATAAAATCATGCCCAATCGATTCAGAGCTGGGCTCATCGAGGCTGGTAAGTCACCATTTATATAATCTCTCATTTTTTTTTTTGGGTACACCAGGCCTCAAAAAGCTGAAAATGCCAAAAAGTATCAATTCGCCTACGGACCCGAAACCGACGGAGTGACGGCGGCGCTAACATTCTGCAAGCGCTATGACCTTGGTAATCCCTTTTTGTAATTCAAAGTGGAATATTGAATACTTGCGTCTTGCCACACTTGTAAATGGTAGTCCCATCCCTTCTTTAAAGAGAGAATTTGATTTCCTTCCGCGTGAGCCGGACAGGACTGGTTGGCGTCGTGGTTTATACCACTTGAAGAAAGAACCAACTGGAATTGACCCCAATGCAAGAATCATTGGCATAGATCCGGATAAACTTTGCTATCCGTTGGAAATTCGTCAAGATGTTAAACTTATGAATATCCGCATCAATAGGTTTACGATCTGTTATAACAGCGGTAGATTCAAATAAAAATCTACATATGCCTGAGGAACGAGATAGGCACGCTTTCTCAATCAAATCATATTCTTTGAAACGTTGAGCAATAATCACTTTTGCAATAGAGGGCGTGAGCGATCTGGTCATAGGAATGCCACATCGTGGTCGACTCAAATACAGCATATCAGGAAGTAGAAGTTCAATTGGGCAAGAAAAGAAAATGTATTTACTTATTTGGCATCCTTCGAAATACAGACGAAGCAGCATGTTCTATTGAAGTCATCAGATCGAACTGAACAATAGAAGATCTGCGAGCATTGAGGATGTATATGACCGATTGGGCGAGAACACTGCGAAATGTGGTACGGTCGCAGAATTCCGAGACCATTTAAGAACTTTGGCAAGTTTGCACAACAGGTAATTGCATATAGTCAGATCGATTCTCAGGGCTTAAGACTTCAAGAACAGGCTGTACAATTTCAATCGATCGTATCGTCACCGAGAGAAACGTGCTTTACTCGAGAGACAGCGGCAAATGACCATGCACAAAATGGGCGATAGTATGTTAGGAGACCCAGCAGAAAAGAATTTGCGAGTGAGTTTTGTGTTATCGTACGTAAAAGTGATAGCGGCTCATTCTATGCTATAGAAACCATTGTGGGTCTACAAGCAGTCCAAACGATACCGCAAGCGAAGACGACAGAGAGCCCGTCGCGGGCGGGAGAGGCCCCAAGATGCGGCTGTAGTTGCATTTAGCGATGCCGATTTGCATTCATTGAAAGGCGATCCACCAGTTCCCGTTAAGGTGTGACAGAAGAAAGGAAATGTAATTCGTACGAGGAAATAACTTAAAGATGAACGGATAAAAATTCCGACAAGTTCTCGCACAAAAAGCTCTTGTCACTCTGTGTAGATGTGTATAAGACGAGTAAAGTCTGTAGCAGTTGTGATACCACGACGATCGAAGTCCGAGACAACAATCAAATGCTTTGCAGACACAAGTAAGTTATCAAAAGCCCGGGTAGATATCAGATCGATTTCACGCAATTATACCTAGAAAAAAGATGAAACGAGTGCGAGAAATTGACAAGACACTGCGACAGAGATGCCTTGACGAAAACAACGACATCATTGGATACAGCTCTGACTGTGGAGCGAGACGACCCCGGTAAGCAGCATTATCCACCGCTTTAACGGACATATCTGACAGTGAAGTTTAAGGTCAAGGGTATTTGAGCATTGCTTATCCGGTACGAATGTGGCCCCATTAGGTTTCTGAAAACTATGTTTCCAAGCCCTTGGTAAGGAGGAACGGTATGGCATCACTTGCAAGATCACACTAACTTTAGAAACTAGATCTGGAACAGGGACATTAATGCTGGGCGTAAACATGAGACGAAGTCTACAGGCCTACATAGAATCAGGTCATCGTCTCGATTCCCGTCCGGCAGCTCTTCGACAGTCCCACGGCGCACAATCTGCGCTCAGCGAGCAAAGTATCGTCCGTTAGGCCCAGTTTTTGCATGCCTGGTAAGCTGTGATTGCAAAAAGGAATTGTTGCCGTGCAAATTTAGTAATTTTGATGACGTTCTCTCGAGAAATAGGGCATGCGAAGGATGTGCCGAAAAAAAAAATTAACGGTGTGCCGAAAATAAAAAATTTAAGATCACGCATGACGGGCCATGCACGGCATTCAGTAAAAATACGTATGATCTTTTCAACCAGTGAGAAATAGTGAGGACCACGCACTCAGAGTTGTTGTCGTACAGTGATACAGTTTATTATCCGCTCGATATACCACTACTACTACATGGATTGCTCCAAATCTAAGCCTTTGCGACAATCAACCATATTCATTCAGAATGCTCGTCATTTCATCGAGAATAAACTCTGGAGTCGCCGAATAGATAGTGATATACGACAAGATACAGTTCCACGGGCCGCCAATTTGACACTTCCCATGACACCAATAGACAACGTTATTATAATCAGCAGCGATGAAGAAGACGAACTCGATGCAGGTCATCAGCTACGGTCGTCCCGAAACAGCGCGTCGGCAGCTACACGAGGTCAAAATTACGAATACCCCATCGATCTTGATATTGAGCCTTTGGGGACAACGCCGCCAAGTCCCATATACATGCAGTTGGCTGACGAACCGAATGAAATAGCCAGTTCCAACAACGCAGAATCCGCAGATACCCTAAAAATTTCACTTGACAGTAACCATACAATCGATCCGTCGACGGCTGACACCATCGTTATACCTCCCGAAAATCTCGTGCTAAATCCATCCGATAACACAATTCCCTCCAAAAGAAGTCACTCCCTGATCGATGATACATCTAGGACTTTGGAAATATCATTTTCCTCTGCCCCATCCTACCGCGAGCCGACCCCCTCACCATTTCAAGCCGAGCACTTCTTGGAAGAAGACTTGGAGGACGACACAGATTGGAGCTACGTTGTCAGTTATACACCCCCCATAAAAACCAAGGTAGGATATCACTGTGTGTTGCGAACATCCTTCTATTGTCATAGTCCAAACTTTATACTCTCAAATAGACTTCCAGTGCCATGGATCAGAACCCGACATTCATTTCCACAAAAGTCGGAAAAGACAGCAATTACCTAGAATTATTGACAGCCATGGACATATACCTGAGTTCAGTACTTGACACGCTAGATCAAGCGGATAATTCGCGTGCAACGTCGACTAGAAGAGCAGCAAAACAAGCACAAACCCAACGTATCAAGTCGCTAGATGTTTGTCGACCATACGTTCCTGCCGAATTATGGAAGGAGAGAAGCTGGGAATATTGGGAGCCATTCCATGTGGGTGACATTTTGCATTGGCCATTCTCCGAATGGGAAACGAAAAAAGTGCTGGCATACATGAGTAAGCGTTCAAGAACAGGGCTCTCCAGAGGGGAACCCTTCTCGCAAAATGATTGGGGAGTCATAGCAGCTCAACTTCCTGGACGTGACACCGTGGATTGTGAGCGGTTTTGGAAGGACTATATGAATAATTGCGCCTCTTCTGATACCCGTCCTGTCATTGTTATAACACACACAGGTATATATTTAATCGTTTGGACAACTGCATAAGTGTGGATATTGAAGTTCTCGAATGTACTTCTTGTTGCAGAGAAAAGCACGTTTCCGACGATGCAGCAGCTACTTATGGAAAGACAACAGAACGGAATACGAAGGCCCAATACCATGAAGATGGCACAATGGTGCACGTTGAGCCGAGAACAAACATTCGGTGACGGTAGTGGTGATTGTGAGACCTTGGAAATTATTAATACTCGTGACGGAGAGTAAGTTATTCTGATGCTAGCAATATCGCTGCATAAAAACTCAATAGATTTTTTTAGGATTATGGTTGTAGCGGGTAGTGCCTGTGATGATAACCTGGCATACAATGTACAAGGAAACCTACGACTATGGTCCTCGAGCAGCAGTACCCTTACTGAACTTCGTGGTCATAAAACATCGGTGACTTTATCAGATGACAGTACACAAGGTAAAGCTTAACTGTTTGCTCTATATTACATGGGTTAACAGCTGCTATTTTTCCCTTTATCCTTGCACAGATCTTTGGCGCACTGTCAGTGATGTGAAGCTGTCGCTAGACCAAAGGCTGATCTATTCAGCATCATATGATCATACCGCCAAAGTTTGGGATGCAGCGACTTGCAAAATGCTGTCCACCCTACGTAGGATGTGAAATGATTTTTTTATTGGCTATACCCGTCTAATGGTGCTTTTAGACTTTCATGATAGCAGCGTCCATCAGATAGCCGTTAAAGAAGACTCCAGTGAATACATCTTAGCCACCGCTTCAAGGGACGGTTCAGCAGTCATATGGCGCTTGACCCCTAAAGGAAATGTCGGGCTGGGCAGCGTGTGTGAGATCGACAAGGACTTATTTCACGACTCTGTCAGCGTAGAATGCATTGAATTTGGGCATGATTATTCAGAGAATATTCTTTTTGCAGGCGTATCTAGCCCCGATCGAACACGACCAGGCTTGGTAAGTGGTTTTCGTGACACAAGGTGGCTCCGAATCGTAGAAATCCGTATTAATTTGAGTGATATACCTACGAAAGGTTCATATGTTTGATGCCTCGACGTGTCAGTCACTAGGATCGTTGGCGTCTATACACAGTTGCGTTTCCGCAATAGCAATATCAAGTTCAGGTAAGCTCTCCATTCAATTCTGCTTAAAAAATACAAACTGTTAGATTATTTTTGTGATTAGGTCGATATCTCGTCTCTGGCAACTACAGCGTCCATGAAGACTTATGTGGTGATAAAATTCTTCATGTCAATGATGCTAAATCAGGGTCATCCGTCGTGCAAGCTCACACTGGCCATGTTGATGTGAATATTGTCGCCATTAGGTACATTGATGAATATTTCTTAGTAATGACATCCAATTAACGTATGATGGTAGTCCCTGTGAGACATACATTTGTTCCGGTGATCCAGAAAACGAGGTTACTATTTTCGATATGCGAAAAGCCGATCACCCTTTATTTCATGCAACGCATCACGGTAAGTGGTAAAAATCATTAACCGGCTGATAATGCCTCTGACTTTTGCTTCTGCCCAATTAGCCCCTTCAGATCATCTCATAGACCCTGAAACCAACATGGGTATTCGAGGAATCTATTTTATGTCAACTGGTCGGATGCTTGTTACTGCAGGCGGGGATTGCTCTGTAAGTATGAACCATCATTTCTGTTTATGTCTTGTTACTAAGCGAGACTGAATGAAGGTGAAATTATGGGACTTATGGGGCAGCGGTGAATTGTTGAAGACATATCCCACTTCGAACAACGTAACAAGCCTAAAAGTGGATGAATCCACCATGACGATCGCAGCTGGGGTGGCTGGCTCACAGTCGATTGTTCACGTTTGGAGACCTTAAGCAAATGGGATCTTCTGGCGACTTTCCGTTTTCCGTATTGCGACCCTCTCATTAGGTGAGAGAGGAAGATATAATCTGCAGCTCGTACCAACCATCTTGCTGTGATGAACGACGATATAGCAACATTAGAAATATCCTGCGTTTGCATTTGCATGTCGATTGTCAATGTCTGTTCTATACATCCCGTATACTGTATCATCCAAGCTAGTGTAATTCTCATCTGTACTGCTTCATAGCCACCGCTTGAGACTGACGATTTAGGATAATACTTTAAAAATGAAAATACCATGATCATGCTCTGTTTATTGTTAGAAGAAATTAAATCACATATTGAAAGAAGGTGCACATGCGTGGATTGGTATCAGTCCGTGTAGGCTGATCCTATTTATTGTCCCATCTTTGAAGCACGTCGGGCGGTTTGATAATCTTCCATTTGACGGCGTCCTTCCATTTTCCGCGACAGACCTTGCTGCACCATTTCTGGCTTGTTGAACAACTTGGCCACATGTTCCTACATTCATTTTGAGTATTACGGACAATTGAAAAAGTCACTCGGTAACTGTCTACCTTGAACATGCCTTGGCGCTCCTTGATAATGGCTGAGAAATATTGTGCGATGGCAGGATCGCGTGGCTGTCGTTCGGCATTAGCGGAATTGTCACATTCGCTGATATATGCCAGAGGATCTACAGGAGGCATAGCTGCAAGAGGATAGAGTTCATTGACAAGCGTATTGTAGTATGTAGGATCCTTCTCAACGACGTTCATGTCAAGTCGGTTCTTGTTTGCTTTTTGTCGTGCGTAAATATCGGCCTCGCTGAAGGCACGTTGATTTTCCGTGGTAGCTCGATTTGGACCAAACGCTGTACCAGCAGCCGCATCGCCTACAGAATACCGCGTCGGATGTGCGCCTACGGGTTGCGTTGTCTGGTTTTCCGGTTGCACTGGGGCATGAGTTTCATATGTGGTATTAGCAAAAATTGGACCGCTTAACGGCCTTTGTTGACCAGATGTTGGCTGAGACCGCTGTTGTTGCTGAGCAGTCTGGGGAGCAGCGTAAGACACGGGACGTTGAGACTTTTGAGAACCTTGCTTATCAGCGGCTTGCGACCGCTGTGGTTGCTGGGCAGTCTGGGGACCAGCGTAAGACACAGGACGTTGAGACTTTTGAGGATCTTGATTATCAGCGCCTTGCGACTGATCCGTCTTGTTAGCCTCTTGCTTAGCCGTTTGGTCTTTGGATGAACGTCTAAACACTGAATTGAGGCTACCAACGACACTTTTGCGTCTTTTGCCGGTGGAATCAACGTTTTCGTCCGCTTGCGGTGCCTCTTGAGAATAGCTTCGTATCGCACTAGTCGTAGTCGCGCTTACAGTTCCACCTGCAGCAGCCAATATTCCTACATTGGCTGTCATACTGCCAGACCTCACTGACGGTCGTTGAGTTCTTGGCGTCTCCGCTGTTTTCGTGTGCGTCCCATCTTGTGTGTTTGTGGGTTGCTGCATTGAAAGATTTGGACGGTTTGTCGGCGACTGATTAATGGAAGATGAGGATGATTCACGATTGTTCTGCCCGAATGTGTCTCGTGGTTCCCGGGAAGGTCCCGCTTCTGTTGAAGATGGTTGTGTCGACTGTTGCTGCTGATTATAATCTGCCTGCGACACTGGTTGCTGTGGACTCTGGGTTTTTGAGCTTCCTAATTTTTCGGACGTTTCCACGTCTTTTGGAGATTGTGACGATGCCAACTGTTGCTGTTGCTTATCGTTGTCGTCTACCCGAGACACCGGTTGTTGTGGACTTTGCTCGTTTGAGGCTCCTGTTGCCAAAGGCCCCGTTGCAGCAGTTGATTGTGCCGTATCTTGCGAGGATTGACGTTGATCTTGCTTCTTTTTGCCAGCAAGCCCAAAACCGGTGAGGACGGATCCTGCTGCGGCCATAACGCTTGATTTACGACCTTTTCGTTGCTTGCCAGTGGTTTCATTATCTTTTGCAAGTTCATCGAGCGCAACTCTTGGGCTTGGCTTTCTTTCGGTAGCATCAGTCGCTTGTATCGAGGAATGGCCATCTGGAGGCATGGCAGTGGGCGGCATAGCTCCGGGTGTTCGCTCCGAAGCGGACTGGTTGCCTTGACCATTCGGCATGGGGCTGCTTTGATCCTTTGAAGGGTCCAGCCCGGATGCAGATTGCGGTAAAATCCGTGTCAGCAAAGCGGGTTGATACAATTCGGTAAATTCTTCAGAAGCGCTTTTTCGATCCTCTGCTGGCGTATAGGGCGTATCGGCAGCACTATCCCTTTGAAGAGCACTTTGATCAAGCGTTGTTCCCAATTTCGGCGTATCTCCCGGGATAACGGAGTCTGTGTCGAGCGGCAAAAGAAAGTTCATTGAACTATTCGTACTTATCGCATCACTATGCGTCATACCTGCTTTGTTCAAGCCTTGATCTGGAGCGCCATATCCATGCTGAATTGTTGCCTGATAGCCTTTTCCACGGGAGGAATAGTATTCGATTGAGCCAGGAAGTAGAGAGGTTTGCGTAAGATCCTGATTCGATGCATTTTCGTGATTGCCGGAAGCATCATTGACGGTAGCCCGCTGGGGCGCAGCTGATGATGCCCGTTCTTCATGGGACATTTGTTGTGAATCCCTGTCTTCTCTACGAGAATAGGATCCTGCTGCATTTGACCGGACGTTTCTTTGTTACATGTTATTAGTGAAAACCGCCAAACGCTCTTGCTTTGACTACTTACGATTGTGATTGTTCATCATACGTTAATTCGATAGATCCAGGCATAGTATCATGCCGCTGTTCATCGTAATTGAACGCCATGTTGGAGAAACAAAATTCTTACAGAAAGTGAGGATGTTCTGCCCTTGAGAGTTCTGCCTTTGCTAAAATATGATCCTGTTCTACATGGGATTTATAAGCACTCAAAAACCCTTCCATACAATCAACATTATCCGCCATGGCTTTGGGTCCTGCAAAATTCTGATCTCTATTTTTTCAATGGATGGGTTTCAAATAATCACGTAAACAACATTGAGAAACTAACACGCTCGTCTCGTTTTAATTTTTTATTTTATTCAAGTCAGAAGAAACGATTCAAGTAATCATTCATTCTCGGCTCTTTTATGGTGAGGCATCTGGTTATTCAATGTGTCTCGATTAGTAATGGTGTAACCAGAGCCTTGGATGGACATCGGTTCTTGTATTTGTGGAACGTCGCCAGGCGGCAACTTCACTACCAACGGTACTTCGTACACTTTCCATAAGAAGTAGTTGCGCCGGATCACTGCCACAAGATGAGAGAATTTACGTCCTGCTAGAGTAAGCGCTCGTGCGGGCACGATGAATGAGAAATTGCCCTGGTCGGCGAAGCCAGCTAGATGGAAAAAAAATGAGAAGAGCCTTCCATTAGAATCCAGTTCATAAAACCTTACAGGCTAAAGTGTTGGATCGATCTTCGTCAAAGAAGACAGTCACTGTATCGTTATGCGTGTATTGCGTTTCATCGAAACTGATATTCTGTTGAGTACCAGCATACCATGTATCATAACGTTGAGGGTACGTGAAGTTTGCTAATAAACCAACATATTAGTAATGACGAGTAAGTCTTTCTACATGGTGAACTGATGGTACCAGCAACAGATACTGCGATATAGAACACCAAAATGCATAGATAAACCAAATTCATGCGGTCGACTGGAGAAAGTTAAGAAAAAAAAGCTAAAATTTTCAATGGATCTTCAATGTTCAAGTCTTTTGAGGTTTCAATGTAAAAAAGCCATGTAAACCAACTATGCATTCGTTCGGCTAATTTTTCAGAGACCCATGATATACTGTACCGTATACCGCAGCCCGCTTTTACAGTTACCGTATCTCAAAAGTGGCTTATTCCAAGCCCATGTGTTGCAGGTAAGATCATTTTGTAAAGTGTTCTAACGACGTTGTCCATGTAGACTGGAATTGGAATATTTATATCTCTTTCAAATTTTCTGAGCTAGTATATTTATACATTCGGTATGAGCTATACCTCCCCCCAACAAGCTATAGTGTGATTGTTATGATTGTTATGTCTGAAGACGCCATTCAACATCCAAAAGGAGCTCATTATGGACACCACTAATTTGCATGAATTCCCCAATTGGGGAATTTTTTTTTTGAAACAAAAAAAAAGCCCGCAAATTGGCTTTGTTTTTTCGACTTCCTCTTCATTCAGCCATGACGACTCTAGTCATGTCCAATGTCCCTGCCATTCTGTTGAATTGGTCACCCGCCATTGACATTCTAACAAATACATTTATTTCCTTTGGGTCTGCTGAGCTCTCTTGTAAAGTTCCGGATGTGATTATTACGTATGAGAACCCGGTTTCCGCTTACATGGCTAAACAAACACTCAGCGGAACAAAGTTGACATGGCTGGAAAACGAAGACAGGGCCGATATTGTCAGATTAAATGGACACTCATTTGATAGTGACTTGGTCACATCATCCGAGGAGAAGGAATATGTTATTCAGTTATCGATTGTTGAGGTAAGACATCAAAATTGGCGGCATTATACAAGCTGTGGCAGCTCATTGATTGGACGAAAGGACGACGAAGATTGTAACTTATTAAGAGTTCCGAGATTTGAACGCAATTTCTTGATATCTCCACCGGGCTCACCTCCGGATCATTGGGTACAGACGCAGGATCCGGCGCCAAAATTACAAGCAGATAACTCATCGGAATATATTCGCCAGCAGCTGGAACAGCTGTCTGATAATGTAACCAACAATTCGGAAATACTGAATTCGACCGAGGACACCGTTATGCCTTCGGATCCAGAGACAATTAAGAATCTCAACCGCCAGCCTTTCACCGCTCAAACACGTAACAGCAACGTTTATCTACAAATGCAAGATAGCTATAGCCCCACAGATTGATTTTTGATCCCTCGATATGGTCACCGAGATGTTTTTGTTCATCGTTGATGACACTGGTCAATTTCGCAATAAGTCTATTTCTAACTGGGAAGGTATATTAGATGTCGCTGGTTATAAATCAGATGACAACATTGTTTGCCTACGGAATAAACACTAGGTTTACCTCTTTTTTGTTATGTTATATAAATGAGGCTTGATTTTGCATCCCCACTTTGCAAAGTTCTCCGAATTTTTTTTTCCTGCGATCTGTAATACCCATAAGGTTTTACTTCTCCAATGGCTGTTGCATTACATAACGCTCCTCGACTTTTCAAGCGATTATTAACAAGGTCGAAAGAAGAAAAAACATCCGGTGCTGCATCCTATTTGTCTTCCAAACGTGATTCGGAAGAGAGCTTGAATTTTCCCGAGCCTAGCATTCTCGGTGACGATTCAACCTGCTTTGAAACACGTGATTGCATAGCGACCGAACAGGAAGTGTTTCTTCCAAGCTCGAAAGCCGCCAAGCTCGCTCAAGTCTTTCGTAAATTTTTCCGGCCGCGCATGCCAGCAAATGATGCGGGCATCGATGATCAAAAAATTCTAGACCATTCTTTGGCGTCGTTTCATCCCAATGATTCCATGATCCCTTTTGGCGAGAGATATATTGCGCGTGAAGATCCTCAGGAAGAAGCGCGTGTACGTAAAGCTCGCATTGAACGCTATAAGAATCAAATTGGCATCAACTGGCTCGACCGGATCGCAACCAATCGTACAAACAAGAACCAAGCCGCAGCCAAATCCGAGCTTCCGCAAGAATCGAGCGGTAAGTGAACATAAGCTTATGAGATGCTTATGAAACTCATACAATGTTCCCAAATAGCAGCGTTAGCTACCAAACCTGCAGTCAATCTACCGGTATCGACTCCTATTCACAGAGCGAATTCGACCATGTCACTACAGGCAGAGACATCAATACCTGAAGAACTATGTCCAGTTGCAGATGATCTGCGGAAACTGTGTCAGGAATCGTTTTGGCCTTAAATTAAAAATATTGCCTAGTTTCCATTAGTCCGTTTTTTAGCATTCGCATCCAGTGTCTTATTATTTATTACTCGCATTTTTTCTGATTTATAGATGTTCTCTTTTCTTTTTTACCTCGTAATTTTTCATAGTAAAATATGTTTTTGGCTTTTCAAATTAGGTAATGCAAGAGAATGTAGTAAAGGGATGACATAATACATCTCCCATGGTATTTTGGTGGTCTCAAAAAATCTGAAATCCAGTAATAGCCAATGATGATTTAATGAGAAAAAAATCCAGAATGCAAATCTAAGAATTAGAAAAAGAAAATACAAATGATCTTCGCTTAACCGGGGGGAAGCATAGTAGCATCGACAGCATCATTCTCTTCTTCGAAAGAGTGCTCTGTTTGCGGCTCGTAATGATCGTGAACAGGGGAGCGTGGCATTGCCATGACACCTAATGAATCATAATGTAAGCACTCCGTTTTCAAGGTGTACTGATAAGTTATACTCACCAGTTCTAGATGCTTCAAGGATACCAAAAGGTTTGCAGAGTTTCATGAATGAGGAAATACGACCGGGCTTTGCACACACTTCGATGACGACAGAATCAGAGGAAACATCAACCACTCTGCCCTCGAACAAACGGGTCAACTCAGTGAGAGCTCGAAGATGGGAAAATGTTTCTCGCAAAGTTTCCGAAGGTGGAATTCTTGGGTTCTGCGATTTCACAAACGCAAGAAATAAAAAGAAAAGTACTAAATCAGCAATTGTCCCCGTCAACGAACAAAGCAACCGTTACCTCATCGTGGCGAGACAAGTTCTCATCCTCAAATCGCGCATCGGCATCAAATCGAGCAGTGGGCAGTTGCTCATGCAGATATTCAGGACCGAGAATCGACACCTTGATCAGAAGCAACTCGCGCTCAATTAATTTGGTCTTTGTGTAATCTAAGACAGCCCAAACAGGCACCTATGCGGGGAATCGATGAGAACGTTCTCTGGATGATCACATGAACCTTTGTTTTTGCGTACCAAATCCTCCAATTGACGTCTCGCCTGTTCAATTTGCACATTGCGTCCATTAAATACAACTGTCATACGGCTGAGATCGGGAACCTCCGTGTTGGCAACCACAAGCGACTCAATGTTGAATCCTCTTGCCGCGAGAATACCAGATAATCTACTCAGCACACCAGGTTCGTTCTGCACCAAGCAGTTCAAGATATGTCGTGTTTCCGGAGCGGGGCTCGGTGCTGGAGTGTTATAAAGGATATTTGTCACAGCATCCTCAACACTCGGTGGGGGAGCAGGCACAGGACCGAAACGTCGCTGACGCAAATGCTTCTTGAATGACATGGCGGATGTAGCACTAGGCTCCGCACGCGACGACATGAAGCGGCAAGAAACCGCTGCAGTAGATCGTGCGGCTGTGCGCAACTGTACACAACGTCAATTTCAACCGGCATACTTACTGTCAAAGTATTAGCACTTACAAGTGGGGTTTGCTTGAGTACTGTAAGGTTGCGAAGCATAGTTGAGAGAAAGGAGGAACAAGCACAGGATGTGAATTGAATCGATTTGAATCATTTGAATAAAGAAACCTTATTGGTTCTGAGGAATCAACCGTCACCCAGACTCCGTCTCCAAGATGTTGCTGCATTGCAAAATTCCCTCCAATCGAAACGTGAGTCATTTTGCATTTGACGGACCTCGATTAACCGAGCAAAGGCGGATAATGTTTGTCACTGACACGCGCATCATATACCCATTCCAACGTATAATAAATAAGGTTTTTCGAGTTTTTTCACCTATGAAGCCATAGCAAATCTCTCGTGCCAAGCGTACATGTCAATTATTGCTTATTAGATCCATTTGTTTAGCACTCTGACATGCTCCTGATAAAATAAAATAAAAACACCAAATCCACATTCGGAACTCAGAAACCGTAAGCAACAAAACGATATTTACATAAAAAGGTCCAATGTGGATTGAGAAAAAAATGCTGGAAAGCGGATTCTTTATTATGAAATTTACTGATCCTTGACCTTCTTGGTACCACGGAGGAGACCAGTGCGGCGGGCAGCGATCAAACCGACCTTCTGACCAGCGGAGCTGTCGCGAGCGACAGTGGAGGCGTGACCAATGTGCTGATGGTTACCACCACCGTGAGGATGGTCGACGGGGTTCATGGCAACACCACGAGTCTTAGGCCAGCTGTTGCGCTTGACTCTGTATTTGTGGTAGGCACGACCGGCCTTCAAGAGGGGCTTGTCAATACGACCACCACCGGCAACGATACCAATAGCGGCACGGGAAGTGGAGGGAACGATCTTCTTGGCACCGGAGGGAAGACGGATACGGGTCTTACCATCTTCACCGTGTCCAATGACGGTGGCGTAGTTGCCAGAGGTACGGGCAAGAGCACCACGGTCACCAACCTTCTCTTCGACGTTGCAGATAACAGTACCTTCGGGAACAGAGGCAAGAGGCAAAACATTGCCAACGTTCAAGGTAGCCTTCTTACCAGCATAGATGAACTGGCCAGTGTACATGCCTTCGGTGGCAATGAAAGTCTCGGTGCGGAGCTTGTACTTGTAGGGATCGCGGAAAACGACCTGCCCAAGAAAAATTACACCACCATCAGAATCTATACTGATTTTATCTTGTTCGTCAAACCCTATCGTACCTTAGCAAGGGGAGCACCACGACCAGGATCGTGGACAATCTCCTTGACAATGCCGCGAATGTAACCGTGACGTTCGGCGAAATCGAAAACTCTCAACTTGGCGGCACCCTTGCGGCCGACAGTGTGAGCTTTGAAGATACTTCCAGCACCTTTTCTCTGAGCACGAATAACACGACCCATGTCTAGTAAATCTGTTGGAACGAAAATCGAGAGATGTGTGGAATCGTCGAAAATTAAATGTCGAATGAAAGAGTCGGCGATGAGTTGACGAAAAAAAATATACAAAAAAAAAAGCAAATATCACAAAATGGTAAGCATCTATACGCATCCGTTGGAAACAAATCCATCCATTCTAGTACTGCATCCACATCACATAATCCGCATCCACAGGATGATGACTGACCTAACTAGATTGTAGAAGAAAGAGGCCGTTCTCAAGGATGCCTTGGAACATTAAGCTCTTACGCTGCTGTTGGCATAAGTCCGAGCCGAAAGCCCAATTCGTATCCGGATCATTTAAATTCAATGTCCGCTAGTAGGTATTGCCCAGGCCCGAATAGCAAAGGACAAACAACCTCATCATCATCATCGACTACAAAAGCTCCTTTTAATTCGCGGTTTTACGCACGTCCTAATAGTCGTAAAAAGAATGGTAAAAGCCTTGCAATTGGCCATTACTTTTTCAGAATCGGCTTTCTACAAGCTTCCAAAACATAAACTGTATAGACATAGTAAAAAAAAAATCTTGACTTTTGAATAACTTGTACCGTGTCACAACAACCATCACTCTACATTATGCCTTGTCGTTTTGGGCGAGCTCGTTGTGTCCTATGGGATCCCAGGAGTACAACTGCTCAGTATTTATTCAGACGTCTTTACTCAGATCAGTTCTTTGATTTTTTATGACCGGCGATGAGATTATTTTTTCCATATTATGCAGGTCTGGTGTTTTGGGCAATCTGTAAAGTCAAACGTTTGTCAACGCCGATTAGCGAAATTTCGGCTCCTAAAAAAATAATGCATCCTTAACAAGAGTGACCGTAGCGAACATTTCCTAATTAAATGTAACTTATCGATCTTGTCAGAAAAAATCTGCTTCTTCAACACTTTCCGGAATTCCTTCACCGGTCGGAACGTTTTCCTTCCATGAACTTCACATAGCGTTCCCAAATGCTATAGTGACTAATCTTCGGACTGGTCCATTGGGGAGCATGGGCATTATTTTTTTTCTTGACCCAGGATCACTCGCACTTGAAGTTTTCCTTTCAGTGAGTAGGCACTTTGCCAATTCGGTTGGTGTTATGTTCATTCGGATGTAGGATTTTATTTTTCATTTACTGAACAAAATTGATAAGATATGATAAGAAAAGTGAGCAATAGATTACCACCAGCTTTTCTTACCGATTATCTTTATTCTACAAAGAGCACATGGCTTCATATGAGCCATTGGGTAATTGATAAATTGTTCGAAACTCTCCAGCGAAGCAATTCCCATCGACGGCATACGACCGATCAAAAAATTTAACCTTCTCTTGGTCAGCATACTTTATCCGCGCTGCAGCAGTTTGATTGAATCCGGCAATGTCATAGTACGCTTTTTGTACTGACCGACCGCGTCCCGTGTGGCTTACCTGATGAGATATCGGAAACAACAAAATTACCCGTCACCCGGGTCAACTCGCCCAAACCGTAGCGCTTATTAAAAAACTCGAATGCACATTGGCTGACTGCAAAGGCATCTTTCGAGACGGGCCGCTTAGGTTTCTTGAATATAAAGTCGACATACATACCGTCTGTTCTTATTCTATGCGTTAGAATTTGTCTGACGCGTCATTCATTGTAAGATGGTGATCTCCAGTGGCAGGCGGCATCCAGGAGGTGTATGCTTATTAAAACAACGCAAACTAAATTATAGGCGGACACATACGAATAATTGGTATCTCTTATCATTACACTGGCAATTCTATTCATCTGTAAACTTGGAAGCGGTTTTTCATGCAAACATACTGCATCAAAAAAAAAACATGTTACACAAGGTTTTGCTATAAACTGAGCAAGAACTTCAGGCATCAATGGTATCACATAGAAAGTTTAATGGACCCAGAAGCAAATTTTGTTGTTGGAACCCTTATTTTTCATATATTTATCTACGATTTCCTAATCAGATCTTGTCTCGATGCAATCCGCAGTTACAAAGCAAAGATCTACAAAGATTATTCCGGCTCCATCCTCAAGTTTCACAACCTTGCTTCGTTTCCTCTTATGACTGTCACCGCAATCAGCCATGCCGCTGGAAGGAATTGACATTACAAAGTTTCGTTTTCTCTAAATTTCGTTGACAGAACCAATAATGCATGGATGTGGCGAGCAAATCGTCAGTTATTTCGTTGCTCCCTCGGAAACATCATGTTGTGTTGGACTTGATGCATGGTGTACTTTGATGCTAACTAAAATACAAATGGTGCATGCTTGATGTTTTCTAAGCGTTGTGGCTGTTGCTTGTTACTGTTGGCATGAACTTATTCCTGTCCAAGGAAGATCCAAAAACCTGGAAAAAAATTGTTGGGGACGGAGCTTAAATTAGATTGGTGAGATTTTCTTTTGTGTCGCCGTTGTTTTGCGATTGTTCCAACAAACAGTCTCTCCTCAGCTCTCTCTACATCTACGATGGGCACTCCAGACGAATGGCTGGAAACTGTCCGTAAATGCGAATATTTACCTGAGCATGATATCAAGAAACTCTGCGAAATGGTATGATTTTATATTGTATAGCCATGGATAGCCTGCTCCTATTTGTGCTTCCGTGGCACATGTGAGAAGCGATGGAGTTGACATGTCGTTCTAGGTGAAAGAACTGCTGATGGAAGAATCGAACATACAACCAGTTCAGTCGCCCGTAACCGTATGCGGTGATATTCATGGTAAGGATGGCGCATCCATCATCATCAAATACATGCATCTCGAACAAAACCATTCGCGGATTCTATAACTCATCCCTTGCATTGTAGGTCAATTCTACGATTTGCTGGAATTATTTCGTGTTGGAGGTGATGTAAAGGACACAAATTACATTTTCATGGTACATACTTTTGTGTGATGGTACGATGTAACCATTTGCTGATCTCATTTCAAAAGGGTGATTTCGTGGATCGTGGCTATTTCAGTCTGGAAACATTCACGTTATTAATGGTCCTGAAAGCAAAGTATGGCTCTTTCTATGTTGAATATTTATGATGGCTACATATTCACAACATTGAAAAAGATATCCGGACAAGATTACTTTGTTACGAGGCAATCACGAGAGTCGACAAATCACACAAGTATATGGTTTCTATGGTGAGGAATTCAAAGAGGCGGACAATTCCGAGAAAAGTGTGTATAATAGGTTTCCTCGCTTTTGTAGATGAGTGTCAGGCGAAATATGGCAATGCAAATGTGTGGAAATATTGTTGTTCGGTTTTTGATTATCTTACGCTTGCAGCTGTAAGTTGGGAAAGGCGAAGAAACCCTGGGAGACGCTCACTTCTAATGACTTGCTTTGCAGATTATTGATGGTTCGATTCTCTGTGTCCATGGCGGTTTATCTCCAGATATCAAGGCTCTGGACCAAATAAGAACTATACATCGTTTGCAGGAAATTCCTCATGAGGGGTCTTTTTGCGATCTCATGTGGTCTGACCCTGAGGATATCGATACTTGGGCTGTTAGTCCTAGAGGAGCGGGTTGGCTGTTTGGAAGCAAAGTAACTAGTGAGGTATGTATAGTGATCAAAGCTGAACGTACCCATTTTTGTCCATGCTCTAACACTTGCCGCAAGTTCAACCATATCAATAAGCTGACCTTGGTAGCCCGAGCGCATCAGTTAGTGCAAGAGGGCTACAAGTATATGTTTCCCGACGAGGATCTAGTTACGGTATGGTCTGCGCCGAACTACTGCTACCGATGCGGCAACATTGCGTCAATAATGGAGGTTAAAAATGGCGAGAAAGAATTTAAGCTTTTCAACGCCGTACCGGACCAGGATCGGTTCACTCCATACAGTACACGGCAAGGACTTGGATTGACTTCAAAACTTGGCGGATCTGGAGGCCAATACTTCTTATAGTGAAGCTTTGGCTATCATTTCATCGACATTATTATCAGCATTGGCACGATCTGATTAATTATTTTGTTACATCATTTGCTCCTGAAGGATGCATGGCGTATTCGGCATTGTTGTACGCTTAATTCGTCCTAATTTCCTTCTTCATTTTGAACGTTCTCTTGTTTTTTTTTTTCTCTTCCCCGCTATATATAATTCCTTTCGTTCTGTATAAGTGTGTACTCTTCTTAGTTTTGTTGGGCTTATTACAAATTTCCACCGCGTTTATTCAACTTGTCTTTCATCCCTACGCTTTTACAAATTTGTATTTATTTGGGAATTATGCGCGCTAATTTTCAATCACATTGGGTTTCCGCCACCTTGACGGATTTGATTGACGGTTTTGATTGGGTAGTTTTTGAAAAGTAAATGCTTCTGATTGGGTAAAATGAATGAATGTGGTTTAGTTGGCAGACCGTGATACATCGATTCGATTTGACAACTTAACAGAACGCATTACTCGGGCTAGATTGATCTATTCCCCAACTCTTTTATTTGCTTATCATTGAGGTCTTTCAATAAAACACCTTACGATATTCCCCAACGTTTTTTGCGCTTCTTGCAGTCTCCCAGGACACGCTCGCTTCACCTCTAGAAACTGTCTCAACAATCCCAGACACAGCCAACAACCCAGCGTTGCTACGGTCCAAGAATCGGTAGAAGTTCGTTGCTGTACGTGGCAGAAAGTGGAGCATCAGCGGAGTAGCCATGCAGCTTGCCCATTGAATCCGAGGAGACTGTCTATAAGGGAAGCGAACGACAATGATACTGTGGAACGCATTCGTAGATTACCTGCATCCGCTGATAATGCCGAACTCCGCAGTAGACATGCCTTGGGCCGTATGGATGTCGTGTGTAATTTCTATCAGGCACACATGTGAGCCAAAGAAAGCCCCTCTGGATTGAGCTCTTATCCGCAGTTCCAGCTCTGCTGTGGCCAAGGTGCCATTGTTCTTCCACCTTTGGAGTCTACGCATATTAAGACAATGTCAGTGACAGTGCCATTAAATGTGCCGACCATCAGCAGGCGTTTGCGCCTATATAACAGATATGCTTGCCTCGAATCTTGTGCCAATGTCGAAACAGAAGTTGCTCTTAGGGATTCTGAACTGCTGCTTCAAAAACCAATAAAATTGGTGCCAAACATATAGAAGAAGTATGGTTTTCCGGAAGGCACCGAAGGAGACGTGAGAAGTTGAAGAAGGTATTGTTTTTTTTTCTTTTTTGAGGATAGATGACTGACCTGAAAAATAGTTGTCTTCTTCGATCGAAAGCACTGAGGAATTGTTAAGCCAAAACCCGATCTGGGGTGCTTGGACGCAGGAGGAAGCATTGAGTAGCTTCAAGGTATGTGGAGATTTTTGAATCAAATGGATGCACTGAACTCACACTGGCTATAGTTGCAAGTAGATACAGGTGATGCATTGCGTGGCTTTTACCGCAATCACAGTCTAAAAAAAAGTTGCATATACACAATCATTGCGGACCAAACGACTTTACGACATGCTGGCATTTAATAAGCAAATCACCAGCAGGAATTCGGCAAATACCTTGCTTATGTGCATCGGGAACGCGGGCACCGGGATCGGATCACATGTCAGAGGTCACGCACGGCGAGGAGGAAAAAAGATGCGGAATGCACATGCAAGAAACAGTGCTGTTGAATTGACAACGAATTTTGCTCATCCAAAACCTGTGTGTTCTGTTTTTATCAAACAAAACTTGCGACAAAAACATTACCCAATGGCAAAAAGAACTTTGGTGGTGTCAAATGCATCAACCGAAATTGTCCTGCTGTCCGAAGTGACCCGCAACGAGAAATTGCGACCAGCAAGCTGCATTCGCTTTTGGTCTGGCAGGTGCGATCCGATGCATGCTTCGAAGAACAATATAACCTTGCCGCCGTTCGATCCACGGTCCGAAAGCAATGACAACATGCTATTCTAAATGAATAATGATACAAACACTATTGAGGCTCCAAAGCGATACGCCTATGGTCCCACTCAGCTTGTGTGGAATAACAGTGGGCCAAGACGCCCAAGACTAGTTATGGATTATTTGAGAATATACAGTAGATGTGAATAACATCATAATTATTGCATTGGTGACTTTATCTCTTGCTTTTAAGCGCTTTAGAACAAACACTCCAGATGCTCCCAGGCCCATCATTAACTTAATTGAGCGGGAGGGCCGAGCCGGCTCACTTGGGCAGAAGACAAACCTCACATTTTGTTATCGATGGAATGAAGAAGAATTAAAATCCGTCATGTCAACGAAGACATACGTCTTTCAGCTCACTGCACGGTAATGTAGAGATAAATAATGCCGCCAGATAGATATATTTCAGATGCGTTCTGTCAAACCGCATAACGTATTCCTTTTCCTCTTTGCTGTTGGATCATTTTCTGTGAGTCATCGAAAGCACAAAGCAGTTATGCAAAAATCTATCCAAAATAAGTGGAAAGATATGACGATGTATGAACATATGATATGGGCTGCCCTACGGTCCATCAAGATCGCGGCGCAATTGCAAATATAAGGACACCATATCATGTGTTGTAATTGTACATATCATATACCGCATCTCGCCAACACTCCACAGACAAGCCATTATATTGAACATCAACTAGAAGGATCGACGTCCGGTTGCAACCACAAGGTATGTCTGACAATTGCTCCATGGAATATTTTTCGGTTGTCGACGTGAGGAGCGCATCGTTTTTGGTAACAATAAAGACATTTCCCCAACAAAAATGTAAGCCAAGGTCGAAAGCAAATATCCAAGACTTCTTCGGTAACTGCACAAGTGAATAATTCTACAATAGGCACCAAAGTCAGCCAAGCAATCGAGACGACATGACCCTGACAGCTATTGCAATTTTCTTACCTTTTCCATATAGCTAAGGATTATGTTACAAGCAGAATTGTACGACCGGGAGCCCAGACAGTGAAGCAATCTGATACCGCGTTGGAGTGCACGTCAGAAACCCACCGCTCTCTCGGCTGTTCTATCTTTGAAGCAGCTATCGGCGTTCTCGGGTGTCTCTGGTGGTGGCGGACGAAACAGTAGTTCTGGCAATGGATATCGCAGCGTGATATAACCCAAATGATGCTGTGTTAACTTTAGCGAGCGCAGACGTTGTGATAAAAGGGAATAGCTGGATTCATTTGAAAAAGAAAAAGCAGAAGAGTGGGAAGTGAGTTAAAAAGAGCAATGATATAAAAATCAGGACGTGGCCACCTCATCTTGTGTGAAAGAGTGTTGTGACCGTCATTTTGTCGATTACCGGATAATGACATTTTTGCCAAAGTGACCCATCTCCTTCAACCAAGATGGATATGCTTCAAGATCCGGCGAGAGAGAAAATGCGAAACTACAAATGGGGTAGTTCTCGTAGAAAATACGAATGGCGAGATGATTACATGGATGGCATGGCGCCCAGGGATGAAGAACTCGAAAAAGAACTCTTCTCAGAGGCCACCCACGTTCACACGGGTATCAATTTTGACAGATACGATTCCATTCCTGTCAAAGTCAAGGGCGAGAATCCACCCAAAGGTTTCGATCGCGTAAGCAATAAGTGTTATTATATTTGTATCAAAAAAATGGAATCGGTTGACATTTGACTCTTTTCAGTTTGAGCAAGCCGACCTTCATCCCGTGATGAAGGAAAACATTGCCCTCGCACGATATACTGTTCCTACCCCTGTACAGGTACGTAAAGAGAGAGCATGGAATAGTCTTCAATATAGGTCCTTACCATGGATTATGATATATTAGCGTCATTCGATTTCGATTGTCACTGCCGGTCGCGATCTTATGGCTTGCGCTCAAACAGGTTCCGGCAAAACCGCAGCGTTCCTCATTCCTACATGTTCCAAATTGTTCAGCCGAAGCCGCGAATTGGTCGCACGACCTCAGATGCATGACAGCTATCGCTTTAAAGCCAAGCCGTTGGTTCTCATCATGGCGCCTACCCGTGAATTATGCTCCCAAATCTTTGATGAAGCCAGACGCGTACGTCGATAACAATGGGGTCAATTTTTACCATCCACATCATGACAATTTACAATGAACTCTTTTTTTGATAGTTCTGTTATCGAAGCATGTTACGACCTTGGTATGTCCAATGAATGTAATATTACATGTGTTCACAACTGACCCAAAGATATAATAGTGCTGTCTATGGTGGTGCTGGAGTGAGATCCCAGTTGGATGAATTGGCAAAAGGATGTGATATCCTTGTGGCTGCTCCTGGTCGTCTCTGTGACTTTTTGGAGCGTGGCAAAATTGATCTTTCAAACGTGCAGTTCCTGGTGCTCGACGAAGCTGATCGCATGTTGGATATGGGTTTTGAACCTGTGATCCGTGACATCGTTGAACGTAGAGGTAAGAAATAATATCCCTATGTGGGCTTTTACAGTCAGAACATCGAGTTCCTCATGATCCTGAACGACAGGTATGAACCGCAACCGCACGACACTGATGTACAGCGCCACGTTCCCGAAAGAAATCCGCATGTTAGCTCGCGATTTCTTGAAACCCGATTATCTGTTCTTGAGTGTTGGTCGTGTTGGTGGTACGACAACGGACATTACGCAACGAGTATGTGCAAGCCGAACTTGGATCTGGCAGAAACAGGGAAGTTAATAGTCTTGTTATAGGTACGTTGGGTGGAAGAACAAGACAAGAGAGAGACCCTTCGTGAACTGTTATTATCACAACCTCCGAGTCGCACCCTCATATTTGTCGACACGAAGCGCAGCGCCGACACGTACGTATCCTAGGGCTATGGACCAGCGATTGTTGTTGGTTTGACTCTCACACCTTGGATAGTTTGGATCAGTATCTTTTTGATAATAATTTCCCGAGTACGTCTATTCATGGTGACCGTAACCAAATGGAGCGCGAAGATGCTATTCTTGCCTTCAAGTCTGGTCAATGTCCTATCCTCGTTGCCACAGCGGTGGTGGCTAGAGGTATTGACGTACGAAATGTGATGCATGTCATCAATTACGATATGACCAATAGCATTGATGAATATATCCATCGTATTGGTCGTACCGCTCGTGTCGGTAATGCCGGTCTTGCTACCTCGTTCTTCAATGACCGTAATATGCCCGTCGCTGCCGAAATAACCAAACTGCTTCAAGAATGTCAACAAGAAATTCCTGATTTCCTGCAACCATACAAATCAAGAACATTGTAAGTAACCGACTTTTCAACCAATATGATATGGAATTCTTTAATCATGCAACTTTTGACAGGGTCTTCAAAGATGACGATGATGATGATGAGATGCCTAGAGCTGGTGGTGGTGGTTATGGAATGGGAGGCGGTGCTAGCGGTGGTCATGATAATGCTTCTTCGTTTGCCGGTGCTCCAGAGCCATCGTGGACGGCAGCTGAACCAAGCTGGGCAACCCAAGAAGCTTCATGGGACGCTCAAAACCCTTCCCGCGGTGCTGGTGCCTCCAATGCCTCCAATGCCCCCAACAATGGTGGCTTCAACCCTGACCGAACTCCCTGGTAAAATGAGGATATCGCCTTGCCTTTAGATCGAGCAACATGGATGCTCAAACAAAATGTAAATTTCATCGTATAGCACGCAAAATAAAACTTCCCGACTGATATGCTATGTTGCTCCTATTCAGAGGAATCCCTCTTCTTTTTCGTTCCATGACAGTTACCAGACGTTATCACAACACAGATGGCTAACTTAATTGCTGCTTATTGGATTGATACTCGGAATACCGTGCATGATCCAGATAAGATGTACAAAAAGCGATTATCATTTGTCATTCCTCATCTATTCTATAGCTGGTTCATTCCTGGGTATCATCATTGTAGGTGAATTTTCGAGAATCTAGCTCGAGAGTCACAGGACCTAATTTGTTCCCAAGAGTGAGACGATCAAAAAACCATTGACATTAGCCCGTCGTTTGGGCAGCTTACCGTCATTCACAATATCAACAAGCATCATGGCGCCGAACTTGCCATCTGAATATGGATGGAAGGATGAATGTGTGGTCCATAACAACCCCGGTTCAACCTTCACGTACCTTTAATTAATGCAGGGTCATGGCTCTTGCCCAATTTGTCCAGGAAATTATCGTACAAGATTTTGGCGTCCTCACCTTTCATAGCTCTATGGAAATCAGGCTTATTCCCTACAGCTATTGATCAATATCAAGCACTTTTTAACCATTCTGTCCTAGTTGAATTTACCTTTGATGGTCTTGGCTTGCAAGGTAAACTGGGATACTATATAAACCATTAGGTTACCTAGACACTATGACACCCTCGGTACATCATCTCGACATACCGCACAGAATTTCAAGCCCCAGGTCCTTGGCGCTCTTTTTCCACATGGCGCCAGTGGCTTCATCTTCAAACACACGAATGTTGAGAATCTTATTCACCATGTAATTGACATCTTTCTCCGTATCATCGGTACCAACACCGACAAGCACACACAATCCTTTCTGAATCGAACTGACGACTTCATTCTCAACTAAATAATTGCTGGTGAATAAAAAGATTTTCGCTAAGAATTCGGTACGTCTTTATAGGTACCTGTGACACTGGCGCGAACCACTTTCTGCAGCACTGCTCTCATAATGGAAGACAACGAGGTTGATAGCGGCAATACAGCTGTCAGATGGATCTAATCTGCAAAAATCATGGTGGCTTGGCTCTGTAACATCGTAACTGTGACAGAATGGAAACCAAACGCCACGCACGAATATTCCTCAATACACATATCAATGAAGACGCTTTCTCACATAAAAAACGGATATATAGATTGACACGGTTTCGATTGCATTTTTTGGGATTTTTTTTTGAAGGGGAAATTAGGGAATAGATGACGGTAAAAAAAAAAATGATGAGGCTGTAATAAACTACCGTGAAAACGGATAGTTTGACAAAACATGTAATCCAAATGGTTCTTCTTATTTGGCAGAGGACGGGGTTTCTCGAGTTTTCCTTGCGGCGACAGCTTCTTGGGCCCATTTCGCCATATCAACGTCAGCATCTTCATACTTCTTGACGAAAGGATGCTCCAGTAACTGGGAATAAGTTGGTCTTTTCAATGGATCTTTTCGAAGACTGTGTGAAAAAAAAATAGCAAAGGGAAGATTAGAAACAAAGCGGATGAAGGTCCTCGAACTTTTACTTACCATGCAGCGATAAAATCCCTTGCTTCGGGAGAGTAGGAGTCGGGCATCGTCGGTGGCTCTTCATCGATGATGGCTTTCAGCTGCGCAAACATGTTATCGTATGTGTATGGATATTTGCCACCGGCCATCTCTACTAAAGAAAGACCGAGCGACCATACATCCGAAGAGACGGTATACGTATTGGCGGCCTTGATACGTTCAGGCTGTCGGCAAACAAAGGAGGAGTTAGAATTAAGAAAAAAAATTGGTAAGATAACGACATAATGATCACTTACCGCCATGTAACTCTGGCAACCAATGTTCGTTTTCGCCAAGGATTTATCCAATTGCCCCGAAACGCCAAAATCGCATAACTTCACTTGTCCCGCCAAATTAACCAGAACATTTGTAGGTTTAACATCTGCATTAACCAGACACACTATGTTAGCAAAACAGCATGACACCGCTACCTCTTGAACTTTCTTACCTCTATGAATAATGGAAAGTTCGTCTTTCAGGAATTTCAGGCCTTTCACCATCTATGGAGTTCGACAATATTGGGTTAATCCATCCATACACATGACACAAAGATGGGAAAAATTGTTAAGCTTACCGATATAGCAATTTTTGCCAAGACATCTTCCGGTACGCCATCACCGTATAGTTTATCCAAGGACCCGGCATCCATATACTCCATACAATAATATACACATGACTCGATAAAGAAGGCACCATAGAATTCTACAATGTAATCGCCCGTACTCTTGTGGAGGATATCTAATTCCATGAGGATTTGATGCAGTTTGGTTTCGTCAAGCTCGAGACGGATTTCCTGCAAACCACAAACATCAGAATTACATGAATTGGAACTAGCGGTATCTGAATATGTATTTACCTTCATTGCCATTACAACGTTGGTAACTCGATGTCGCACCTATGCAACCGTTAGGGTTTGCCATCTTTTCAAGTCATGATCGAGCAAAATTATCTTACCTTTTGTACAGTGCCATACTGCCCCTTGCCAAGCTCTTCTTGAAGAATCAGGTCGTCCATCTTGATGGCAAAACTGTTGCCATTACTGAAATTGACACCGTCAGCGTGAATGATAGCTTTACCGGCAAAGTTCAGTTTGCCGCTTGGATCACTATTGAAATCTACAGAGTTAAAATCCATTGCTCAACTTCTGCATTGGTCGTATACCTACACATATTTCGAAAAATTGGCAAACGGTGTTTGTTCTGGCTTCGGGGATAAGCCGAGCTGCGACAGGTTCAACGATACTTTGCCCATGCGGCCACCTGGGCGTCCGCGCATAGCAGGAGGAGGTGCCATGCGGCCGCCCACAGGTGGGGATTGGCCGCGTGCCATTGGAGGTAACGGAGACGACTGACCTGGACGACTCATGGGCGGCAAACGGTTCAGCATGGGATTACGTGGAGGCATTCCAGGAGAACGACCCGTAGGCGCACTAGCGGAAATGGGAGCCTTACTTTGCTCCCGGTCTTTGAGTGACATGGCAGACAGTGATTTGTCCAGATCCATTATGTTCTGAGTGGAAAGAAGGAAAAATGGGTGGAATCAGTCATTTTTTCTTTCAACCCGCTTCACCGAAATAAAATGACGTTGCAACCAGTGGAAAAACCATGTTCTTAGCCAATCAGATCCATAAAATCATGACCGCAATACGACTCCGCCACAAATTTTTTGGGCCGCTCTGTATCAACGTTGTATCATGCTTGTCCATGCAGCACACCTGTGGGTGTATATTTTTTCGGCCCTTTAATCAGCGAACTTTCGATCCATACATACGACATCAAGCATGAAGAATTCTTTCTATCAATGGTGTAAAAAAACACCATGGCAACGAACTGTTAAACGCTCTCGTCTTTGTCTGCGTTAGATACTTTGTATGACTGTTTGCAAGGCAACAATAAAAAAAAAGTAGATATTGCTGAATTGATCTGACCAATGGAAAAAAAAAGTTACGAAGAAAAAATCCGACATCCTATCTAATCTTTTAGTGATAAAAGCAATCAGAAGCAGATAACGATGATTACCAAAGCTATTACGGCATAGTAACATACTGCGACCATAAATACTATTGTCCATTTCATCATCCGACATACCTCCCCGGTTCACTTTCTATGGTTGATAGATTATCTCAGTGAATGGCGCATGGAGGTTGTGGCAGAATTTTTCCATGGGCAGCCGTATCCTCTTCGATGGATACATGTCATTTAGTGCTTTAAACGATTAATATTGAACTTTAATGGATGTATGTGGTAAATGATAAATGCTACATTATGTACATATTGAGTTTAGATTTCTACAGGATCAACCTAGCTTCACCATGCTTTCCTTTTGACTGCGATCAATAATGAGCAAGTGGCTCGCCACCAGCTTATAAATTGACTGAGACCCCAGTTGTTCGTTGAACCCTTTCGATTTAGCAAATTCGGTGATTTGGGTCTTGAGTTGGTTCAGCGGAATGACCCCGTTTCCAGAGGCCGAATCCTCTACTAAATCCATAATCTTCGCCAGAATGATGGCTTGATGAGATGGTTTATATTCACCGTCGGCATCAGCAGCGGTTGGGAAAATTCCGGCAATCACATTCGATAAATTGCTGAAACATCCATTATCTATTTCCTCCTCGCTTTGTACATCTTGTTGCAAGACCAACCGCAGCAATTGTCGATGAACCTCCCTATATGTAACATCAAGATTTAGATGAACGAATGTCTGTGCCTTTCACATACTATTGTCCATTCGTACCTTATTTTTCGAGAACCATTTCCTTTCTTTGATGCTTCGATGGAGGCCTACATAAAAGAATGTCAGCAAGCCCCCATAAACTTACAATAGTGGATAAATTACCTGATCACTTTCGCCTGCCGGAATGCTTTCTCTGGCGTTTACTTTGCTATGTCGCACGCGTTGGATATCCTTGATACGCGCTTTTTCAGCTAAGCCGTTCAACTTTGATACTAGTATATAGGATCAGCAACGTTGGTAGAGAGACTTAAAAAGGATTCATTTTGTATACCATAATCGCTCAGTTCCTTTCGCTTGCTTGCAACCTTCTCTTCCAGAGTTTTCATTTCCTACAATTAGGTAGGCTATGGTTAGCTGAAAAGCCATCGATATTAAAGAATAACAGACGTATCCTTACCGTTTCAAACATGGTTTCCATGGACGGTAAATCGTTGTTGGTATGTCTCTGTGTCATTTGTTGCATGGCAGTTTGAAGGCGATGCTGTTCATCAATTTGCTCCTGTAATTCGTTCCCCTATCAACAAAGGTTTCAGAATTCGGTGGCCAACCATAATACTCATACTAATCATCTCTGACCTTGTCTTTGAGAACTTGCAATCTGTTCTCAAGCATTTCTACTGCTACCTGGGTCCTCCTTAGTTCTTCATCCACGCTACCAGATACATTGCTATCTCCTGAGCTTGGTGCATTCCTTGCATCGTTTAACAGCGCTTCCATATCGCTTTCGCTCTGTATAAACCCGATTAGCATGCTTTATCGTCACATAATAATGCACTTGTTCTTACTTTCTTCAATGCGGACTCTAGATAATCTACATTGAGTTGTCGCTCTTCATGGGTTTGCGCAAGCTTTTCGATTCGGGTTTTAGCATCCTCAAGATTGCTGTTGAAACCAATATTAGACTACGACAGAACAGTGTAATACCAATGTCGACTTACCACAGCTGATTCAATATATTGGCTGCTGATAATATGCGATCAATGTTGGTTCGTCGCGTCGTCGTTCGTGATTGCGAATGTTGACCAAGGTCCGCTTGGATTCTAAGTCATGTGAGTCGACCTTTCAATGATACAAGAGAGAAAAGCAAGTTACCTAGCTGATATTGACTCGGTAGAGCTAATGGCAAATAGTTTGCATTCTTGAGATTCGGCGTCTCTTATCAAGCGACGTTTCGCGCCGTTTTTTTGAAGCAGGTAATCGGTGATTTCAGGGGATCCGGTGGAGAGTTCGATTGATGTGATCTTTTTGGAGTTGTCTACTAGCTCTTTCAGTGTTGCATTCAGCGACATGGTTGGGGAATTGATTGAGGAAGCAACAAATATGCAATGGATAATGGATCACCAAAACAAGAAATCAAAAAGAAAAAAGGCTGGGCGTTGTGGCGGGGATTTAAGCAGATATTCTTTAGCAGCGTTGCCAGATTCAAAGATTGATGACACCTCCATGGCAAATCTTTGCTGGTTTTTTTTTATTTCCTTTCAGTTGATCTATTCTAATGGCTTCATATACTTGATAAAGCTTCAATTACGTGGAAAAAGTCCTTTGGAATTACATAGTTTAATTCGGGCTAATTTTCGAGTGAATTACAAGGCACTTCAATGATGAGCTTTCTAAGAAAAGCGGGCTATACTTAGGAGAGTACCCTGGTACTGTTCCCGAACTTTTTCTGTTGGCCACTACACATTATGGAAACTAAAGAAAAATCTTACTGTCATTATTATGTAATTTAGGCGGCGTCACTTTGGACGCTGCTACGTTTGCGTTGTAGAGATCGTTTGGGCGGGATAGGCACTAGCGATGACTTCTTTTGTCCTCCAAAGAGATTCTTGGTTTTTGCACGGAGCGAACCTGCGGCGCCCTGGATTACACGGCCCGGTGGAGAGCGTTTTTGTTTTTCACCGGATAGAGTAGAGCCTTTGGTTCCTTCCTGGGTGCCGATCTTTTCTGTTCTTTGACGCACCGTGTAGCTCGCGACTTTACGCTTGGACAGCTCGGCATGAACGTGTTTTCCTGTACCACTCTTGAGATCCATGGACGGATTGGCCTTCTCAATGGTAGTCATGTCCTGCCGTGCGGCATCGGCTACAGCATTTACAGCAGCTGACGCCTGGATGGTGGTGGTAACAGCGAGGATGGCAGCAGCCGCCACAAAGAAAAGATTGAGATGCATGACTGAGGACTATTAATCAAGTGTAGATAATGCAAATATGATCTCGGTTATTACCTTTTGATTTTATATTCTTTCAATGAGCAATAAAGACTCACCGCTTGCATATTTTCAAGTAAAGAAACTGTTCGTTATATGCTATCGTTGCAGGGGATGAACAAGGGCAATTCGGATTGCTCCTAAGATTCTGCACGGGGAAAAACGACTGACGATGCATACAAGACTAATGCAATATATTTGTCAAAAATTTATGGCGTGTATTTTAGTATGAACCTACTCCTTTATGTAATCCTGTAATGCAAAGGTTAAAAAGAAAAAATTCATCGTTGAATGGATAGAGGACAACAGGATGCTGTGTGCGTGAATGCATGAAATGCTGTTAAAGTATAATCGATGGCATCAGTTCGTTGCTATCAGTGATGCATTTTATTTGCGAGCGATAACGGTAATTTTCATTTCGATGTTGAACCACACAATGCACCACAGATCCTGTTTTGCCTTTACAGTGTTTAATGGTCTCATTGCTCCAGATGTAAGTCTGCCTTGATTATCAGGTATCATAGATACCGAATAAAAGGATCAACTATACATACACAGCAAGAGAGGTCTAAACTTTGTCAAATAAAGCATTTTGGCAATCCTGCATCCATATTGAAAAGAAGAAAGCGCGCGATATGCTTTTTCCGCGGCACTCTAAGAATATTGAAACTGCATCCACAATCAAGGCCCCTGGAAATATCAACCCATAATACATCATTTGAAAACAGCCTACGGTACCTTTCAACGAGCACAAACTCTCTTTCTTTTTTTTCTCTTCCCCTATGGTAACTTGAACTAGAACTTCGTTGTCGAGTGTCACAACGGCGAAAAACGTTTGAACTGAAAAAATCCACATCCGCTTTGGCTGTATGCCACAATAGCTGGTACATATGCTAGAAAATATTTGTATAAAAAATGCTCAGGTTGTTGATGTTACTTGGTGTGACTGGGATGTGGATTGATCAAACAAATCATTACAGGCGCCACAGGATGACACCTGGATGGAAATAAAGCCCATTTTTTTTGATGTGCATGTATTTTGGTGCATAAAAATATCTCCAATTTAGAGTAGGATATTGTAGATTGAAAAGGGTCTAACTCGCTATAATGACTCCAGTTCTTGGTTTCTCTTCACTGATTTGAGCAGGATAGTTTTTGCAGGAACTTTATTTTATGCCCTGCATGCTTGGAGCGCTGGCTTATCAGCAAATGTAATGTCTGTAGGTATTCACACCTTTCCCTTTTCCTACATATATTCCCAGCAAAATTGGCAACACGACGCCACAAATTGAGTTGGCAGACGTCAAGCATAGTTTGGAAATATGCAATCTCAGGTGTGACTTGGTACGAGGACGGAATTCTGACCATGGCTGTCACCGGACTTTTAACCACTCAGTTGACGTACGGAAAGTGTTTCCCGCTCTTTTTAGTCGAAACCACCCCAACTTCATTCCCTGTTCACAAATGGCGACATCCGAGTACAGCAACCCTTTAAGAAAGTATAAGCTTGTTTTTCTAGGCGAGCAAAGTGGTATGTCTTAATTATTGCCCGTTAAACTTTCTGTTAATGTTTACCTTTTTCCGCGATGCAGTGGGCAAAACATCACTCATTACTCGCTTCATGTACGACACCTTCGATAATACCTATCAGGCAAGCCTTTTAGCAACGAAACAGCGGCGTTTTATGTTTTTTAAATGTTTTGTGCATTTTGTGTAGGCCACTATTGGCATTGACTTTCTCTCCAAAACCATGTATCTTGAAGATAAAACTGTCCGTCTCCAGCTGTGGGACACAGCCGGCCAAGTTAGTGGACGAGTTTTTCCATTGGGATCGGATGGAAACATGTCGGAAGGAAAGTGTGTAACAAATATGTCAATATAGGAACGTTTTCGAAGTTTGATCCCGAGTTACATACGAGACTCTTCTGCGGCAGTGATTGTGTATGACATTACAAGTACGTTACTTCCGAAATAATGCAAATTCACCCCACCAGCTGACATTGTGAGCTACGATAGGCCGAGCTTCGTTTGCAAATACTACGAAATGGATCGACGATGTACGAGCGGAACGAGGAGATGAGGTGATCATAGTCCTCGTAGGCAATAAATCGGATCTTAGTGAGAAGCGGTAAGATTTTCAGCCATGGCAGATTGTTAAACCTTTGGGTGCTAATGCAAAATAATATCAACAGGGAAGTGACAGTTGAGGAGGGAGAAAAGCGGTCCAAAGAATTGAATGTCATGTTTATCGAGACCAGTGCCAAAGCGGGGCACAATGTCAAGACGCTGTTCAAGAAAATCGCGCAGGCTTTGCCTGGTGTCGACAATGCGGAGAATGTAACACAAAAAGATCAAAGTAAGTCGACGGTAGATACAACTCAGACAGGATAGCTAGTTTATTATTTTATTTTATTTTCTAACCGCGTCCAAAATCATGACCCATAGTGCAAAAGATCAATCTCAGTGATACGGAAACCGAGTCCAGTGGTTGCGCATGTTAACTTAGACATACACATATTATCCTATTTGAAATTTCGTAATACAGCCATCCTAATCATGAAAACCGTCAGCCCTAGTGTGGAAAGTTTCAACATCTTTAACTAGCCGTAAACCCAGTTTATAATTCATGAGCGAAGAATACATTTCGAAGGACATACCTGTACGTAGAAAATTACCATGGTGCTATGTGACGGATGCAATGATTGCCAGTCCTATTCTCTGCCCTCATTCATGATGTCATTATACCGTCTATCCTATCCGTCCTTTTACTTTTCCGTAACCATTTTCTTCATGGTGGTAAGGCTTCCAATAGTATAAATCGTTTTTAGAGTCTTTATTGGTACGGCATGTTGTTGAGTAAACACTGGCGTACTGTTTCTATTTGGGAGTTTTACATAAAGGAAGTGGATGCATTTAAAAGAACTTCTTCACATAGTCAAGTGCGAAAGGAGCTAATACAAATGGTTTAATATTAATTTCGCCACAAATGGCGCTAGCGATCAATAAGTCGTCTTACCAGCACGAATGACCAAGGCAAATGTGACAAAATTGGAGACTGTGGAGATGGTGCGTTGTCTCAAGAAAGCTTTTTGCTCGGGAGTGAGTTGAGGTTGCTGTAATATGGAAAAGAGAAGCTACGAGTAAGTGAAAAGTGCCAAATGCTGAACAATGAAAGCTGAGCATCTTACCTGGGGCATAAACATGATGGCTGTTGTATGATCCTAAGAATGGTCGAGAAAGCAACAATATCACCTTTGGCAGGCCGAAATTTTTACCATCAAAATCAACGTCACGATCTAACAAAAAAAATCTTGCCTTCTGCTTCGCAAGCTATTCCATCTCAACGCCGATTTTTCAAAAGCTATAACATTTCACGCAAACTGTTGCCGATACAATAAATATACATTGCCCTTCATGCATACTGGTAAGCACTTGCGTTCTCCAAAATAACCTTTTTTTATGTAATCTCTGGAGTAAAAATACAGGCCATCAAGTGGACCATCATCAGTAAACATGAATTAATTCCAAGGCTATGATTGCTTCGTTTATAACCACTCAAAAATTGATTGAAAAGACATAAACAAGGCAAAGCATACCATTGAAAAACATTTACCCACCATATCTTCCCCGGCGACGCATTCTTTAGTTCCCCGTATTCAATGCACAGCAGGCAACTCAATGCGGAGGGACCGCCTTAATCACAGTCACAAACCAGTCACACTTACGCCTTGTGAGCATTCTAAAACCCTTCCGGAAAGTTTTTGGGGGATGTGGTGTAGTGGTATCACGTCTGCTTTGCATGCAGAAGGCCCCGGGTTCAAACCCCGGCGTCTCCATTTTTGGCCGAGCTGCCAATGTTTTTTCTTGTCGATGTGGATGCTTTACACATGTCGTATCCTTTTTTGGTATTTCCTAAAACGTTCACGGCAACACTTACGTTTTTGGTAATGACGCTTTGATCACCTTCAAGCAAACGTTTCCTTTATCGAACAGCTCGGCCGAAAGGCTGAGCATTCAGAACCAAAATACCCTGCCAAGCCGTACTACGAAATTATTATAGATGTACCCAAAAACATATAAATATCCCCTCGATCAAAACGAATAAAGATTATCAATTATCTATCCTCCAATTCTAGTTTATTTCTTCATCTATCGTCCGTGGAACCAGTATCCGGAATAGATTCAGCAAACCCCGAAAACGACACACACATCAATTTTTTTAAGTAGTGTTTTACAGAATGATGAAGGGATTGAATGGATATGTTTATTATTATTTTAGCCATCTTTATTCTCCAAATCGGAATATCAAGTCGGATCTAAAAGTTAAGCCGACATCGATCAAGTATAGGTATCGTGTGTGACTCTGTCCTCATCCAAATGAGCAAATGCAAAAAAGAAACGGCTGTGACCAATGGAGAAAGTAATGTGGACTAGTGTGGGTCAAGTAGACGGATGCAGGTCTTGCTGGCATAGTGTCGATTTTTTTTTAAGTTTGCCCTAAATTTTATGCTTTGGATCCTCAAGGGAATCACCGCCGCCACCCACCTACCCAGTGCCAAGTAAGGGTTGCAGAAGAAAAAGGTGGCAGGGATACAGACGTAATCCAGCGAAAAATATAAAGGAGTTTTCATATCCGAATATGCGTATCCGTTCTGATGTTGTTGTCATGAATGCCTCTATTGTCGCTGTAGCTGGTGGAGATAATGTGTCATCTGTATCGTCTTTGGAAAGACAGTAGGTATAAAGCAGTAGAAGCTCAAAGCCTGTTCGCTGCTTTCAGAAACACTTAGTATTCCAATGCAAGTCTTACTTGCAGGCTTGCCGTTAATGCTTATTCCAGGGCAGCAGCACACAAGAGAAAGCAGCAAGAAAACTGCTTGGCCATCAACCTTAATACTCATTCAGGTGCATTGTCTAGGAGAAGATGAGATCACGAGGATCGATTACAAGGATGCAACCTTTTCTGAGCTTTTTACAATAGTTCAGTTTATTTAGCGCCATCGGGAATCGTCAATGCCTGAAGTGCGTTCCTCTTCTTGGTCGGATTCGGAACTTTCGGAAGAGCTCTCTTTACGCTCTTCTTCTTCTTCCTCTTCCACGTCACGTACGTGCTCTTGATATTCTTCCCGTTCCATAGCACGCTGACGTGCTGCTTCTTGGTGTGCTTCTTCCTCTGCTTCCTCCTCTGCTTCCTCTTCATAATGTTCCTTTATTTCATGGACCGCCCAAGCGCCCAGGCCCGCGGCTGCAGCACCAGCTAAAGCTGCTCCACCATATTTCTACATCCAAGTTGCTCATTTAGCGAAGGGTCCGGTTTACTATCATCTCTTCCCTTGCTTACCATCCAATCGGGAATCTTCTTCTTTGGCTTTTCGGAAGGCATCTCCGCTTGCGGAGTATAAGGGCTGCCAGTGCCTACACTTGAGTCAGGGCTGGATTGGGGTGGCATGCCGTAAGGGTACGCTTGCTGAGGAGGGGAAAACTGGGGTGGAGCCCCTGTACCATAGTTGGCTGGCATGGGTTGTTCGGGTCCTAATGAAGCAAACGATCCTTGTCTGTCTAAAGGATACGGAGACCCATCGGCGCTACTGAATGAATGTTGCTTTTCAGGAGGATACATCGCAGGGCCACCATAGGGCGGTGGGGCGTGTTCATCCGAGGTGGCGTATGGGCCCTCCCGTGCTTGTGTATACGGTGACTAAGCCAATGGAGTAAGCCTTGATGGCTCGACTGACCAGCAGTGACCGAATATAACAATGTTCTTACCGACAATGCAAGTCTTACAAAGACTTGTCCTGCAAATTCACCGTTGGGGCCTCGGATTGGCACCCATTGTTCTGCCTGTTTTTCTTGAAAGACCTGATCGAGGGAGATCTTACCGCTACCCAAAACGCCGGGACGGGCTTCATGTTCATTGACAAGTTCGATGGTCAAATCATTGTGGCCTTCACTGACATTGCTACAAAAAAAAAACATTCAGGAACCTATCATCACAAAAATCAGACGATAAACTATTCACATACCACTGCAGCGTCTGGTTCCACTGAGGTTCCAGTCCTTCCCGGGATTGAGTGCGGTGCTTTTCGTTGGGAGAAACAAAGCATCCAAAGAATGTTCTAGCCTCTTGAATAATCATTGCATAAGCATACCGTCTATGGAGCAGTTCTATGCTCGAGTAAAGTACCTTGGAGTCCAAGTTCCGATAAGCCGTGAACAGCGACTGATGACGAACACCCATTAATCACCAGCGTAGATATGGGTATAAAAAATGCAAAGCTACGTACCTGCTGTGACCAAAAGTGTTCCGGAATTCATTATGCAAAATAAAGTATATGTTCTAGAGTTTTAAAAAGAAAGCGAGCAGGGTGTCTATTTATATAGTCGTGCTCAGTGCCAAGTGAAGATGACACAAGAATAAAATTGAAACGTGGCTCGTGGTTAAACTGGGAAATGCCCATTTCACTCGTCAAATACTCATCCGAGAACTCCGAACATCATCCACCAGCCATGGAAACCCAGATTGGGCAAGCTTCAGCCAACCATCTGGAAGGCTGATACAGCAGCGCAAAACATTTATCGATGTATGAGCAGCATGTACTCATAATAAATCATTGATGATGAAGAAGTTTGTACCCCTTCATCATTGTTTGTGGAAACGAGTTCTGGAATCGAGCGTAGATTAAGGTTAAAGGCACAGCAGCACAGAAATTAGGGTAGAAGAAATCCGGTTACATACCCGAGTACCCGTGCCTTCCAAAGACTAATGTGTACATGGTAATTACTGAGTTCCAGGAACCCAAATCCTTCGGTGAACGATTGTCATATGACCGAGAATTTTTTAATCCATGTTTAAATTCGATATCTTTTGTTATATGTCCGTGCAGGAAAAACGGCATCCCTCTCTCCGGTTGTACCACAAATAACAGTTGCCTTGATCACGTTTTCAACCCGGTGTATAAGCTTTTCAAATCCAACTCGGACAAAAAGCCGCTTCCATCAAATCTTTGGAATCAAAATGCCAAAAACAAAAAGCGAAATGGAAATTATAGTAAAAAGCTAATAGCCAGCGCTTGCCGACAAGCGATCGTAAAGACGTCAAGTGGTCTTGAGATTGATATTCTGGGATAATTTAAATTTTGGCACCTAGGTGAAAATGGCCAGCATACAGCTTCGACTCACGACACTCCTTGCTCTGTCCCCTTCTACTCTTTGGACCTTAAAACTTCTTTCTGATGTATAACGTTTCAACTGTCGCTGAAACGGAATACATATACTATCGCGTATTTAGAAAGCAACGCAATCAGTCTACTGGGCACTCCTTTTCCGGGCAAATTTTCCAGCATCATTTATACAGTAATAACTTAAAAAACTACTAGAACATATTCGTCAGTATCTGATTATTCCTGAACATGAAAAGAAGAGAGTCTCTGGGCGTTTCCAATGCAATGGCCAGCATTTGTCTTGTCGACCATCAAAGGGCGCCGGGGCCCTGATAAGTCAGCTTTGAAGCGTGCATAGTATTATGAACAATGTAATAGTGTATTCTTAGTAGGGCAAAATGATCTTTTTCAAAGGGATATGAGTTTGTTAATGTCCGCTTTATATTAGAAAAGCAGGAAAATGGGATGTCATACCCTCTGCTGCATCGCCTGTTTTTTGAAATAGTGGGGTTCCTTCGGTGTTGCAAAAAAGGACGGTTGATGAATTTCCTGCGAATTTATACAAATTAGGCAATATTCTCTTTGATTTTGGATGGTGATCTTTTTTGTTTCTTTTGAATCCCAAACAAAGGTTTTGGTAGTGAGCGAATGGCCTCATGTCATGGTGGGGCGTGTTCTGTTTCTAACCAATCGTTTCTAATTTTCAACAACCGTTAGGAACGGGTCAATCTTCTTTTTCCAATTTTGGAAATTGACATCATCATGCGCACAGATCGATCAACTCCAGGAAAAGAAAAAAAAAAGTGAAATAGAAGGATCAGCGCTGACAATTGATACCAATGTTTTATTAATTGATTATGCTTCGCAGGCTACGTACCCTTGTGACATCCGAAAGGGGTTCAACGGATGAAGTGGATACCCGGTTATCGCAAAGTATGCCGATAGTCCCTACGGTGGTTAGAGACAGTCAGACGTCCACGGAATCATCGGAGGGTCGTGATGACATTATCAAGTTACATGACGGTCATTGCTCGGCCCCCAATGTCCTGGAGTGGCATGGCGAAGAACAAGTGGAAAACCCGGCACCCTGTACTCCCGAAACCACAAGAGATACCTCCACCACGGCCTCTTCGACTTCGCAGCACTCCGCACCAGCCAATATGCAACCGCGAGCCCCGTTCCACATGCGATTTTATCAAGGTGGGGTACGAAAACGGCACAAGAAATTTGTCAAATGGCTGGGTCGGTGCGGCTTTATAGCCAAAGGCATTGTCTATGGCACCATTGGTGTACTGACATGTACCAATGTCACGGGGGCATGGACGCCGAATGGCAGCCAGCAGAATGAATCGCCTCAGGTACGGTGATCTCCTTCACACGGTGATTTCGATATTTCCGGGTCTACGGTGATGTTAACTCGTCTTACCTAGGGAGCATTTCTGTTACTAGGCGGCATTCCTACAATTGGACGATCCGTGCTGGTGGTCATGGCAATTGGTCTCATTACTTATATTATCTGGCGGTAAGTTGCACAGACTACTTGTGGGCGGCGGATCACTCATGGTTATCCTACAATAATAGTTTCTGGGAAGCGTTTACTGGACAAGGCAGCGATGCTTCATTTGGCAAGAAAAAAAACTTTTTTCGGTATCGGCTATCACCGTTTGTCAGTGGCTGCGTGTACTCGGCCTACACGTACTATGTGGTTATGATGATCTTTGAAACGTCTGCGGACCAGCAAAACCTGGCTTCAAGCAAAACGTTTCCTGCTTCTTGGACGGATTCAGCATTGGGAAAGGCCGGTATCAGTCTGCTGGGTATCGCATTTATTATTGCTTGTATCACGCAAATCATCAATGCCGTCACTGGCAGCTTTATCAATGATTTGAAAACGTCGGAGCCTAATGCTCGGCGGTGGGAAGCGATCATTGTGCACACCGCCGGGCGCATTGGGTTCGGAGCTCGTGCGGCCGTCTTTGGATCCATGTCCGGTTTCTTTTGGGACTCGCTAGCTCAACGCAACGAATCGGGACAACAGAACATGGTGGCAGCGGCGATCAACAAATTGGCGACTAACAAAGGCGGGAAATTTTTCATGATCATTATGGGCGTAGGCTTGGTTGACTACGCTTTATTCGCCATCTCCAATGCCTATTATAAATACTTCCCCACCCCACCACCGACCAGACGAGGTATCTATGAAAACGATGATCCAAACTCAGAACTGAATCGCACCATGTCCTTCATCTCGAATGAATTGTCGTTGGACAGCCACGAAAATGAAGACGAGGAGAAACACGACGACGAGAAAGCGTCACGGCATCCGAAACTGCACTCCTTCTTTCAAAAGTCCAAGCAGTCAACCGAATCTTGGTATCAAAAAATACGATCATGCTTTCGAAAACCCGAGCGTGCAACTGATCCTGAAAAACAGGACAGTTGATTCTATCCATATAAAATAATACATACCCCTTCAATATTATCCATGGAAAAAAAAAAGGAAAAAAAGGACAGCCTTTCTACCGATGCCGTATATAAATACCTAGTATTATGAACATATCTGTATAGTAATTTGTATCTCCTCATCTTAGATATATCAATAAGATCCACCATCGTTGTATCATATTGTTATACCATTTTGCATCCCTGATGTTGAAGGGCAGAATCGCCCAGGTGCGAAAAAGCGAGAGACCAAAGACGGAGTGTGAAAATTCTTTGAGGGATGAAAAAACAAGAAGGGGACGTGTCTTTTTTCCTGGTTGTCAGCCTTGAAATCAGTATGGAAGCCAACTTTGACGATCCTACGGATTTCCGTTTGGTGCAACTTCAGACCTTGGACGAAAATCTAAGGTGTCCGATCTGCAAAGAGTTATTCAAAACCACCATGATCCTGTCTACTTGTTCTCATTCTTTCTGTGCGCTGTGCATCCGTCGAAGTCTTTCCTCCGAGGCGTGCTGCCCAAAATGTCGCAAACCAGCTCACGAATCCAATCTACATAATAACTACGATCTAGATAATACCGTAAATACGTGGCGCTCGTCAAGGTAATACCAAAAAGTTTTCCAATATTCTCGAATCTTGCATTTTATTAATCGTTTCCGTTCGCGTCCTTTCGCAGGGAGCTGTTATTAGCTTTGGATCAACAACACAGTCATGCCAAGTCAACTCCCTTGTCATCTCCTGCGATCGTCACTTCCGTCTCCAATACAGAAATCACTAACGCACAAGCCAACGACACCAATGTATTTCAGTCCACCCCTCACCGACGGTCGTCACGTCTTGAAAAGAAGAAATCCTCCCTCTCACCCTCCGTTACAACCCCAGTCATTACTGCGCCACCAATAGAATATGTACCTTCTCCAACGGCATCAGCACCGGCTTCAGCTCAGCCGACGGCACCGATCCAGCCAACAGCATCGACTCATTCAATTCCAGCAAAACTGACAGGTACGAGTTTCTTGGATGCAAAAAAAAGGATGTTCAGGAACTGACATGGATTTATCGGATCATCATCATCGTAGAGGAATCATTGGTAACGTGTCCGATATGTCAGCAACGCATGAAAATGGCCGTATTGAATGTGCACTTGGATCGATGCATGCAAGGCGACAGCCGTATACCGCCCGATCCAAAACCATCCAGAGCGAGTCCTTCCTCCTTAACCCATCCGTCAGCGTCTTCAGCACCGTCCGTTTACTTTTCTTCCATGTCATCTTCTCATTCTTCACCGGTAAATTTGCAAAAGCCATTGCCACATCCCGCTCCATTTCAATACTTAATTTATACATTCTCCCCAGGTCTCAACTCCTTTTGCCCATTCAAGAACGTAAGTCCACTGTGATCCATACTGTACGATCTTACGCGCTAATCTCTTGTAATAATAGCATAAATCTAGGTAAAAAGCCTACCAAACTTGTCTATGACATGCAAAAGGAAAAGGATATGCGAAGAATACTCAAGGTAGGCTAATACAGTATTAACAAAGAAATAGAGATGGTTGATATTAATTAAAGATCAGGACCTGGGGTTACCGGATCATGGAGATAAACATCAGATGGTTTGGCGTCACAAAGAATACGTCATGTTATATAACGCCAATCGTGATTCCCCTCATCCAGTGGATATCGGTACGCTGATACGACAGCTAAACCAGGCCGAACTCGCGTACGTGCAATTACGGCAGTCTGGAGGCAAGCGGTCTACTCCTGTTATCGAAGAACACAGCGCCAAATACACTGATGACTACGCAAGGCTGATCGAAGAAGTACGACAACGGAAAAAACAAAGACAACAACTACAGTCCAAGTCAGACGAAGCAGCCAGTGCGGCTGCATCGGACATTCCAAATGACGCGGAAACGTAGAGAGGGCTGGACCCTTGGCCAGTCCAATGACAAGTCATGTCAGCGACTTGTGGCTGGTGTGAAAAAGGACCCACGTTTTGCATGGGCGAAAAACGCAAAAAAGCATCATAACTGTAATACAACGATTTCATACATCTTTTCGTCTCTCTTTACTGTACATATTTAACTTTGGTATCAGTTGACAACTAGTACTATAATCAATATACATTTCCTATATCACACTATATTTTCGACTATTTCGTTAGTTTCTTCGTTTGCGAAACAAATCGATGCATTGCGCGGTGGGTTGGTGACAAAATCCAGTGTGGGCTTCAGCAGCTAAGCGGGAACTCCAAGGCGTGGCCAAGGTCATGTAGCTGTAGCCTAATATTGCGTCAGAAAGCTTAGTGCTCCATTGAAGCTCTCCTGTTACTGCGTCAAGGCAGTACAGCCATCGTCCACAACCAATGTAAGCCAGGTGGCTCGTTGTGGGTTCAACAAGCGCGACTGGTAAATTAAATCCGCCACCCGGACAATCGTAGCGCCATAGTTCTTCCCCGGTCTCCATGTCAATGGCCATGCATTTGCCCCGTGCACAAGCAATAGCCACAGATGAGTTGGGTTTCTCCTTTTCATGATACTCTGGTGGCGCATCGGGGGCTTCTTCAGCGGCTGCTTTGGGAGACAGCACACGGGTCGGTGTACACAAAATGGATACTTCATCAATACCGAAACCCTAATATGGATCATTAATCTTGTGATCTGCAGTGATAGTTTTTGATGCAAGCAAAAAAAAATTGGCATCTAAAAGATATATACCGGCATATTGTTCTTCCACAGAGTAGCTCCCGTGAACAGATCCAGGCAAAAGGTGGTGCCATTGCCAGAGACTAGTAATTTATCTGTATCGGTGATAAACAGTGAGAGCACAGTGGCCACCAGGGTGCTTCGAATTTTAGCACTCCACAGCCGACTACCGTCTTCTTTACGAACGGCATACACGCTGCCGTGAGTTGCACATACAAGCACCTCGGAGCGATGGAATTCAGATGTGCCAAGATCCACATGAGATTCGTTATCCGAGCAACTGCCAAAGGCTTCCTTTTCTTTGTCACAAGAAAAAAGGTTCATTGATAGAGTATAATAATAAAAAAAATAGGGAGTTATAGCAAAGCTAGGAAATACAGATAATGAAGTCGGCTGTCGAGCGATTTTGGCTCTTCTTTTTATGGAAACGAACAGTGCTCAGCAAACAGTGCTCAGCAAAAAAGAAATTGCTACACAGCCACACCTCATGGAACAGAAAGTACAGAAGGGTTGCGGATCCCGTAAATTGCTGATACGAAATAAGAGCACACATGATATGTTTGATATTGATGGATCATTGAGATAAATGATACAAAAACAAAATATGAATTAGCCTATGTAGTGGATGATTCAGGATGACTATGAAGAAGCTGCACGCTGGCGAGCCAGATCCGCCGCCTGGGCTGTTGGTTGATTAGAGAATCCAGTGTGAGCTTCAGCGGCTAACCTGGAATTCCATGGGGTGGCAAGCGTCATATAGCCGTAACCAAGTTTGGTATTACAGATCTTGCTGGACCATTTGACCTCCCCCGTGGCGATGTCCAGGCAGTACACATATCGTCCGCACCCGACATACACCGCCTTGTCACCACTGTCGCCTGTTTCTATCAGTGCCACAGGAATGCTGTAGCCTCCACCAGGACAGTTGTATCGCCACAGTTCCTCGCCCGTCTCCAGATTCATCGCCATGCATTTTCCTCGAGCACACGCAATCGCCACCGATCTGCCTATATTCTGCTTTTCCTCATACGCCGGAAGATTGTCCGCATGATCGGCCGTGATAGGTTTTGGCGCCAGGATACGACTCGGTGTGCTCAAAATCGACACTTCTTCCAATCCAAATCCCTAGAATAAAAAAAGCTCAATACATAGTTCTTGGATCCACGATCATTCCAGTTTGACAAATCAGAGATACTAACAGACATTTTGTTTACCCACAAGGCGGTGCCGGTATACAGGTCAAGACACACCGTTCTTCCGCCCCCAGCGGCCAGTACCTTATCGGTGTCGGTCACGAACAAGGCGATAACGCTGGCAACGGCCGAGTTTCGAATTTTAGCACGCCACAGACGATGACCGTCTTCCTTACGAATTGCATAAACGTTGCCGTGGGTACCACACAGCAAGACATCGGACCGCTTGAAGTCGCTGGAATCAAGATGGACCTGCGATTCGCTGTCGGAATCATCGCCAAAGGCTTCCTTCTCCTTGGCTGATTTGAAAAAATTCATTATTGTAATAGAACGTCATTCAACCAGTTTGAAAGCGTGCCTGCGGTATTTATGGAATTGGAGGGCTGTCCGAAAAAGGTATCGGCCTTTTTTTTTTTTGCAACAAAATTTTGTACCACCATATTGGTTTTACGGATTCGTGGTTGCGTTGTAACATATCTTCTTTTATTTCCTGTGTCTTTTGTAGCTGATGTTTTGAGGCTTCTCACGAGCTGCCTGAAAGTGGCCGGTCCAACGGTAGCCGATTGAGAGCCTGTATATAAAAATGAGCATCCCACCATGTCTGTCAAAAAGTTGAACGAAATGTAAGAAGGCTGAGCATTGAAGAATTTCCATATCCAGAAATCAGGAACACGATCGAGTGAAAATTAGTGTTCAATTGTCGTTGTAATTTTAGCTTATAAATTCATACGATAGATCTCAATCTTTTCCTTCACTGTGAACAAGAAGACACGAAACGTCATGCGAAGGATTTACAGAAAAGGGATACGGTACATCAATCTAAGCTTTTGCAAACAACCCACAAAAGGAATGGATCAGAATCGAGAAAAGAAACATGATCCAGACTGTAATTGACCGAAAATGGTTGACTGACTAGATTAAGTTGTATCAAAGCATCTAATAGCAAAAATGAAGGAGAAAACCTCACGCGAAATTTAACCTGCAAAAAAAAGCATCAAATGCTGAGCATGTGGCATTTGGATGACAGACACAAAAAAAAAGGTTCATGCTGAGCAACGCTCAGCTGGAAAATATTTCTCTTGATCTCGTTCACTTTCAAGTTTATTACAAATGAGAGAGAATCCAGTCCTGATAGTAACGAATGACCTGATCGCGTTCAGGCAACTTTTCCTTGTGAGCTGTACGTGGGACGGAAGAACGAATTAATTGCGAACTACAACTTATCTGGCATACGCATGAAGCATACGAAAAGAAAGAAACTTACGTTCATGATATAAACCTGGCCATGTTTTTAATATCTTGTCTTGACTGGCACAAGTCTGATACACTTGCTTGGTGCTCTCGTACTTGTTAATGGGGTCCGCATCGCCATGTGAAAATAACACCGGCGTCGTGATAGATTTCGCACGATCAAAAAGATCTTGACCCGCATTCAAAAATCCTCTAACTAGCAAAAATCATTTCCAGGTTACAATCACCCAAACAATGAAACGGATGCGTACTGAATTATGACTTACTGGTGGCCAAAGTGGCATAATCATGGACCAAGGGATCATTCTTGAAAGCTTCCACTTGTTGCTCGTCGTGACTGATCCCTTTAGGATCCAAGCCAGCGGAAATGACAAAGTTTGGAAGAAAATTAGAGATGAACAATAGAGGATAGTACTTGATAGCCGGGAGTGGATGGGTTAAAGTGACCAACGGTGCCGAAGCAATGGCTCCTTTAACATACTGAACACCATCGTACTGATCTTTCCGACTAAGGTAATTGAGAAGGATACCTCCGCCCTTGATGCCTTATGTAAGAAATCACGTTGCATATTCGAGAGTATCGTTGAGTTGGCCACCTACCATGCTGTGACCCAGAATGAAAACTGGACCTTCTTTCTGTCGCAGTTTGTGGACTGCTTCATTGACGTCTTTGAGGGCCGTATCATATCTGTTGAAGAAGATACTTTTTTAATCGATGGATCGGGTATCTACAGGGCATGGGAGTAATGAATTTTACCCTTGATTGTCGCCATAGACTTTGGCTCGTTTGCCAGTTTCACCCCAACCACGCTGATCGTAGCCATAACATTGAATGCCGTGTGAAGCCAACACTTTACACATGTCGTCATAACGGTTGACATGCTCGCCAAAACCGTGAATCAAACTATCAATGAGAAAACAAAGTGAGAATGACAGCACTGTTTTTCAGTAACAGGCAAAAAAAAGGTACGAACAGAAGCTGGGCGACAGGAGTGGTGGTGGGTTTCCATGTCTTTGTGAATATATCTGTACCGTCGGACGTTTTAATCCATTCGTCTACTACGGTCACTTGAGGTTCAGTCATGATAATAAGGGTATTAAGAGAGTCGAAAAGAAAAGAGCAAGTAGAGCCTCACACCCGGATGATCAATAACGCCCTACTTTTTAGTGTGATTCTTCCTCACATTGTCACATGAAACGACATGTTCAAAGTCAGCCACTGTGAACCCTCCCAAATGCTTGACGACCACAAAAAAAGTCAGTTGCCTTTTTTATAAACTGATGGATCCCGAACAACGCCGGATTATTGAACAACGGTACATTGACTATAAACGATCCATCACCAAGATCGGTTTTGAAGCAGCTCATGTAAGCTAGTTCGGAGCTTCCCATTTGCCACCCTTTTGTTTATTGGTCTCGGTCTTGTTACTCTTCTAGGTACAATACGCGGATCTAGCCAAGAGCTTGCCCAGTGGTTGGCTGTTGTAAGTTGTTGTACCGGATTTTTGCCATATCCCAGCACGGTTCGTGTTAACCCATAGGTGGAACAGCGAACTTTTGCTCGAGTTCCATTGGATCCAATATACCGTCTTTACTTTCCATCGTCAACCGGATCTGGCGAACAAAACCATTCGCGGCCACGTACGACAATTAGCCAACGATGCATTTGTCATTGATGAATCGCAACAAGTCGCAGCCGCGTTGGACTGGTTCGATCGATTAGAAAATACAGCGCTCAATACGTTGGGTGAGCGTTACGGATCGCTGTCGGTAAGCGTTTTTTGTCACCAAGTGACACGAATGGAAGTGGTTTGACCAATATCGATAGAATGTCATTGAAGGCTTTGTTCACCTTTCCACGCGAACAAGTCTGATACGATGTCTTTGTCGATCGAACCCACTTGCATTTCCACAAGTAAGTGGGCCGTACCTGATTGTGATTTTGGGAAAAAAAAAAGAAACAGACAGAGATGGCCTAAAAAAGGGACCTTTTTTTTATTAGATTCTGAACTACTTACTGCAAAGCGCGCATCGTTTAAATTCGCGTTATCTGATACAATTAAGGTAACCACAAAATCCATGCAACACACCCTAATACGTATTTTTGCTTGGCTGACACCCAGTGTGCGAAGCGAAATGATTCATGTTATGATTGAAGAGGATCCCGGATATGCTGCCACTGTTCGGTTCAAGTTGATAGAGATGCAGTTGTTACCGGACCTGGTCACACGACTTACCGTTGTTTACTGTCAGGATGAGGTGCGTCTTTTTTTTTTCTTTGATCTCAAATGTGTAGAAATAAATGGTAAATGAATTTTTCTGATATGATGACGGGTAGGTCGATTTCCTCAATGGAATTTTTCATAGAAATTCCTTCTGGTTCATTGCGCAGTCGACCAACAGTGGACAACACCTGCTCAAGATTAAAACCAAGATCTTTGCTGAAATAGAAGCATGCTCGGTAAAGCAAAAATGCATACAGCCAACTTGCCCACCTACTCATTGCCCCTGATGATTTTGTCTCATGGTACTGTTCTCTTAATAGAGCACCCAACAACAAGTACAACTAGCCTCGGCGATCCGAGCTTTAACAGGCTTAGTGGGCTACTTTAGTATCAAGCTCACCGAGACCGAAGTATCTCGATGCCTAGGTATTTTACGTGAAACACAAACGGAAAGGCAAGTTTTGGATAAAGAAAAAAATAATCAGAAAAAAAAAACATTATGCATTCTGCTATGCACACTGTACTGTACATATTCATTCATTTGATGTGAGTAGACTAGTCAAGCTACTGCTGAGTCTCGTTCTCATTTCCGCCGAACAAATATTGAGGCGTCAGGTAAAAGAAAATACTGTTTGAGCCCTTTTCCCCCCAATGAATCACCTCTTAACGATTCTTAAATAGCAACGCGAGTTGACTATCGTGTTGAAAGATATTTTTAAATCGGGTGTATCGGATATGCCGTTGCTCTTGCTGGTGTATTTCCAAACCGATCAGATCCAGCAGATCGAAGACATGGTTCGATCCATACTTGGCATGCAGGTCCCCATTCGTAAGTTTGAATCAGATTTTTGTCATTGTGCAAAACTTACCAAAGACTCTTCGTCTTTTAGCAAAGTTGGGCCTCTTTGAGATGCAAAAACTGCTAAGGTCTTTGCAAAATACCGTATTATCATCCTAAAGCCATTCATCATTTCTGCATCCCACCATTTTTGGCTTAATTCCCTATAAAGAAAAGCAATCCCTTTATTTCATGACAGCAGCAGTGCGGCTTTTTCACAGTGCTTCACTGCTGTTTAGATTGGCGTGTCATCATTATTTTGTTCTCTTACTTGTCTTTCCCCCTTCTCCCCCAACTAACCAGCCAATAAAAAAGCGTGGTAATCTCCCCCTGTTTATTCACACAGCGTCTCCATGTTTTCATCTCACATCGCGTATAATCAACTGAATTTCCGTTATAGACGACTAAACAATGTAAACTGCAGAAATGTAACTGCTTCAGCAAAAATAAACAAAGCATCTTACCCTTTGAGAATAGGATATGTAAACTAGAAAAGAATGATCACTTCTTTCTTTTTTTTCTTTTTTCTTTATCACTCGCAAAAAGTTTGTCCTGTGCTTTAAAGTCTTTTCTAGTATTATTGCTTATTCCACTTTTTTCGGCCCGTAAAAACCATGACAAGTACCGTCCCACTCCTCAACGGTCAGCAATTACTGAAAGCTTCACACAATGTGATCCATGGCCAACGGTCCAATTGGTAAGTGGAGATACCGAATTCCAGCTTTCCCGTCGCAGTAGTCTCAATAAGCGCACAGGATTTTATTCAAGTACCGAACTACAAGCAAATCACAAACGGCTCTTCTGCCGGTGGCACAGGGAACTGAAGGAATCAGGTACATAAGATACTCGCACATCCAATATTATAGATTTGGTGGTTGAACGTTAGTGCCAAATAGATTATTACGAGACCGGCTGGCCATGAACGAAATTCAGTTTGCATTATTGCGCTTGGACCACCAGCTGTTGATGATCGCCTATATTCCTGACCATATGAGGTAGAGCTCCTAAATTTTTTTCTGCGTATTCTAGAGACGGATCAACTGATGATTTTCTTTACAGCAACGTGGCCAAAGGTATTTCCTACAAATAGTTAAAAGTAGCGTTGAAGGTAAGGTAATAACCATATGGCCCCATCCCGGCAGCACGCGGCAGCATTCAGGCTCAATCCTTGGCAAAGTTATTACTGGTAAAAAATCAAAGAAAACGAGCTTTGTATCGTGTATCCAAAATTGCTTATGCCCGTGTAATAATAGCCTGATAAAGAATATGTGATGATGGTTGTTCATCATTTCACAGACTTGTCCGATACCAAAATCCGCCAATATGTTCGTCGTCGCAGCCAGCCAATTTCGTCCGCTTCTGCGTCAATGACGGCAAGGTCGGCGCCAGCCTCCACCACACGACCGGCGGCATCAAAAAAGCAAGCGCCGTGCAAGGCGAGTAACCTACCTCGAATAAAATCCATCGTATCATCATCTACTACATCAGAGCTCCAATTTGACTTCGCTAACACCCCCACTCCCACTCCCATTCCCACTACCCCGCACTCGCCTCACTCGCCTCACTCACCGCAATCAATGGCTTCATCTCTAACAGCATCCACCTCATCAACATCAGTTTCTTCTCTCTCTACCCAAAAAAAGGTATTTACTTCAAGGTAGACGTTTTACTCTTTGCCCTTGCATTCCTTAACCGCCAATTCTATCTTCTAGCTTCCAGTTCTTTCAGGCTACTTAACAGTGCAGATGCGAGAAAGTCTGGTAAGTGTAGCTTGCAGCCAAGCACAATCTTTTTATTTATACATCTTTAACAGTATTGGAAACGGCGCTATTTCAAAATTGACGGATATACATTGTCGTTGTTCCACTTGAATACTCGGGTAAGTTGCCATAAAATCGATACCAAACAATGAACAAAAAGATGGTCTTACACATATGGAACAAAGGTTTGCCTGCAATCGCTGCCTTTGGAACACATTAAGTATTCGAGTGATATTGAAGAAGATGTGATTCGCCATTCGTTTGAAGTGGCTACACTGGACGGCGAGCGAGTGCTTGTGGCGTACGCTGATACTCAAGAAGTCGTGGAATCTATCCTCCGGCTGAAAAATTGAAAAAGACTTAGAGTATTTAATTTGGAGCAGACGAGTGCTCTTTCGTTCCTGATTGGCTAGAACTTCATCCCCGACCGTAGACCAAATAAAGTGTTTTGGGAAAAAAATGATAGAAAAAATGCATCTTTGATCCATTAAGGCTACTATCTCTTCTGTCGGTTCCATGTTACCCGCTAATTCGGATTCTTCCACCTCCAACCCATCCACACCCAATGCGGCTTCCTCACAAGCCTCCAAACCGCCGCAAAAGAAAAAGAAGGCAGCCAGAGCTTGTATTCATTGTCAGAAGGTATTTTAGAAGCTTCCCCACACTTCTGTCCAAACGTGACTCATAATAATAACTTATTGGCTAATGTCCTTAGGCTCATTTAACATGCGATGATTGTAAGTGTCTTCCTCCCAGCCACTCGTATAATCCCCCTCTATATTCTTTTGTCCAGCTACAACTTGACCGAACCCATTGTCCTGACCTCCTGTACCCTTGTCTATTTTTTTTTTTTTTAGCTCGTCCTTGTCAGCGATGCATCAAACGAGATCTCGCATCCACTTGTACCGACGGTGCGAGAAAAAAGGCAAAATATTTGCAGGACGCAGAAGGTGAGAAAAAAAAAAGGTTTTGTGAACATTTCCCGTGGTTACTTACATGCAGAGATGGGTCCTCGGTGTAGATGCACGGCAAGCGGCTTATACGACCCCGCCCTCCGCTCAGCCTACGTCGCTAAGTCCTTTTGGTAACACAGCAACGAGCGAAACTCCTTTAATAGATCCTCATTCTTTTATGAATTCAGCCGGTAAGCAAATCTGATGCGAAAAGAGTGGCCCAACCTAAGCGAAATATGATGACTGATGCGCTTTTTGTGATTAGATAATAATACCAACTTGATCGACACCAATAGACTGATGGGGTTGGAAAACTACAATTACGGATTTGGATCGTCTGCCACCAACTTGGAATATTCCATGCTGTCTAGTATGTTGGGATCTGAACGACCTTTCCAGTTGGATGCCACTTCCACAGCGGGGCCTTCGCCGGCAATAGCTGCGTCGACCCCACCTGCACCCACCATCTGGTCGTCGGCTCAAAATAGTACGCCACCTGCCATGACCGGACTCCCGGACCTGATGAACCATGGCGAAAAGACGACCGATCTGACCACTAACTCGACATTTCCCGGAATGAAAGACGCCCTGTTGTATTCATCACAGTCGGTGCCGCCTATTGCTTCTTCCACGCTTGGCACGTCCCATATGTCGTCCTCAGGCATTTCGACCATGTCGCCTTATGGGGATGGAGCTGTGGTCGCCAAGGTAGCAAGTCCTGTCTCCTCGACATCGGGAGCCGCCGTGAAACGCCGTAACCAGATCGTCACCCCCGATATGGCCTATGCAAGTGCCAAGAAACCCTTTAGTTACGCAGAAGGGTATCATTATCTGATCAACTATGTGCGAGAAAAGTAAGTGGGAATTGAGTTAGGAGGGTAGAGGGGAATCTGTGCATGCGGTTTACGGGATGCTGACTCGTCCTTTTTTTTTTTTTTTTTTTTTTTTTTTGCTAGAATGAGCCAAGAAGATCTGATGCGAATAAGCCGAGCGCTGGCGCTCTTTCGACCCTCTGTGTTGGCTTCAATGATGAATTTGACCGAGGATGATTTGATTTTTACTGAAAAGTGTCTGCAGCGCACGTTACTGGTAACATAAGGCGTGATTTTTTCATGGCTCTGAATCCCTTTTTATTTATCACTGCAAACATATCAGGAATACGAAAAGTTGATCAGTTACTCTGGTACGCCAACGGTAGTATGGCGACGAACGGGTGAGATTGCATTGGTCGGGAAGGAATTCTCGCTTCTCACGCAGTGGTCTCGCGACGCTCTGTTACAGAAAAAGACGTACATCTATGAGGTAAATTATTCAGCTATAGAGAAAGAAAACAAAACGCGGAAGACTAAAGAACGATGGCGGTTTTCCTTGTTAGTTGATGAGCAATCCTTCCGCCGTAGAGTATTGGGAAAAGTATGCGTTACACGCTTTTGATAATACCGATTCGGCGGTGTACAGTTCTTGTATTCTGCTTTCTCCGACGAAACGGGTGGTGCCATGCACTTTTTGTTTTACAATTAAGCGAGATATTTTTGATTTACCCAGTGTTATTGTGGGCAACGTAAGTGGCAAAGTATAGGTACGATGCATCTTACTTGACAGTGACTAATCCATCTATTTAACTCTAGTTCCTGCCCATTCTAAGCTAAAAGTGACCTACACTATTACTTTTCCCCCCATTTTATCATTTTATTCTACATTGTCATCTTGCATGCTTATTTTCCTGTCGTTCTTTTTTTTTTCCTTCCCTATTAATTTTTTTTCCCTTTTTTGTTGATTTCCACTGCTCACATCATATGTTTTTGTGCATTTGTTACTTTCCAAAATAATACTCAAAAAGTTTGTATCATTGACAATGTATTTTTCTGGTCCTTTCCTAACAAGCCGTACAAATACCTTTTCAAAAGTCTCTTATATCGACTCACGTTGATCATTCCTGCAAATTGGATACATTCATGCAGGACAGATTTTATCGTACTGTATGTTCTTGTAAATAGACAATGAACACCAATTATCCCAAAGTAAGGCACATGTAGCAAACACGAATAAGCGTGAAGAAAAAACATAAGTCAAGCTGCAAGTAGGCAAACGGAAATATTTCTACGGTATTTCCATTTTGAGGATAGTCGAGCCTTGCTCAGTTCTTTCTGATTTGACACAAGACAAATTTCAAAATAAAAATAGCATGGTTATATCGACAATCACTCAAGATGGTCAGATATACAAAATCAATTAACATATGAAGAAAATGATATTGTTTTGCAAGCGTCTTTCAATATTGTCTGCTAGTTACTGGACCAACATGCTCTGCGGTTGGTCAGTCTGTTCTTGTCCCGTGCAGAAATAGACAAGCTCTGTGCTTGACTCCAACACCGCGGCACAAGGTCTCTTTGGTAGCTGCTGCAGCATTTCGCCGATATGCAGAAAAAATTACTCCAACTTTATCCGAGGGTCATATAAACTCTTATAAAATTTCAATAGTGCACTGTATTTCCGCTTTGAATCACAACGTCAGTTATAATCCCTTTGCTAGGAGGACAATGCATTAGCTGAGAAGTGTAGATTCCAGTTAAATATGATGACAGGATTTGCGAGCAAGAGCACGCATACCAGCTGAAGAATAGGTTCTCGGCCTTCATTGCAATCGAGAGCCCTGGGTCATTGCGGCATTTGAATTTCTGACGTTTTTTTTTTCTTTTTTTTTTTTGTAGCGGCGTCTTCCTTCCGGGCAGGTGACCACCTCGGTTTTCGGAATCCAATGTATAGAAACGTTCGATCAACCGACATAATGAATTGAAGTGCGCCTTTTTTTAAAAAAAAATATTATATCCACAAAGCTTCTGCCAACTATTTCATTTTTCGCAATTCTTCGTTTCATGAAATGTATGAAGTCATAGTGCTTGTTTCGACGCACGGACCTTCTCACCTGAAATAGAAAACGGGTTTGTTGTTATGCGACGTTGTTAACATCATCGTTGGAGAAGAAGCCAAAGACTAGATTGACTGAGAGTGAGATAGAGCTGCTTTTCTGATCAATTTTCATTTTTTATGAAATAAACATGATCATGCAATGAGTTTCCTCGACAAATCAAAGCAAAATGACAGATACGCTCGGAGATTCATCGAATCATTTTTTCATGTTTTAACTTGCCATCATCATGACAGTATGACGTGAGCACTATGTAACATACAAATGGGGCGCCTATATAATGATGCATGGGTTTTTTTATCCAACTCCCAAATATCACATCTTTTGTCCAAATACCTTCAATTATTTGTGTGTACCATGTTGACTGATACGCCTACTTTTTCGCATCCTACCATTGCTCCTCGTGGATTTCAAGATCCCGTGTTACATAAAGAATCCCAGAAAATGCCCACCGTGACATCCCACGGTCCTCCTTCCCCTCCCGCTTCCATTAACAAAGACAATAATGATACCTCGTTGAATGATTCAAGTGTTGTTCAAAAAGGCGTTGACGATCTCGTCCAAAACCCAACCGCCTGCCCAGTCGACCACATTATTCCCCAGTTTCACAACAATACAAACGAACACCACCGCCCTTCCGATCGCTCCGGTTCCAATTCTTTAAAACAAGACATTCGTGGTAAGTTGGGAATCTTTCAAATGATATCAATTGCGAAAAATAAATAACCATCCCTGCGATTTTCATTAGAGGCCTGCGAAAAAGCGGTCAATGAGTTAATGGATCATCATGATCGTGAACACAGTAACGAATCGCCTCGGGATGACGTGGCGCCGGCAATGAACAAATTGCTGGAGGCCGACCGTAAAGCAAAGTCATTGCTTCTTCCTGTTGCAGCCAGCAATGTCAACCAGGATGACCATGCTCTGACCAAACCCGAGAACAATCAAGTGGTGCCTAAAGAAGACAACGACATGGCTTTAGTGAAAAAGGAAGACCAACAAGTGGTCCCCAAAGAAGACAACGACATGGCTTTAATGAAGCAAGAGAACCATCAGGTGGTCCCAAAAAATGACAAGAGCAACCTTCCCATTTTGAAGACTGAAGACCATCGCGTCGTACCAAAAGACGCTTCTCCGCCTGTCCTCTACAGCATTCCAACCAACGATTTGCCTTCGATGAACAAGGAGCCTCACAGACCCAAAATCACCGAGATGCTTTCCTCCACCTTCTCTTCCTCTGCACCCATGGCGAATGAATTCCCCAAGAGCTCCCCCTTGAGAGACCGATTTTACCGCACTATCTACTGGGAAAAACCTCTCTACTCACTCCTGGCACTGGGTCTTTCCTTGGGTGGCGCCTACCTCTTGTGTACGCCTCGTGTCATGCTTGGCGCGCTTGTCTGGACAATGACCGTGACCTGGACAGTGACTGTCAGCACCCATTTGATGCGCATCATGCTTGACAAACCTCAGTTGGGCCATCCCTTCAGCAAATGGTTGGATCGTACTTCGTCTTTTGAAACCTCCGGCAGCAAGAACTTGGTGCAATCGACAGTGCGTTCATTCTTGAATGAGTTGGAAGACGTGGTCCGCATCCGTGACACTGAAACCAGCTTGATTTGGATGGCGGGTTCCGTCATTGTGTGGAATATGAGTGGCCACATTTCCCTCCGTACCATGTTGTTTGTCGCCATCTTTTTCCTTTTTTCGGTACCCAAAGTGATGCATACATCCGGCGCCAAAGCCAGACTCCATGCTTCCTTGCAATCATCATAGTTACCCATTCTAAAAAAAATCCCAAACCCTGACTGGATACTCTCGTAATTCATCACTGCAGACATGATAATAAAAAGAACCTTAATTTTGTTTATTTCCAAATCTAAAGTTTCTCCAAAAAGCAAAAAACCGAACGCTTCCGAGTGAAGACAGTACGGAGTTCTTCACACCAAAGATTGTCATAGCATCATTCTGCCTCACCGGAGCACCACCGCAAACAGCTTGGTCGGCAGTCGTGTCGATGTTTTTACTTAATATTCCTGCTGTTTGACTGTCATTCAATCAGAAACGAACATCATGGAAAAATCAAGGGCATAGTAACCTAGCGAAGAACGGATTGCACCAAACGTTTCAAATAAGTCGAAAGTCTTTTGTTCGAACGTCTTTATTGATTATTTGTATTGCTAGTTCGATGCACGTCAACTTCAAGCACTGGGTATAACCGGGCACAAATCCGGCTTCGCATGTCACATTATATAGCTAACTGAAAGTTCTTCGCCAACATAATAACAGACCGTAGGCAAAATAGCACCAAGGTCGGTCGGGTTTTTCTTGATGGTTAACTGTGTTACGCAACAAAAGCAAACCTTCTTGATCACGGTTTCAATTGCAAGTTCCTTATGGTCATGGACAACTGTGGCCTGATGACAATTCGGCAACCCGAATAATCCTCCATTATTGGCGTTCGATATCCGGGTCTCACGATTGTGGGTAGCTTCGAATTTCGGCAACGTGGTTTCCCAATAGGCGCTGATCTCTTGATGCTTCGTCAGTTCATTATTTTGTACATGTAACTATGTGAAGCGAAAATGCGGGTGTTCCATTTGCGTGGCATATTCAGGGGGTGGTACGCGTCTTAGGACGGAAAATCTGTGTCTCCAGTATCACATCATAATATTGAGCTGCTATCATGTTTTGCAGCGTGGTCCTTTGAAAAGTCACTTTTTAGACAAAACTTTTTATATAAATTATATATACAGAAAATTTGGGAATTTAAAGCCTACATATACAACCTACAGGTGAGTTGATGTTGCGTGATTGTATGAAAGTTAAAACCAATTCATTTTAATGCTAGAGGAGCCAAAGCATGAGCTTTTTTTTCCAGCCTACTGCCAACGTGACATTCTTTGCATGAATTCTCGCAAAGACAAGTTTTCTTTTTTCCTTGTTTAGGCGTAAGCGGAGCGGCGAGTTAGTTTACGTTCGGGTGAGACATATGTGGAAGGATTGTTGTCAACTGAAAGTCTGCGTTCTTGCTGCGGGCGAGTGTGGTACGATGGGGAGTGCCAACGGATATTGAGAACACTGGGAGGCTGGGAATCTTTCATATGATAATAACTGGGAGGACACGTGAATTGGTCCTTGTCCACTTGGATAGTTGGCTCTTGTTGTTGTTGTTGTTGCTGTTGTTGCTGTTGTTGTTGTGATGATGGTGGTGATAATGATGGCTGCGGCTGTTTCAAACTAAGGTTACTCAGGAGACGGGCAACCTTATTTTGCTCCTTTTTGAACATCGTGGAAGCGGATCGCGACAGACGATCGCTGACCATCGACGACGACACGCTGGGCGTAGGCACCGGCGATTCCAATGGGCTGGTATTGGGAGTATTACCGGCACTTTTCATTTGTCGCTCGTGATGTTGCATGATTATTTGCTTTTGCGATCGTCGTGCATCCTTTTCCAGCATTAATCTTAATCGTTGTTCGTTGTCACGTTCTGTTTTTAACCGTTTTTGTTGTTCCTTTTTGCTGATGGGTTTCTGATTCCTATTACATCCATCTTGTGCACCCGGTTCCTGAGACGTCAAAAGAAGCTCGTTTTCCACATTGCCAATAGAATCGCGTTTCCAGCCCCCATCGTCCGACTTATCCAGGAATGTCAACAACGAGATCACTAGTAATAACGAAAGTCCCCGAGGGTAATCCACATTGCACCGGTTGACGTTGTAATTTAGAATGGAAAGAAACCCAAAATATTCATTCTTCAGTCCGCGAGGTAAGTATTGTGCAACACAAATATCACCGCCTAAACAACGGGAAAAAAAAGACCACACCATCAGAAAAACAGCAACAACAAACAAACTAAAAATCCACGGCCGGAATGACCATCCAGTTTGGAGGGTCCCTGTTCCAATGGCACTCTTCATTTCCCAATATTGCGCAGCAAGATAGCCTTACCTATAGGACGAATTGCTCGGCATTCCAATGTTTGGCTTAGCCGACTCTCACGAACCCTAACAAGACCGAAAAAAGACACATGTACAACGTTAACCATGACTGAATTTCTTTTTCCATTTGGCTATTCTTGCTTGTGCATTTTTTAATTCCCTTACCAGCGGTAATTCTGGCCTTCCCATTCAAAGCACCATTCAAATCCAATACGAGACGTATCTCGAAGACACACTTCGTATCTCTTTTCTCCGTGCAGTAAAATCGGCTTGATTTTGTCCGCCGCACTTTTCACTTGCGTCTCAGCCCACACGTCAAAGGTCTCTAAAGTAGGTCGTTTCTTTAGTCTCCAGACGGTATGAATGATACCATGTTCCCGTGCCCAAACATCCAACAAATGGATCGGGGTCCTTTTTCCATAATATGCATTGAATGATGCCATTACCTGGATCCACAATACTCACGGCATAAAAATTCGACAGCCGATGTCTGATCTTGATAAAACTTAATTCCCCCGTGCGCTTATTTTTGATATCAATAATGGCCCGGTTACGAGGATGACTCGAGAGAACATATTGAGTCACAGCATCGTGAATGTCCAACGAAATCATCATTGTTGTGGATAGATAATTTTTCAATAAAAATCAAGAGAATGAAAAGAAAAGGGGAACGAACCAACTGAAAAAAAAGGGACCAATAAGAGAAATCGTACTTTGTAGCTCACTGCTCAGCTTTTCTTCCTTGTTGTTTTTGGTTATGCAATAAAAAGGGTAGTTCAAAAATGACGCAAAGGATAAAAGGAAGGAAGAAAAAAGAAAAATTGACAGATTTAAGCCATGAAAATTCTGCTTTATGTTTTTAGCGAAAGACGGGTCCCGTGTTCGCTTTGGTGATATGTCATTGCTCAAAAAAAGCCAAGAGATATTTTTTTTTTTGTGTCCACGGCAACACAATCGCTGATTCAACTGAATATGGAAATGTTCGGTTTTATGATAATGTTCAAGAACCCAAAAAGTAAAAAAAAACAAAGATGTCTAGTGTACATAGTAACGGGGCTCGTTAAAGACGTGGTAACGATGACCACGCACGCCTTGACCTCGGAACATCGAAGGATAACGAAGCGCAGGATCGATTTGCGATTCATCCAACCGTTCGTACGACGCTTTCCAGAATTTTTGGGGGTCTTGAACAACTTGGAACTTGCCCGTTTGAATTTCAGTATCCGTGATTTTGCCGTGACTCACTCTCGCATAGCCCACACGACGCAAACCACGGTAACCAATGTACTGGCACCAACGGTCCCAATCGGAAGGGTCAATATCGTTCATATCGCCACCATCGAATAACAGATAGTAAAGAGGCTGCTGGGGTTTCGTCACCACATAACCCAGGAACACAAATGGGTTAGGGCTCGTGCTCATAATGCGCGCAAGCTCAGTTGTCTGCAGGCGTCTGTCCTCGGGGTCTTCCTCTTGACCGTTGTGACTCACAATAAAGTCCACAGGTTGTCCATACACGTCCAGGGTAGCGTGAATCGCGCAAGCAAGTTCACCCACGGGTGAAGGCAACAGATGGTGCGACGACTTGATAATGGGGAACTTGGAAAGCAGTAAACAGCCCCAAGTATGCTTCATCGTCGATGGACCCTATTCCGATACAACGTCTCTTTAGCATGCGCCACTCATTTGTCTCATCGGCCGCGTTATTTTATCAGCTGATGCCCACTTACATAGTCGAGGTAGTAACCTAAATCTTCGGCAATGTACTGAGCCCAGTCACGATTGCCCATGATGATTCTCTGTGTGTCGGATTCCAATAAACCTAAACCAGCCATGTCAGCAACCTGGATATTTTTTTTTCGCATTGTCTTTAGATATATGCTTACCGACAACATCCAATTCGAGATCACGAATGGCATCGCGCATACGCATTTCGCTGGCCCACATATCGTCATCCAAGGCGAAATGGATAGTCCAGATACCGGCCGTGAACGACTGGTGAGAGGAAGTAAAGGGTGCGGGAACCAGGGCCGAAACGGATCGCTTGGTGGCAACAAGAGCCGAGGCAGCAATGGCACCAAGAGCGAACAGTCGAGTGAATTGACGAGTTGTCTTGAGAAAGTGGAACTGGGCCATCTTTTTACCCAAAGCATCTTGAATCACTTGCTTGCGGGCGTTGTGGATACCACATCCAATCAGGAACATCATGGAACCCAATACCCAGTTGGTACGTTCACGTGCATACACACCACCCGGCACAAAAGCATAGGCAACCACCCACACGTGAGCAAGACACAATACGTTGTAGATCATAAAGGTCGTTAATAATGTCTTGAATGGTGGATGAATCGTGATGGATCGAGCCAATACGGGCATCACCGACATCATATACGTGCCAAGCACCAAACCACCGTAGAACGCGGTCCAACCGTCGAACGCGTAGAAAATCACACAATTCGCGCAACCGATCGCATACCATGCGGGATTGGTCGTCAATCGACGATTGTTGGAAAGAATAAGACCGAAAACCAGGGCCGCCACCGTTGCCACACCCCACGGTACAGGTGAAGGACCGTAATTCGGATAGCCGGCGACTGACCAACGCATAATGGCCGAGGAATCACTGTACATCGAATGTAAAGCAAACAGGATCGAACCGAAACCGGCCGACGCCATCAACCAGCTGCTGTCCTTCTTGGCCACCACCGAACCCGAAGACGATAAACCATCGATACCCTCATTGTTGGAGGTCATAACATCACGCAACAGCACGTCCAAGGAAGCAATGATACCGAGTGCGATGCCGGCTTCATTCATACCACCGTTGGCTTTGTGCATAATAGGCCAAATCGGGTTTTCTGTCCACCAGGCCATTTTGACGACATTATGCATAATCAATCCCAGACCCCAGATTAAAATCGATCGTTCCAAACGAGCGCCCTGGTTCTGCATTTCCAACCACGTGCTCATCCAGGTGGTAAGACTAATGGCTAAGCCAGTGGCGGTCAATGTCAATCGCATGGCGGGATCAACCCACAGATACGAGGCTACACCAATGAGAGAAGCCACATGGAAAAGGCCACGATACTTGGCCATCAAGCGGCGTAGCGGACGAATACCAAGCACCATGGGTGCCACCGTAATCAACAAAAACGCCTCGTAGCCAGAAATGCCCATGTGCCACAGAGGAAAATACCTAAACAAAAAGCATCTACCTGTCAAAATCCAGCCACTCCTCGCTTGGTTGATGCTCGTGTGGTATTTACCAAATAAGAAGCGCCAAGGATGTCAACATGGACCAAAAGACAAAGGCTGTTGATACGAAATAAAACAAAAATTGCATATTAGAGATTCCATCCAATGCTACGATGAATTTATGCCACTTACCCAAATAAATCTCAGTAACGAATCCGCGAGCACTGGCGAGTGTACGCAAGAAGCTGGGCGAGATACGATCTTCGGCACTACGCAGAAAGGGTCAGACACGTGATGCTGAAAAAATAACCAGCTAATGTTTATCTTACCTTGTATTGATAGCTGATCTGTGAGAGTAAACAGCATGCAATTGAAGAAAATTGTCGATGGAGCAAAAAGTGTGAAATATAAAAAAAGAGGATAAAAAAGCACAATTTTCAGTCACTGATCTGAACCACGTCTCCAGTGTATTTCATCAAATAGACTGTCTTCACTTTTCACTTTTTCGTCGTTTTCTTTCTTCCCCCCTTAAGTCAAGCACTCAAGAAACAAAATATGTTCTCTGTCTTTTCTTTTCCCATTCTATCTTTCCAATTGATGTCCCCCTTCGCTATCTCTTCGATTTAGACATTAGATAATAATGCGTACCCTTCTTTTGACATAGCAATGGGGGCACCTTGAGCTCCGGAACGATCGACAATGGAGAATTCAAATGTTTGGAAATCAATGGCTGTCACTGCATCGAAAGCGACGTCGTACAAAATAAGTGACCATTCAAAGAACGCATAAGTGGTATAAGCTACGTAATAGACACAAAAAACCAAGTCAACCTCCCGTATTTGTCGTGTCTGGGATCTTTGTCAATTGTTCGATGTTCTTACCTCCGGGGATTTTGTGGACCTTGTGCTGCAGGAAAAAGTAAATCATGGGTGGTAAACTCGTGAAGAAGGCGATGGTGAACAGGCGACGCCATTTTAGGGCCGCGGCATTCTTGCTGCTGGTGTACAAGACACCGAGCTGCCAGGGAAGAGTGCATACGAGATACAAGATCATGGCAATATCGTGGGTAAGATGATCATCGGTCGAGGTGATATACACCCAACCACCGCAAGCGACGGTGCGGATCACACCCACGGTCAATAAAAAGGTACCAAAACCGCGAGAAGAGGTACCGACGGAATACACCGTGTAGAGATACCATAAAAACACAAGAGCAAATCGAGGACCGGACGTCAATGCGATGAAAATTTGGAATATCGCGCGCGCAGGATATCGATCACCCGTTGTGGCGCTCACACTGGGAAACCATTCCTACATCAATTTCGTCCAAGAAGAAATAGAAAGGAGCGGACCATCAATGAGCTGCGCATTGGGAAAAGTCATGCCACAGACAGACAAAAAAGTGAGACTTACATCGGGATAACCGTAGTATTCATTCTGCACAATTTTTTCATAGTGAGTGTAACAGCCGACCAACAAAGCAATGAAGAATGCGCCTATGCATCGGTTCTCGTTAGCCTGTAACCTTTATACTTCTGAAAGTGTGACTTACTGTAGGCAAACACTGTATGCGAGTAGGAGACATACTTGGCCGCAATCTAGACGTTCATCTGTTGAGCAAAAAGATGGGTGCATTTGCCAACGACATGGGTCCATCGAATTCCACCAGGAACCCAGCCTATAGGACATGACAGCTCACCTTCGTCAGTGTAACCGGTTGAGGCGGTGAACCAGCTGAAAAGGATGCAGACTTTTCAGCCATGGTAATAAAACTCGCGTGTAGCACACCGTTGAAGAAAGGAAGAGGAAAGAAGAAAAAGGAAAGCCGTTGGACCAAAAAAGAAAGAAAAAAAAAAAGAGGATAAGCAACACACCCTTTCACATTCATTTTAGAGTTTGGAACCCCGATGATGACCTGCCGCAAGTTTTGCCGTTTCCGCCAAATGTCACACCCTTACTTTGTTTCACTCAACTCTTGTCATCCGTGATGAGCCGCCGTCTGTATTCTCAAATTACAAACGACGCATCCGATACCGAGGAGAATGGTCGATCGGCTATTCCTATTGCCAAAAAAAAGGCCCAATTAGTGAATGGCATACCTTTAACCGGTGAAGATTACTTGCTGACAGTGCGGTAGGACAACACCCCGCTTTGAACACTTGATCGATCGTTTTTGATCCCATAGATGGACTAACAGAGGAATTAAAATACAAAGGAAACAAGCAAATGCATGCCCTCAAGTCGTTGTCGCGTCCGCACCGGCGGTGCAAAAAGCAGTACAGTTACCGGCACGCTATCAGCTCGCCATGGCCGCTTTCGACATGGCGACGTCGACCTTGGCACCTGCAGAAGCATGGCGGACGTCCTTTGGAAAATCGTTTAAAACTTACCGAGAAGTAAGGACTTGCATGGATTTATATGAGGGTGATGGCCGTGTATTCATGGACCCATGTAGCACAAACAAAAGAATAAGAAGAAGTCGGGCCGATCTGTCATGCACGGCAATGATAAAAAAGGATGGTATCAGCTCTGCTACGGTCATTCGACGGAGGAACCATTTGACAAGTCAAAACTTGATATTGTCGCTGATCTACCTCAGGTAAAAAAGAAGAAAGGCGTTTTGTTGTGTATGATTGTTCGCATGTATTGATCTACTGTGTAGCGCACCATTCTGTCCTTGCTCAATTATCATATTCAATGGGTGAAAGAAGTGACCACCACAGAGGTATGACTTGTTCTTTCTACAGCGAATATTTTAACGCTGATCTCCCGTTCCTCTTATCCAGTCATTGTGGCTTTTTGCATTATTGCTCTACCTTGATCCAGTGCTCACGTACAACGATGTATCTACTCTCAGAGATCTTGCACGACATTTGATTGCGCTTCGACAGCAAAAAAAAGAACATGACGACGCCGTTGCACGTATGAATATACTCATCACTATTATCGGTCAAGGCTTTGGCCAGGCCGACCTCATCTAAGACAGAACTTTCTTCTATTCCACATCCTTTTATAACCTTTGATTTTTCTTTTTTAGCCCTCTTCATGAATCCTTTACTATTCTGATGAAGGCCCAAACAACATTGAATCCTATGTAAACCATTCGTAGGTGTCTCTTTCTGTCCAGAATCATTTTGTTTTTTGCTTTCTGCCCCCTTTTTTTCCTCTACAGCACTTGGCTGGATCCAATAGCTAACTTGCCATTGCGTTTGCACAAAACAATACCATAAAAAATGTTCATGTGTACAATACAGTTAATATCCTGTGAATGCTCTAAACCCTCCCTCAAAGCTATGTTACAAATCAGAATTCAAATTCATTTCTAAATTGATTGATATCTGCGCCTGGTATCGCTTTATCCGCCAAATCTCGTCGATTCTACCAAAAACAAAACATGCGTGTTAGCAGGGAAGCTAGATTTTTCAAATTGGTCAAATTTGAATACCACGTACCATCATCATGAACGTCTTCCGCAGCATTTCCCATAAATTGCTCGATACATTGACTCCTTCCTCTGCATTTTCCAGTCCTCGCTTGTGCATGGATAAACCCGTGAGCAGATGCTCAGCAGCTTCACGATGGCAGCCAATGTTGATACAGCTCACCCCCAGATTATATCGTGCACGGACAAAAGATGGACACAGTTCCAAGGCCTTGTGATATGCATCGATCGCATCCTCAGATCGTCCGTTGTTCGCCAGGGTGGCCCCCAACCGATTCCACAGCAAAAAATCCTACAGTAAGACTATTTTAGCCATGTCTGAAAGGCCCCACCCTCTTTTTCCTTGGCTACTCACGTTGGGTCGTCCTTTGAGGGCAGAGGCGAAGCAATCAATGGCCTTGTCAAGTTCGCCGCCACCGTAGAACAGGACTCCTAATCCGACCTGCACGTCGGGGTCCATGAGTTGGCCTTCCGGTGCTTGCCGTGCGGCGGTTAGAAACATTTCGGTGACGCGATCGTGAAGCTCAAAGGGAGTGGCGGTCGATGAGGCCGATTGAGTTTTGGCCAAAGAAGGGTATTTTTCGGTAATCCATCGTTCCAAAGTTTGATAAGCGGCCTGGTCATACGATTCATTTGTGTAACTGACGGCGAGCGACATGAGCGCCGTCAAATTCCCAGGGTCCAAGCTGACAGCTTTTTCCAGCGCACGAATGGCCGGTTCTTCTTTTTCGTTTTGCGCTTGGATATTGCCAAGGTGCATCCACGCTTCAGCATTATTTGGGTCTTTTTGCACCGTTGCTTCCAGGGCCAGGGCGATCTCGTTGAGACTACCATTCTGTTCCATCATGGCCAATCCTTCCGCATACGAATTCGCACGTTCCAAGTACGGATTATCAATTTCAAACACGTAATCGCCCAAATCGGGTTTATAGGTGGGATTCGTGTTCACAAATTGGCCAAATTCGTCCTCCCAATTATCCGTGTCTTCGGTCCCGCCGCCACCCATTTGATCCCGAATGTCTTGCCATATCGATTCAAACTGCTCAAATGCTAATGGATCCTGCGATGCCGCCGCTTCTTCCACCTTTTTCGCAATATCTTCCTCGGTTTCCTCTTTGGCTTCGTGTGCGGCAAATTGCTCCTCCCAGCTTGCATTGAGATCCACCGCCGCACTCTTGCCTTTTCCTTTATCTTGATACAGATCAAACTCATTCGCCCAATCGAAGTATTTCTGGAAAGCGTTCTCAAATTCAGTCAATTGTCTCGGATCCATATTTGCTACTTCCGGATGGTTCATAAACTCGTCATGCCAAGCTACCAACCGATCGCCACATCAGCTTGCCACGATATTTGAAATGATCCCATTTTTTCTGTAGTTTACCGTGCACATTCTGGGTAGACCCTGCGGCCATCCTGCTTTCCTGAAATACTTTTTCCATCGCTGCTTCTTCTTCAGGCGAGATTTCCCACAGCCTGGCCCCGCCTTGCTGGTGCATGGTATCAAACTCATTCGTCCAACTGCCGGCTGTCCCATGAGCTGGAGGGTGATGTCGTAAAGCGTCTAATTCGTGATGCAATTCCGAGAATTCAAACGGGGTTCCCAGAGAACCAGCGGTGTCGGGTCTTCCCATGGGTCGCTGTTCCTGTCCGAAAAACTCATTCACCAAGGCATGATCTCTGCCTGCCATTGGACCTCGCTGCTCCGTTCGAATCTGGATCACTCAATCGATGAGTACAATCGGTAGCATCCATTGAAACATGATACGCTAGTTTTTACCGATTGCGTGCTTGCCGAACCTTGTTCTGGTGAGCCAAACCGATCCTTTTAGAAACGAGAAGAGGTCAGCCCAATAATATAATCCAAGATCCATGCCATCCTGCATATCCTTGTTCTTGTGTACCCACTCTTTGAAGTGATCGATCTTGATTAAATTGTTTTAACATTTGGGCCATTGGATTAGCTCCCGAGGAGCACTCGGCCCCACTGAGCATGTTGGCAAAGGACATGATGATTTGGTAAGCAAAAAGCGAGAAAAAAAAAAGGAAAGAAAAGCGGAGATCGTACAAATCGCTGTAGTCAGCTTGGTTAAATATTTCACACCCCGATTTCCCTTGGCCCGTGGCTGCCACTTTCACGTGCATGAAAAATACAAAAAGGCATGTCCCACCCAACCTGGCATTGCGGCAAAAACGGATTTTTTGCCCTCCGCAGTCGATCCATGAAAAGCAGCCAGACGGTACGCCACGGTGAGCTTCATCCAGGGCACCCTATGAAACTCATCATGTCACTCATTTACATGACGCACGGTCTCACCCACGTCTAGATATCGTCAATCTATTGTGCGATTTCCGTAAATGTCTACACGAAATTACATGCAGATCGGTTCGGTTCAACGATAAATTAACATTGGATCAATATGACAAATTATAGTCCAAGTATGGATTCACCAAATTCTGTATCGTCGGCAACTTTATCCCCATGGTATTGAAACAGAAAAAAAAAAAAGATAAAACAAAAGACAAAGTGCCGTTGTCTGGACGCTGATCCATTGTTAGGAATATTTGTGCTGCGGAAAAAGTACAGTGTCCCCGTATACATGTCCAATAACCCAGAGGTCAACCAATATATTGCCCAATTTGTACTTACATTGCGGCCGATGCTGGAAAAGGTAGGTTGGGTAACTGGGTCAAGGGATTGATGCCTTGTTTATTGACGTGTGAACAAACTAGGGGGATTGTAAATCTGTATCTGTGGTGGTCACTACCGCGACTCAAAGACCGCTGGAACGGTTTGTCCTGGAAATTGATTCCATCATACGCACGCTTGACGTCCCGCTGGATAAACTGCTGGCCAGGTACAAAGCTGTCCTACTCGACGTTTATGCAACATCTAAATTTACCAACGACGGTGTAGTGAAGCCACGGAACCGTTGGCTGATTTTGAGCAGTATCTGAGAGCGTGCCTTTTAAAGATGGCAGCCTGTGATACCATACTGCAGCGTAATCCCCCTCACTGTCGTTTCTGGTTTTCGATTGAAATGACAGATGAAGGTCCACCCAGTGGTCAAGGAACGGTAAGATGAACCTCGGGTGACTTGAGAATGCAGCAACGATACCTAATACCCCATCTAGGGGCCCGATGTGGATTGGATACCCGCCGAACCCGACGTGTCATCCGATGCCTTTGCTTGGGCAAATTTGATACCACTCAAAACCATTCCCATGGATTTGTTCAAGGTATTTTTTGTTTTTGTTACCCCGTTCTGAGGATTACCACGTTATTCATGCTATAATGTTATTCCAAATAGATCAATACATACGTTTTAGAAGCTTCTAAAAAAGGGAAGCAAGCAGCGTTAGACTAGAAACCATAAAACTTATTAATTAGGAAACCTTGTTTAACCCCACAATGTCACTACCGGATATTGACGATTCTTTTATCTGGGCTACGCATCATGCTGGCACCAGTAGCCTGAAATTAAGAAAAAATTAACTTTTTGAGTTTTTGTGACAAAAAAACGTGGTTGAAGAGCCTTCAACCATATTCGATTCAGTAACGAATACAGCCAATGCCTGATCTTTACATGCATTAAATACCCGCTTCCTACACAATGGGACGTTGACACTTTCTAGGCTCATCCGTATTTAGATCGTCGTGCACCAATGGACATTTCGTTCGCAGAAAATGAAAAGTGCAACGATTAGAGTTCATGAGGAAAATAAATTCTTCTGTTGTTATGTACAGTTTCAAAAAATAAAGAGGCGAGAGATGAAAGACAATCATCAAGATATGAATGATAGATGGGGGTGAATAATTTGAGATGAACAAGGTGAGGCTTGAGAAAGAAAGAAAGATGCATGGTGTGAGGAAGAAGGAAGACGAGACTGTACCGCGTGGGATCTAAAAGACCCGGGGTATCGCTTACAATTGCTCGACCTTGAGAGTATGATAAAAAAAAAGGACAAAAAAGAGGACAAAACTACCTCAAAACAAGAGGAAGATGGAGGAGATCGGTTTTTAAACATTTGCGCTGCCCAAAAAGGTCCAGAAGCCACGTGAAGTCCCGCGCATCATGTCATGGATGTTCGCGATATTTCGAATCATTTCACGTAGACTCCAGAAGCCGATGCGTTTCAGGCGTCGATTTCGTTCTTGCTGATCCATGGTCAAGTCAACAAACCCTTTGCCCAATTGTTCACTAATATGATCCACCAGGGTCGAGTCATAACCTGTCCATGATCCGTCAAAATTGCTGAGATCCATGACCACACGACACTTGATAGGCACAATGGTCTTGTTGCGATTGATGTAAGCGACAACCGGTCGCACCATGGCGTTACTCAGATAACTGAGTTCGGGCGCTTGCAGTGGAACCGAGGCTTTGCTGTCTTTGAACCGAAAATCGATATCCATAATGAATTTCTTAGCGTCGTCTCTTTCTGACATTGTTTTCCGGTTCTGGACACCCCCACCCACGACGAGGAGGTCTTCGCTGGTACCGGCACCGAGCATGACCGGTTGCGGCAGTTCAATGCGATCCGTCAATTCGTATACAAGTTGCCGTAACAGTTCAGTGGAATCGGCTTCCGACGCTTCCTTTGGAATGTAAATATCGGCCGAAATATCCACCGTACCGGACGTGATCCAGCCTGGCGGGCCTTCCAATCCACGATTGATGTGATCGATATTCAGACCGTCGATTCGTAGGCGAGACTGGTCCACAAAGGTGTATATTAGTGGTTTTGATCTCCATGATGCCATGCCATGATGCCAGTTCCATTTCTTCATCGCCTCTACTTACCTTGCGTTTATAGCCTTGCTCCTTCATATCATTGTCCGTCATTACACCAAACCGAGCATTTTCTCCACCCACCACCACACCATTCGGGTCGGGTTTTCTGAAAGGATAGTAATGATAAATATCATGACTTCGGAACCCGGACTTCTTGGCATCAATGTGGCCCGCTTGTTTGAGAACCGACTTTTCCAACTGAGGCGTGTGAACGCTGAATAAACACTTGTCAAACGCTCCAACAATGGACGTGGCGCACAGCAAGTCGTAAAATAACCTGAATCTATCTGTCAGCAATCCGTCCTTTTTTTTTTCTCCATGATGAGGATGGGGAACGTTACCATTGTTTACGGAATCGGTCTAACTGGGCTTGGAAAATGGAAATGGGATAGGGCCGGAATCCGCTCGGTTGATAGATGGTAATCAGCAAGTCTTCGAGTGTAAGTTTTTCAAGTTCAAAATCACCGGGCGTGTATTTATGACGGGAAGCCACGGGGTCCCAAGGGACACTGCGATCCCATCGAACGTGACGACGGTCCACCACGCCTCGCACGCCATTGATATCGGCACTTTGAACCAATCCTTTACCGTCCATCCATCGCAGTAAACTGAGTGACACTTCCACACGTTCCAGCGTAATGTCGAACCACATCCATTTCTTTAATACTTCGTTTTCTTGTTCATCCTTATCGAGATGGACTCCGGCCAGCGGATCGTCGGTCAGACTCGCTCGATGGGTCACATCTTCGTCTTCCGTGATTTCCTGTCCGGTACTGAGTAATGCAGCATGTTTTTCAAATTTCTCGCGTTCTGAACGCGGCATGCGATAGATACGAACGTTGTTGACTCGAATTTTCCCGTCTTTCCAATTAGGAACAATGGCCGATTCAAACACCACCGTCGCACCAGTAGCTGACGTAAGGTATTGCCCAATGCGATACGCTATCCATTCCTGGAATTGCAAGGAATTTGCGGTCCACAGAATAAGACTAACAAAACTCGTGGTGCCCACCAGTAGCCACACAGTGTGACCCAGAAACAGCCATGAAAATAAGGCCGTCACGTCATTCAGTGTCCACGGTCGCATTTGTCGCATCAGCGGGTACTTGATACGGATTTTCAATCTTTGGAAAAATCCACGCGCTTGCGCGAGCAGTTCTTCTTTGCTCGGACGATGAGGCATATGAGGTAAAGGGCTGGTATTGCTGTGACTGGTGTGAAGACCACGACGGTACATGAACTGGGCAACCTGTATCACTTGTTCGCGACGTTGGGAATAAGGACGGACGAGGACTCGACGAAAGCCATTTTGACGACCGTGTCCTCTAAGCGCAGCAAGGAGAGGAGAATGGAGGAAACCTGAAGACGGCACAGCGGCGGTCCATGCAGGTGAATTGGCGCTTGTCGGAGGTAGTATGGCTTCATGACAACACATGCCATCGATATTGTATGCAAAGAAGCTGGGAGCAAGCGAACGGCAAAGCAGCCTTTTATGTTTGGCATGCACACGACCACCATGCCAAATCCGGTCCACAAACGACCTTCTCAGCAAAGACGGCAGCATTCAACAAGCTCAGAACACAATTGAACCTGTTGGATCTTGGGAAAAAAAAAGACTGGAATTCAGTAATAAATAAATAAAAGAAGTCTGGAGAAAGGAAAAAAAAAATTGAGTGGGCTGCAATCCTCAATATTCAAAAGGCGGCCCAAATAAAAAAACAGTCCGTGGCCGGGGATTGCTCGCAGCCCATCACTTGGACACCAAAGTCCGATCCGTGATTTCACTGTTCATGCTGATCCACAACAATCTTTTAGCCAAAGACCCTTTACCCCAATATTCAGTCAATAAGTCAAGCATGCCTCTTGGGAATCGGAATACCTATCTTTGATAGAATACATCCAATTGCATTAAACAGTATTTTACGGTTGGTGAAAAATCGGTGTGTCTAAACAGCTTGTCCATTGAGATCAAAAACTTCGAAAAGATATTACTATAGCGACTCTTGGCTATAGAGTTTACTATGATGTCCCAATTCAATTACATAAGATGACAGAGCGTCTCAGCAGTTGTGATCAGCCGCGTGCACTTTCTATAAAGCCAAGTATCTGACATAGGTAGTGAAATAGGCAGATTGCACGACCAAGTCAAGAGAGACCCAAAAGCCATAAAAATCCATACCGTTTTCTTTTCTTTTTCTTTTGTGAAAAATGCACATAGCATAAAGAAAAGTCGACAATTATGCGTGTAAATCAGCTGGAAACATGCGTTGATGGTGAAATAAAGAGTGGGATGCTGTTGGGATCATATCATTTTGTTTGGTGCCTTAACGAATCGTGGATCACGATCTGGACAATGATAATTGTGTTGTCTTGATATTGTTGAAAGTGATTTGGTTCTCTCATGGGCGACATGATCTCAACCAAAGAATGGGGAGTCCTCAGAGGTTAACGGCACCGGCCATTGCCAAGAAGCAGCAAGTCGCTTAAAACAAAACAAGAATGCCCTGCAATACGATTGTGCGCACGGTGAATAAAACTGAAAAGGGGACCGTCCATGCTTGTCTGAACATGCAATGGGATTATCAAGAACCAAGACCATCAGATCTGAGATGGTGCCATTCAAACTTTTGATGTGAGTGACGTCATTTACTGCCAAAAACTGAAAATGTCGGTCATTCTTTTAGTTTCGCAACTTCACTTTTTTTTATTTGCACAGCATCCCAAGTTCGAACCAATATGCCACCTAAAAGAAAAACACGAGGTGCCGCAGCAAAGCAAAAGGAAGAAACCGAAGAGAGAGATGTTGTAGAGGAAACAAACACAGAAGTAGAACAACCCAAGGAAAAACGACGTCGGACATCGGTTACATCCGATCCTTCTCGCGACACAGATCCAGTCGAGAAATCCACAACAGACGACCCACAAGACAATACAGATAAAGCATCACCCGCATCAACTCAAGAAAGTGAAGCGAAAGCAAGCAGTACGCTAGAAGCACGAATGGCAAAACTGAAAGAACTCAAACGACGAAGGGTAAAACCAGCAGATTGCAAATTTGCCAACCATTGTTGAATGTATCCGACAATTTTTTCACTTAATTGATTTCTTTCCATGGTAACAGGCAACGGAAGTAGAGCAAGGCAATCGTCGTGATCGCAATCTCGAATTCCAGCGTAGCAAGGAAAATCCCCGTGCCGAGGCACGTAACGAACGAAAGAAGCAAGAAGCATTGAAGCTGTTGGAAAAACAGGTACGTTCGATTACACCAAGGAATTTAGTGCTTACCCGCTAACTTTTTTATTTTCAACAGCAAGCACAAGATCAAGGCGAGGATTACGAACGAAAACAATTCTGGAAATACTCAGCCGAATCTGTGGATGCTTGGGAGAAACGCATGGCAAAGAAAGCTCAGCGAGCGAATCAAGGCTTCACCGATCACGTTCAAGCCGCTCACAAAAAATATCTCAAACTGATTTCAGAATTAAAGCCGGATATGACCGCCTATGCCGAGAAGAAAATGGAGAGTATTGAACGAGCCATTCAAAACGGCGAAGATCCTTCCGATATCATGGCCATTGTAAACAGTCTCGATTACGCATCCATGGATGACAGACCTTCCCAGGAAGCCATTGACCGACTAGCAGCCGAAACCAAGAAACAGTACGTCGTCATTTTTTTCTTTACTCTTGTTTCCTATTTGAGATGACATGGCGGTTTTCCATGATCCTCATCATTGTCTCTTTATTATTATTGTGATAGGATTCAACGACGAGAAACCCGATCGCGTGATCGTAAAGAAGCCACAGATGACATCTCATGGATCAACGAGAAGAATCGTGTCTTCAACCAGAAGATTGCTCGATTCTATGATAAATATACAAAGGAGATTCGCGAGAACCTTGAGAGAGGCACTGCGTTATAAAAAGGTTCAACATTCGAAAAAACCTATCCACTTTTTTTCTTTTTTGGCTCTGCTCAAAAATAAACAACGCCTTATTTCCTTGTCAATGGTGGCGGTACTTTGCATCTCCAAATGACAAACGGTGGTTCGGAGCCTTTGCCTCGGAACCCGGCTGTAGTTTGCTTCTGTGGTCGGCAATGGCATAAAAAGTTGTCTGCGTTTTCTTGTCGGACGGCTCCAATTCCCCCTTGTATCACAGCCACTTGCGGGAAGTGACGATATACCAATTGAGATGCAAACTGAAGGGAGCCAGGGGAGGTGAATATGGCTTCTCACAAGTACGTGCCATGTATAAGCTTACCTGCAAGCCTTGTTCGTCATCATCGCATACCACAAGATGATGCTTACGATTTAATTTTCGTAAAATAGTAGCGTAACTCTTTAATTGTTCAGATTGCACATTCATAGAGGATGGAATATGCTCCTGGGAAAATCTGTAAAAGCGGATCAGCTTATTTGCCATCATTTTTGCTTATGTTACCGAAAACTTACGCTTGTTCAGATCGTATGTCCAACAGTAAAGAAGAAGAGAGAATTCTATCGATATCCTTTACCGATATTCGAGGAGACAATTCCAGCATCTTGGCTCGAGCATCTCGTACCACTTCATTTGAAGGCTGCAATCCAAAAAGTTAGCTATTGGTATGTTTAAAAATAAACGGGTTGTGTATCAAGTACCTGAGATGAGGCATCGACGGCAGACGCGGCTGATGGGTGGCCACGCGCCACCAGACTCGGTGGAGTGACTTTGCACATACTCATGGCACTTTGGACGCATTTTTCAATATCCACTTTTGGAAAGCTCTCGGAGAACAGGACAATGCAATCGTTGAATTCGCTCGACAACAGAACATCTCGTATTTGCCGCAGGATAGCGATCCCCGCAAATAATGGCAAGGAAGAAGGACCCACCAATAACTTGTCCCACAAGTGATATATTTTGTCCAATGGGAAAACATCTGTCATTCGCTAAAGGTGAGTCTCCTTTTTTTTTTCTTCGTCGTCCAATCGTTGACCAAAACTTACGCGTAAAAAGAGTAAGAAACCAAGGAATAGCGTATAAATCGGGCATAAAGGCAATGCTATCCAAGTGACTTGACAGTTCGGGATCATGATAGCTTAACAAATGACGAAATACGGCGAGGTATTCTTGAAGGATGGCGTAATTGTTCGGTATGAAGAAATTGTTCAGGAATTTGGGGATAAACTTTTGCAAACAGGCAAAAGCTAATGCTTCATCGTTGAAATTTAGAGTTAAAAATGGAGCACACAAAGAATCCAGACCTAGAAAAAGAAATCAGATGCACGAAATAATGACTACAGGCTTATGACCCACACACCTTGCCAATAGACCAGCTGTTGATTGGCTGAAACCCAGGCTCGTAAAAGTCGGCGCAGTTTTTCATGGCCGGTAGAGGAAGCTAAAAGCTGATTGTACTGATGACATCGCGGTACATCCACTTCAATCTGTAGAGGAATTTCACAATCACAAATGGTGAATAAGGCATAGAGTGGGGACACCCTTTAGGTATTATATTACCTGTCGATCGGCGATAGGGTCTATTTGTTTGCTGATTTGATGAAATGCATGTTCGGTGTCACCTCGGACACCGAGAACGGCCGCCCAGATTTTACCACGTAATAAAGGTGGAATGTCCACTTTGGCATGGTGCAAAATCTCTTTTCGGGAGGCCGGGTATTGTCGTAGCAAGTCGGAGAAGAGCGCCAACCGATGATATTGATAATTCACATCTTGTTCGCGTAAGAGAAGAGGCAGTTTAGGGAAGGATGACTGGACAGGCGTAGAGGGGGCAGGACTGTGAACCGAGAGAGAAGAAGACGATCCTGTTCGACTCATCGCCGTGTGAGAAGAAGACCGTTTCATCGGTGTTGTAGGAGTTGCCATAGTGGTTGGTTCCGCGGCAACAGTCATGGACGGTGGAAGCGTCATTAGATCTTCTGTGAAAATGAAATCCGCATCGAGCTCGGCACTGTCATTGGCATCGGAAGTCAAATCACTTTCGGTATCCAACAAAAAGTTGACCTCGCTTTCATCCACCACCATAAAGAAATCCGCATCACATTCGAAACGATCAGCATGACCAACGTTACGACCTTCCTCGAGCCGTTGGTACAGCTCCTTGAATCCCAACACATTGATGGTGTCCGAGTATAGTTGAGCAATATCCGTCGTGTTGTTGCCAATCTCGAGATGATCATTGACCAGGCATACACGCGGAAGACGCTCGATCACCGGAGTTGACAAGAAAACGCCCCGCTTGAGAAGGTCGAGTTCCACATCCCCGCCCGCGAGTTTCCACAGATGGTATATGTAAGAAATGGGTAATCCTTGCAATGCATCTTTTGCTGGATTTGCTTCATCGGTCTCTTGCGTTTCCTCTGGATCGGGATCCAATGCATCGGATACCAATATTGGGCCCTTGTTCCAGGGACTTTCTTGCATATGCCGTTGGCAATTCAATAGGAAGTCGGTAGATAAAAGTTCCACGATCGAAGCACGTTTGGACACGGAAACTTGCAGACATTTTAAAATGAAATGGTGAAATGCTTTAAGATCGTCGCTTGCTTCCTCTTCGGAGAAATCGCCTTGCAAAAAGGTAAGTACACTCTTGTTGATATCGAGCGTTTCAATGCCCTCGTGATGCCACAAGGTATCTGCTGCATCATTTCCTGCGTCGGCACTCCATTCGGCACAGGTCATCAACGAATCAAAGATTAATCCAACGTCTGAAGTAGTCCAAAAAGAATGACGCATGTATTGTTCCAACAGAATGATTCCCAGCGCCCATACATCTCTCTGCGTATGCTTCACATTAGTCGCCCCAATTCCACCAGTGATACTTTCAACAGAGAATGGCCTACCTTGTCTTGGGCGACGTTAGCTGGAGCGGTGTGATCCAGACATTCACATGCAAGATACGGTGGATAGCTGAATTGAAAAACCCAAAATGAATGAACGGCAAGTTCAGCAAAGGCTTATCGATAACTCACTTACCCAATTGGGAAATCCACATTTTCACCACCTCCTGTCATATAAAAAAGACCGTAACCAAACAATTTTACTCGGCCCTGATATGATATTTGTCAATATGACGGGCGTTTTAGTGTGAGGAAAAAAGAGATTCAATGTACCTGAGAATCCAGTAGAATATTAGATGGTGACAGACAGCCGTGGACTATCCGGTGTGTTTGTAGATATTGAAGTGCTGAGCAAATTTCAAAGGCCCATTGACTTAGCTTCTGTATGCTGGTAATTTGCTGGTAAGTATGGTGAAACTCTGCGACCAATGTGCTGTGACCCGGTTACCTTGTCCTGGACGGATTTTCCGCGTTGACGTTACGCGTCTTTTGTAAGGAGCAGTCATGGTACTCTGACACTGTAAACAACCTATCTTTTTATGCCATTGTCACCCTGGCTGTCAGCAGTCGACTTAACAATATCAAACTTGTCATTCAGCGTACCGTATTTGCCTCGGTGGATATCCACATATTCGCACAAGTGAGGGTGACGAAGGGTCTATGTCACAAAGTACAAAGTGGACATGGTCATTAAGTATGATAACAAAATCTATGTAGAACGCATGCTTACTTTCAAGGTTTGAAATTGGCCAATGATCTGCGATGGAGCTGAAACGGCCAAATGACCCGACTGTGCCAATGCTTCGGAAGACCGTGCCGAAGCGACAAAGTTGCAAGAGGCGAGTTTGGGAGTGGATCCAGAAGAAGAAACACTTAAATCTCTTGCATTAGCAAACATGGCTATATATATGTTGACTGTGACGATAGTTCAGAAAGACCACTGGCAAGTGGTGCAAGTGGTGCAGTTTTAATCGCTAAGGCCAACCCAGCAAAGGTGGAAAAAGATATCATGAAATTGCCACTTTTTTTCAAGGACCGCCTTGGCTGATTTTCCCATCAGTTACTGTACAGTTTAATTGAAAAAATCTGGGTAAAATTTACCGGGAAAAGCTTCATAAGCAAGCGAAGCATTAAAGCAAAACAGCAGCTGCATTATGCAACTTGGAAATCCGTGCAAACTGCGTCTGCTATAAGATATTCCAGATATCCTCTGAACTCTAATGAAGTGTTTGGTGAAGAAGTAACAATAATTGATCGTAATCAGAAAGATATAAATTATATGGAGACGACATTTAGTAAGAACAAAAGAAAAGGGGAGGTGGGATAATAAAGGCATGAGTCATTAGTTCTGTGATCTATACCTGCTTATAGTCGGTGATGGATCGTTATATCTGTTGATAAAGAAAACATTTTATTCAATATGCTTTTCGGCATTTGTGACCATCTGTGACCAAGTTCACAAATTTGTGACCCCGACTTGGAATACTGAGCAACCAGGAATTCCCGAATCTCGCTTGAACCCTACAAGAACGAAATTTGACATTGAGCCATCACAGGGCCATCAGCCATTTTCTTCTTGAAAATTTAGTGGCGCCATTTGCTTGATACGAAATAAGGCGCAACCTTTTGTTCACTGCAGCGAAAAACGATGGGTAAACATGGCGTTTTTGCAAACATAGTTTGTGGGACATCTTTTTATAGGATACTTTTTCTATTTTCCTTTCAAAGCTTGATGAAAAATAGGACATGCATTATATGTTATCGTACAGTACTAAAATTTAACAGTATACGTAATGGATGGGCTATCAGTTTCATTCTCGACGCTGGAAGCCTTTCCGACTCTTTGTGACGAGGATACGATCTTTCACTTCGCCTCGTGTGCCATCGATTTTACTCTCCCAATGTGTCAGTTCTAGCGTACGCTTACTCACTTGAATGGACGTAAAACCATAGCCGTTGTATCGAAACGCCGACCAGTCAGCGATAGACGATGTATTCATGGCGTCGGGACCTTCGTAATTGCCAGAGTTGCCAGAGATCACCTGGAAGTACGAGGGTGCTTCTGCATAAGACGTCGATGTCCGTTGATTTTTGGCTACAGGGAACGTGCGTTCATAATTGTGACGATGACCGCTGTAGAACCGAGAAAAAGTTGAAATAAGATTTACGTCCGTGATCCTGCAATGGCGCATGACTTACCACAGGTACAAGTCGACCTTGTGTTTCAAGAAAAGATCTTCTAATCCGCCGAAGTGGCTCGTATTCAACTGGGGATCGATAAAAGGCCCATGACGCAAAAACTCGGCCTTTTGGCTGCAATCGGTATGTTCTTGGGGAGTGCAGTATAATGGACGATGGCCCATCACAACAATCCAACTACGCAAACGTCGATTTTGGTTTGCCTTGGTAAGGTCTGCTTCTAACCAGTTCAGCGCCGTCTGCTTTTCCTCAGAAGTTCCATCGAAAAGTACTTCTGTATTGATAGATATCAGATGCAACGCCTTGTAATCGATGGAGTACTGCATAGGATTGTCAAATCCAGATCCTTGATAAGGAACAATACTGAATCTAATCACATGCGCCATAACTAAGTTCACAGGTGATTGCATTTCCTTGCCAAGTCTTTTTCATTGGTTGCTTACCTGTTTTTGTAGTGCGAGAAATTATAAGCGCTCTCGTGGTTGCCGGTGGTTGTCAATACCGGGAGGTTGGCATAGATAGGTTGGACAAAGTTCATGTAATCATCGCCCTTTGTACCGTTGAAATCCGCCATATCGTAGCCTTGATCGCCGAGAATGGCAATGAAATCATGCTTGTCCATCGCGCGTTGAAGATTTGCCATAGAAACAGCATTGGCCACCCCCTAAGATCAAAGAAACTTTCTTTTAACCATGACAATTCAAATGAAGCGAAAATTTAAGCACGACATAAAATGCAGCAGGACGATAGTAGTGCAAGAGACGTAATTTTTTCAATGCATGATGGCTCATATGATATCATTGCAAAAGAATGAAAACGGCTTTATCATTGAATGACGAAAAAAAAACATACCATATCGGCTGCAACCAAAAAGCTGAAATCGGATTTTGCTGAAGGTGCTTTGACAGTATATATCTCGGACCATTGTTCGCTTGTGGTATTGTCTTCTGAAATGGTGCCTACTTGATATTCGTACACAGAGTCTGGTGTAAGCGGCTCAAAATTGAGGCTGTGATAGTAAGTTGTGCGGTTGGCCAGCCCGCCATCCACAAATGCCCACGACTAGAATACGAAATGATAAAATGTCAGTCCAAACAAAATGTCTAACCTTCCTCATGTCCCTCCGGGAACCTGGAAGATTGATAAATACCTGACTATCCTGTATCAGAGTTTCATTGCCGGATGATCCTGTGGGCCAATACTTCAATTGAGCGGTGGTAGGTGCCTCCATCGTGACAAACTGAACACGACTGTAATGTCCGTCGTTTATCCACGATAAATGAATTTGCTGGGGTTCCAGCAAACTGTACGTTCGGTTCCATGCTCCCACTTGATTGTATGCATCCGCGAGTACAATGGAGCCAGGACCACCGGGGGCGCCCGATTTTGCTTGGCAGCTGATATTCAAGAAAACAACCGAGAGAATGATTCGTAGCACAATTTGACACAACATGCTTGATATCGTATAGTAGACGGTGGAACAAGAGCAGTTGCACAAAAAAAGAAAAAGAAGAGCGGGAGCACGGTCTTGAATGCGAAAAATAGATAATTACAAGGCAGATCGGGTTTTCTCTGTGGCTATCTAAAATCAAGAAAGCATATACTTTTTTTTTTGGTTCCCTCTCCTGTTAGGGATTAAGTCAAAATTTTGAGAATTAGTGCCTGTTGTTGTTGTTATTGGGAGAAAAAAACAAGTAGGGTAAAAAGGGGGACCATATTCCTTTATAAACCAAAATAGATTTTTGAAAAATGCAATAAAAATGCCTGCAAGGAAAAAAAAAAGCAAAAAAAAATTCCTTCAGCTGTGTAATGTTACTGCTGCAGGGTGATTTCCCGCCCCTCATCTAGTCCACGCCTAGTGTAATTGGCCTGTCAGAAATGGCTGAATCGATATACGGAGATACTCGGTCAGATTCCACCAGTGAATGATCAATGATAGTATGCTTATCTTTTTTTTTTATTTTTTTATTGCCAGATTACGGCGGCGGTTTCGTTATTTTTCTACATCCTCTTGTTCCCTGCTGATGGCCTTGCATTGTACCAATCATGTGGCGTTTCTACTTTATATTGCAGAAACTTTACTTTGTAGAATTCTTTCTCCTGCATCTACGAGGCGGTTAATCAATCTTCCTGTTAGAATGAAATAATACAACCATGCTGACTGTTTATCTGATCCTCAGCAAATTCATCATCAATCAAAGAGTATATACGACGTGAGAGCTGTCATTATTTATTTTTATTTTTCCTTTATTGGACTTTAGGTTTTACAATAGGTAACTATGTATAGGCAAGCATAATATTTAACAAGATAAACACTTCTCATGATGAGAAAATAATAACCACAGAAGAATGAAACGGTTTACAAACATGGACACAAAATAATAAAACAGAGTTGCCGACGACGGTAAACACGAGAACAACATTCGCCACATTGTTTTTTTTTTCTTTCAACGCAGGTCATCATCGTTGTCGCTACCACCAATAGAAATCTCTTCATCTTCGTCTTCGACGTCCTCCACTTCCGTCAAGGCGGCTGAAGATGAAACACTCTCAACACATGATGCCTTTGTTGCGGCAGGGGGTCGCAAGCTGACTTGATGCTCCACCACTCGATTCACTATACTTTCATCATCGGTCGGTCCCACCTCTTGGGTTTTCGTATCATCGTCGATCAGTTGCAACTTGCGCTGAACCTTTTTCCCAATCGGTCGTCTCGGCGACATCCCAGTCACTGCATGAGAAGGGTTTAAAGCGCCATTCCATGATGCCGATTTCTTGATAACGGACGCTGTCAGCTTTCCAGCCGGACTGGGCCGTCGCAGATCATGCGTAGTAACGGGTGAAACGTGCATTGCATCATTGTTTGAATTGCGCTTGTGGATTTCGGGTATAGGACGACGTCGACTCTTGTGGAAGATCGTCGGTGGACGTACCGTCCATCGGTGGGATGGAGGTGGTTCCTGGGACTGAATAATTGGACTGCATGCTTTAGACATCATTTCTTCCAGATCCATGGAACTTCCATTGTCCATGGCTACAATCGCCGCTTCACGCATTTTCTTCATGTGATGGCGTACTTCTTCCACATCTGTATCTGTGTCGGTGTCGTCATCGGATGGGTGACTTGCATACGACCTGTCAAAACGTCGTTTGGATCCACGACTGGAGGAAGCCGGATGGCTACTGGTTGAAGAACACGGTACCACCAATACTTCACGCGACAAATCATCCTCGTGTTCCTTATCAAACAAACCGAGTAATGGCGCTTTCGGCGTGACATTGCCTATTTCGACCATCCGCTGCGGATGCTTGAGCATCAACTGTTGTAACTGTGCAGCTGTTGTGTTGTATGCAGTCGTCGACCGGGAAGTAGGAGATAAACCACTGGGTGTATGCACGGATGAATTACGGAGTGCAGCTAGTGCAAGAGCTGTCAATCGTCCATCTCTTGGTTTGGGTAGCACAGGAACAGAGATCGGTAACGGGCAAGGAAAGTACGTTTCGATATCGTCACTCAAAAACGGGCCCAACCGATGCTCGATCGAGCAAGTCACTGCCAGCTCTTGAGCTCGACGAAGCGGGATCCAAGTGCCAAAGAGTGGGCTCTGCCTTTTCGGGACTCGCACACGCTCCATTTCAAAACTGAGAATCATGCTTTTTTCGCTCTCCGTTTCAATGCCTCCCGCGGTTAAAAGCGTCGTTCCGTTGATGAACCCAGAATCCAAACGCCGCATTAATCGGTACTCCGGACGGGTGTCGGTCTTTAACAGGATAGCGATACAAACCGCCACATTATCCATGACGGTGATAAACATGGGCGGATCCGTCGGTACTGTCGTATTGATCACGACAGATTGTTCCTTCATTCCTTTGGCAGGATTCGATAAAGCCGATGGCGATGGCGATGACGGAGCGTAGGGAGCCGAAGGTGATGCCGTCGGTGAAGCCGGGGCAGAACTGCTTTGAGTTTTCAGAAGTGCTTCTAAAAAGGGAAGTTTCGCCAATGCTGCCTTAACATCAAAGTAGCTGGACCCATTCGAGGAAGGTGCACTTGATGTGGTATTCGACTTTGACAGTTGCATGTATGCGGCTAATGATTTGGCTAAATCGATGGTCGGTGCTAGATGTGCAAGGCTAGGTATGGCCGTAGTGATCTGGTGCAAAGCAGACAAGTTAAGGTTCGGCATGTTTTTGGTGAGATCATCTGCAAGCGAAGGCGGAGTGGAAGATGGGGAGAGTTTGGTCGGGAGATTAATGGGAGGTGCCACGAATGAGTCGATGTTTACACTATTGTTTTTGTTTGGTTGCAATGAGGGCAAAGAAGATGCAAATGTCGTGGATGTCGCAGAAGATGATGCTTGTTTATCAGCCTCGCCAAAATTTACAAACGCGGTCGGGTCTAAGGGAGTATCGAGGGAAGGTGGATCAATGGATGATGTACGATTAGATTGCATGATGGCTTCCTCCGTGGTTAGATCTTTCGCCGATTCCGAATCCGTATCCGAGTCTTCTAGCTTGCCGTCTGCTTGACGGAGGATGGTTACAACCAGAAGGGAAATAATTTGGGAACACGATGTTTGCTATTGACGAGATTTACCTGCATCGGACAAAGGATCATCCTTTAGGAATTGACCAAGTCCCGGTGAGCTCTCAATTTCATATTCTTGTACCAATTCCCGCGCTCGAGTCAAAGGGATCCTTTGAGAGAGAGAGAAAATATGAGTCATAAAATTAGAATTCATGCACACTGCATATTTCCATAAAAACAGCGTTACTCACCAGTCACCGTGGCATTCAGTAGGTCCTTGAGTGATTGAAACTACGCTGTGTCCGCGCTTCCATTCTTCATCGGCATCAAATGAACCTTCACCCACCACCGGACATGCCGCCTTGCGAAGTTGACTTGCATTCACGTAATCCTGCTTGAGATACGAGAGCGGTTTCGATACTTTCCCGTGGTTCAACCATTTGATGAACCGCAGCACCTTTGTACCAGGAACATCCACAGGTGATTCAAGTTCGTAAAATTCCATATCATCATTTGTTCTCTTTGTAATGGTGAACGGATACCGACTGTCCAGACAACTGTAGCTTGTTTTGTCCTCTTGGCTAATTTGCGGTTGTGCGGATGGTAACGCTACCGGATCCTTGGTAACAGGATCGCGTTCAGGTTCGACCGAGGAGTCTTGCCCTGACACCGGAACCGGGGAAACCAGGCTACCTTTATCTGTTGGAAACGGTGAAGTGACCCCTATTTCTGGCCATGACCGCCTTCGGGTCAAGGAAGGTTGTCCTTGATCCGTGTCGTCTTGACTGGGAGGATTACATGCTGCTGCGCCACGCGCGGCACTGGATAACAAGACTGTTTGTAACAGTGAGCTTTCCTTCGGTCCCAGCATGGCCGCGGAAAAACTTTTGCGATTGGTTCGTGCTGATGTACTTGGAGCGTGATGATGATTGTTACTACTGCTATTACTATTATCATTGCCGTTGCCATTGTTGAAATATCGATCTAGTTCGGCTACGGAGATGGATTCTGGCGCGGCGATGTTTAATGGGATATGATCACCCAGCGTCACGTCCGAAAGATACGTCGTATCAAAATCTTGTTCAAAACTGTAAGGCGTCCAAAAATCATTCTCCCCCAGTAAGCTGGCATTGAATGACAAGGACGGTTTTCGTCCGAATATATTGGATGACGGATCTGAAATCGATAATCGATGGGTATTCAACATGCTGGGTCGCCGATTCACCGTCAGAGTATCCCCAAAATGTTTTTGTTGTTCTTTGGCTGGCGCGGCCTGCAATGGTTGTTCAGGTAGATTCACATCGAAATTGACCATCTGTTCATCGCCCTTGAGCATTTCTTCGTAATAATCCGAGTACTCCGCTTCGCTTTCATCCTCATCGGAAACATCCATCATGATGGGCGGGGAGGGAGGCACGGAGCCGGAAGGCAGATCTCTAACCGAGTTGAGTGAAGAGTATAAGGAAGAGGACGACGAGGAAGAAGATGAACGTGAAGAGGAAGAGGGAGATGAGGCTGTATCGGGTGACAATGGTAAAGCGGTGACCGATGGATGACGAGCAGGTGGTTTAGGATATGGTTCGTTTTCTGCTTCCTCATCGGTATCGTGCAATTTCTGAGAGTCTGTCTCTGAATGGCGTGAACGTTGCCTCTTTCGAGAACGTCGTGAGGTCGAACGTGCGGTCAGTGGGGTTGGGCGGGGACGTTTCGAGCGAGTGGTAGGTTGACTAGATCGACCTTCGGATTGAGGCGATGCTGCCGGTGAAGTCTGTGATTGGATGTTGGCGGAGGAGGATGCATCATCGATTGGATGGGGTGAAACAGCTGCGGACGATGACAAAGCAGCGGCTGGCAAGTTGTCTGTGGCAAGAGAGTAATTGATTTTTCTTGAATGCTTTTGATCAATGTGCTTTTCTAGCAAGGGAGGTCGGGGAGGATTATGTTCTGCAGCTCGTTTAAAGTGTTGTGATATTCGTGATGATACGGTAGCAAAAGGCGTCGCACCACTATGTCAATAGACGGGAAAAGAATGAGATCAATCTATTTGAAATGCTGAATCATTCCTTTTCTTTTTCACTTACCCTAACGTGGCATATTTATATTTTGCAATGATATTCGCTAGTTCCTTGGGAGAGCTAGGTTTATTGCCCATTTTCAGCAATGCCTTGAGAATGGCGGTAAAGACCTTGTCCTTGGCATCGTCAGGGTGAATGGAGGGTAAAACAGGTTTGTCTGGGTCATTGTCGGCATCAGGAGTTTGTGCAGCCTCACTATTTCGTTTATCTTGCGCTTCTGTTTGTGGCATGGTTTGAACAACTGTCAAACTGAAGAGGAAAAGTAGTGGTTGACAAAAACCAGAAAAGGAAGGTCAAGGTCAAAAAACAAGTGACAGCTGCGGAAAAGAAAAAGAAAAAAAAATGATTTATTCATGTCGGAGTTGGACCCGTCGCATGTTTGATTTGACAAGATGTGCCATGTTCGACAATTTTTTGTAAACCTTCTTTCTCGGTCCGCTCCGATCATCCAATGTGATTCTTTCCTACATCAAAACGCATGGTGTTAGCCTTTTAAAGCACTCCAGCCCAGCCAATCATTCTTGAGACTGAGTAGTCCGCTTATGGAGCGGTTTCCCTCGTTTTGACTTGCACCAACAAAAAAAAAAAAGCTGAATTTTTGTTGTATGCTCGGAATCGTCAGGATTCCGCTTTTTTTTCTTTTAATTTTATTTTTAAACCCCCAATTCCCAACTCAGTCAGTGAATGTACAAAACGTATTCCCGCTTGATATTCCTTTTTCTACAAGCGAGAGTATGCAATGGATGCAATTGGACTTACACTTGAACTTGCTGCAGTATTGTCATGCAATGATCTGCACCATTTTTCTCTAACCAGTGTGGAACCGTAGAATCACGTCATGCGGTTCAGCTGTAAGAGGAAGCATCGACTATTAAATTGGCGGCGATTGGATTGCATTATGTAATAATTGCCTGTAATTCATTCTGGAGCAAAATCTACTACAAGATGCAAAAAGCGGATTGATAGTGCTCTATAGGTAACATCCAGTGTGAGTGAAGTGATGGAGAAAAAAAAAAGAAGGGTAAAGAGAGAAAATAGTGGATAGAATGATACAATGAGGACAAGGAAAGAAAAAATGAGACGCTTTTTTTTTCCTATAGAAAATTATATTCGGGGAAGATTATTTTGATTTATCTCTATTCTTTTTCTTATCTTCGTGTAAGCGTTTTCGGTAAGCGAGACCGAGGGATTCAATGGAAGAGATGATAAAGTATCCAATCATCAGTGAAAGAAACGTATTCCAGATAATTCCCAAGAAGTTATTCTATGTGTTGAACATGACGTAGGATGAGTGGCCCGATTCCAATGGTGGTGTGCCATTGTCATCACTCACCTGTTCCTTTCCTAGTTCGTCTGCTGATCGACCAATTTGATGTCGCTGCTCCCGTATCATCCTTTCAACCAGACTGTGTAATGCAGGTACATAAGTATCGAGAGCGTTTAAGAAATTGGACAATGTATCGCCCGAGAACGCAAGGATCACAATCATTGACTAGAAACGCATCAATTTTTTTTTTGATTTAGCCGCCGCCAGAGTCAATCTTTCTTCGTCACACGCAATGACCCATTGCATTACCTGAATTGCTGCTTTGACCACGGCTTTACCAATAAAAGTGGCTCCAAAAAAAGTGGCAAACGGTACAAGAAAATGGCCACATGTGATGCCGGCGAGATCAAATAGAGGATTGGGAATCGAGGCAAACAGCAAAATCCCGAAAAATCCAAGCCGTTGCATAATATGATAAAGAATATACGTGAATTTCTCTTTGAAGCTGCGATCATGATGCGGTTTGGCCAAGCCAGCTTCGAATTCCGCCAATTCCTCACTCTTGCCGCCCGACAAGGCCACTGGAAACAGAACAACTCAGGATCAGCTGGTTTTCCCCATCTTCTTTTCAAGAATTTACCTGCTCTAGCGACAAAGTACGGTGGCAACTCGCCCAAGGCGGTTCCTGCGCCCCAAGCAAAGCTCTCCCATTGCACACGACGATAGATTGTCCACAGTGATATTGCTGCGGCATTGATGGATGGGTCCAATTTCTCAATATCCGATAATCGACATTGCAAGCGATAGCTGTCATGGGAAATAGGGTTGAATAGCGATCGTGTCTCTTTGTCAGTCATGGTGGGGATCTTTTGATTAGGGCAAAATGCGCAATTTTTCCTTACCTGGTAGGATCCCTTGTCAGCCGATCAGCACTGTGACACTCATAAGCTGCCATTGTCACCTCCACAATGTACGGTCCGAGGAACAGAAGGAAGGTATGCAGACCGGTCCCCAAACCTATCGCGGAAGCGACTCCCAATAATATCCAGTACCCATACCACAGAAATTGCTGTTCGAATGTTTGCATGGCCTATGAACGTGCAATCTCAGTTTTACCGTTCTCCTTTCCTAAGATATCATCTCTAGTTCCCCTGTTCCTATTCCATCCCGTTTGGACATGACATGAGTTACATTACCTGCTGATGAGGTCCGTCTGTTAAATAGGTTATATAAAAGAAGGTCGCAAGTAACGACAGACCTGCTGTGAGTCGTCTGTGCCGATAAAAGTACATGAGAGCGTCGCGTGCTTCGTAATATGCGTACATGACAAAGTAAGATATCACCAGGATAGGACTTGTCCATATGGATACTTGTTTATGTTCTTCTTGAATTTCATCTTTGCGTCGGATGATGTAGTCTGTTTAATTTGAGAGGATGAGTCTTCTATTCGAGTCATTTGTAGAGGGAAACCTCATTCTTATTTCACACCATCAAATTTTTCTCCCGGAGCTGCACGACTCGATTTGCGTCTGAGAGGTTGATTGGGTAAATTGGCCAATGAGGAAGGTCTGCCGTGATGTTGGGAGGTCATTTTTAACTCTGAGGAAACAACCAAAGAGTAAGGGAAATCACCTACAATCTGTAAAAGAAGGGTCTTTGTCTTTTTTTTTTTTGAAAAGAAAAAAATGAAAAGGAGAGTCGAGGTTTGACGGATCGATTGGCAGAAAGATGAGAAGTCTCGGGTTTTGACCGATTTCGGTGGTCGCCATCTTGCGGTGTCACGTCCGGTCATTGTCTCATGTGGATTTTTGCCGGGTTTTTTTTTAATGCTTCCCTCACTCCCGGGTTCGTAATATTGGACTTGCATGGAACCTCCCGGAACAGGACTCAGCTCCAGTCAGACACGTGAAAAATGTAATGAAAAAAAAAAGTTATCAACGTATTCCCTTCCCATATCCAGTCAATATCAAATCGCTCCTTGTCCAAGGTTTTCAATCGAGCTATTGTATACCGTACAATTGCTGTATTGATCCATAGAAGCTTGCTGGGATAATAACCTCCCTCATTTTTATTTCGTCATCTAGACGCTTATTACGCTCTTTTCACCATATGCTCGCTCCTCACAAACATAAAATATATAATATATATAAAAAATAGTCTATATGTACATATTGATATTAATCGCTCAATGGTGGAAGGTCAGGGACATACACGAAAAAAATTCCCCTCGATGAGTTATCTTGTAATGTGCCACTGAGGGTTGGGTTTCTGGCGAAAAACGAGTGAGTGAAATTTTTAGAAGCCCGATTTTAGCTTTTTTTTTTTTTTTTCCAGTGAGCATTTTCCAAGTGTCATCTGGCTCGATTTGGCACAGGTACCCCACTGAGCACCCTACTACAAGATACTACTATGCATGCCGTTTCGCATAATCAGGCAAAGTAAGCTTTGGAAAATAATGGCTGTAAAATAATACAAAGGCAGGTTCATGAGATTTGGTGTTTTCTCCCAAGGACAGATCCCGACCAACAAGCGATCGCCCAGTCCTCCGAGGGTCATGATAATGGAACCGATACCATTTCCGCACTTCAGCAAGCCAAAGCGAAACTCGCCAAGAATTCGACGAATCTAGAACAGCTGAGGCAGCTTTTGCTTGGCCAAGTTGACCCTGCTTCCCTTCCAAAGCGCAACGTTAACACGAATGCTGACGACACCGACTGGCCGTCTTTATTGCGCGCTCGTGACGAGGAATTGAATCACATTCGTGAAAAACTGAAACAAGCAGAAGAAGCATTTCAGGTGTTGAAGGAAACCACGGACGAAGACCGACATCGACTAATGACGTGTCATCGCATGGAAGTGAATCAACTGCATCAGCAACTGGAGGCTTTTCAGACATACAAACAACGAGCGACGGAGCTCGATGCGGAAAATAAGGAGTTGCACGCGCAAGTTCAGGAACTGGTTGATTTATATAACGAATTGGAAGAACGGCACGCTCGAGAAATGCAACGCAAAGTGCAACTGGATTTATTGGTTCGCGAGAACGGGGAAGAGCTAAAACGCGTCACCGATCACGCCATGGATCGCGAACAGCAAATGGAATCCATGACAAGAAAAGTAGAAAAACTCCAACATCACATATCATATTTGCAAAAAATCATGAAGAAAAAGGATCGTGAAGAACGGTCGGAAAACTCTGATATACGAAGCGAGCGTTTCGGTTTCGGCAATTTGCGGAACCTCTCCAAGTTGCATATTGCAGAACCTCGTCCACTCTCTTTTGCTCAGCTGTTCTCCGAAAAGCCGTACGATGAAAGTAAAGTAAAATCTTGGATAGAAAAAGTAGAAACACCACCCATGACGACCTCTTATGAAAAATCGCGAAGAACATCCCATCATCGGCAGTCGCCCCTGAAAACCGATCATTCTCGTCACGACCAACAGCAGCCATCCTCACACTCTCCCGCTAATCGAAACACTGCACAATACGACGTGGAAAAAAACAGAGACGCAAGTCAAAATAGGCTGTCCTCCTCCCGAATGTCAGAACAACGCCCATCCTCTCGATCTTCGATCCCACTATCACATAGCGCACAGCAAAGACTCGATGCAGTAGCTGAAACGCATCAAGACAATCTGAGCAAAAAGTTGGAAACGTGTCAACAGCGTCTCAAAGATAAAGCGCTGCAGTGCCGTGAACAAGAAGATGTCATACGACGGTTGAACGAACATATCCAATTATTACAACAACAATCTTCAGACTATCGAGCCATCAACACAGAAAGGGAGTCCAAAGTTGTGGATCTTTTGCAAGAATCCATACAGTTAATAGAGGAAAATGCAAGGTTGAAATCGGATATTGGCAGCTTGTCAGATGGCTAAAAGATTACCGTTGTTATATATTTCACTGCAAAATCTATACATTCTGTATTTGTCTCTCAGACATTGTATTCTCGAAAATTCCTTGTACGTAAAAATAGGGTGTCGGGAAGCTTATTGAAGAGCCAACAGGAAAAAAAAAAATACAATCAGTCATTGACAGAAAAGTTCTCCATAGGTTCAATGGATTACAGATTCCTGCTTATTGTGCTGATGAAAGAACCCGCGTCCCCCATCCAGAGTAGCCTCAACCTTGTCCTGCATCGCTGTCTAAACTTATCATATCTTCCTCGGGTGCATTGACAGGTTCCAGTACCTGGCTTGCACTCCTCCTATCACTTCGCTGTGACGGATGAGCAACCAGTTGAGCCATTGCCTTGGTGAATGAGCTTCGCGCCATGGGCCGAAATTCAAAGTACCATCCAGGCACCGTTCGACTATCGAAACTCTGCAGTGTCTCATAAATGACCTATGGAATGGCTGTCAGTATCAGGTGCAGGTAAGCATAAATTTTCCGAATTCATTTGGTTCTGGTATACTTTGCATCGAGTATCGGAAGGTCCGTGAAGGAATAACACATCCATAGTAAACCGCTGGGAATCGCGTATCACGCGTCGGTGTACTTTGGACATGCTCAAAGGCAAATGTTGAGCTCTTCCGTATATTAAAATGACTTGGGTAAAATAGCGTTGATCACTCAAATCCGAATGCCCTGCTATAGTGATCAAGAGATCGTTCACATCTTTTCCAAAAAAAAAAAGAAGTCAATGAGAGTTTTTGTTTGAACTCTCTGTCTTTTTGCCTTTTCTACCAAAGATCTCTTTGTATTCGTGGCATTCTATTCCTTGCAGAGCGACTTCAATCTCGTCCAAATCATTGGAAAATCCAACCCACTAACAGAATAACGACGTGAGATTCTTCTTTTCCTTGACTCCAGACCGCGGATACGTACCCACTTTGCTTTATCTTGCAATAAAACCACGGCGTACTGATCGGAAGAAGCAATGAGTTGGTTCATGGCAATATACCGTCTTATTAGGAAAAGTGTCGTTTCTAATCGCGAACTAGAAAAACACGTATCAATTGCTTGGAACAGGTCGTTTCGCGGTACTGCGTGTGCCTTGAACACGAACCTTGTCTGCAGTAACGAGTGTTGTATACCACCGTCAACCGATGAACCCAACGTCTCTTTCATTTCCAGTCCCACATCGACACAGAAAACCTATTTCTTGAAGTATAAATAATACAACATATATCGCTGACGGATGTTTGTTATTACGACTCTGCGTGGCAATGCATCGACGGATCCAGTCGACTTGCTCGTGTCCATGATCTGCCCAAATGGCACAAGTCAAAATGTGAACGGCACTGCAACACGGTTTCCGTACTCCGACAATGAATTTTCGGAACGCGATTTGCGGAAACGCCGATACGCGCTTTTTTTTTTCCTCCATTCTTCAGCAAGGCACGGGTTGATTTTGCAGTGTCCATTGGACGGTGATCTACTCATGCTTACGACATTAACGACTTTGAAACGAAAGCATGATGATCAAAATAATGGCGGCGGCAAGTTGGATATAGCGACGCAAGAAGCTGCTCCTCTGATAGCTCCCATCGATAACAAGATCTTAAAACGGTTTCACCATCGCACGGATCCAACTCTATGGAATCAGTATCATGCTTTGCAACAACGATCTCTCTATGGTCAGCGAATATTCGGTCGCAAAATTAATTGTAGGCTTGATGATCCCTGTCAGTGGAGATAATTTGCTTTTATTTAACTGCGCACATTCCAATAGTCTCGGCCAGAAGCCTTTTGCCACTGTATCAGTGTCCTACCAACCAGATCTATCGATTTTATCTCGACAATGACAAAGATTGTTTCCCTTTTTACTGCAGTTATGCACATAGTAAGTACAATGGCACGTGGGGTTACTTTACAAGACACTCATCTCTACATTAACAGACGCGTATGGGGGAAAACTGCTGACGGTGGGTGATGAGAATGGCCGCATCTCATTCTTACGAACCGACAAAACAAACAGCAGTCAAGACTGTAAGATATCTCTTCATTACTGGTTATGTTGAGCAGTTTGCTGACGACTGGTCATTAGCGATTTATCACGATATTTTTAAAGCTCATACCACCGCTATTCTCGATGTAAAATGGAGTACGGACGATACCACTTTGGTGCGTACTTTTGTGATTATGACCCGGAAAGGATATGATTAAGCGGTGAAAAATGCAGCTATTAATGTGTGATTTTGGTTGACAGGCTACTGCGTCAGGTGATCGTAATATATGTCTGTGGGACGTGGAAAGCAAAGTATGTTTGGCTGTATTGAAGGGTCATAAATCGAGCTTGAACTCTATCAATTGGCATCCAACCAACCAGAGTAAGTTGGGTATTGCACAGTAGTAACTTTTGGGAAAGGTCGATTCACTCACGTCCTATAGATCTGCTGGTATCTGCGTCCAAGGATGGGTCTTTTCGAATCTGGGATACAAGATACCGTCAAATTGATCGTGATGGTAACTAAATGCTTCACCGGATCCATCTAGTTGGATCATTTTTACCTGATATTTATTCTTGTGTACGCTTTTTAGATTCGAATGATCGATTGCCAATTTATGACTCCATCAAAACAGTTTCAGATGCTCACGGTGATCAGATTATGCAGAAAAAACGGGTTTCGAAAAGCGTTGCTCGACCTAAATATGTAAGACCACAAGGTACCTGAGGATACGTTCTGTGTTATCTGATGAGACAAATTTTAGCTCGACCGTTCAGTGACGTGCGCTCTTTTCATGAACAATTCGGAAGAGAAAATCATCACTTCGGGATGTTATGATGGGTGAGTGGACGATGGGTTTTATTGATGGTGGTGAAATCAAAAAGAGTAGCTGGTTTCTGAACGACTGGGTGATTTCTTCAGAGCGATCAAATTATGGGACTGCCGTGCTGGACGCAATCCGTCGGCCATTGCACGTACTGTGTTTGCGGGCAAGTCAGGACGACCCCGAGGCGTCATTGACATCAAGATGGACAACTCGGGCACCCGTTTATTTAGTCTGTGTATGGATCACAGCATATACATGCATTATTTGACCGATCTGTCTCGTCCGGCTCAACAATACACCGATCCAGACTATAATGCCAATTCATTCTTCATCAAGCTCGCCGTTTCTCCTGATGATCGATTTATTATGGCGGGATCCACTGTTAAGTCTGTGTTTGCCTGGGAAGTCGATCGCCCAAAAGCGCCAGCTGTGCAGTTTGCAGGACATTCTGCTGTCGTAACTTCCGTGTCTTGGTGTCATACCGATATCAACCAAGTAAGGCCCATATGTATTTTCAGTGAGACGATTTCACGTTAGCTGATTAGCTCCACATATAGTTTGCTAGTTGTTCCGATGATCTCAGCACTCGGATTTGGAACGTGGATTTCGACAAGCAGACTGATATGGAAACCTCCAACGATTCAGTCACTTAATTAATGGTGTCCTTCCTCTCGAGCTTTCTTCTTCCTCTAGGACAACCTCCTTCCTTCACGTTATATTACGCATGATACGATTGTACATATTCCTATTTAAAATACCTACCGAGCAGCCAAAAATTAACTTAAAAGTAAAAATTTGATTTGTATATAGACGAGCTGCTGGATCTCGAATCTTGGCATCCTGAGCATGACAAACACAGTTACTGCACCTGACCGGAAAGTTTGATTATTGTAAGGATGTTGATATGACGATGTTGGCTTACATATGACCAGTCGTTACCTGCAGTAAAGGAAAAGCAATCGAAGATAAAAGCATACTTGCACGACGTTGAGACAACTTGTCAGTCGACTTGCTCACCATTAATAATGCCTGTGACTTGTCGCAATAATAACAAAATATTTCTGTTAATTGGAGGTCGTCAAGAGAATACGAGACAGTCCCCTTTTTTTATGATTGAGGTTGCTGCTTAAGCTGTTCTTTACAATGATCAATATTACGGAAGTTCTTTTCTACTTTTTGAATGATTCGCTTTTTCTTTGACTTAATATCTTGTATTAGAGAATCCTCGAAAGACGTAAGCTGTAGGCTGTCAGTGTGTCCAACAATGACACTGCGTGGTTGGATTGCGTCTAATCGTTCGAGTAACCGTAAAAGTAATTCGTTGCACTGCGCCAATACGAATTCTCTTCGTTTATGTTCTTTCTCTGCAACTGCTCGATCTTCGTCCACGTCATTTGACGGAGCAGATGCTATCGTCTTTTCCATTTGACCAACATCGCTTTCTATCGCTTGACGATCGTTTTCAATCTCTTGCAACAATTGCAGTGCCTGCCGATGGGCTGCTTTCAGTTGTTTGCGCCGTTTGACTTGACGATCTTCCTGGATAATATAGTAGGTGATTCCAGCGACAGCCACACATGTCACTGCCCCGTATATCCAAATTTGGCGAGGTATCTGCATTTGGGATGGGAGGTTTTAGGATCGCTGATAAACGAGGGCGGCTGGGCGGAAAACAAGAAACTTTCCGCAGTCTGAATTTTTTCGTGCTAAACAACACCCAAAATTCGGAGTGAGGCAACATCTGGAGCAAGCCGGCCATGAACCAAATGAGGGGATTATTTCGTTTTACTTTACTGAAAAGGACCCATCTTTTCTCTGATAATAAGCAATTGTATGCACGCTGTATGCGCTTATAGTGCGCACCCAAAAGAAAAAGAGAAACTTTCGAAACTTTACCGTTGAGGGCAATAATACGTTGTACCACCTCCTTGACCACATCGGCCACAGGCTATGGTACTCTGAAGGAAAGCACCATCGTCATTGCTGTATAAATGCGCGTATTCAACATGGTCAATTAAAGAGCCGCTCAAAGAAATATTGACATCATCTTGTTTCGTGAAGTCATACACAATTAAACGATGCTCAATTTCAAGCAGTTTCTATGTCACCATAGCTGGAACAATGTTATCAATATTCCCTATATGCTCTAAAAAGATCGTCAGACATCTTTACCCCAACCGGCCATTTGACTATATACCGGTATGCTCATCTGTTCCGCGCATCAATATGAATAATAATATAGATAGTGCAGTTGTGTATACCAGTTAAAATACAAATACTATTATGGTTACAATCTTATTTACAGGGTAACATGATCTAAAATTATTTAGAAGCTTCCTTGAGTTTGTCACCAGCAGCATCCATCTTATCGGTGACAGCACTTTCGGCTTCACTTGTCTTTTCCTTTGCTTCCTTCTTCCATTCCTCGCCCTTCTTTTCGGCTTGCTTTGCAACATCACCAGCCTTTTCCTTGGCAGCATCAGAGTAATCCTTCACAGCATTTTCACCCTGCTTCTTCAACTCTTCACCCTTCTTTTCGGCTTGCTTGGCAGCATCGTCAGCGGTGTCCTTGGCAGCGCTGGTGTAACCCTTGACGGTCTGTTCACCTTGCTTCTTCAATTCATCGATGCGATCGCCAGCCTTGGACTTGGCAGCATCATATTGATCCTTAGCTTCGGCAGTCTTCTCATTGACGGCTTCCTTTGCGTTGTCATAAGCACCTTGGACCTTGCTGCCAAATTCTTCAGCCTTCTTTTGAACAGCACCCTTGTCGGCTTCTATATATCATTGCAATTCGGTGTCAATGACTCGGATACGAAATTTAAGAAATCATCCTATCAACAACTTACGCTTCTGCTTCTGGTAATAGTAGAATCCACCAACACCGGCCAACAAAGCACCGATGAGGAGAGGCGTGTTACCGCTAGGCTTGGGATTGCCCTGCTGTTCACCGGCGGTAGCATAGAGACGACGGGAAGAACGAGCAAAAACACGGGGCTGGAAGACACGAGTAGCGAACATTTTGTGGATAAGAATTTACAGGAAAAGAGTAATGATGTGGTTTATTTGGATTTGGATTAAATGCTTTTATATTTTTCTGACTGGGGGAATGGTTTTGCATAATGAGATCATGTCGATGTCATGGAAAATCACGTGCCTCGGGATTCCCCCACTGTGACTCCGACTGAAGATCTTCATGAATGATGCCATTCATTGGAAAAAAAAGCCTAGGCTGCCCATGTCCTTTGTTTCATATTGCCATTGAATAAATAGGCACATCGCTTCAATGAATCAATTATTGGCGAGTATGTGGTCCAAAAGACCCACATACTATTGTATACAAATAAGAGATCTGGGTACAGAAGAGGTTTAAATGGAAATTTTAATGCAGTGAGACATATCAGTTACCATCGCACTGTCTCTCATATAACTGTATCTTCAACAAAGAACGCATTATCATTTTCGAGTCTGAATCCTATGCGATATACTCTGTCACACAGAGCGTATGAGAGCCATGGCAAAATTGAGAAATTGGTTGAATCAGGATAGAGGACTGCAAAGCACGAGTTGTACGATACCTGCTTCTTTGTTGGTCAGCCAACCATACTTGTATTATGTGTGGGGCGGAGAGGAAGACAATTTGATCTGTCGTCTTTGGAGCGCAACAAGGCTAATCTCTCAGTGACAATTAAAATAGGCATTACCTGCATATGAGATGTATCAGCTCGTTTCTTATTGGCGAAGTTTCCATGCAGGCACACTCAATGAGCCGAAAAAACGTAACGGCACTGACGTCAGGTTTTGCGGTTGGGCCCCTTCGCTTTTTCATTGACCGCTGGTGTAACGATTTTTGTAGCATCATCCTTCTCCAGCTTTTCCATTTTTTTTGAGCAAACAACAACGTTACCCATAGTGTGCATAGATCCCCGTTGTCCGTCTTCCGAGCAAATTGTAGACAGCAACTCAGTTATTTTAGGCTGTGTCTAGTATTGTGGTTTATGAAGCAACGTTTGCCTGGTTCACAGTATCCCTCACCGCGTAGCTGAATATTTCGATGAATACGGTTCACAATATGGGTGGTTGCCTGTATTGAGTAGAATCAGTCTATGAGCTCGTTATTGATGTCACCATCATCTATGATCATTTTCGAGGGTTTTTTGATTTTGTTCTTTTGTTCATGAGGCACATCAACTGAAGGATTGGAAAGTGGTTTTTTCAGTTCTTTTATTTTTCGTGCGTGTTCCGCCTCTGGATACAAGATTCAGCCTTGAGCAACTGTCCAAACATCAGAAACGATGAAACGTCTGTCCAAAAATTAAAGCTAATCAACTCAGAATTTAGCAATTGGCAAAGCGCTTTGCCAGAAAATGTGCCCTTTGAAAAAAAAACAGCCTCACATCTCGATGAGCCTCATTGACTCTGCTGTGCTTTCTTAGGCATGTAACAATGCAAGAGCATGGCACCATCACGTAATTGAGAAGGTTCACTTGCAATAGTAGCATAGCGCTTTTAGAGAGTTTCTTTTTATTCTGTGATGTATCATAAATACATGTCCAATTTACTGAAAAATTTGTCATTCTCCGATCAAAGTAAATTCTAAATGGTTCTTCATCTTCTCTTCGGGAACTGGCAATACGTATAAAACAAACTATTCAAAGCCTTGTGACAACTTAAAAAAGAAGACGAAACCGATGCTTAGGATGATACTTATTGCCTTGACTCGGTTTAATTGGACATCCTGAAAATTGGAGGTAGAAATGTCAGCGACCGCTGTGTTAGAACGGCACGTAAATTTAGCCGACGTAGTCTATACAAGTTGTGATGATCACAGACATCTCTGGCAGATATCGCATTTCCAACGCAAATGGGGAAAATGTACGATTGCGATATTTAACATGTATCAAAGCATTGCTTTTCCGATTTTGGAAAGATCCTCAGGGCCGCATAACAGTTAGTCGCAATTGATTCAGTAACTCCGTGTTTCTGGGCCGCGCTCATAAAAGCTCGATTTTTTACACCAAAGTGGAAATCCCGAAACGAGAAGAAATGAGGGCCGCGTCAATTATGAGGTTGGAAACGGCTCGCCGGCTGAAAAAAAAAAAAAAAAAAGAATATTAGAAAAAGTCACGTCTGTCAGAATGGCTCTATATATCACAACGAATAAAAGGCAGATCTGTCCTGGATAACAAAATTAATCAGTCTTCCAATTGCTTACAATGCGGACGGATAATGATGAACGGATGTCAACTGCTGAATTTGCCGGGTATTTTTTTTCTCTCTCTTGGCAAAGAATTTGGCCCGATTAGAGTGCGGGTGTCTGGACCATCATGCAGGAATGGCGTTCCTGCGTCATTGAATTAGTAAAGAAACTGGATATGCCAGTGATGATGAGGTTTAATGACTGATTTACCAGAGATGATTGGATATTGTAAAAGTTCTGTTCGTGACTTGATTGGGCAACTTTTAACTATGCAAAAAAGAAATATTCCCGCAAAGGCCCGTTTCTGGAACAGAAAGGGACAGAATATTAACCTTATTGTGCCTTTATCCATCCTTCGAGTGGACCACATGATGCAATCGACCGATCTGAAATTTCTCTTTTAGATGGGGTCAATGCTGCCAAACTACTCAATTCGCCATATGAGGCACTTTGCAGAATTGAACCTTTGGGCGATTTATCCGAGCCACAGTTATCTTGGCCCATTTGGCATGTGTAACATTTGTTTATTCAGGTACATGACAGCTTCAGTACACCTTACAAATGCTTCCTCAAGGATCGATGGATTTTGATACCAGGCTATAGTTTAAGATCAGAAGAAAATGGACCTGGACCCTATTGAGATAAAAGGACCATGATTTCATGAAAGGTACCCACACTAACCAGATATAGAAGTTATTGCGTTTATCGATGAAGTTGAGGGGAAAATAACTTGGTCCGAGTACCATGACGAAATGGTATCCCACAGAGCTGTACCCTTTGCGTTGATCATATAAATATAAATACGATGGTCAGGCAACCACGGTGATAAGTTATCATTCATTGACTTGATTCTGTATACCATAAAGGACACTTGTATATTTTACCATGACCATCGAATACTTGACGCTTCAGCCCTCTGGTGACAAGATGCCACTTGTAGGATTTGGCTGCTGGAAAGTGGACCCAAAAGATGCCCCTGAAACCATCTACAATGCCATCAAGACAGGATACCGACTGATTGACAGCGCGGCCAACTATAAAAATGAAGAGGGGATTGGCAAGGGCATTCAGATGGCTATTAAGGATGGACTTGTCCGACGCCAAGATCTCTTTGTCACCACCAAACTGTGGAGCACATACCACAAAAAGGAACATGTACGTAAGGCGCTTGAAAAACAGCTCGAACAATTGCAATTGGATTACGTTGATATGTTCCTTGTTCACTGTAAGTATCAGCATTGCCATTTTCCTCGCCAAGATAAAAAGTTGATGATATTGAAACTGCTTCATCATAGTTCCATTGCCCTTGAAGTACGTCCCGATTGAAGCAAAATATCCTCCGGGATGGTATCAGCCCGGGGAAGATGTGATTACACTGGACCGAGCGCCGATGCATGAATGCTGGGCAGCCATTGAAGATTGCGTCCGGGCCGGTCTCACACGTAACATCGGTGTCTCGAATTTCAATGTGCAACTGTTGATGGATATGTTGACGTATGCAAACATCCGACCCTCTCTTCTGCAAGTGGAATTACACCCGTATCTGCAGCAAGAACATCTTGTCCGTTGGGCTCAACAGCAAGGGATTGCTGTTACGGCTTATTCATCCTTTGGTCCTACGTCTTTTGTATCCACCGGTTCTAGACGAGCCAAAAATGTTCAACCATTGTTCGAAAACCCGACCATCATGGATATCGCTGCCAAGTACAATCGTCAACCTTCCGAGGTCGCCCTGCGCTGGTCACTGGAGCGTAATGTGGCCGTGGTGCCAAAGTCTTTGAATGTCGATCGCATGAAAATGAATCTTCAGGCCCTTGACTGGAAAATGGACGAAGAGGATGTGCAAGCCATCAATGGTCTGGATATGGGTCTTCGTTTCAATGATCCCATGGTGAACGCTCAAAAACTCCCCATCTTTTACTAACTTTCTATTTAACCATCCTTCTACTGAAGGTTTTGCCCATATCATTCCCTCATTGTCCGCCTCTCTAATCTGGAACCATAGACTCCCTTTTTGTAATTATTGGTTTCAATCTGTTGCAAAAATAAAATAAAAAAATCACATCTTCATAATCCACTGGCTTGAAGATCTTGCCAATATTTAAAGAATGTATATAAAGATATGGGACATAGTGGATATTGGTCACGCATGTAAAAAAGCATGTTTAGAGGGTCGCATAAAGGTCTGAAAAAAAAGTAGCTGAGAAATGACGTATGAAGGAACCCTTTTTTTCAATTTCCGGAGCACATGGCAATGCTTGAAGGGGAAAAAAAGAATTGTTTGATTTGATCATGAACACCTGGCAAGGTTTCGTATTCACCGATCCGAAAGAGAAAGTCTCTGAATCGTCTGACAACAAAGACAAGCCGCATGAACAATCAACACCTGATCCTGAAGCGACGACAACGGCCAAGGAGCCTGAAGCTGAATTGGAATCTGTCAACTGGTCAGAATTGACGACGCGCTTTGCACAGACTGACATCGCGCAAGGAACAGATCGCCAAACTGAACGTCAGCAAGCCTTTCATACCAGTCGAGCTCCGATACTTCATCGTACTTCACAAGAAGCCCATGAATTGCGAAGAGCCAGAGCATTGGAAAGCCAGCGTCAGGTAACACCATACAATCCAAAGGCTTGGGTTTGTTTGCCTTACTTAGTCGTTATCAAATATTAGCATAGAAAAGACCGATTGACGGAAGCCCGACGAATAGTGTTTGCAGCTTTATCTGACGAAGACGAGAGCGAAGCAACGGATAGTAACGAAGGCGACGATGGTGTGAAGGAGGAAATAACCGAGACTCAGTCGGCTGCAACGAAACGCGGACGCGATGAAGATTCGGATGATGCAATGGATGTATATATGGACTCGAAAATACTACGCATCGAACCAAAACGCAAACCGAAAAATGGTAAACAACGTAAGAAGAACGGGAATAAACTTTACGCGTACGTAAGAAAAATGAAACCACGGGAAAGAAAAAATTGCCAGACGAAAAATCGTTTAACAATCCATGTAGAAATCAAATCATGTATGCGGAAACCATGGAGGATATTCCCAACGATCTATTGGAGAACTGGGTGGTTGTGATCTGTCCAGTAGGAAAGCGCTGTATGGTGACATCGGGAAAAGGTGTTGTATTTATAACCGCAACTTCTTTCAGTGATGTATTAATATCATTTGTAGGACGGACGGTCGCACGCTCCAGAGATGGTAACTGTGATCGTCAGGGGAACGGAGAACTTGTGTGCAATGGCAACTAAATGCTTGATATATAGGTCGTCGATTTATGAATGGGTTTCAATCTGTATTACCGAGTGGGTCACCTTCAAAGAGGTAGTAAATTCAACAACTGATAGTGTGAGCTTGTCAAGACTAAACGTTTTTGTCATTAGGCGTTCTTCTGATGTCAGTATTCTCGATTGTGTATACGATTTTAAGCACTGGACATTTTATGTTCTGGATATGATGTGCTGGAGAGACTACTCCATCTACGATTGCGATACCGATTTCAGGTAAAAAATTATAATGAGCATTTTTCAAAATGGCGAATGTTCACAGGTCGACGATATTAGGCATTTTTGGCTCCAGACAAAGATCACCCAGGATGAAATGGATACCCCGACGTCAGAAAACCGATTCTATAGATTTAAAGCTTTAGCACCTGTCCCTCCTTCAGAATTGAACCAAATTCTAGTGGGACCAAAACAATATGTCCAACAGCAAGGTTTCGATTACGAAATCGATGGTCTGCTATTCTATCATCGTCAGACCCAATACATCAATGGATCCACACCGTTGGTCTGTTGGGTTCCACTCGCCGACTTTGATTCTCTACGCTCACATCTCAATCAACAACAAATATAGATGAACATTAATATATATACCTATCATTTGCGTCAATTTGTCTAAATCATAGGGTGACATACGCATGATTTTGTGACTCGTTTCCATTTGTGACATGTCATCACAACAATTTTATTTTTTTCCAATTTTTTTTCAATTTTTTTTTTCTTGATACGAACGAGAAAGGAAAGGGCTATTATCCATTGACCATGTCAGCCAAATTAGACACATTGCACGTCTCTGTCGGCAACTCAGCGACAGCTCCTCATCAGCGTCCTTTCACGATCAGCATCAATCCTGTGGTGTTGTTCTCGGTTCTCGATCATTACCTTCGTCGTGATGAAGATCATTCAAAGGTGGTGGGTGCTTTGTTGGGTGTACGTAGCTTGGATGGCACCGAAGTGGAAATCCGCAACTCCTTCAGCATGATCTACAACGAGGAAGAAGCCGACATTGCTTTGGATAAGGAGCATTACAAGAATATGTATGAATTGCACCAACGCGTGAATCCTGAAGAAGTCATTCTTGGCTGGTACACGGCCGGTGGCGATCTGACACCCGCCGCTACTCCCATCCATACCATTTTCTCTCAAGATGCCACACCATTCCGTCCTATCCACGTCACTTTCGACACAGAAAAACTTTTCAAGAGCGACGATTTAGGATTCCGTGCATATACTTGGTAGGTTGATTCCTTCCTCTTGGTTAAAAAAAGAGGGAGTGAGGTTAGATCTCGGTCATTCCTTGCGGCAAAAAGGCCGTTTTCAACAGCCTCATGGCGAAATTGCAAATTTTTTGATGATATCAGGAATGACTAATCAAATACGATTCACAGTGCTCCTGTTGGATTCACCACCAAACCCGGTGACTGCATGTTCCTGCCTGTGCCTTGTGAAATTAAATACCGTGATGCTGAGCGAAGTGGATGTAAGTTGTGTGACAAAATGGCAACTTGGATGATGTGGCTAATGATGTCTATTTTAGTGGATATGTTGGCTTCTGCTAAATCATCTGAAAACCGCACCGCTTTCTTATTATCGGATATGGATCATTTGGAAATCGCTGTGGTCAAACTTCAGGCCATGTTGGAAAGAATCAGTCAATATGTGGATAGTGTGGTTGTAAGTAGTCACGAAATCGATGAAGGAACCTGAGTCATGACTTGCTGACGAATGGAAAAAAAAAAACAATCTGATAGGATGGTACGGAGAAGCCTAACAACGCCATTGGTCGATACATCATGGATACAGTATCGGTTGTGCCAAAGATGGATCCCAGTGCTTTCGAGAAGATGTTCAACTCACATCTTCAGGATCTTTTGATGGTGGTGTACCTTGCAAATATGACCCGAACTCAGTTGTCTGTCACCGAACGCTTGAATCTCTTAGTCTCTAACTAGAGTTTACACATCATATATCGTCAGCATGAATGTACAGTTTGATTGAAAAATTCTGGATAAAAAAATTTTTACAAATCAAAAATTTTAAAGAAGAGGCGATAATGTTGTTAAGTTAAAGTTAATCAAATAAGAGAGAAAACCAAAGGACAAAGACATACAAAAAAAATGGATGCATTAGACAAGCCACACTTGTTTTCACTTACAAAAAAACTGTTGTCACCGCATTGCGGGAGCCGCCCCCGCACACCGCCAAGGCATTGGCTTTATTCTTCAGTACTTTAAACTACACAGTAGAAGCACACAACAAGTGAGTGATTCGGCATAACATTCAAAGAGGAAGGTATTTGAGCACAATTATATTACCTTTCAAAGAAAAAGTTTCATTGTTGCCGTCAAAAAAAAAAAAAAAAAAAAAAAAAAAAAATTGGAACCGAAGTACCAAGATGCTAAGCTTTTGCTTCATATAGGGGTAGACCATTCACTTGCTTATCATTTTTGAGAAAAGATGATGTTTATACTGTGAAATCGGCATAGTCGGAGCTTATTCCACCCATCAATGATGAAGCCGGAAAAAGACGCCATGTGTCTTTTCTCATCGCTTCATGACATATTTATCCATTGATAAAGGAGTGTGGTCGCATCGCATGAAAAAGCTGCATGAAGTAGGTCTCAGATAATGTTAGAGAGAGATCGATCGGGATGTCTTTATTCAAGTGTTCTTATGTTGGCTGATCGGATACACATAGCTTTAGTACAGAAGCAATGAATGGCTCGTTAAACTATCTTTCAACTCGTATTAGAAACTTAATTGAAAAATAGAAGTCATCCTCGAGAAGATGGCCTCTCTTTGATGACAAAGTCGTCCGTTTCAGCGCATTTTCCCATCAGGATTACGCAGGTATTATGCAAGGCCAAAGTAATATGAGGTGATCCACCCCACTCCCGCAATAAAGCACCAAGTCAAGGTTTTTGTTCCCTTGCACTTTTTCATATTATCATCTCTTCGTTTCCCTAGAAAAAATGAACTGAAAGATGAAGATAACATTAGAAAAGTCAATAAATTTATCGGGATTACCCAGAGTTTTGCCAGGGCAATGTAAAGGAAATTTTTTTTGTTATACGGAAGTTTTTTTTGTCTGTCTATTTTGACGGTGATTGATGATGATGATGCATGTGCAGAAAAAGTGATGAGACCGCTGGTCCCTTTCTCCTCAATTTTTTTCTTCTCTCAATAGAGTTGATTTATATCTGATAATAATGGATAAATGAAGAAGATCATCTTAATTTAGGATCTACTGGCTGTTGCGTAAGCCGAGTGTTCAGGGGCTCGAAAATTACTGCGTTAAATAACGTAATCTGTTGCAAGAATGGCAGTTGGATATAAGTTTGGTGTCTATTTCTGTTTGATGCTTATTGGTTTTTTCTCTCATGCGGGGAATTTCAGTCGGGTTAGCGATGATAAGGGTTCCAAGGCATTTGATCCGTCAATAGAGCCCCTGTTTCCTTTGCTCTTCTACTTGTTCTTTTTTTTTCTACTCTCTCTTTTCTTCACTTATATTTCTTTACCGTCATTTTTTCTTTCTATTCATTTTTTTTGATATCACTCGTCCATTCCTTTTTACTTTTACATTCTTCTGTCCACTCATCATGCTAACGGTTTCATCCAAGGAATCCAAATGCAATGCCAAGAAACCCAACTATGACGTATTTGATTCTCCTTTCCATACGCCTGCCTTATTTACCAGCACCAGCTTACTTGATTCCTCCGCTATCGATCCTTATCTCTATGAGCCTTTCTTCGCATTCAAGGAGAACCCAACTTTATCCTCATCACTACCTTATGATCCACTGTTGAAGGCCGTGAATGGATCGGCTGACAAAACATCACCGAGAATTCGATCTCCAAAACATGAACTGAATCCTTATCAATCCGACCTCCTCAGACAAGATACTTCAATGGTGTATACCTACATGCGCAAGGTATTCACAAAAGATGAAACGATGCAGCGGGGATTTTCTGACATTAGATGACGTGCCTTGTTCTTTATTAATAACTTACTTTTGACTGACACTTTTTCTTTTTCTGTGTATATGATAGTGCGCACGAGATAACATACCGGCGGACAGTTCAAAGCTAACAACAGATCAACCCTATTATCACTCAACCTCAACAAATGGTCAGATAGTGTCATCCACTTTTATGTCAGAGTTGACTCTTGGCGAAGGGTCAGATAGACTCTCGATGGATCTGTCTAAACACTCCTTCAGCGACAGCAAAGACATTATTCAAGATCTACATCGTCAAATGAAAGAAATTAAACTTGAACTGGATAATGTATGTACTTTCTCTGTTTCTACACCTTCCGTACGGCATGCGCGCTATTCAGTTGGTGTAACCAAAAGTGGATCCTTGACTGATTAGACACGATACATGTTTGCCAACTTGCAAAGTTCGATGACGGCCAAAGATATGGAAATTCATGAACTCAACTGTCGTTTGCAGTTGACTTCACAGTTGTGCGAAGCCCAGGCTTTCAAATTGGCCAGTAAAGAAAATGAGTTGGGTCTTTATCAATCGTTAATCAATGTTCCAGCCAACGCGTCGGAGCAACGAGTCGAATTACTGATCAAGGAAAACACGGATCTAAAGACGAAACAGTACAAGTAAGGGCGATTGAGCTTTTTTTTTTTTTTTTTTTTTACCTTGAGAGACAATTAACGATGCCTTCATTTATTTCCCCAATCAGATTACAACAAGAACTGCACTTGGAACGGCAGCGAACGAAGCTGCAAGATCATGAAGCACAGCAATTAGGGAATCGATCAACATGTGAATATACAACCTCCTCTGGAAGACGTAACGTTTGTACGCCACCCCCTGAAAAAGCGCATGATCATGGCATATATTTGTCGCGACGTTGGAGTGAAGTGGTAGGCCAGAACATGGTTCTACTCACCGCGGGTTGCCAGCGAGACAAATGTACTCAATAAGATTTGGGCTTTTATTACCTTAGAAACCAAACGTGGACCGCAAATCTGGATTGACCACCACAGATTATCGTCGGTTGATGGATAAGCATGTGAATGCAGATTGGGAGGTAATCAATACCCTTTTTTTTTGGCCTTTTTTTTTTTTACTTGTATGCGCGGAGTTCCTGACCTTTGTAGGATTTTTCTTTTTGTGTGATTACAGGGTCTCGTTGACCGAATTCTTCAAAATACAGATCAGCAAGCGTCGATATTCCTTCAACAAAAGTTAAAATGCGGGACACCTGAACAGAAGCAGCAGATTTTTCAAGCCGCTCTGCCTCACGCGTTTGCTCTGACGACCAACCGCTTCGGAAATTTCTTGGTGCAACGTTTGCTGGAACTCGGCACCCAAGACCAAGTCCAACAACTCGCAAGCACCATGCAGGGTCATGTTTTAACTTTAGCTCGAGAACCCTTTGGTTGTCATGTCGTACAAAAGGTATGTTGTTGATAACCAAAACGAGAAAAACCACAAAAAAAAGGGATCAAAATAATTTATACAGGATAATCCAACGTCATGTGTATACCTGTATAATGGATCAGGCTCTTGATTATGTAGACGAAAACATGAAATACAGCTTGATATCCGAGCTCTTTATGGAAATTCCTGAAACCATCATGCACAAGTATGCCTGCCACGTTTGGCAAAAGATTCTCGAAATCCGAGCCTCCGATAGCAGTCCATCGATTATGAACCATGTTCACGATGCTCTGAGAGGCCAGTGGGCTCACGTTGCACTCGACGAAACCGGGAGTTTGGTAATTCAAAACATATTTGAGAATCTTTGTGAAAGAGATAAGGTAAAGGTCATTCAGGACTGACTGTCATTGACATACGGCACGGCAGAAGAAACTGAACATGATGATGATGCTGGTTTATAGCGCCCTGTACTTGAAGAAGTGTTGAACGACATTCCCATGATTGCTAAAGGCCAGTGGGGCAACTGGGTCATCCAACACGTTTTGGAACAAGCTGAAAAACAGAGCGATCGTGATCGCGTCTTTGATAAGGTGCTCGAGGAAGGGATTCAGTTTAGCATGGACCAGTTCGCATCCAAGGTGGTTGAAAAAGCTTTACGGATCGGTGGTCTGTCGTTTTTGGCCCGATTTATTGAACACATTTCAAAGAGTCACTCTTATCATCGCCCACGAATTGCCTTGATTGATATTGCCTCGGATCAATATGGTAATTACGTAGTACAATGGATCATCAACAATGGCGCCGAGGACCAAAAAATCAAAGTCTGCAAACTTATCAAACGACACATGGTGTCGCTTCGAGGTTCCAAGTACGGACAACGTGTAGCGTTTCTGGTCGAAAAAGTGCTCAGAAACTGCTAAACAAAAGAAGATTTAATGCTATCCATGCAAGAGTTTTTTTTTTCCTTATCTATCTAAGGTGTTACACATCACAACGACCTATCTTATATAACAGAAAGACCTGCCACTTATTTTTGCAGCTTCCAAAAACCCCACTCATCAGTATTTTAAAAATGTTGGAATAAAGACCGTTCTTGTTTAGGCAATGCACTTCATTAAACCATCTCACTTTCACAGGATTTATACTCGACCTGCCCCGGGAGCAGCATCTGAGAATGACGCGACAGCTGCTCGAAACAAGGGCGAGAAAAGGATCAGGATTTATTAACGAAGCATTCATCTACTAACACTTTTTATTCATTGATAGGACACTCATCCCAGCAAGACTGTTCCAATATTAAGATCATGCCCGTAGAAATGTCATGCTCATAGAAATGTGATGCATATAGAAATTCATCTCATTAGGAATAGAAAATCATCCCAAACAACGTCAAATGTCATCTCTGTATAAGAGCCAATGGGTTTAATCAATGGTGTGTCTTGTTGTCACTTCGAGAATGCATTGTTGATTGCTCGACTTAAGGATAATCAAAATTGAGTAATATGATTGATTGAAACGTTTATACGACTGTTTTATCGCTCTAATATAAAAATACAAAGCCACTCGAGCTTGGTAATGGTTTGATTTTTTGTCCTTTCTTTTTGCTCTTCCTAGATGATTGCTGACATTGAGCAGTAGACTGCATCAGGAGTAGGATGGAAACGGAAAAATCATTGGGCTAAATATTATTTCCGCACCTCACATGCTGTTGAGATGAAGCACATTTACATATGAGTAAAAATATAACTTATTTCTAGGCACACGTGCGTAACATCAGATTGTTCACGCCGTCGCGTGTTGCGTGTTCGACCAATGCTTGGCCACTAACCAAGTCAGACACATAACTCTATTCTGTTATGCATCAATGATATTCGATATGTGAAACGTGCAGATGTATTCTTCAGAAAATTCGATGATTTAATAAGAAATGAAAAAAAAGTTGCTAATATATGATAGTCTACAGAAAGGTTATAGACTACAGAGATATATGCATTTGTACAGCGACTATATAAATATGAGTATGCAATGTGAAGAAAAGATAGAAGAAAGACAAAATGAATGAAATGTTGAAAAAAAAAAAAAGATGAAAAGTGAGATGACATTAGTGAGAATCGTCCACTTTACTATTGGAAGAGATCTCATGCTTCTCGCTGCCTGCCGGCAAGTCAACCACAATTTCTTCTCCGGGTGCTTCAGCAGGTGCAGCTTCGGTTGATTTGTGTCCGTCAACATTAGAAGGTTTAGGTTGTTTGGGCTTCTTGATGGCATGATGTTGCACAAACAAAGTCGCAATGAAACCAATACCGGACATGGGGATCATGACATACCAAATGAGGCGTAAAGCGTCCACATAAACATCCAATGTCGGTTCAATGTACTGCGGCGGCAAGCCATTGCGCACAAATTCGGAAGAGGCAATGACTTGGGTCGCATATTCTTTTGGAATCACCAAAGGCAGGTCCGAAGTTAAGGACGAATTGAGGACAGCGGACGCGATGGCAACGCCAAGAGCGCCACCGAGAATACGGGAAAAATTTCCTAATCCTGTCACGACAGCTGGATACACAAAAAATATTCGTCAGTCTCTCAAATCAGCATTTCCGAATGTGTATTCTGCGCATGACTTACCAATATCGCGATGTTCCACCGCTGCTTGCAAAGCAATGATGGCCGACGAGAAAATGCAGCCGAGACCCACACCGCCAATAATGGTGATACCATAAATCACTGGTCATCATCATCCAAAAATAAATAAAGGAGAACGACACTTATCAAGTGACGAAAAAAAAAAGGTACTTACTGGACCAGTTGGTGTCCAAACCGAATAAACTGATGAGACCGACGCAAAGGGTTAGCATGGCCATACCGAAAATGATTCTAAACGGGCAAACATAAACATAAACTTAAATCAGTATGATGCTTCTTTTTTTTTGATTCAGAATTATTTCCTAGTGCGACCACTTACAGAGGACGGAAGACGCCGACTCGAGAAATAAATATACCGGCTGCGGTGGAAAATACACAGATCATCATCTGCATGGGAATGAGACGGATACCGGACCACATAGCAGAATCCGCGCGTACGACCTGGAAATAAATGGGAAGGTAGAACACCATGGTATACAGAGTGATGCCAAAGAACCAGTTGCTAATAAGGATGCTGACAACGGTACGATTTTTGAATAATCTCGGAGGCATTAATGGCTCCTTTGCAAACTTGCATTCCACAAACACCAACAACGCGACAAGCAGCACGGTGAGCACAAGTGGTACAATGACAGCAGCCGACTTCCACGGAAAGGTTTGACCTCCGAAATTCATCGCGAGTAAGAACAGTGTCGCAAAAATCAAAACAATAAATGTTCCCACATAATCAATGCGCTTCAACTTTTCACGGAAAGCTTCCTTGGGAGTGGGCAAGCGAAGATACAGGAGCAACACCACCATTGCTGCGGCACCAATAGGTAAACTATGGAATAGAGCATCCATTGTCAGCAACCAAGCGCGCAATTAGTTTGAAACACCGGTCTAGGACCCACTCACTTGATGTAAAAATTCCATCGCCAGGTCACATAATCCGTGAAACTTCCCTAAAAAAGCGGTAACCAAGGAATTAAGTATTTCCGCTTGCCGATTATGTCTCACATACATACACCAATCAATGGGCCAAATACACTGGACAATGCAAACACGGCATTCACAATGCTGAATCGTTGAAAGAAACACTTAGTTCGCCTGAAATACCGGGAAAATTCAATTGTCTCCTTACCCTTGGTAGGTACCCCGCTTCTCGAGTGGAACAAGATCGGAAAAGATGATGAAAACCTGTCGGATCACAGAATGTAAGACTACCAGTGATTTCTTTTTTTTCATTATAATATTTTGATCTTACCATGGAGAAAATGCCTGCGCCGCCAATGCCAGCAATAGCACGAGCAATAATTAACATGATCATGGACTAAAGATAAACGATACCATCAGTTATTCAGTTCTATATCTCGGTGGTTTTGGGTTTGGGATACTAACCTGAGCAGCACCACATAAAACGGAACCAAAAAGGAAGACTACGATGCCAAAAATAAGGATCCATTTACGTCCAAAAATATCGGAAAATTTAGAATAGAGAGGTTCTATGGGTATGCAAAGTTTAGTACATCGAGCCAACATGGATCAAAAGGAATATAACATACGGCAGGCATCAAAGGTAAGGATATAAGCAGTGGCGACCCATGAAACGATCGACATTTGGTTGAAATCAGAACCAATTCGAGGCAATGCGGTGGAAACGATGGTACTGCAAATATTGTATAAATGATTTTTTGTCATGGTATTCTTTTTTTTGTTTTTTTGTTTTTTTTTCGTGGAGATCAATCAACTGTACCTATCGAGAGCAGCCAAGAACAGTGACAGCTGAAGTCCGACAAACGTAAGAATTCGCTGCGTACGCAATTTCTTTGCATTGGCTGCGTCGTCTGTAGCGTTGGCATCGTTTGCACCGTTTTCTACGGGCTTTTCGTTCGAAACGGACGGTACATCGACATTGGTTTTCGAGGATATCTCGGATGGGGATCGTTCTAATGCCGGTTCTATTGGCATAGTAATTCTAAGATATAATGAAAAAAAAAGTAGAAGAAAAAAAAAAAAGATTTTTTTTGTGTTGCCTTGTTTTTTTTCGATTTGCCCACCATTTATTTGGAATTTTTTTTTTTCTGTTTTCACAGAGATCTGAGTGGACAAATGAAAAAACATTGTTTCAAGAGCAAATTTTTTTTTACCGATCCTTCGGGATACAATATTTCCTATTTTGGAAAAACACGAACAAGATCAGGAATAGTAACGAACGTTTCCTTAGTATGGTGTTCGCTCGTCCATGTATGCCCAAACGACCAAGTAACCAAAGAAAAATGGCATAATAAATATTTACTAAAAGAATCATGATTCTACAGTAAATTGATGAAATATTAGGTGCGAGGGTTAGGAGAATGCTGCAAATGCCTGGCCCAGGCAAGAAAGAATGACGCGTGAAACAAACTAAATAATATCAACATTGAGAACCCCTTATTCACCCCGTCTCTATGTATGTATCTCGGCTTTATTTTATAAAGTTTACATGCTTTTGACACGTCCGCGATGGCTCCTTTCCCGATCGCCCCCATCAAAAGCTTCAATTTGTAAAGCTTGGAATAAATTGTGTTCAACTTTGCTGAACTGCTTTGAAAAGGAGAAGGTGATATAAAAACAGCTTTGTCGTTTCAGTGACTTGCTGATAACTGGATTTGATATTGGCTTGTCGATCCTTTCTCCTCTGTATGACGACGTTTTCGCGGTATCTCTTCGGATTCTTATGCTGAGTTTATTTCTTGTGAGATTCTGCCACTTGCTTTGCATAAACGCAATCACGGAAACGAGATTGGATTTTTCTCGCATGTAGGTTTTCTTTGTATCCATAACTCCTCTTTTGCTTTTAGTAATCAACATTTTCCGGGTGGCTGAAGTATTTGCAGTTGGCTGGTGGGTGCTTTCAGCAGAGAGCTATTCAGGTCTCCAGCGTTTTTATTGGGAATCGCTTGCTCGGAGAGTACGAACAGTTTATAAATTCTTGCGCTGCCCTCATAAACGAATTTGGCATAACGCTGCGTGAGATCCGAGACATGAATATACTCTTGACGTACGATTTTGCGGATTTTTGTCTATAAGTGATAGCCACGGAGACCAACCCTAACTGTGCTGTAATCCACTGTCCATGATTACGGACATTGTATACATGGTTTATATGTGGTTATATGTTCTTGATATACGTATTCTGTATTCTGCATTGTGCATTGTGCAAAAATTTGCTACAATTATATCAAACAGGCAAAGCATTTGTCGAGATATTTATTCTGCAGGTCGATTAAATTTTAAATGACGAAGAATGCAGAAAGTTAAAAAAAAAAATTCGTGTTGACGTTGGATATAGTGATGATCCGATTAAGTCATTTACAAGACGTTTACGAAAGCGTTTAAAGGCTTTATTCTTGCTATTCATGTGTGTCATTGAGCAAGTTATACCAAACTCGCTCAGGAAACATGGTGACGGTGCGTAAAAATAAAATAAAACGCAAATGAAAAAACTCAGTTTGACCAAATCGACCTTTGACTTTTCGTTCCTAATTCTATCACGACCTTCATTCGCTTTACTCCTTACTGTCATCATCTCGTTCATTAGAACTTGTCATGCGTCCATCTACAGAGCACGACAAAGCTTACAGTCCCTCCTCACCATTCCAATCAACGTCCCGCCGTCCGCCTCGCTCGCCCGATCCCTCTCCTAGAAGCATCCGCATTAACATTGCTTCCGATCCATTACGGCACCGAGAACCGTCTTATTTGCAACGCTTATGGCAACGAAGTCAAGCACGTCGCTTTCTGTCGTTATTACGAATACGTTTCTTGAAGCGTTATCAGGAAGCATCGTACCTTGAAGTTTCGATCCTTGCATTGGCCATTGTGGTATCCAGCGCATTGCTCTTAATTCACGTCGGATTCTTTAGCGGAAAAAAGTACCAAGATTGGCATCAGGATCATGTTGGCTGGCTTGAGGAAATCGATCTCTTGGACAAAGTGTACCCAGACGAAGGCCGCTCGCTTTCTACCGCCATCGTTGTTATAGACGAAGATAATGACGACGATAAAGTACAAACGACGATTGGGTCTACAGTGTCCCGGCTTTGTCAATATGAAATGTTCAAACATATCATGGTTTGGAACAATAATCCTAATAACAACAGAAGTATAGAGGTATGCTCTTCTCTCATGGACAACTGATAAATTGGCGCAACAGTTTGATTTACAAAGGAAAAAAAAAGTCTCTTAATATTGCAGGTTGTTCGCCTGACAAAATCATCCTTTACAACGCTCAGACCAACTGGTTTCAGTATGCGCGTTATCTGGCGTGCTCGTTAGCGCAAACGCCATATTGTTATTTTGCAGATCATTCACCGGCTCGGCATCTGCGGAGTGTATATGCAAACTTTATTCGATCCCCACATCTCATCCATTCCGAATTACGCAAAGATCAATATGCCCAAGTCCGATGGTCCCGCTGTTTCTTTAATCAGGGTGAGTCATTTGTCTTTTTTTTTCGCAGACTGTGGATCACCAGAAATTTTTTGGGTAGTGTGAATTTTTTGACTCATAGGTCTGTCATCCCTCTTTTGCAGAAGCTCAGCTCCATACCTGTTATGCTCCTATGAGGGGTGCTTTTGCATCCAAGGAAACCGTTGCTCAATTCATGCAATTGGTGGACCTGATACCCATTGATTCTGCCTATGCAGATATGTATTTTATCTCTTACCTAAATCAGGTGCCTTATGCTGTGGAAGGTTTCCACGGTACAATCCCCGCCATAAATGACAAAGATATATCCAAAACGGAGGAGCACCATATGGTACATTCACAAATCGAATATGGATGAAAGTAAATTCTAATCAATATTCTTTCTGTTACAGAGACGAGGTTTAATTGCGGCCTATCGCAATGTGGGTCACGAGAACAGTGCTTTCGCAACCGGTGAATTCATACCATCCGTACGCCATACCAGGTATGTGTGTTTTAGGCGAATATCAAATAGTGGATAGACTGTCCTCTAACTGTAATTAGGGCACCTTGTCACAATGATCGATGCCTTTTCATGACCAACATTGAAGCATTACCTAAGCCAGAGCTGATATCCTATAATCCATACATGACTGTAACCGCTTCTGAACGGGTGCACACCGATTACAATAATGCGAGCTTTTATCAGCTTTATTCCTACAGCAATGCTGTGGATCATGATGATACTACAGCGTGGAAAACGACCAAATGTAAGACCACTCTTGTCGAATTTTGAGCACAGGAGGATGGAATGAATGCTTATTGTGGCCACTGCTTTTCAGTTATCCGATCGGGTGACTATATTGGTCTCGACTTACTGATGCCTATGCGTATTCCTCTTAAATATCGCTTCTTGGTACGGCATCCCGATGCATATCAAGCTTCGCTCCGATTTCAGACATCGTTTGACGGGAAAAGTTGGGTAAGTGAAAAACAATCTGTTCGTTTCCGGTAATGACGATGACTAAAATCCAGTACTAGATTGATATCTCTCCAACGCCGTCACTGACATGCAATTCGATGAATGACGATGACTATGATTCGATTCCGCTCTTGGATTGCCGGTTTATGGTCTCGGATACAGGTTATCGATTCATTCGACTTGAAAGTCGGCGCGATTTGGATTTCGCTATGGAACTCTATGACTTTTCTATTTCAGTTAAAGTGAAGCGTGACGGGAATGGTCACTTGCTGGATAATGATGGGGAAATAGCATTTGTAGACGATCTTGTAAACTAAACAACAATTTGGGAAAACTCCAAAGAATTCTGTTTCTCTGTTTTTTGGGTTTCACGTATTGGACGTCGTTATATTTGGTACGGTTGATGAGTGTGCAAGGAAGGTAGAGACCGCTATACTAGAAAGGTTTTTGGAATGTCTGAAAACCAAAGAAAGGGAAGAGATGAAAGTAGCGGAACGGTATATTACAATGGAGAAGAGAAAAAAAAAAGGGAGATGGAAAAAAGATAGCATTCAGAATAACACGGAAAAGAAAAGGGGGAGCAGTCGATAAGTTTGTGCTAGTTTTTGAGAGTAGCAATACATAATCACAACTCGGGAGTGGGAGTTGTGGGGGAGGTCGGTTGAGCAGTATCATCATCGTTTTGCGGTGAAGTGATACCTAATTTTTCGATAATGTCTTTTCCTCTGGGGACGGGTAGAACTTCATGGGTGTCGTACAAATCGGAAGGCAAAGATGGGTAGGGAACGGTTGAATCGGTGGGCGGGCTTTTGAAGCGGGTGGGGGATGCTTCATGCGATAGTATTTGCTGGTAATCTTCATTTTCATCTTCAATATATCCACTGAATTCGATAGGATAAGTCATGCTGGAGACGGAAAACTCGATGGCAGGCGATGGCGATGGGGAACGGGCGGCTGGAATAGAAAACGGAAATTTTGGGGAGTTCAGGATGTAAGGATCATCCTCATCATAGCCTTCGTCTACTACATTCTCGCTATTATACAACAATGTTGCATTCTTGCTTTTCGTCAGACGTTTGAGATTCTGTAAAGTACGATGCGATTTGGTTGGTTGCTTGACGCGGCTTAGGAAAGGGTCATCATCAAGGTCGTCTTCGTTTTCATTATTTTCGTCGTCGTCATTTTCATCCTCGTCGCCTTGGAAGAAAGATCGGTATCTGTCTTCGTAAGGTGGATCGCTGACATCTTCAGACTGAGATGACGTTTGGGAGCCTCCAACGTTTGAATCGTTTGGTTTCATTTTTTTGACTGGCTCTATTGAATCGTGAGAGATATCTTGCTCGTGGTCCGTTTCGTGAGTTTTTGATAGCAGTCGGTCGTCCACGGAGGAATGGCGCAATAATGCCGGTCGATGCCGAAGGAGGGGACGATTAGACAAAGGGTTGGTCATGGCTTGTGGTGGATCCGGTGACGAGAAAAATTCGCTGACAGCAGCTGTGGTCGCAGCAGCAGGAGGTGCTTGCGGTTGTGCAACAGTGATCCCTTTCGCGATATCTTCGTCTTTGAGAACCTGGAAAATGGGCGTGCGTTCCTTGGCTTGTTCAGTGTTGGTAGAATCCTTCAAGGGACCACTGGAACCTTGAATCATAGCTAATGGGCGACGCATGTTCTTTTCTCTGAGGCCTCCTTTTTGACCTAATGGACGTCGCTTCGCCTCATTTTCATCGGTTTCTGCATTTTCGTCGTTGGGCCGGTCTCGTTTCACAGGTTCAGAAGACGATGGCTTGCTGGATGGCTTACTGGTGAAGTACTGGTCTATCTTTCCAAAGACCGCCTTTGTAGGCTTATTTAAAGGTTTCCGTGTACCAGCTGCCATAAACGGTAAAACGAGAATATAGGAGGAGATTGGCTGTCTTTTTTTTCTGTCAGTTTTAATGAAAAAAAAAAAAAAACGCGCGTTTGAAAAATGGAAGAATGATGGTGCGGAGATTAAAATGTATGGGGCGACGTCATCGAAAACACAGAGGGCGGCGGGTTTGAGGGCCCTGAAAAAAAACTATTCAACACCTTTTCGCTCACTTGTGTCCTCGACGAATCAGCCATGTCTGCTCAACAGGAAGCTACGTTCACTCACACAAAGTTTGTCGATCCCACGCCTTTGCCCGGCTCTGTTCCCAAGGTCGATGAAGTGGGCGCCACTTCCGCCCCATTGAAGAGCGCATCCTTCTTCATCGGTGCCTACTGCAAACCTTACAATGACGATTTTATGCTCTGCAAAAACGAAAATAACGATCCTGAACATTGTCTCAAGGAGGGTAGAAAAGCCACTCGTTGCGCCATTGACCTGTAAGTTCTCTGCGACGGACCTGTTCTCCTAACCGCCATTAACGCCGACTTTCTTAAATCTTACTTTATTTTCTCCCGCAAAAAAAAACCAAAAACAAAAATCAACAGTATTCGCAAACTTCGAGAAAACTGTGGCAAGGAATTTGACGCTCATTGGCAATGCTTAGAAAACAACAATCAGGAATTCTATGCTTGTCGTAAGCCTGAAAAGACCTTCAATACCTGCGTTTTCGAAAAATTGGTACGTATTAATATTCTGACGTGTTAAGAGATATTGATCAGCTAATGGATTTGCAACACGTCAATTATAAAGGGTCTGGAGAAGAACATTCCTGGCTCACCAGAAGGTCAACCTCAAATCCACGAAAAGAAGAACCCCGTCATCGTTAAGAATCAGAAATAAACCCGGTTGTGTTGCATAGACTTACATTTTTTTGATGGTACATATAAAAAGTGAGAATTTACAATTTCGTCAACCACCATTTTAGAAAATGCCCGCGTAGCGTGATTGAAAAAAAAATCCCATAAGGGCTGAAAATCTAAATTCCCTTCCTCAAGAAGAGAAAATCGTGCTCGGTACGGCTATATAAAAAGACCAAGAATTTCAAGTGATGGACGTTCTTCACCCTACAGAGCGTTGCTAAGCTGATGTTGTAAATGATCTTTGTCTCATTCATGTACTCTGTTTCACAACCTTCCGTACCTTTTTAGCCATGGAGACCAGATCAGTGTTAGTCAGGTTTGGAGTTTGACACGATTGCCAGATCCGTGAGATCCGAAATACACAGACCAGTAATTCTCCGCCTTTTTCTCGTCTCTTAAATTGTTCATGAGTGTTTTCCATTATCCACTTGCGGTGTCATCTGTCTTCCTTGGCCAGTCCAGCTTTCATATTTCCCTACCGTCGCTTATCCGCGTTAGCTGCAAATGAGATTAATCGACTTGAGAATCATGAATAAAAACTGTTACTGCCGATATCCATCGAGTCGGATAACGCCGAATCTTTGTATCTTTAAGAACGCGATCCATTGACCGAGGCGAGTTACCCACTCCCTTTAACGCACGGAATTAAAATTTTCTACACCCACTATGTACGGGACCCCAAATAATGTTGGGCCTCCATGGACTCAGCGAGACCGGCTATGACCGGCAGCAAATGAAAATGATACTGAACGCATTCGTAGTTTTACCGGCAAGCGACAGTCACAAAACAAGTCGTGAAGAAGACAGTTCGCTTCTGCAATTAGCACGGTTACCTTGAGGTGGTTGGAAAGAAACTTTATACTGCTGTGATCTATGGTACACCTGACTTTTTCTTGCTGGTAAGCGCTGCGGACAACATGAAAACATGCATCATTTATTCATAGAGACGATTGATCTACCCCAGAAGAATTGAACCGCTCATTTAAACGACGGGCTTTTCCAACGGTGAGAATATCAGAACCTGCGGACGATCGCATATTCCAGTCCACAGCACGATAAGTCCACCAAGACAACTCCAAAATCGCATAGCCGACAAACAGCTCCAGTACGCCTGCACCCCAGCCTGGATAAAATGCTCGCCATCCACCTTCGTCTAGCCAAGTTCGCCGTATGCAGTCAAAGAACCCTCTATAAGTCGTATTGATTGAATGAACTCCACTGTCTTGTAATAAAAGCCTGAACAGAACTGTGTCCACTGGGTAGCTGAGAGCACGAACGATAATGCTACTCACGACACCGCATGCGAGTTCCGGATAAAATGTGTGCAACATGCCGTGTTCTTCCTCCATGGATCGTCTACTTCGTCCCAGGTTTGGTTCGTCCGTATCGCTCGTTCCCTGCACTTCGGAATTTTTGTCTTTTTTGCTTTCTGTATGAAGATCGCTTGTAAAGTGTCGATAAATGTACTTGTACAGATGCATTAGCATCCTTTCCGTGACAATGTTGAGAAGGCAGGAGGGCACGAACGTCGAGGATAGAGGGAGTGAATAATGCAGATGACTTTTTCGCCAAGGTATAAATCGAGCCAGATCGCGGAAATAAAATTGTAAAAAGGTTTTGTAATTGGTGATGCACTTGTTGACGGAATATGTTTGTACTCGAAGTATCAGAGCATTACGATACAGCGGATAAAGCGGTATATGCACTGCCAATGTCAATCTAAAGTGATATATGGTGTTATTAGAAAGTTCCATCCATTATGAAATTCACTGTGAACGGCTTACAATCTGCCAAGCGCCAACGTCATTAATCGTAGCGATAATCGAACTGGACGTATTTTGCGCATCATATCATTGACCAGCGATTCATAACCGGCACTGAGTGCCTGACCGCACAAACCAAGGCCAAATCCAGGATAAAGCGCCCGGAATCCAGACGTTTTGTATAACCGCCATAGTGATTGAGCACATGACCACGGATTGTCTCTACGCCAATCGCGATGAGGAAACGACTGCAAACGATGCCTCGCTACGACCACTGGAAAGCATAAAGTATAATTGGCCACCATCGTACCGATGGCAAGTGTGACTCCAGCCGCATTCTCTTTGGCTTCTATACTTGGAGGAATCAGTCAATGTACTTTGTTGCTATAAACCAAACCAAAAACAAAAATTACCTTTGGCCATCCAAGGGGTACTGTGATGAGCAACTGTAGACACGACATCGATTTCCGCCCGTCTGACCGCTCGGGACATTGCTCTTAAATGACAAACGTCCTGTCCGGCTTGTTCACCTTCAGCCCCAGTTTGGCTCTCGGTGGTGCTACCCAATGACAGTAATCCCAAGTAGGCAGTCAGTGTCATATTTCTTTGACAATGCAGGAGGAAAAATCAAATGATCTCAGTCACACGGAAAGTGGCAAAGAAAATGGTCGGTGCTTTAAAAAAGGACACAGAGGTGAAATGAAGACAACTATACAAGTGTGGTCCGCACAAGGAATAACGGCTGACGTCGGAGCAGAATTTTTACCTGCAAAATGTCTCCTTAATGCTATGCCAAATTCTATTCCCTCTTGTGACATTGCATTGAGTTGGGTTGAAAGCGGCTCCTTTCTTTCGTTTACATTATTTTTACCGATACGCACATGTACTTTGCTAGAGTTGTTTAACGTCTTGCACACAATGAATGCGAACTTTGTGTAGAGTCAAAAATAACCAAACTCCCTCTGTCACTTATTCGGTCTTCCAATTACTGGATTCCTATTGTCTGACTACTTTGTCTCTATTGCATAATCTCGATTGCCAAGTGATCATTTTTCCAGAATTGTTCCCTCGATCGCATTTTAGGTAATCATGTCCCCATTATTTTCTTAGGCCATTCCATGCCCACTTTTAGTTTAGTACGGTCACTCTATTCCTAAAACCATAATAATGATCATGTCAAGGCGTCGTCGAATAAAGTTGCTACTGAGTGAAGCTGGTGCTTTGTGAAATAGCGGAGTGGAACTACTATAAAATCACAGATTCAAGGTATGCAATAGCTGCGCTAAAATCAGCAAACATCGAAAAATATCCTTCTTTTAAACCGTAACAACACAACACTCCCTCTCATCACCTATTCGGATTCACACTCACATGTTTCGTGCGTATTACTCTGCATCAGCTGTCATCTGCTTTGGTTGCCTTTTTGAGACGATTGATCATGCACTGCCAATGCACAAACTATACAATCCAATATACATAATCTGTAATGGGAGGACGGTTTGCCTGTCTGAGAGCAGGTTCGGAAGCACACCTGTTACTTGAAAGTTGAGATGCCACTAACACATTGTCAGGTGCTTCCTTAGTGAATCGTAATTATATTAACCATAATGTTGATGCAATGATGATCATTTAAAACAAGAGACAGAAAGATTGAAAAATTAAATGTACTGTATAAGGCAGGTATTTACCTGTAAACTATCATTTATACAAGTGAAAATGTTTTCAGTGCACGAACCGTTTTTAGAACATCGAGAATAGGCTCCGTAGCGAATATCACCCTTCTCTGGTGGCTTCTGATGTCTAATACAATAGAGTATAAATTTGTATCTTGCAATCAGTAAATTCGCTCATTAATCCTTTCTCTGACAAATATGAAATGAAAACCTAAATATAGTAATTCAAACATACTCGTTGTAACGGCATAATGCCGATTGCTCATTGTCCTAAATTAGGAACGTACTACGACTTGGTTTGCTGAATCTGAAATTCTCAATGGATCACACGCCTTGGAAAGAAGCGAATAGATATAGCGCCCTTGCAATTGATTTTTCGTATTGCAAGGTACCGATTCATGACTCAGTCACCGTCATCTACTGTCGTTCTTATTGTCCCATCGAAGGTTTGTAATGTGGGGGCGCGAATCTTTTTTGCTGTTTAAAAAGGTGAGATTTGCCAGTGGTAAGGAAAAGATATTGGTGTTTATTAAAGGATTATCGATTTAGCTGGTCTTGTAACCAGCTTTTCACTTTTGTCGAAAATTGAAGCGAGAGTGACGAAAAATTTTGATTGTTTGGGAATCCGGGTTTTTTCCCTCAACATGCTCGGTTAAGTTCATGAAACAACATCAGTAGAAAGCACCTAAGACACCAATTCGTCTACTTTGAAGATTATGCAGCATCATCTGCGTTTAGATGAATCTGTAAGTTCAGTCGGCTTTTTTTTCTTTTTTTTTCTGTCGTAGGGAGATACTGTTACTATGGAGAAAAGGGGTTCGTCTTTCACCAGGGAGGTATAAACACACTGCGCAAGGGGCTTATTGATTGCTATTGCCCACAGAAAGCACTGTTCTTTCTTTCGCCATCCTTCTTGTTCGTTTTTCTTTTACCTTTTTTTTTTTTTTGTTCTACTCGATCCTACAGTTTCGTACTTGACATTTTTTCCCATCTTACTTTCCTTTATTGTACAACACTGTTTCCTGTGCTTTTTGCTGTATGCTTAATTAAATCCGGCTAGAATCCACCATGACAAATCCCAAGTCCTCTGTTACAGCAATGCATAGCGATCTCGTTGATATTGTGAATGTCACTGAGGAGGAGATTCTAAGCACTCTTCGAGCAAGGTTCCAGCAAGATAAAATATTTACGCGACTCGGCAGTTCCATCCTTTTATGCATCAACCCTTTCAAAGATGTCCGTTCCACCATCGAGGAACAAAGCCAGCGATATCTCGCCGAGTACAAAGACACAAGCGACACGCCCCGACTGGATCCGCATATTTTTCAGCATGTTAATCAGGCTTACTTCCACATGCGTCGCACTGGTCAGGATCAGTCCATCATGCTCAGGTAAATGTTTGCTCGAAAGAAAAAAAAAGCTGCGCTCATTCCGTAGGATGGTGTTATTGATGCAGTTGATATTGCAGTGGTGTTTGTGGTAGCAGTAAATCGGAGATGCATCAGTGGGCGATTTACCACTTGGTCACATTGAGCGGTCATCGAAAATCGTCGAAAATCCAGGATTTGGTCCAGAAAGCCTACACTGTCTTGGAAGCGTTCGGTCATGCAAAGACTCTTATCAACGATAATGCGTCTCGATTTGGAAAGTACTTGGAATTACAGTTTAATGAACGGGGACGAATGACAGGTGCAAAAATTCTCGATTACATGCTCGAGAAATCTCGTGTTGCCAATACCAATGCAGAAGAACGCAATTTCCACGTATTCAATTACATGCTGCATGGCACCACTTCGGAGGAAAAAGCTGCCTTACGACTTCAACAACTCACAAAGAAGAACAATGGCGCTATGGTCGAAGAAGATACCGAAAAGTATCTCGAACTACGGAGTCTGATGAAATCATTGGGGATCCATAAAAGCAGCTGGCTTCACATTACACAGATTCTTGCCGCTATATTACATTTGAACTGCCTTCAATTTGTGGATGAACCAAACAACCAGCAAGACTCCGCTACTGTCAAAAACAGTCAGTCTCTTGACAGTGCGGCTGAATTACTCGGTGTGGAACCCAAAGCCTTGGAAACCGTGCTCACTTATCAGACCAAGCTCATTAAACGGGACTTGACCACAATCTTTCTCAACGCAGAACAGGCGGCCATACAACGAAATCATTTGTGTGAAGCACTGTACTCCCTTCTTTTCGCTTGGATCGTGGAAATGCTCAACAAAAAGCTCTGCAAATCAACCTATCAGAACTTTATCGGTATCATTGATTTTCCTGGAGCAGAATCGACTTCGACGGCTTCCATCGATCGATTCTGGGTCAACTTTAGTAACGAATTACTGCACTCCTTCATTTTACGATCCGCTTTTGACACGCCTACTGCAAATCATTCCAAACTGACTTATCGGGACAATCAGGAGTGCGTCCAACTTTTGACCTCGAAGCAGGGCTTATTAGCTGTTCTCAGTGCCGAAGCCGATACCGAGTCCAAACCACCGCCGACCATTGAAGAATTTTTAGCGACCAACCATAAAAATCCTTGCATTCACGCCAGCAAACGATCTGGACTATTCACCATCCAGCATTTCACCGGGCCCGTCTCCTATACGACGTCCGAATTTCACACGACCGATGTCCTCAATGCCGATTTTGTATCTCTTTTCCGTGGAGGCTATGATGGTGAACAGCCTAGCAATGGCTTGGTGACAAAGCTGTTTAGTCAAAGCAGCATTGCCACCCAATCTCACCCCAAAAGCGAGGCAATCGTGGCTGCACAGCAATCTTCCAAACCCCGTCGATCTCCCTCAGTGAAAAGGAAATCCAAACCCCTCGTTCAGCAAGCTGCAAGCAAAGCAGGACAGGTTTCTGAGGCCATCGACGACCTCCTTGCCACACTGGCAGAAACCAGGATTTGGTGGGTCATTTGCTTGAAACCAAACGACTTGCTGTTGCCAGCGTCATGCGATACCAAGAAAATTGCTGCCCAAATCCGAGCTTTCAACGTGCTCGAACTTGTGCAGCATTTTAAACACGAGTATGCCTTCCAGATAGACTTCAGCACTTTCTGCACCCGTTACGCCGAGCTTATTAGGGCGGAAGATATCGATACAGACGCAGACCCTCAGGTCCAATGTCGAACATTTCTGCACTGGATGGAATGGGACGACTCGATGGTTATCCTGGACGAAGAAAAGGTATTGTGGCTCTCTTGACCCATTCTTTTGTTAACTGTATGCAAGAGTCATGTCCTAATTTTCATGTACAAATGCTCTTGGCAGGTCCATATTCGCGATGCGGTTTGGTGTATTCTCGAAAACAACCTTCGAGCTTTGGAGAAAAGGGAACAACGACGAGCAAGATGCGCGGCCAAAGGCATTCCCTTTGGTATGGATTCACAACAACGACTTTTTCTCAATTGCATATTCATTTCCTTTCATTATTCTAGAAGAAGACGATTTGGCGAGCCGAGGTCTACCATGTTCACAGGCAGTCTCCTGTTTCGAACAGTCCATCACAGAAACCGGGTCGGTCTACAGTGACGAATGCTTTGATCAACATACCCATTGCTTTACAGAAACGGAGTCCATATGTACATCCCAGCTTTACGGGTCCAGTAGTTCCAAAGCGAGCTTGACCGATCTCTCTGGTTCTCAGGAGCCGATGCCTAAACCTGTGGTGCTGCCACCACCGCCAGAACCGAAAAGAAAAACAACCCCTTCTCGCAAGATCTGGCTAGCAATGACCTGGATGTCCACTTGGTGGATCCCGAGTCCTGTCCTGAGTTTTTGCGCCGGTATGCGCCGTGCCGATATTCGTCTCGCCTGGCGTGAAAAGGTGACACTATGTGTTCTCATCTTTCTTCTGTGTGCTGCCATGGTTTGGTTCATTGCCTTCTTCGGACAGCTCGTTTGTCCGCATCAAGACCTGTTTACGCAATCCGAACTGCAGGCCAAGAGTAACAAAGACAATGCTTACATAACCATTCGTGGCGAGGTGTTCGATCTTACCTCGTTTGCTCCGCGCCACTGGGCTTCAGAAGTCATTCCAACGGGAGCACTGTATCAGTATGCTGGACAAGATGCCAGTGATCTATTCCCTGTGCAGATTTCAGCTGTGTGTGACGGTATCCATGGCACCGTCCCGCCAGAAGTAACCTTGGAAACACATATCAACATCACGGATTCCAATTCCGGTTACCATGATTTCCGCTACTTCAGAGACGATTACAGACCCGATTGGTATTTCGAACAAATGGTGTACCTGCGAAAAAACTACCGTCTCGGCTTTATGGGTTATGATCCTGTCGACATCCAGAATCAGGCCAATCATGCAACGCAAATTGGTGGCATCAACACGGAACGACGCTGGGCCATTCTTCACAATAACGTGTACGATCTCACTTCGTACATGATGGGCGGACGATTTGCCCGAGCTCCTGTTGGCCATACAGTACCGGCTAATATTGATATGGATTTCATCGATAATTCGATCACAGAGCTATTTCGACAGCTGGCAGGCACCGATATTTCGGCTCATTTCGATGCTTTACCCATGGATAAACCAACCCGCGATCGCCAATTGACATGTCTGCGAAATTTGTTTTTGGTTGGCAAGGTCGATACGCGTAATTCGCTGCAATGCCAGTTTTCAGAGTATCTTTTACTGCTCATTACCGGGTTTTTATGCAGCGTTATCCTGTTCAAGTTTTTGGCCGCTCTTCGACTCGCAAGTTCGCATGCTTTGGAAGAATATGATAAATTCATCGTGTGCCAAGTACCATGCTATACGGAAGGTGAAGAATCTTTACGTAAAACGATCGATTCCCTCACCGTTCTCAAATACGACGATAAACGCAAATTGCTGTTCCTGATCGCCGATGGCATGATTGTCGGAAGTGGAAATGACCGATCAACCCCTCGTATTGTGCTCGATATTCTCGGCGTCGATCCCAATATGGATCCCGAGCCCATGTCTTTCCTGAGTCTCGGAGAAGGCAAGAAGCAGCATAATATGGGGAAGGTATACTCTGGATTATACGAATGTTCCGGCCATGTTGTACCGTATATCGTCGTAGTAAAAGTTGGCACACCGGATGAACGACAGAAACCTGGCAACCGAGGCAAACGTGACTCGCAGATGGTCCTCATGCGATTTCTCAATAAAGTTCACTTTGATGCTCCCATGGCCCCACTGGAACTGGAAATCCATCATCAGCTGAAAAATGTCATTGGTGTGAATCCCAGTTTTTACGAATTTGTGCTCATGGTCGATGCTGATACCGAAGTATTGCCGGACTCGTTGAATCATATGGTGGCCTGCTTTGTCAATGATACAAAGATCGTCGGTCTGTGCGGAGAAACAATGCTATCCAATGAAAAAGATACCTGGGTCACCATGATCCAGGTGTATGAATACTATATTTCGCATCATCTTGCAAAGGCTTTCGAATCACTCTTTGGATCGGTCACCTGCCTTCCCGGATGTTTCTGTATGTATCGCATTCGATCAACAACTCGCAATCAACCCCTGCTAGCAAGCAATCAAGTTATCAAGGATTACGCGGAAAACCATGTTGATACATTGCACAAGAAGAATCTGTTACATCTGGGAGAAGATCGGTACCTTACCACCCTTATCTTGAAACATTTCCCCAATTTCAAAACCAAATTCACTCCAGATGCTGCTTGTATGACGAATGCCCCTGATCGATGGCCCGTGCTGTTATCACAGCGTCGACGATGGATCAATTCCACTGTGCATAATCTTGGTGAACTCATGTTTCTGCCTTCACTGTGCGGTTTTTGCTGTTTCTCTATGAGATTCGTAGTCATGCTCGACTTGCTGAGCACCCTAGTGATGCCTGCCGTTGTATGCTATCTCGGTTACCTGGTCTATCAATTATGCACCAATACAAGCCAGGTCCCGCTTATGTCAATTATCACACTCGCCGGTGTCTATGGATTGCAGGCAATCATTTTTATTCTGCGGCGCAAGGTAAATTTTTTGATAGCGAGAAATAAGGAAAAAGAGATGCAAAGAAAAAAAAAAACTTACTTACACTGTTTATTTTTATTTTTCTTTCCTGTTCCGTTAATTTTACAGTGGGAACATGTCGGATGGATGATCGTGTATATTCTGGCCATTCCGGTGTTTTCTTTTGCCATCCCAATCTATGCTTTCTGGCATTTTGACGATTTCTCGTGGGGCAACACACGTATTGTGGTGGGTGAAAAAGGACAAAAGAAAGCGGTCGGTCCTGAAGAAGGTGTGTTTGATCCTGCCTCCATTCCAATGAAACGGTGGTCCGAACATGAAACATGGGAAGAGAAAAGCTCTTGTTGCTCAAAGCACACGGAAGGATCCGGCTGTAGCTGCCAAAGAGAAACAGATTCAGAGGTGGGAGATGATTTCTCCACTTACAGTCATACCCCTTCCATGTATGGATCAACTCCACCCGCCGCCATCTATAATGGACCCACCGATGTGGCTATCATTCAAGAAATCGAGAGGATACTGGATCAGCACGATTTGATGCAACTGACCAAGAAACAAGTACGCGACGCATTATCCGAGGTGTTTGGCGTAGATATGAGCTCCAAACGCGCGTTTATCAACAAATGTATTGAACAGTCATTAGCAGAGCGGTTATAATAATTTTCCTTTTTTTTTGTATTTCATTTTTTGCTTGCATGTAATGTCACCTTCCTCACATATCATACATAGAATGCGGTAATAAAAACCGATAAAAGACCCTATAATGGAAACTCATCTATGCAAAATGTCCACAAACCAGTATGCCATTTGTTTAGAGCAAAGGTCCATACCAGCGTGCTATGAGATTGTCGCACCAATAGAATGACCGACAACGTGTATTGGCAAAGACTAGAGCACGCCATTCTATTTTCAAGGATTCGTAAAGTCAAAGCAAACTCTTGGAACGGATCAAACGTATTAATTTTCCCTTGGGAAATGCATAAACATGACGCAAAAAGAAACACAAAGCTTTGGTTTCCACATCATGTAATGTCGTGCAAGGCACAATGTACGCTTTACAGAATTCGGAATCGAGGAAAAAATTTAGAATCTATTGTATAGAAGCAACTAAAAACGGAGAGGTCCTAGCGCGTGCTTATTTCCCTTGTGTCACCGAAAATGCCACGTGTCTTTAGCTCATTTTATACATAATTGTTTCGTTTGTTGTCATGGATCTATACCATTCATGACAACTCGCAACCCGGTTGCATCTAATAGTTGCCTTAGGAGTCATAGCTTGTGTTTCTTCCTTTTCCAGCTAAAAATTCTCTTCCCCTATTGTAGGTTACAAAAAGTTTCCGGACCCAGGCGGCGGCTTTTATATTATGATAATCGGTGTAATCTTTCAAATTTTAAATGGTTGCAACCGCTGGACCCTGGTCTAAAATGGTCTGAAAAAAAAAGGGGCACAAGTTTAAATGGTAAAAGGACCAAAAAGACTCAATGACTTGTATTTTATAACCAAATTCTAACTGTCAGACTTTTAATCAACCCATTTCCATTTGATGGGAACTCGACCATCACCCAAGGAAGCAATGTGGGTGAATGCGGCGGGACTCAAATCTTAAAATGAAAATAGAAATTCCCAAAAGTTATTATACGATTTTTTTTTGTTATGAAATCGAATAGACAATAGACTTACCAACACTGCCGCTTTCACATCCAGGGCAAGTATCGACAATTTCAACTTTAACTTGACCATCGGGACCGTCGATCAAGATATGGCGACCGCAGTTGGGGTTGTTGTTCGGATTGGCGCCATTGTTCATCTGAATATGGTTGAGAGCCGCGATCAAATCGGAAGCACTATTTTCCCAGCCACAAGATCCCATGCCCGGTGTGTACCATGTACCGTCACCGCTCTCGGTAAATCCGCCACTTTCGCTTGAACCAGTAGGGGTGGCTTTGGCCTTGGTTGTCGTGGTAGTGGTAGTGGTCGTAGTAGTGGTCGTAGTGGTAGACTTGCGGACAGTGGTGGGACGGGGTGTAGCAACTGTAGTCGTAGACTTCTTGGATTCGCTCTTTGACTTGGATTCAGTCTTTGATTTGGACTTGGGCTTGGAGTCGGGCTTGGGATTTGTCTTAGACGTTTCTGTAGCCTTGTCTTTGGTGGAAGAATTCGACGTTTTCGGTTTGCTATTTCCAGTGACTGTAGGTCGGGGAGTCACTCTCACTGTCACTGTGGTCGTGGGCTTTGTCTTTGTCGAAGATTTTTTGTGGGAAGACTTTGAAGGCGTAGGGACAGGGGTAGACTTATGAGACGAGTGATGCACGGATCGAGACTTGCTGGGGGAAGAGGACTGAGCAGATTTATCACTGTGGCTGGGACGTTGAATTGCACCAGCAACTGATTTATTATGCTTTTTATCATCCTCATCCGTTTCTCGGTTTTTGTGAGCATGAGGAGGTCTCGAAGCGTGGGCAGGTTTATGGCATCGCTTTTGCAAGTGGAAGGATTCAGGAAGGGGGGAGGCTTGGACTGTGCACCAGGTAGCCACCAGGGCTAATACAAGGAGAAGGAAGAGGTGTTTCATTCGAAAAGAAAATGAAAGGAAGGGGGGTTAGTAAAGGATGGAAGGGAACGCTGGACTGCGTTGGTGAAGAAGAGGTTAAGTTGGTTTCTGTCTCTTCTACCATCCACCTTTTTATGTAAAATTCGCAGAAATTGGGTTTCAATAGATCTTTGATTATTTTTTAATTTACGCTGTGCCACCATACATCTTCTGATGATTCTTGCAAACATCAATTTGGAACGGCGAAAATGGTTTCCTGACCTTTTGGCTTTGCAGCAGACGGAAAACCCAACGTCATTTGTGCAATTGGAGTTTTATAACCATTCATGACGCTATATGAACGGTTATTTGTTGCTTTTATCTCTCCATAGTAGTAACAAAGTCTGTCAATAGCGGATGTCAGCCCGTTCTTCCTACGGTGTTGGTCTCATGATATAATCAGTCTACCATTCAATTGGCATCACCTGACTGGTTTCTGTATCCCGAGGAGACGAAAAGATCCGTTACTATGCATAAATCCATACCAATATCATTACAAGGTAATCACCGAGTTGCATTGAGTTACTTGCCATTTAATACAAGCTTTTTACCTTTGTAATATACAGTTTCGCGAACGGTTGAAACGGGACGGTCGCTACCTGATTGGTACTCAGCTTTCGGTGATCAGCCCTTTATGGTTCCAGGCACAACCATGTCAAATTCAGTCCTTGATTTCTAGAACTTCCGATTTCTCTATTTATTATTACGGATATGGCATGTTGTTTCCGGCGTCTTTAAGACTTGCAATTACCCAGAACGATCTCAAAATAACAAAACCGGTCATATCTCGTTGTTTTGGTTTCTGCCATTTATAACATCCCATGAGCCTCCTTATTCTCATATTTGGCTTTGCTCTGTTATCCAAAAATGAGGATCCATTAGAAAGTTCTCCTAGTCGATGAAAACGTTTCCAGTATCTACTCTATCAGCGTTCTTGGAAAAAAAGTGCGTAACTAACAAGCCCGACAGCACTGGTCATCTTGAAGTGTATTTCGACTTCTTTGCATCGCGAAGACTAGAAAAGTATAATAACAGAACCCATACCATCGCATCTCTCAAAGTAACAGTGAATATACGCGAAAACGACAAATAATCAAGACATTTTTTCATCAGATTTAAAAACGGTTTACGAAAACATATGAAGGAGCAGCGGCCAACCATCGCTTGCAGCCTAGTTGGGTGATGGCTCCGTTTCTAAAAAATGAATAGCGTTGAGCAATAAGAGATTCGACAAGCATCTAGCAAAAATCTGCATACACATTGGCTAATAAAGCGAAACCGATCGCCAGCCTATTTTTGCAGTTCCCAAAATCACAAGGATATATGAAAAGTACGGTTGCAATAGGGTATTCTTTACGTTAGTCGCACGCACTGCCGTAAAGAAAATGAAATCCACTATGAAATTTTATGTGTCTGTCGAGCTCCCACTAAATCCGCATTACTACTGTATTATTTCTTGGCCTATGCCTTTTTCCTCACCAATTTTCCACCTTGCCTCTCCTTCCACTGGCTACTATAGCTTCTTGGGATGAGTTAAAGAGATTTTTGGCTGAATTGTTTCCATGTGGCTCGTCATTGTTGGCACTTCGCCACTACACTTGGCATACAATTATGTTGAGTATCACATAGATGAGTCCCACACCAGGGCAAAATCTCAAAATCGGCCGCGTTTGAATGAATCAATAACGGACACACTAAAGATAGTTGAGAGAACTCGGAAGATTCACCAGATTTTTTTTTTTTTTTTTTTTTTTTTTTTTTTGCTGACTATTATTTTGCGAAGTTTTCTAAAATGATACGTCGAAACGGATGTACCGTAAAATGTCGTCGAAACTAGGGGATCTGGGGATGACTGAAAATTAGCTGCTCGCTGGAGTAAGATAAACGTTTCCATAAGATTTGTTGGGCTTCATAGTGATTATCGTTTCAAGTAAAAATCGGATCCAGCGTGCTTCAGAAAATCTACCAGATCGTTGTCCTGTATCGTCTCAGCCATTATAGTGTAATTAAAGAAAAAAAGAATAAGAAATGAAAAGTGCACTATCCTAAGCATCCAAAAATTAGCTGAAATGTGTAGTAAGTTATTTACTAGTTTATTTGAATCGATCTTCGAGGGTAGTTACTTTCAATACTGAAAATCAACTATATTAAAATTCTGTTTAACATATGAAGACTATCACTAGGTGAACGAAAAAAATTATTGATAAGTTAATATCAGATTGTGATGAAGTAAACACCAAGAGATGAAGTAGCAACCATCAAGATGCTGCGCGATATGTAGGACTTTTTTTAAAAAAAGGGGTCATCTGTGCTTGAGCTCCGATGTCACTAAATTTTGGTGATCATTTTTCCCACTGCAACAGCTGGGCTCTCTCCACAGTCAGATTCAGCTACTTACAAATCGTACTAAATCGTCTTCAAAACATTTCACTTCTTTTCGTACACACCTGCCTTGAAAAATCCTCTAATTGACTGTGCCATTTTTTCTTCCTAGGACACTCCCGTTCGCCATATATTTTCGCACTACACATAATTAGCCGTTTTTATCGGCTTTTTACCGCTAAAAATTTGGAATTTTTACCGGTAAACGGTAAAGTCACCACGTTTTTACCGAATTTTTACCGTTGAAGACGCACCATTTTTACCGGTAAATCCTCGATAAAGTCAGCGTGTTTTTACCGATTCTTTACCGGTAAAAACACATTGAATATACCAAGATGCGCTTCTCTTTCATTGGCTAATTCCAAGATCTTGAACAGCAGGGTGCCTCCTTCATTGGTTCTGAAGACATCTTTACAGCCACGAAAACCATTCTGATTGGTCTTTGGTCCATCTGAAGAACCTTTTGATTGGCGTCTTTATTCTTCAAGATCTCTTTTGATTGACTAAATACGGAACCTCTTTAGGTTATCGCTTTCATACAATTACTGGGGGATTTTTGCTTATTGGATGCTTGTAAATTGTTTTCTTTATTTATTTATTGGTAATAAATCGGAAAATGATAGTAAACTCTTCAATGGTTGTCTATACTACATTGGATATGTATAAAATGCTATGAACGTGTTCTAAACTTACCTTAGACATACAGCGATGCTGCTTAGTAAAGAATAAAAAGACAGACAAACTTACAAAGGCAAATATCAGCAGAGCGCTTGAAAGAGACCATGGATATGATAGCTGATTTCGGCAGCAGTTGAGGGTGCGAACTAATCTCTATGTATGTTAGAAGATGCCATAAACAATACTTACAGTGCAACTCCTTATAGCGATAAACCATCGTTGCAATAGCTCATTCTACATGTCATAAGAACATGTTCAGTAACATAGAAATTTACACATTTACTTTGGTATCGGCTGTTACATACCTAGTACTATAGCTTGTAAATTGCATACCGCCGCTTTGATAAATGATTTTGGCATGGATACCATCTTCTTTAAACTCTAGACGTGTCAAGAGATACATGAGCATTGTCTCCGTCAAAACCATATACGTCTTATTACACATCTGCAGAAAAACTTACCTGAACTGCTTTATCTTCATGTCTAAACTGCAAGAAAAGTGGAATAATTTTAGCTATAAAAAGTATAGTAAAGAAGTACAATACAACGACTTATCAAAAATAATAGGATAGCAGAGAAAGACAGATATTGTTGTTGATTTTCCAATTCCTGTTTAATAGATGACTCACCGTGTAACATTCTACCATGTATCTGATGACGTGTTCGCTAGATTTGGCAATGGGAAACGAGCTAATTCTCGAATTGGGTAAGAAAATAACATGTCAAATCAATCATACCTCTTTATCACTCACTTGTACTTTTAAAAACATCATGTCAAACGAACGTAGGCCCCCTCAAGTGCAATCCTCCCGACCAGTGCGTGTGCACCCAGTGCCTGCTCTTCCGATAATCTCCCGGGATTCAAGTGACGTAGCAGCATTGAAGCAGCGTGTGGCAGTTCTTGAGCGACTAGTCGCAGAAGGAGACCGTCCAAAGAAACGCTCCTCTGTCACCATCGACCATGCTGATTATAAGCTGAGAGTAAGCAGTGTACATAATATATCCAATTTGCTGATAAGAATCACTGACCGTTTCAAACAGAGGCTTATTCGTAAGCACTACGAAGCAAATTTTGCAAATGACCCAAACCTCTGCTTCGATTTGAATAAATTCGTCTTTGAGAAGCCAAATAAGAAGGTCGTGAAGGCCTTGCAGGATTACATCGCCAACATTTCCAGTGACGAGAGGGAGCCTGACTGGACTCCCGAATTCGTATACCAAAAGTGCCGCAGTTACCTGAATGGGCTGCGAAGTAAGGCAAAAAAAAGCCCCGAAGACCTCCAAAACGAAAGTCGCACCAATGCTACCCGGCAAAAACGGGATCGCGTTAGTATTCGAAACAATACAATCAAATTAAAAAATATGACTAACCTGAGTACCTGTGTAGAAATGCCAGGCCCGGCTCAATGCCTTCAGGGCAAATGAAGGCCTAACTACATCTTTCCCTGGGGCTGGAAAGCTCCTCGACAAGCGATTGATGTCTGACGAGGAGGACGTGAAGGACGAAGACGGTTTCGTCGTGAAGACAAAGGTGCTTCGGCCCAACTGGAGAAGTCCTCAGGTTAGCAAATCAGATTAAACCACTTGCATGAACGTCCCAAAGAATAACATGTATCTCCATAGGCAAATGCCTTTTTGGATGAGCTTTCAAAGCTCGCGGAAAAAGACAAGTTGACGCAGCAGAAGAAACGCGTCAAAGTAGTGCGTATTCCGAAAGAATATGTGCTGGTGGATCAGCACGTTGATGCAGAACTTTTGGAGGAGCTTCCCGATGAGGCGAAAAGACAATAAATACGTTTTTTTTTATAAGAAACTAAAACAACGCAAGTATTCAGTACCGATCCACTGCAATAACTGAAAAGTCAAAGGCATACACCACTTACTTTAGGGAATATATTACATGTTGACTTTTCGCAGTAAAGGAATGATGACGACGTTGTTATCGAGCCAGCTAGTGACTGCCACAGGTTGATATATACGATGCACAGGGAGGATGCACGTATTATCCATCTCGTCAAAATCGCGTCGCCAAACAGAAAGCCCAAGGTTGTCAAAGGAGGTGGGATTGTATGGTTGATACCAACGCACGAAAGCAAATGTATGTTTGAATTCGATGTCTTCGGTGCTATCATGCGTTGGTAATCGCTGGACATGTTGGAAATAATATTGCACCTCTCCAGGTCGCAGATAGTATCCACCATTGGCAGAACTAAAATACGCCTGGATGTGACGACCCCGACCCGTTCTCGCAGCTTCGCGGCTTCTGAACTCTTGGCCAAAGATTTGGGATCGTGCGTACTTCTGAATCCGGTCCATCACCATTCTCAAATGAATGTTGACCGAATCGGTCACCGGGCGGAATGGTAGCTGCAGGCGCTCGTAGTGGCTGTAGAGGCACCTGTAATGCATGGGATCCATTTTGACATACTGGCCGATGCCGAAGAGTATGACTGACTGAGGCAAAGCTTCATACCCCACAACACTATTAGCATTTTCAGGGTGGGCCAACTGGATGAACTCGTACGCATCAGCGACATCGTTCGTAGCGGTACTTGCGGTTGCCGCACCAATGTTTGGAAGAACGGCGTGCAATGCTCTACCAAACATTGGGTGGATCTCCAGGGCATCGCGAACCGAATGCAGCAATTGATCACCTAATTATAATTTCACATTAATTTCAAAATACCGAATGCAGATAGGGGAGAATTACCATAATATTGCTCTTGGTATTTGCGCATTATGGTGACCTCAAAGCCATCTTTGCTATTTGTTGCAAAGCTTTTCAGACACCCGTTCAGTCTCTCAAAACTAAACAACCAAAATGCGTAGACCGGGCCAAAGTCCAAGATGCTTTCCCGCAAATGCATATGCAAATGCATGTTGGGAGTGATTTCTTCGGTACCGTAACGCTGCTGGTAAGAATGGCAGAAATCACGCAGCAGTTCGTGCGCTTCATCTAGCTTGCTACGTTCGATGGCTGGTCTTGAAAGGAGTCTGTTCGCGTTCACAAACTTCATCCAGATCGTGAAGTCGGCTCCGATCAGCTTCTCTTTCAAGAGAAAAGGAGAAACTAGCACCCATGTGCGCCATTGGTCAGACGTCAGGTTGGCACACCCAGAGTTGACTTTGCCACTTGGCAGATCGTAGCCGGAAGGGAGAAGCATTCTGCCCAACTGATCTGCCATCGCCTGGAAATCCCGGTCGTTCAGCATGAGCTGGTCAGTATGGGGTTGCAGCGACGTCTTCCAAAGCCCCATACACCGCTTTGCGGTGCCCGAATACAGATTGTGCATTGGATCAACTACCGTACAACGGACAAGATCCAAATACTTCAGACGATGCAATTCTGAAAACCGGACACCGTTCAGCTTCTCTTGAGAAGCACGCTGCTGCAAGGTGGTGGCTGCCTTCCACTGTTTTGCCTCTTGCCTGTTTTCTGCAGCGCTGCCTCTCTCCCAACTATCAACGTCAAGGAAACCCGAGAAATCGCGTTGAAGGTGGTTACCGGGTACACCTGGGAATGAGCGTTTGCATTTGTAGCAAGCCCGAAATGACCCGATACCTATATATTAAACTTCAGATTTTTTTTTCATTAGGACGAATGTTGAATGATCTCATACCTGTGAAGCCTGAAACTTTTCGCGCTGCAGGTATGTCACATGCAACCATGAGGATCGCCGCACGAATGCGCTCATGATTGATGCTAATACCTACATACAGGTCTTCCAATTCATCGACGAGTGGGCGCAGATAATGATTTATCTGATGCGTCTTTGGCTCATGCGGCCCAGGGATCACACCGACGAGGATCACGTTCTCTGGCTTGAATCGTTGGGACCGGGGGAGGTTGTTCACTGCAAGATATATGGCACCAACAGAATGCATGCGACCTGTGTCAAATCCTGTAAGTTTATGAACATAAACCAAATCTAGTCCACCAACTTGTAGGCTTACCTGTGTCGAATTCTTGGAACCAATCTACGTTTAACGTCAGCAGGATGGATCGTTCATCATCCGCGAAGGTGTTATTCTCGACGTCTCTCACTTCATGCCACATCCGGCCGTCATAGACGTCGTAGAGCACGTCGGTATCCCCTCTGCGGATCCTCCACCCGTTGATTGCTTGTTGAAAGCCGTCGCGCGCAAACATCATCGCCAGGGTCGTTTTGACTGAGTTGTAAGCATACTCTTTGATGGGAGCAGCCTTGTTTCCGGACGTGAGTTTGAATAATCGGTTATTGCAAGGAGGACGTTGCGGAAAGTCACGATATTTGCACAAAAGATCATTGACAGGATCAGCAAATTCGTCCAACCGATACTGACTCATGCGAGTAGTATGGTGGCAAGACGGGCAAACGACAAACTTGATTACTCCTTGACCTTCCATTGACGAGCGGATGTGGTTGCGAAGGGTGGACACCTTTGCAGGAAGCCAAAAAGGAGCGCCACAGTAATCGAGCAAGGCGTTCAGGAAAAGGATGAGCAGTTCCATAGCCGACTCAGAAGTGTACCGCAGCTGAAAGAACACCAGAAATACTGCGATGAGCAAGTACATGGGATTCACTGTGGATTCGACTGCTTCTTCCTCCTCTTGCAAAACGACTTCATTCCGGAGATAGTCATCATCGGCACCAGATTCGAGGAAACCGTCGACATCGGTAGGCAGATTTTCGGAATCAACGATCTCTCCTGCGTCGTCCACAACGAGCTCTCCGAAAACAGCATCATCGGAGTCAAAAGGTACGTTACTGGTGATAACGACGTCGTCCATTTCGTACTCCATGTTGAAGTCATCGTTTGTCACCGGTTCAGGTTCATTGTCTGTTTTCGACGGGGTAAATAAAATAAAACTACTAGGTCTCTTGCAGCACTATGATTTTTTTTACCTTGACTGGCGAGCAAAGGAGAAATGCCTCTGTTAGCAAGATGTTCACGCACAGTGCGAGGTTGCTGCTTCACAAAAAACAATTTGCCCTTGACAAGCTTAGTGCACTTTGCGCAATGGCAAGGACCGTATTGGTAAGAGATTGAGCCGGACATCTTAATTGAAGCGATAATTAAGTAAAGACTTTCAAAATAGAGGGAAAAAGTTAAAGAAGCTTTTTTATTTTTTGGACAACAAAAATAAACACCGAAAAAAGAGATGGTGATCTGTCTTTGATAAGCCATTAAGATGGTATGAGTGACAAGTGCATGATATGATTGATTCATCATTGAGTAAGCATTTGAATTAGGAAGCAAGCCAATATCCAAAAATAAGCTCAAGTATCCATGACGACGACACCATACTGAAGAAAAAAACGCACACTAAAAAAAGGGGGGGGGAATAGGTGGGGTAAACATTGACCAATCACAATCGCAGCTCCAGAACATGGCAATGCAAAGCAGTTTTTACCGGTAAAAACGCCGGTAAATTTTTGTTAAATTTTACCGGTAAAACGGTAAAAACAGCTAATTATGTGTAGTGTCGTTTTTACATTTTGTATTGCACCGTTTAGCAACTCCAATTTAACTAAAAAACGACGTCACTATGTCCGAGTGGTTAAGGAGTGTGACTAGAAATCACATGGGCTCTGCCCGCACAGGTTCAAATCCTGTTGGTGACGACATCTTTTACTTTTTTGTTTTTGTCGATCAGAAACTTGGAATTTTCTTTTTGCAATTGTTTGCAAGAGCAGTTTCTCATAGCTTTATGGGTTGGTAGGGATATGTTGAAGCAAAGCTAATTTTTTTTTTACCAGGTTTAAAGATCACACTGCCGTCGGTAGGTTATCGTCTGCAAAACAGTGTGATGATGAATGTCATTCATGGTTTTCGGTCGTAGCGAGAAAGGAGGGAATCAGAGAAATTAGAGAACAGTGAAAGATAATGTCATAACGCTATAACGCTATAACGCGGTATCTGATCGTTCTGCTTCATTGTGTAGTAGCTCTTTTTTTCATTTTCCATAACCTTCAATTATTCAGAGTCACTTGCGTCAATAAATATTGAATATGACAAGCACTTGTAGGCCAATTTTTCGAACAGAGATTCTCCAACATGTAATGCTCAATGTGGCTTTGGTGGAAGTACAACAATAGGTTCTTTCTGCCATCAATTTACAGTTTGCCTTGTGTACAATTTCGAATGTGCCTCTAATACAATCTATTTTTCCTTCTTGAACTGAACTTCGATGTTGGAAATCCCGACAGGTTCATTGGACTAAGACAACCGGGCGTTAACCAAAGAGTAGCTTTATCAAAGGAAATATTTCATCTTTACCTTTTCATCGTATTCGGCCCATTCGCCTTCGCACAAATCAATATCCTCGAAAGGAGTGCCCGATTCTGCACCCTTTGCTCTCCAAGGATCCTACGCATCAAAATTCCATGTTATCGAACTGCCGCAACGCATCATATCCATGACAACTTACTCTAGGAGAGAAATCAACGAGCTCCAATCCGCGGCAATCGAATGTGGCCAGTTTTTGAAATTTTCCATTTTGTTCGATCTGGTACGATTGAATTTTCGCATTCGGTTCAAATTCTAGACAGGTCTATTAGTGTCATATGCATGAGTCAACCGGTACCTAGATAAAGCTTACGGGCTGTTGATTCGCGTTTACAGAACTTGCAGCGCATGACGAGGTTTGCAGTTCCTCGTGAGCCAGACATATCATAAGAATCCTATACAAAATCATTCGATACGGTGGTTCGAATCAAGGCATCATCACAGTGCAACTTGCCTGTCGGTTAAATGAGATCCAGGACTGATCAACTTCGTGACAGCTTCCACATTCAACCTAAACGCCATTTCGTCATTCGGGAGCTTGATTTGAGACCGCATTTACTCTCAACTTACCTTGAAGTGCCATTCGTAATTATCGACTGGAGTGAGATCTGTTACGTTCTCAAGATCAGCTTTGATATAGAGACCCAATTTCTGCGGGATCATATATCAGTAACCATCCCAGAAAAGCATGATTTGTCATAAGCATACCATAGCAATTCAACTTGAAGATGTAGGATCTGTGCAGCATGCGCGTCAATGAATCCAAAAATTTGATGCGGAATCTTAATTCATTTTTTCCGGAAATCATTTTCGTTTATCCAGGAAACGCGACCTACGATGAATCGTCCCGGAAGAATTTCCCTCCACTTGATCAATTCCATAAACCATTGGTTATACAGTACGTTGAATTTTTGATAAGGGCATTTCAAGACCAATGTATCAATCTATTTTACCGAAGAGTATTTTTTTTCCAGCTATGCATCATCGTACTCTAGGATACAGTCTTGCTGCACAACGGTTCCCGCAGTTACGTCGTTCCCATACAAAGCAGCGGCACCACATTTTCATCACCGAGGCCCAATTCAAAACTGAAGAATAATTGCACAGGTAGATAGCGAGTAATATCACAATGCAAAATACAGCCGAAAGCACTGCCACGATCAACTCACGGATAGGTTTACTCATTATCCTTTTTTTTTTCAGTAACTTGACTTTTAAAGACAACACTCTACCACAGATATAATGCAGAGCATCTTATACACGGTAACTGATTAGGGGTATGTAGTTCCCTGGATGACTCATAAAAGATTCGAGAGTATCAAATCAGGATCATACATTTCCAGTCTTTGCAGATCAGATAAACAGCACTCTTGTCGTGGGGCAGCATATATATCTTCATTATAACGTTGGTCTCGAAGTTCCATACTCGTCAGCGCTATCTTTTCGGGATTATTCTAAATTTTTATTACAGATACATTCCATGAGAGGACGATGCTACAGGCGGACACAAGTTTCATTAAGGGTAAAAACGAAGTACACCCATTGAGTTCCAAGTTTTCGAGAACGGGTGTCGGTATGGCAAAGAGTAGAAAATCAATCCAATCGACGCCTCTTGCACTTTTCGGTCTTGAGAAAACGTCTAGCAGTCATTTTTAGTATATCTATCGTGCATACACCTCATATAACTAAGGAAATTACCGCGCATTGTACCATCTAAGCCCAATGGCAAACTCTGTATTGATCCAGTCATAGCTTTTCCGGTTGCACATTGTTGCTGAGGAGTCAATACAGACGGTGTTTCTGCATTAAAGTGTTCTCTCTTGAAGATTGCACATATCTGCCGAGCAATATTCTGACCAAGCAAATGCAGTTTCATCCAGTCCGAAAAATAGTGCACCATAGATTGTGGCCAATGTTGAGAAAGGAGTCGCTTTGGATATGCCATGAGTCTAAGAGCACGGATCAGTCGCTTTGTTAGATACAGTAGGTTTAGGTAGTGATTTTACCGTGGACCGTCCTTCGAAATAAAGGCTGTTTCACCTTTCCATAAGCCAAGACCTTGTGTAGACCACCAATTTTGCCCAGGCTACAAGATTCTTCAATGCTTCGCTCTTCATGAAGCTCGGTACATCCAGGAAATAACGCCCTTGACCTCATCCCTTGGGGCTCAGCAGCGAAACTGATGGTATGTAACACATGCGACATCCACATACAACGAATTGTGGCCGCTGTGATAGATTAAGTCGGCCACACCAGGGATGTCACCGGACGCGAGCATTAAATGAACATGCAGATTGATATCAGGATGGTTTGCAATTCGCAACACCATGCCGTCAATTGACAGCTGTCTTAGCTCTATGATCAATGGTGCAAGGAAAGAATGTAGATCCTTTGGTTTCCGAGGCCCAGGAATCACAGCTACTTAACAGCATGTTCTTCAGCTTGTACCTATAGACACATTGCTGCTCTTTAGGCCATCGTCAACCAAATTCTTCAAAGCATTTCATTACCTTTCTGATCTAGGTAGGTTCAATACCACAAGCTGAACGATGGTCATGCATATATGGCTGCGTTGGAGCGGCGCAAATCTATCGACGTATAAGGCGACAGCAATGTCATAAACCCCCGGGAATAAATCCTCATATTCTTGGAATATTTCACCATCGAAGAAATCGGTTAGTTCATCTTCAACTCGCCGGTGGTACGTTTCCTCGAACATTCGGCGATACAACGTTAACTAACATGGCTCCAAGAAGTTCACTCAACGATAGGTATCGCATCGTGGCTGCTGGTTGTAAAATTGCTGTTGTCGTTACCCTCGTAGCATGACGTTGAGCAATGGATACAAGCTGTCTCTCCATCCTCCGTAAATAACATACAGCCGTGTCGACAGACATCAATATTATGGCTATTGACCGGGAATAGCTGAGTCATCCTCTTGTTGGTCAAATGCACCGAATCGAAGGGTTTGGTGACTACGATACGAATGATAAACATCGGCTGCCCGTAATTGAACGCTCAGTAGCATAATAACAAATCATACCTGTACTATTATTACAGTTGTTGCAAAATTGATCTCCTCTTCATGAAGCTGTCGAGAAGCGCCCGCTTTCTGCATTATATTGGATAAACGATTATGCCAATGGTCGTCATAAGTGATTTGCGGCAGGTCAGCGTGATCAATTATTTTCACGCCATTGTGTTCATGCGACAGATTTTGGTGAATATCAACCACAATCTCAGTCGCAGAATTCGAATCGCCCTTATTTTTGATCAGCAAAGTAGCTATCTATCAAGTCGGCATTATAATCCTCTCCACTGTCACTAGCGGGCGAGTAAGAGGTTATCGAAAGAGCCAAGGTGTTGATCGGAGTAATAACCCGTATCCATCGATATTGTCACCCTATCGTCAACTGCTGTCGTAATCTATGGCTGATGATAAGATTATATATGACATATTGTTCCAAGAAACATTGTAAAAGCTTGGCTATTCAAAAGCAATACCTGTCAGTTTGAGAAAAGAAATCGTCATATGCCGCTTTGATCGAGCTCTGTGTTATTCGGTTTATCTGTAGCAGATCTCTGTCGCGACTGATTTCCGTGTTCGATTCATTCTCGAAGCAAAATTGTCTGTAGCAACGTAAAGTTTTTTTTTCAGTTCGTAATGAGGTTGAAGGAAATGGGCAGTTTGGGTTTATGATAATGGGTGGGAAGAGGGTGGCACGTAACGCGTCGGGTTGCAGATTGATTGTGTTTAAAATATTTTGTCAAAGTCGGACGTTTTAATCTTCCCCGTGCACTCATTTTCAAATCATTGAGTGGGCCCAACTTTACGGAAGAAATTATCAACAGACTCGAGCGAATTGACAAAAGTCTTGATGAAAGATAAATTCGAGCTGTACAAGACGCTGAACGACATAACCCAGTTTCTCGTTAGGACAGGGACTGCATGCCCGAAGCGATAGGGTAATGCACTAATCATATCGGAAGATCTTCTTCTCATGCCACTTCAAGCTCCGTCAGTGCAGCATGTTCTGGCAGTCACCGGGTCATTTACCAAAGGTGGGGCTAAAGTTTGCCGTGGGAAAATAAGATGCAGCAGGGCGTCTACAAAAGTTTGACTGAATCGCTTTCGATCTTTCTTTATTCTTTACTTCCAGTTTTTATAATGATCTACTCTAAGGTAGCTACCCAGGCTCTTCGCTTGTCCTCGACCATGCACCGCGCCAATGCCGCCCGATGCCTTTTCTCAACATCCGCAGGTAAAGTCCGCGTCAGGCCATGCATATTGTTCATGAAACTAAGTATGGGAGCATTTTTTAGTCACCGTATGTAATGAATTGCTGAAATAAAGGAAGAAGGGATATCAGCGTAACTTGGTTTCTGTTATGAGCATAGATGGATCGCCAAACTGCCATTGGATTCATTGGCCTGGGACAAATGGTAATTAATCTTCTTTCAAGCATTGCTTATACTGGCCTGTATTATTTATCACACGCTTTTTAGGGACATGGAATGGCTAAAAACCTGGCCGAAAAATCCAAAAGAGAATTGTATATCTATGATGTGAATCCTGGTGCCGTGGAAAGGTTCTCCAAGGAGTATCCCGGCGTTAAGCCAGCATCGTGCCCTGAAGAAATTGCTGAAAAGGCGTCCACTGTTATAACCATGCTTCCTGAATCACAACATGTTCAAAACGTTTACCAATCGCTTTCAAAGACTATTGACGAAAGTAGCGTACTGATTGATTCTAGCACAATTGAAGCAAGTGTCGCGCGTGAACTAGCCGAGAATGTGATGAGCAAAAAGGCTAAAGCCTTCGATGCTCCCGTTAGTGGAGGTAAATACTGAGCAGAAGTAGGGTAAAATTCAATAGCGACCTGCTTATCTTATGTTCTTTAAATAGGTATCATTGGTGCAGAAGCAGGCACACTCACGTTCATGGTAGGCGCTCCTTCCCTGGAAGGGTTTGGAGCGGTCAAACCCATTTTAGAGTGGATGGGACGTAATGTGGTTTATTGTGGTGACAACGGCACAGGACAAGTGGCAAAATTGTGTAATAATATGTTGCTTGGTATTTCGATGATTGGTGTCTCGGAAGCTATGCTGCTTGGCACGCGTCTTGGTATGGATCCTCACCTCTTGGCTTCTATCATTAACGCTTCTTCGGGGCGATGCTGGAGTTCAGATACCTACAATCCTCACCCTGGCGTGATTCCCGGAGCTCCTGCCACCCGCAACTATACAGGCGGTTTTAGCAACAAGTTAATGGCAAAGGATTTGAGACTCGCTATGAAAGCCGCTCAGCAAGCTAGCAATAACCCTACTTTGGGTGCCACTGCTGCTCAAATTTACAACGAACTGGCTGTCACAAAAGATTTCGATAGCCTTGATTTTTCAAGTGTTTACCAGGTAAATTCACATAATCCACAAGGAAAAAAAACCAAGGCGTGTTTTGGTCACTAAAAATGTTTTTTCCAGTGGTTGGGATCCATCCAGCAAGGCAACACAACTCACACTACCGAACCCAAGAAAGAAACTACTGCGTAGAGAACATGCACGTTATAAAGTATCCTCAGAGAGGACAAACGAAAAATTGGCAGTTATTTCTTCTGTTGGATTGTCTCTTTCTTTTTGATATCCAGAAAATTATTTTGGGTAGCGCATTTCGTATAACTAAACATACACTTTCCTTTGAACGTTTGCAGCAGTCTTTGCTTGATGAGTCGTTAATGCTGGCAGCTTGTTGCGCTTCAGCAGGAGCAGAGCAAATACGTTATGGAAACGACAAGTCACTAGTACACATATCCTTATGAGAGAAGCAGGAATATATCTCAATGGAGAAATCTGGCAACGGTGCTGCTTCAACAATATTGATATTCACAGAAGGATCGGGATTGATGACAGCGAAACCGTCATAAGCTGTATATGAGTGAGGGTGATATCTGAACGGGCATCCAATTTTCTGGCTTGATTTACCCATAATGATGCGATCGGGGCCTCTCCATCCCCCTTATCATCCTCCTTGACTTCTGCGACTTTATTGGTTCTACATGGACTACCTTGCCTGCAAGCAAACAAGAATTCGCGCTTGCTGGATTCATTGGCGTTGAGTGTCATACGACGCTGGAAAGTTACATCGACATCGGCAGCTAGTATTCGCGCGAGGCTAATTCACCGTTTTAGTTCAGTTGCACAAGATCGTTAAAAGTTCTGGTGGTAGCATTCGAAGCAGTAGCCTTGGTCACGCTCAAGTTTGGTGACAGATTTCTTTTCTCAGGAAAGGAATGATCTCAATCTTCAGCACCGAGTCATTTCATATCCACGCGCCAGAGCGTGCACTCCAAAGTTCTTTGGCGTGACTGTCACGCCAAATGATGAAGTGCGCATGCTGCGGTGTGCGCATATACGCCTAATCTCTTTCATTCCACCTTTTCATGTCAAACAAAAATCGACTCACGTTGGGACAAGCGAGCTGCCTTGTTTTAGGCCTGCCTCCTACACCAGAGAACAGGAAATCCAGTAAAGAATGGTTCAAAAGCTCTCCACTTGCTGTTACGTTCAAGGATGATGACAATCCATTGGAACCCATTGCGATCGGCAAGGCCGTGAAACAGCAAAACGTTTTCCGGTTCCATGACTATCCTGAGACACCATCAACGAGCCGCGAAAATTCACCCGAACCAGAGTCCGAGAGCAGCGGGAGCTCAACTGAGGAGGAAGAAGCCGGTAAGATATTTGATTGCCGTTATTTTATTCGTTTGTTATTGTGTGCTTACGCCAACCATAGCAGCATTCAACATGCACTCCGTTGTGAATCAACTGAAAGCATACATTTCCTTGGAGGAACCGGTGAACCCAGAATTATTCGACAAGAAGTTTGTCACCTCCGACGTCATCAAGGACATTATAACCCACCATTTCCATGTGCAAGTCACAACGGAAACAGTCAGTCACTGGATTGGACGGGACGGATGGCTAGGAAGTACGACTAGACACAGAATCAACGGAAAAGTTGAGCGTGGAAGGTGGGCTTATGTAATGAAAACGAAGTTCCAAGGTGCGTAATAGATCTTGTCTTGGGCGGGTTTATGTCTGTAACTTGTTTTACGTTTGCAGATTACATACAAAGGGACCGTGTGAGCTCCCATAAAAAGTACCTGAAATATCTTAAGAAAGCTGGCGCGGATCTCGTAACGGTCGGCTACGCGCGCAAATCGCCGGGAAAAGAATCGTGCGCCGTCAGAGTCCGCTGTTTGCAACTCATGATCAACAAATTGCGGACAAGGTACCGATGTGCCAAAATCTTCGTCTCACCCTCATGTTATGCCTACGACCGGTTCGACGAGAGGGACCTGAAAGACGAACCAGATATCATAAATAACCTTAAATTCATCAAAGGAACCATGCAAGGTAAGAATTCCACGGTCTATTTCGTATAGGGTAAGACATAAGTAATCCGTACTTGTTATCCACAGACCTCATTGTCCGTTTAAACACGAAGCAGCAGCCTATACGTTTAGTCATCCTTGACTATGCAGGTCTTTCAACAAACGTTTCCGATATCCACCATTTTATCAAGTAAGCATGGTCCTTATCCCTCCTCAAGTCAAAAACAAGTTCTGAATGAATCTTTAGAAAATACAGACAAATACGAGAAATTGTCGTTGAAACAGAGAATGGTATTGATATCATACCACGACATAACCTTCTGAAAAAAGAAGAGGAGAGAAAAAAATTCGACTGCCGAAAAGCACCGGTAAAGCGTGGTGCTTAAATAAATTTATTTCCGTTGCTGTACTTCACCTCGTTCTTATACAGGTCGCTCTTGACTCGGCCTCGAACTTCGCGTTGGCGTAATTTTTTGGTGGGGGAGCGGAGCTCCAGGATTTTATTTGCTGCGCACGTCGCATGAACAGTGTGCAGTAGATGTATAGAAAAAGTAGAGGGACGGGAGGATATTGACTAGTGAGCAAATGATCCAGACGAGCGGCAGTAGTGAAAGAGAGTTCGTAGCGAACGGCCAGAAGGAGAAACAACCAAAAGTGATGTCAGAGGGAACACGGGGGTTGAAATAATACTTTTGGTCAGGTACACCTGTTCTAGCGCTCGATACAGTCACGACGGAGTTGGGCAAACTCTATTGATGAGAACAGAAAGCAAAAAGGTCACGAACTGGCAGAACCATCATCGAGCTTAAAATGATTTCGCCTTTCTTGTCTGTGCATCCAAAAATATTCCAATGGTCCAATATAATATTGTTTCATTCAGGCTATGGTAATCGTTACGGAATTCACTGATCACTTCATATCCACCAAGATCTCAGTCGTTGTCATTGCCCAGTGGTCCACCGTGCTTAGTAAAACATATTTATCGTCGCCTATCGGCCATGCTCGAAAATTCCAAAGGCTGATCCTTTGTCAAATCGCTCCGATATGCTTTCGCATTCCAATACACCATGGCAAGCAGTCTATTACCAGTATTTTCCGTCAAAACCAAATTAGTACGGATACGCTGCCCAGTAAACACCGATCAGACCCAACGTTTCCGTAGCGCACTCGAAGATGACGAAAGAAGTGAAACCGTTTATGACACTGTTCGAACAGCCTTCTAGTAACCCCACTTTCTCATGCGCAAGAAATTGCATCGATGACCAATATGGCTATTACTGTTCGAGGATCGTGTACACTTATTCCAGAAGTCACCGCAGGAATTTAAAAGTTGCCAGAAATCGCAAATTATGAAAAAAAGAAACCAAAAAACCAAAAAAGAATGGCAATACAAAAAAAAAAGACGTAAGAAAACATCACATCGAAACCAAAGAGTTGAATTTAGTTGAAACATAGAGGAAGAGAATGGATGTTAGTTTTCGAAGCATTATATCTACTTTCTGCGATAACCTACCAATTAAGTGTATTTCGGATAAGAGTGGCGATAACCGCTCTGGATCAATTAAGACGACGTCGCGTTCTTGGCTGCTGTGGTTCTTCTTCTCTTCGACGTCTTGAAGATCCACCTCGGCGAAACCTCTTCGATACAGTAACATGAGTTCGAAGCCTGCGTAGGATATGAACCATGTTCAAGCAAGCTGCCACGTCGCGGTTCCACAAACTAATTCAAATCCTTAGCTTTGCATGGTCCCTCGTACAAGTTTGATTGGTACATCTTAACCGAAATGAAAATATTATTAGTAATTTGCTTAAGGTTTTTTTCTTTGGCATGAAATGCGTAACCCTACCTTAGAAGACTATGGCAAAGAACCAAAGAATTTTGTTATCGTCGGTAAGGTCGTGGATTTGGAACTAGTTTAAATGACTTGAGGCTTTCCGTACGGCAGGTCGGGCAACACTTGCTGGTTTTGAACTCGTCAATAACCAGGACGCGGAATCCATGCTTCACCAAAAGTCTCCTAAAACCCACAGATTGGCTCATGGTACGTGTTTGGAGCAGACCAGTACGGCGTATTCACCAAAAGTATCGGTCAAATCTCGGATGAGCTGTTGATTTGCCTTTTTCTCGTTGATATATGTGCAGAGCCGAAGTTTCCGGAACAACAGATTCTCGATGGCATAGTTCGTGATGGGTCTCCGTAGAATTCATTCAAGACCTGGGATTGATCGGATTGGTCTCGAGGTAGACGACATATCGTCGATGGAGACAATGCGGCTCGAGTGTTGCGATAGGACCTATTCGGCTTCAAGAACTTTAGGAGCTTGGGCTTTGAGATATTGCAAGATTCGACGGTACGTTTTGGTCTTGCCACATCTTTTCTTGGTGCTGCTTCGTATCAGAACTTGATGGGCTCCGTCTTGGTAAAGTCTTCGTGTATACAAAACAACATCTCTTCTTCCTGGATCCATCACGACACATTGACCCGACATGGCTTAGAGCTCGTGAACGGCCAGGTCGGTAACATACTTGCTGACTTCTTTCACTGTGGTGAACCTTGTCATGTATCTTCCTTGTCGATCGAACCTCTTCTTCAGAACGGTTAACCCCTACACCGTAGATTTGGACGGTGCCACGGAATTGAAGCTCACCATCTCCTCCTGGTTACTGGGGCATCTAAATTGACCACCTAGCTCCAATAAGAGAGCTTGTCAGCCTCACTCACCCGGTTTTGCCCCATGATGTTTTGGCACAGGACTTTGCTCTCGATCTGGACATAGCAGGGTGACCATGAGCGCCGGAGATGAAAGCAATTGAAGAAACGCTGCCCAAGTGGGGAGAAAAGTCGAATCAGTTGATTGAAAGCTTCGAAATGGTTATCCAGATGGACCTTGACATCGTAATAGATGTTGTCTTCACCAAACCGATAGTCTCTATCGTAAGCGTCCAAGCAGACTGGAGGGCGTTGTAAGCGTTCATGTAGATAGGGAGATTCTGAGGGATGGTCTCTCTATTCACCGATCGGCTCTTGATCGCCTCATTGAATTTTCTCGCGGGGACGATGATTAGTTGATGGATTCGATCTTCTTGCAAACCCTGAGCAACTAGTACGCGTCGCATCTCTGCTTTCCGTGGCGAACATCCAGCAAGACATTGACGGCACGGCGAAGGTGTTGTCCAAATCTCATCTGCACATTGTTCATGTAGGCAACATAGATCTTGGCATCTCCATATAAAGCTGTTTGTTGAGCGAACTTGAAGCTAGGTCGTCTGTACCCGGTGATCTCGAGATATTCGTCCAAGTGGTGGCCAAATTGAGCTCGAAACAGGCCAGTTCTTCGACCAGCCTCTCTTCGCCCATAGTCCCCCTAATGAGAGCCAGACTTCAGCAAAAAACTCTCTGTTGAGGTACTCTCGTATATCTTCCGTTGGTAGCAGTCGGGGGAAGATGAATTTGGAGAGGCATGGAAAGTGGTATAATGAACGATCTCCACAAAATCATGAAGAGCGTCAAGGTACTGTTCGTCCCAACCAAGACCGAAGATGGAGCACCGACAGCCAAGATGCGGTCACCAAAAGCAAGAGAGACAGTGTCATCGACATACCTCCCGGAGTGCCTGGCAGCTCTTCGTCCATGGAGCTGATCGATTTGAAAAAAATAAAATACTGGAAATCATGCTTAGAAGTAAAATCACAACTCTAAGGCGGGAAGGAGACTTACGGCCTCCTTGTTGAAGTGGTTGTTCTCTTTTAGAAAGGGCGAAAAATGGAGAAGGATGTCGTTAAAGATGTAAAGAACAGAAGTGGATGCTTGAGGAAAGCGCTAGAAAGATGGATTTTTTTAATGATGATTCTTCAAGTGCTTTTATAAGCGATGACGGAACCTTATTCGTTGTGCACAATAAATGTACGATCTATGGGGAAATGATTGGATCGGCGTTCTTACAATAAACACGGATAAATTTCATAGTTTTAAGAGCTGCTGTGTATCAAATATAAGCTCCTTTAGATACGTAATCTACCTCTCTACTGGATAAAGAATAGACTAGAACGGAATACAACATGAGAGCGAAGACAGCAAAAAGCAGATAGGGACAGGTGTTTTGTTCGGATATTCCTCAGTTTTCATAAAAAAAAAAGCAAGGCCTGAAAATTTAACAAAGAATCTGAGTCAAAGCGAGAACTGGAACAAAGAAAATTGATGAATGATGATAAGAGGCTAATCATTCCCATCACCAGAATTGATTGTATGAAATAAAAAATGCTCCGTTAATAGCAATGCCGCCACTATCACCGCCTTCAGCATTATTATAAGATGAGATCGTGTACGCGTAGAGGAATATGATTGTCGTAGCCTTTTTGGTCCTCGACCAATCATCTTAAGATTTTCCCTTTTTGGTCAACTATTACATCATGATCTTTCTGTGATCCCCTTCTGAGCACGATACGCCATTCTCGTTACCTTCACTTTTCGTAACTCATGCTGTCATCGATAATTAGAATACCCAAGTATAAATATCCACGAAAACCAAAAGAATCAACATTATCTTATCCTCCCGTATTTTATCCTTTCCTGTCAACCTCATCGTTAACATCGGGCCATTGGAACCCCAGCGCAGAATATTGACGACGACATGATCGTAAATATTGTCGTTTCTAGACTATCTCCGGATTAGTTTCCACGAGATAGGATCAGAAAGTGCAGATGTAAACGACGATAAGAAGATGTTTTATTGATAAATGAGTGGACTATTATATATATCTTTTGTTTTGTACGATGGCTGTTTTCGGTGGCGTAAGTATACATCATGTCATGGCCAAGGGCGATATTAAAAAAATACGACAATATCACCACCAAAAAAACAAAAAAGATTTATTTCAGGCTTCGTTCCGGGGGAAGCGATAGGCATCACTTGGTTTTTACCACATGATCATGCATACTCAATCTCGATGCCCGAATTTGTTCTCCTAGAATCACATCGGATCTCATCCCGTCAAGTTTACGGTATGCTCTTCCGAAAATTTCTTGCAGCTTAAGCAGCATAAGTATCGATAGTATCAAGGTCCAAAAAATTGCTTTTTCAAGTCCCGGAGTCTCCTTTAAACGCCTTTGATTTGCTAAGGAATGCACCAAACAGCCACGGATAAAAACTGATTAGACAACAAGCAGAAGGCAAACCGCCTAAGATAGTGCAGAGGAAGGTCGACTGGACGTTGGAGCAGTGAAGATCTGTGATTTGATCGGACGAATCGCGATTCCGGGTGATTGGCAACTATGGATGTATCCGCGTTGTCAGAAAAGCCAACGAAACATACCTGGAGCAGCATATGCTCGAAACCCAAAGTACGGTGGAGGCTCCGTCTTGGCTTGGGATGTTTTGGGAAGGCGGACTTGGTCCTTGCTCACTCTCACTTGCAATGTCGATCAAGATCACCTTGACTGATCCAGTTGGATCACCTTGACTGATCCAGTTGGATCACCTTGACTGATCCAGTTGGATCACCTTGACTGATCCAGTTGGATCACCTTGACTGATCCAGTTGGATCACCTTGACTGATCCAGTTGGATCACCTTGACTGATCCAGTTGGATCACCTTGACTGATCCAGTTGGATCACCTTGACTGATCCAGTTGGATCACCTTGACTGATCCAGTTGGATCACCTTGACTGATCCAGTTGGATCACCTTGACTGATCCAGTTGGATCACCTTGACTGATCCAGTTGGATCACCTTGACTGATCCAGTTGGATCACCTTGACTGATCCAGTTGGATCACCTTGACTGATCCAGTTGGATCACCTTGACTGATCCAGTTGGATCACCTTGACTGATCCAGTTGGATCACCTTGACTGATCCAGTTGGATCACCTTGACTGATCCAGTTGGATCACCTTGACTGATCCAGTTGGATCACCTTGACTGATCCAGTTGGATCACCTTGACTGATCCAGTTGGATCACCTTGACTGATCCAGTTGGATCACCTTGACTGATCCAGTTGGATCACCTTGGCTGATCCAGTTGGATCACCTTGGCTGATCCAGTTGGATCACCTTGACTGATCCAGTTGGTCACCTTGGCTGATCCAGTTGGATCACCTTGACTGATCCAGTTGGTCACCTTGGCTGATCCAGTTGGATCACCTTGACTGATCCAGTTGGATCACCTTTGGTCACCTTGGACATTGGGTCAATTGCACATTTGGTCGATCACGTTAGATCCAATGATCGCATGGTCTCACCTTTGATCCAGTTGGATCACCTTGGATCAGACCTTCGATCATCACCTTTGGTGAATATAATCAACGAGGCGCGACTTCTGACTGTGGTTCACAAGCAGCATATATTTTTAGATCGTTGCACAGTTCAATGACTGATAGCGCGAAATGAAGGAATCTGAAAAACGGGCCAGGGTTGCGCGTGAGGTTTTCTTCTGTGACCAAGAGGGAGAGAGGAAGTTCTGTGCTTTCGAGAGCCTCGCCAATCATGATATCTAAGGCGGCAGTATGCTCCATATCTTCAGGCCAATCGGCAGGCTCTGGTGTCATACAACTGTAAATGTATGCGGCAAAAACGCCATGCTTGGCGCTCATCGAGATCCTATCTCATTGAAAATAAGTGATGGATCAATATCCATCAACTTCCTAGCTTACCGGTAGTAGCATTCGGATTCGGACGAAGAAATAGCGCTTCGCTCTGCTCACAAAAGGCTCAACTATGTTGTTGACAAAGATGTCGCTGACTGTTGTGCTTGATAAGAAAGTACGTTCGCGTATATGATGTTTTGATCTGCGAAACGTGGGGATATTTTCACGCAAGGAATGGTTGTCGAGAGCTCTTCAAAAATGCGGGTCATTTGGGCAATGGGTAAGTTGTTGTTAGTCACTGTTGTTAGTCACTGGCTTTCCCAAAACGAGCTGTTGGCATGCATAAAAAAATGGTTGCGAGAAAAAAACGATCGGTAACTCGTTCATGGGATTGTCCAAGGTACAAAAGGAAACTGTTCGCGAACAGCATGGATTTTATGGCCACTTCTCGTACAACGTCAACGATTCGTTCAAGTTCAAAATTTTCGCGAGGCCGATTTTGACCACAAATCGCCTGTGTTGTCCTCGAAGCCTCTGGGAAAGGTCCCCTTGGAGTAAAGAATTCATGGATAGACAACGTGGGGTCCGACTGGTGGTGTGAGGAATGCCCTCAGGGTCGTAAATCTCTTCGTCAGTGCATTTCTTGCATGGGTCGGCTTTTCGCCCTTGTGCTTCCCGTTTGCGCCTTTTGTTGGCATCTCTTTTTTTTTTGGGCGTCTTCATTTTTGCGCTTGTAATTGTTTTTCTTTGTAGGATGAGAATGAAGGTTATGATACCCGTATAAAACTGCAGCTTTACTTACTGTTAAATGGACAATCCCAACTTCGTGCATCTTTATGACCGCTACGTTGCATTTTTTTGCAAACTACCATTATGGTTCAACCGCAGCCCCCCATCCGTAAGCGTCCAAGATAGCATATTACGTACCTTCGTCCTGTCTTTCGGATTGTTCACGCAAACGGTTTTCCTCCGTCAATCTCTTTTTCCTTTGTTTCTTGAATAATATGATGTCTTGCGCTGTTAAACCCTGGTTTTTGCTTGTTAGATGATGGATCAATGATATGCATTAATGAGGTACTGTAAGGTGATAGAAAGAAAAAAAGAAAGAGAGCAACTCCATTTCATATAGATGTCAAAACGGAACATGTCCTTCTTTTTTCGAGGGAGAAACCAAAAATTATGCTTGCTGGCAAAATACACAGCATGTGATATATTTGATAAATTGATGGCTTTGATCTGATACTGTCTGGCTTTTGGTCTTTTGAGTCCTTTAAGGATGGGTTGGGTTGAATGCTCATATAGAATCCATCACCCCTTCAAGCGAGGGGTGGCCAGTATATTCCAACATGCGCCGTAGTGAAGACGGCTGCTGTTTACGGTAAGACCATATTCCATGTTTGCTTTGGTGCCTGAAATACTGATTCGACGTTTTTATTGAATCCGCACCTGCCTCAAAAAACTCTGTTTTGTCTGTCAAAGTTATAGTAAAATTGGATTTCAAAAAGCGCTATTGATTGATTGGATTTCTTTAGTTCGTGGACATTGCCGCAAAATTAGGGAAAAAAAACCCTGTAAAATAAACAACTCAAATAAACAAAAAAAAATCGCACCTCCTTCTCCTATATTCTTGCGGTGTAGCCCATTGCCATGTACATTTCCCGTGCCCTTGGTCACGTCGCCTCTAGCGCTTTCCGCGCTCAGACCGCCAACGTCGCTCGTCTCGCTTCTAGACCTCTCGGTGCTCAGACTGCTTTGAAAGGTACGACGCAACTCCTTGACGTTTCATCTCGATCTCTTCATCGCGCTCGATATTGACCTGAATTTCTTCTTCTCTAGTCCGCGACTATGCTACCGAAGCTACTTCTGCTGGTCGCATTCGGTAAATTGTCGAATGTTAAACATTTTGATTATCGCTTCTTGATAATTAACCACCTACGAATCGTTTCCCTTTTTTACATATAGCTCGGTTATCGGTGCCGTTGTCGATGTCCAGTTCGAACAGGAAAATCTTCCCGCCATTTTGAACGCTCTCGAAGTGAAGGATCACGCTGGTGGCCGTCTCGTTCTTGAAGTTGCCCAGCACTTGGGTGAGAACACCGTTCGTACCATTGCTATGGACGGTACTGAAGGTCTCGTCCGTGGCCAAAAGGTCGTCGATACTGGTGCTCCCATCACCATTCCTGTTGGCAAGGAAGTCCTCGGTCGTATTATCAACGTCATTGGTGAGCCCATTGACGAGCGTGGTCCTATCAAGGCCAAGGCTCATCGTCCCATTCACGCCGATGCTCCCGAATTCATTGAACAATCTCCCACTCCCGAAATTCTCGAGACTGGTATCAAGGTCGTCGATTTGTTGGCTCCCTACGCTCGTGGTGGTAAGATTGGTCTTTTCGGTGGTGCTGGTGTCGGTAAGACTGTGTTGATTCAGGAATTGATCAACAACATCGCCAAGGCCCACGGTGGTTACTCCATTTTCTGTGGTGTCGGTGAACGTACGCGTGAGGGTAACGATTTGTACCACGAAATGATGGAAACCGGTGTCATCAAGCTCGACGGTGATTCCAAGTGTGCTTTGGTGTTTGGTCAGATGAACGAACCTCCAGGAGCTCGTGCCCGTGTCGCTTTGACCGGTTTGACCATTGCCGAATACTTCCGTGATGAAGAAGGCCAGGATGTGTTGCTCTTCATTGATAACATTTTCAGATTCACCCAAGCCGGTTCTGAAGTGTCCGCCTTGTTGGGTCGTATTCCCTCCGCTGTCGGTTACCAGCCTACTTTGTCTACCGACATGGGTGGTATGCAAGAACGTATTACCACTACCAAGAACGGTTCCATTACCTCTGTTCAGGCCGTCTATGTCCCCGCTGACGATTTGACCGATCCTGCTCCCGCCACCACTTTCGCCCATTTGGACGCCACCACTGTGTTGTCGCGTTCCATTGCTGAATTGGGTATCTACCCCGCTGTCGATCCCTTGGATTCCAAGTCCCGTATCTTGGATCCCCGTATCGTCGGTCAAGAGCACTACAAGGTCGCCACCGATGTCCAACAGATCTTGCAGAACTACAAGTCGCTCCAGGATATCATTGCCATTTTGGGTATGGATGAATTGTCCGAAGAAGATAAGCTCGTTGTCGAACGTGCCCGTAAGATCCAGCGTTTCTTGTCCCAGCCTTTCGCTGTGGCCCAAGTCTTCACTGGTTACGAAGGTCGTCTCGTCAAGCTCCAGGATACCATCCGTTCTTTCAAGGAAATTTTGGACGGCAAGCACGATGCTCTTCCCGAATCCGCTTTCTACATGCAGGGTGATATCAGCGATGTCCAGAAGCGTGCCGAAGAACTCGCCAAGGAAATGGGTGGCCAATAAACCTTTTAAAATGTCAATTAATAAAAATAACTGCATTTATTTGTAAATCATCATTTTGGTGTTCGAACATCGGTAGTTGGTTGACAAGTGCCTTTTTTTTGTGCCAGCAAAAAGAAGAACATGGATATTTGTTTTATTCACCTAATCAAAGAAAAAAATGAACGATAAAAAGTAGGTGATATGCATAGAATGGAAAACTTATGTACGAGCGTTAACAAAGGATGAAAGAAAGAAAACACAGAAGGACTGGAAATTACATGGATAGAAATAACATTGGTGGTGCATCTGTATACAATAAACAAACCCGTGGTGAAATAGCAGGCGAAATGAAGACAATCAAAAGGAAGAAAAAGAGAAAAAAAAGCATGATGCAATGGCGACTAATAGCGAAGAATGAGGGTTAAGGCACCGTCATCGTTAAGTTTTGTGTCAATCTCCATATCTTGTTGTTCTGGGATATCTTCAACCATAGCATCATCTACCGAAACGACGAGATGATCTTTCTTTTGGGTGGAAACATGGCGAATCACGTCCGTAACTTGTCTGTTAAGGTTCATTTTTTCGGCAATCTTTTGGATGAGTTCTTGCACGGTCAAGTGTTCAAGATACACAGCACGGTGTACATCGCTGTTTCCGAAGCGTACAAAGATGCTGAGTTCTAAAAAGTTTAAGACGGATGCATAAGCTATTCACGTACGAAAAGAAAAAAGAAGAAACGTGTGTGCTACTTACTGGCAATACGACGTCGGCACTGTGGTATATAGGTAGGATCGACGTCGAGACTGGGCATCATATACCGAAGACTAGGATGGAACTGTACATCCTCCTCAGCGGGCGAGCACGAAGGGCGCTTGATGCCACGACATGGAACTGTTGGCGGAGGGAGTGTCATGGCTTGTGGACTTTCGTTGGGTAGAAGGAGATTCTTTTCTTCAGTGGCAGAAGCGGGAATTTCACGAAATAGGGTGAAAGCTTGTGTTTGAGAATGAGTCAACCACAAAGGGTGAGCTTCTCCATTCTTTCCTCGTAGTTTCTCCAGTTGTCTCTCAATATACTTGGCATCGTCTTTGTTCTTGCGTTCTGCACCCTATGCCAATTAACGGAAAGAGTAAAAATCGAGTCAACTCAAAGAACATTCTCATGGGTTGTCATTTTTCTTACTTTATCACGAAATAGCTTGATTCTGCAATAAGTCTTTTCGAGAACTTCGGGAGAAGCAGCATGGCTTTCCATATGTAAGCGTAAAGGAATACCTTTGACGCCCTTGATTCGTGAGAAGTCGGTCGACAGGCAGTTGAACCGGATATTAACCGAGGCTCCCTTATTGCCGTTCCATTGGAACGTAACACGATCAAAGTATTTGCATTCGACATTTTGGATACCTTTTGAGCGGCTCACATCTGAATAGTACAAGTCCAACAGTTTAATTTTTGTTTGTTCTGCAAATTGCCTAAAACGATCATGCTTACCGAGATCAACGGCTCGTGCATTGACACCATCTTTTTGTTGGCTTTTCCAGAATTTCCAGTAGTTACTGGCAACTTTTCGATGGTTTTCGTCATGGAACATGATAATCAGCGTACTGGTGATGTTCCCATTGTACCCTTCCATATCTTTCAACGATATATTGTAAAATTGACCTACAATAAACAGAAAATGTGTCAATCGGAAGGGAAACATGGAAGATTCAGAGTTTCTTTTTTGTGTTACCTTTGTTAAGGTAAGTCAAAGGTGACTCCTCGGCCTTTTGTGCTGCTGCTGTAGGTGCTGTAAAAAAAGAACGAATTTTTTTTTTCGGTGAGTATGTTATCGTTCTTGCCTTTTTTTTTTCTTCTTCTTTGCCATGGCTTTTTGATATTTATCTATTGTTATATCATACCTTCAAGGATAACTTCATAGCGGATACTACAATAAGAAAATGGTCAATACCAATCAAAGAACAATGTTTTTCCACCGATCACCGTGCTTCTGAGGATGGATATTCCTTTAAATTTTTCACCCCCTTTATTTCAACATCAGCGATGATGAATTTTTCCCCCTTGTTTAACGTCCCCCGGAAATGGGCCGTCATCCTTTTAACCCCTCTCCGCACCCTCTTTCAATAAGCATGCAACGCATGGGTTACACAAGGAAGCTCGGTACATCGGCGATGCCAAAACCATGAGAGATGAAGATCTGGGTACTCACTTTGTGGTCGACAAACAACTAGCCGGAGGTGATGGCACCATGAATAAAGCTGAAGGTGATGACTGCGGCGGTGACGAATATGGGTGTTGCAAACTAGGAAATCCGTGCACTGAGGGACTGTGCGTAGGACTCAAGGACGTGGGACTAGAATGATTTGATGAGGAAATCAAATGACACGGTACTCTAGAACGATAAAAAATTACTCAAGTCGTTATTATATCTTTGCTTGCCATTTGCGTGGGCGAGTTGCTTACCCATCCATGTATAGTTGCGAGGGCGGTGATGATTGGAAAGAAGGAGGAGACACGTATGGATAATGACGGAAGGAAGAGTTCACAAGCATGATTTAACTAACGAAAAAAATAAATATGACTGTGGATAATGATTTTGCCATGTTTCTGGGAAAGAAGTGACAAAAATACCTTTACTTGACAGGTTTAATACAAGAAGTTAAAGAGAAAGTAGACAGATAAAAAGGAAAATGAGTAAAGAGATAATAATAACTGCAAAACAAAAAGGAAGAGAAAGGGGGAGGGAACCGTTGCTTATCGTTGCCAATAAATAGACTTTGCGTATCAACCGTTTTTACTGTTGTTTATGCTTGTTGTTCATTTACTTGACCATCCTGGAGTTTGGACTCAATCTGGTAATTTTCTTTCACTACTCAGAATTTTTGTTTTTTTTGGCATTTTCCTCATATCAAAGCCCCAAGGGATGAACCGTGCAGTCTCTTTTTGTAACCTTGTTTTTTTTTCTGTGGCAACATTTCATTTATTCCAGCTAGTTTATGGCCTGACAGTATATTTTGTCATTTATTGACATTTCGTATCACCATTTCTTACAGAGGGATCTCGTCGCTGTTGAGCACAGTTTTGCCTTTTGTCTGTGCTCTATCTTGGTGTGTTACAATGTTGTTGAGTTTTTTGTTTTTTAAAACCCTCAATCGATAGGCTGATGCAGTACAATCTTCGGTTTAGCCAATAATGGCTATCCTTCGGCTTTCCCTTTTTTTTTTAACCTGATTCTACTTCTTGGGATCCGAGAATCGGAAAGTGGTACAGCTGTGTCGCTACTGGATTGATGTTGTAAACTTTAATCAATAATCAGACCATTTTTATTTCTCGATAACCTTATAGGATGGCTGTTCTCATCCCAGATCGTAACTGTAGCACGTTGTCGATCACATCTACGGGTCGGTCTTCTATCATGCTTCTATTCTATATGATCCATCATCGTTCCTTTCTGCATATTGCCTTTAATACATTTATTTTTTCACTTCTAATCTTATTTAGCGCCTGTTAGACAAGGCTACTTTAATAACTCATGTGAGCAATCTTTTGCTGTATTAACCAACTCCGTATTGTTTTTGCACGTCCTTTATTGCATTTCACTCCATATCCTTAGAATTGCACATGAATAATTATATAACGCCACGCAGTTGATTATTTTTGCAGGAAACCACCTTATAAAAAATACATGTTTAGGAATTCAAAATAGAAGTGTGGACGAAAATACCTTAAATCCAACATGCATTAAAGGTGAACAGTAAAAAGATGAGAGGCTGCATATCAAAGCTTTAGCCCTGTATCCTTGAGCAGTAATAGCGGAAAAAATGGATGGCGCAAAAAAAGTCCTTGCAATAGCTGTTATTAAAGTATAAGTTACAACAGTAACCGAGGCAATGCTTTTTTAACAGGTTTCAAAATCGGTCGCTGTCAAATTCCCACAGCAACCGTTGATTCCATCACTGATGCCAAAAATTTCACTTGTAGCTACTTGTATATTGCCATACAGTTTGGGAGTAGTGATATTTTTTTTCAAGTTAGTGATAAGCAACTCTTGAGAGGACCTATATATGTCTGTGAATTTCTCCAATTTTTTTGAAATGGCGGAAAAGAAAAAAAAACATCGGCGAAATGCAGACTCGAGACAAGTTGAAAAAGCAGTCAAAAAAGATGCCAATGAGGGATGGACAATGAATTGACTCGTCATCGTCGGTTGTGTCCCACATACCGTATTACTTTTACTTTATTTCCTATTGGAAGCTTTCTTCGAGACAATCGAAGTTCCTTTTGTATCATTTTAATAGCAAAGGGTATCTTATCGCTGTCTGTCCAAGCTAACGCGTGCTTTCCTAGTAACGGGTTAACTAAATTACTACGTCTTTTTTAGGTTCACCGTTGAAACGCGATAAAAGCTTTTCATCATGGCGAACCAGCAAGCACCCTATTCGATGAACCAGCCCCAACAACCACCTTTACAACATCAGGCATTGGCTGACCCAAACAGGGCCCGAAGTCCTCCTCTTCCGGGTCAGAACATGGCTCCTATGGGTTACAGACCGCCCGTACGCCCAGGAGTGCCCGGCTCCCCCAACAGACCTCCAATGCCCATGATGCCACCTTCACAGCGTGGAAGCCCTGCACCTTCACCTGGTATGATGAGCCCGCGACCTCCATTTCCCCCCGGAGCCCGCCCACCAATGCCTCATCCGAACATGGTTCGTCCGGGAATGCCTCCCATCGATCGTGTAGCTTCACCTACGGCTGGCGTGCCTTTGCCCACAGGAATGCCGGCTGACCGACGACCTTCCAATGTCGCAGGTGTACCCGGTACGCCTCCTGCAGCTATGGGTGCTCAAAGTCCAAGTATAGCGGCTGCCGTTCAGCAACCCCAATCACCAGTTTCGCCTGTCGCACCCCATACTCCCGAACATCATCGTCGTAAACGCATGTATCCTGAGCAAATTACTCAAGCATATACTCAGCCTACTGCTCCCCAGAGCCCGATGGGTTATGGAGGAACACCTCAAGTGCCCCAACTGCCGGCAGCACAGCAGGCGTATCCTCCGTCGGCCGTACCTACGACAGCCGCACCAGCTTATACCTATAACCAGCCCACGCAGCCTGCCTACGGTCAGACTATGATGAATAACTTGACAAATCAGTTTGGTAACATGAATATGGCGCCTGTAAGTAAAAAAAAAAAAAAAAAAAAAAAAAAATCGTGAAAATAGGAAGAGAGTTATGGAAAAGGCTAATACGCGTTATTTTCTTCAGGTGGCCCAAACTGTACCATTGATGGGAGCTGCTCCACAAATTGGCGATTTGTATAGTCCGCCTCCTCAGATCAATTTGCCTCCTAACGTAAGTAGACTGTCTTCGGGTTGTGACAATTCTTTGTTGACATGAAGCGTCTAGTCTTCTTTGACCGATTCGCCTTATGCGAACAGCGATCCATCCTACAAGTGCTGTACGGTGAATGCCATTCCCGCTACTGAATCGTTGTTGAAAAAATCCAGACTTCCTTTGGCGTTAGTACTTGCACCTTACAGAACAGAGTCCGAAACCGATGTATGTTGAGCTGTGTCATGCCGATGATATAGAAATGTGAATCTCAAGTGAGGAACTTTTTTTTTGTAGCAACCGGTGCCAGTTGTTACCGATTCAGTGATTGCAAGATGCCGTCGATGCAGAACATATATTAACCCGTTTGTTACTTTTGTGGAAGGCGGGCAACGCTGGAAGTGTAATATCTGTTTCTTGTTAAATGATGGTAAGGTTCTATTGCTCCTGTTCACGTGGATGTCCAGATTCTTATCTACGAAAAAGTCCCCTCGGCTTTCGATTTTGATGCGCAGACACAACAACCTGCTGATCGTTGGAAGCGCGCTGAACTCAACTATTCATGCGTCGAATTTGTGGCTCCAACTGAATATATGGTAGCGTATGATATGTGTAATGAGTTTATTTCATATCAACCTTCTTAATTTCTGTGTCAAAATAGGTTCGACCACCACAAGCACCCGCTTTTGTTTTCGTCCTTGACGTCTCTTATTCGGCCATTCAGTCGGGCATGCTAGCAACGGCAGCACGTACTATTTTGGATTCCATCGAGCGCATTCCGAACCAGGAAAATCGTACCAAGATCGGTATCATCACTGTGGACAGTGCCTTGCACTTTTATAACCTGAACCCCAATCTGTCTGAGCCACAAATGCTTGTCGTTTCCGATCTTGAGGATGTTTTTGTTCCTTCCCCTGCTGATCTCTTGGTCAATCTTACTGAAAGCAAAGAAATCCTCAAGTCACTCTTGGAAAAACTTCCTGATATGTTCAAAGACTCTGTGAATGTGAACAACGCATTGGGAACAGCCCTCCAAGCCGCTTTCAAGATGGTGGTAAGTTAAAGCGACTCTTTGCTTTGTCAACTTGCGCACATTTTGCTCAAATACGGTTGTGATGGGATTGCAACATAGTCTACAATTGGCGGTAAAATCATCTGTTTGCAATCTACCTTACCTAATGTTGGCACTGGTGCTCTGAAACCGCGCGAAGATGTCAAGCTTCTCGGAACAGCAAAGGTAAGTTCAGTGACAGGATCACCGCGTCCGTGAAAAATGGCATGATATTAAATAGTGAGGTATTGAATTGCTAGGAATCTACACTTTTGAATGCTGCTTCTCCCTTCTACAAATCATTTGCGGTTGATTGTTCCCGTTCACAAGTGGCCTGTGATATGTTAATATTTGGCGGCCAATATTCGGATGTAGCAACCTTGAGTAAGCAACTATTCATAGCAGGATAACGGATTGTCTCATTCACATACGAAATGATAGGCTGCCTTCCTCGTTACACTGGTGGTCAAACGTACTTTTACCCTGGATTTAACGCTAGTCGAACAGAAGATGCTCTCAAGTTCGCTCATGAATTTTCTGAACTATTGGCTGAACAGATTGGTTTGGAAGCTGTTATTCGTATTCGTGCTTCGCGTGGTTTACGAATGAGCGCATTCCACGGCAACTTCTTCATCCGTTCGACGGATTTGTTGGCTTTGCCCAACGTGCCACGAAATCAGAGTTATTGTGTGGAAGTTTCCTTGGAAGACGATTTGAAGGGTCCTACGGTATGCTTCCAGACAGCTCTCTTACATACCACTTGTTTCGGCGAACGTCGTATCCGTGTTATCACGCTTTGTCTTCCTGTCAGCAATTCCATGTCCGAAATATACAGCAGTGCCAATCAGCAAGCAATCATTGCCTATCTTGCTACGAAGGGTATGTTACGATGGAATCGGGGCACGATAAAGCAAGTTAAATTTTGAACGAAAATACTGAATGATGACTTGATAGGTGTGGAACGGGCTCTCACGTCAAAGCTGGACGATGCACGCGACGCGATAACCAACAAGGTGGTGGATATTCTTGGTGTGTACAAGGCTCATGTTTTAGGTTCCGCTCACGGATCAACGCCTCAGCTGACCGTTCCTGAAAACTTCAAACTTCTGCCGTTGCTTGCATTAAGTTTGATGAAACATGTAAGTCGATTATTGCAACTTGCCTTGTTGTAATGTTTAGGTGATCATTCCCCATCTAAACGTATTCTACGCCCCAAAATAGGATGCATTACGTCAAACGTCACAGATTCCTACGGACTTGCGATCCAATGCCATGAACCTTTTGCGAACTATTCCCATTCAATTGTTGATCCCGTATCTGTATCCGAACTTTTATTCTTTGCATAATATGCCACCTGAAGCAGGAGAATTCTCGGAATCTGGCGTCGTCTTCCCTCCAGCATTGAACCTGTCCGCTGAAAAGCTCGAACCACATGGTTGCTATATGTTGGAGACTGGTCAGAATATCTATATTTGGGTGGCCCGGGGTGTTGTACCGCAACTGTGCATCGATCTCTTTGACGTTAAATCGTATGAAAGTGTGAGAGCTGGAAAGGTAATGTACTGTTAGTCTTGCTTGCTTCTGAGCATCCGACTAATATTATTTTACATTTATGTTTTCAAAGGTCACCCTCCCAGTTTTGGATAAACCTCTGAACCGAAAAGTCAATCTTCTCATTGGCAAGATCCGCGAGATGCGCCGCGGCAACTATTATCCACAACTCTATGTGATCAAAGAAGATGGTGATCCAGCTTTAAGAATGTGGTTCTTGTCGCACCTAGTGGAAGATCGTACCGACAATGTCTTGAGTTACCAACAGTTCCTGCAGCATATCAAAGATAGAGTAAGTTCATGAGTCATTACTTTTGAAAGTTGGATATCACAAAAGACGATTGGGATAGCTAATGACATGATATAGGTTGGTTCAGGCTCATTCTAAAATGAGATTTTAGTAAATGACAGTGAAAAACGTGTGTTTGAAGGTTAAAAGAAAGTCCCCTAGATTTTACACTTAAGAGTTGGCATGCTTTGTACTTCCCTAGATATGTAATGTAGGGCACATCTTTACTATTGTTCGCAGCATATTGAAGTTAGGTTTATGTCAGCATTTTGGTTTTTGTAACAATATGAAAGTAGTTCATGCTAAGATTATAATCTTCCTTGCTCATTCATTCTACTGTGCATCATTTCTCTTTCCCTCCTTTCGTGTTCACACAAACATATTCTCTCTCTGATCTGATGGAGAGATCTTATAGCCATTATCTGTTGGCAAAAGTGGATGGTTTTTACTACTGTTCCACAGTTCCCAGTTAGAACGAGAAAGGCTGCTAAGTGAGCATAGATGTGAAGACTAGCTTAACGCCATGATGAGAAGCAGATGGATACGCAGACAAAAGAGCATTTCTACCACTGAGTTTTGAGTGCTGTCAAGCAATATACTGAACAGCATTTGAGTCTTTATCTAATGTTTACAGCGCAGTTCTTTCCCGATTCAGTGGAAGATCTGATCGTCCATTCATAGAAGAAACGATAATGAGTACTTCCTCGAGTTGACGAGGCCACTGCTCAGGAAGCCTTCAATAAGCTTATCCAAAAAGTAAGTAGTTCTCAATTCTGGCACATTAAAGTCGGTTTGAAAGAACCACCACTCTTTGAAAAAGAACATATTGACTGTCGTTGTTTGCTTGACAAGACTTTGACGCACAAGAAAAAAGCAAAACCCGTCAAGGACCTTTTATACCAATGACATCATTACCCGTCTGACATGGAGGGGCCGCAAATCGGCAAAGCCCCACACTTTTTCTTTTTTACTTTTTTTTTCCCCCTTCGCTTTTCCTGCCTTTCATCGATAGCATATTCTCATTCCATTCCTCATTCTTTTTTTTTCATACCAATCCATCTGTGCTTTGAAAGCTACTCGTAGTCTCGCACAATATCCCACAATCTCGATCACTTGAGCGCGCTTTGTAGTGAACATGTCCGTCCATAACCATAGAGCCATGATGCCTGCGCCTCCTTCGAACCGTGTAATCGAGATGCTTGATGCCATCCGGGCTGAGTTTGACCAAATGGCTCAAGAAGCATATATCTGCAAATCGCAAAGAGATGATTTCGAAATGAAAAGTACTTTGAACACAGTGACTGGAAAATAACGGAAGAAAGACGCGTTGGGAGATCTAATCCAAAGCGAACTAGTTAATTCCCAGATTCAAGAGATGAACACTTTCCAGAAGAGCCTCGTGGAAATGGAACGATCCCAGCAAACAATAAAGAAACAGTGAGTAGAACAACAGAAACAAAACATCATGGTCACAGCGAGATGGACTGAACCTCTGACTTTTTTTTTCCTTCCTCTGTTTCTTTGTCTTCCTTCACTCATATTCCATGACGCCGCTTTTCCTTTCTTTCTGTGGAATATCTTTTACAGATATGAGGAAGAAATCGCTCGCCTCCGTCAGCAGATCAAACAAACTCAAGCACGAGCCGCCGGACCACACGCAGTTCAATCCATAACTACACCACACGGATCTCATCCGCCGCCACCTAATATCGGGCCTGGAAGCAATTATTTTGGAGGTATCATGAGTGCTCATGGCAAGAATCAAGCTGGGCTTGTGGCACCTCCACAGATGAGCGAGTCAGTTCCACAGCAACCGCCAACGGTTCCCCCACCGCCACCAACACAAGGAAGATCCACTTATCCACCCTCATCTTCCGCTTATTCCAATGCCTCCAATTCCCCCGCACCGCCGCCGGCATCATCAATGCAAGGTAATCAGGATTTGATCAATCTATCATATTATTCGTATTGAAAGTGCGGATAGGCTCTTATGGAAGTATGGCTGCATCAGCAAGCCCCTATCCACCACAACAAGGTACTTCATACGGGCAACCTACGAGGATCACAGAGATTGGCAATTGTGGATTAAGTGCTCTTTTCACACAGGTTATGGTTATCCTGTAGCGGGAGGAGGTCCGCCACCGTCTGCACAATCATCATCCCAGGTAAATGCTGGCGCCAAACGGAAGTCAAGACCCTCACCCACTGGTCCTCCGCCTCCACCCCCCGTCTCATCCATGAATTCAGGAAGATTTTCCGTAAAAGTACCTGTCAGCGCTAGTGCACCAGGTGGTTTGGCCGATATTGATCCCGAAAGCGTACCACCGAATATGAAAATTGAAGGACAAGACTGGTTTGCATTGTAAGTCGCTTCGCTTCTGATGCAATTGAGGTCACTTTGGTTAAACTCGTCAATGACAATTGCAAAATAACAATTAGATACAACCCAAAGACTACACGTTATCTTAAAGTGGACTTGCAGCATACTTTGGAACATGGAAGCGTTGTGTGCTGCGTAAAATTCAGTGCGGATGGTCGTTATCTTGCGGCGGGATGTAATCGATCAACGTTTATTTACGACGTCGCTACTGCACAGAGAATATGGTACCGTAAATCTGGTTGTGGGTTTGCATTGTTTGCCCCATCCCATAACTTATATGTTGTTCAAAAAGCGTATTGCAGGATGACAAGGTACCGAAAGATGGTGACCTCTACATTCGGTCTGTCTGCTTTAGTCCTGATGGCCAGTTCCTTGCCACTGGTGCCGAAGACAAACTTATCAGAGTAAGATGGGACAATATCACTGTTGCAAAATCATAGATTTTCTAATACTTCTTTTTTCTATTTGAATGATAGATATGGGATATCGCTCAAAAGCGGGTGCGTAATGTACTTGCTGGACATGAACAAGACATCTATTCGTTGGACTTTAGTCGCGACGGTAAAATTATTGTATCAGGGTCGGGCGATCGAACAGCAAGAATCTGGGCAATGGATACAGGAAAATGCCTGCACGTACTTCGTATCAAAGATCTGGACCAAAAAGATCCGGGAGTGACGAGTGTAGCGGTTTCACCAGATGGCCGTTTAGTGGCAGCAGGAAGTTTGGATAAGATGGTTCGCGTATGGGATAGCCGAACTGGCGCCATGTTGGAACGTCTGGAGGGACACAAGGACAGTGTTTATTCAGTGGCCTTCATGCCGGATGGTAAATCGCTTGTCAGTGGTAGCTTGGACAAGACGCTGAAACTGTGGCAATTGGGTACCAGCGAAGGACGTGGATATGGCGTGGATTGGGATCGATCCAAAGGACCTTGCAAGATGACATTTACCGGTCATAAAGACTTTGTTTTGTCGGTAGCCACAACGCCAGATGGCCATTGGATCGTCTCAGGTTCAAAGGACCGTGGTGTGCAATTCTGGGATCCTCGCACTGGTCAAACTCAATTCATGTTGCAAGGACATAAAAATTCAGGTAACACACATACCACCAATTGATTACAGAAAGCAGAAATCGAAATGGGTATTGACTGTTTACTTTAATTATCTTCCAGTCATCTCTGTTGCCATCAGCCCTGCAGGAAGGCCTCTATTTGCTACAGGTTCTGGCGATAATCGCGCACGCATCTGGAGTTATGAGCCCGTAGGCCCTTAGCAATGAAACCTACTTTAACTGATTCCGCACTTTTTCGATTTCATTTCATTTTTTTTTTTTCTTTCTGCTTTCACGCACATTATATGATATCAGTCGCCATAGCTTTAGTTTATGTGGAAGATCCTTGTTTCTCATTCTGAAAATGAGCTTTATGCCCTATTTTAAGCATGTGACATATCGTTGCAAGCGTTATGAACAAAAGTGCGTCTTTTTTTTTTCTTTTTTTTGGCATTTTTCATGCGTTGGGTGTGTGACGTCTTTTTTTAAAACGAATCCAGATTACGAGGTAACGGAAAGTGATTGTCGAGGTTTTTTTTGGCTCGTTTTTTCTGACATGGGCCCGAAAGAACCAACACCGCATCAAATCTCCCGAGGTTTGGAGTATGTGCACAAAGAGCCTTCATTTCTGGCGAAACTGAAAGGCAAGCAACAGGCTGATATCAAAGCCAAGCAAAAATTCGAAAACTACACTGATGGACAAGACGACGATGACTATGATGAGCTGGAAGGTGCTCAAGTAGTTGTTCTGGATAAGCATGGCAAAGGTAACGTAGGCAGCAAATTCAGGAGGCCATTTTTTTGGGAGATATATTAAATTCAGGAGTCTATTGAAAACAGAGGTTCATGAGAAACCTCCGGTCTCTGACGACGAAGATGATAAGAATAAGAAAGACGATGCCGATGCTGATAACGATGAACCGGCGGTTGACGCCAACGGTCGAATACTGTTTCGCGCTCGCAAAAAGACAAAAGAGCCTGCTAAACGAAAAGAGCGAGAAGACGACACAAAAGTCAAATCTTCAAAAAAGAAGAAGGCTAAAAACACAACCAACCTGCTTTCTTTTGAAAACGACGACGAATAATAAAAAGAAAAAAACGAACCAAAGTTCACTCCGACGGATCACAGCAGACTAAACCCAATCCCTTCACATCGGGTGAAGAGAGATTCTTTTTCTTTTTTTTTCCCTATTCTATTTTTATACACAGACATCAATACATTTATATCGCTATTGTGAAATTTTATTCGCATTTGTTCTTTTTTAACATACATTTTTCGAAGCTTCCAACGTCAGCAGAACATGATAGAACCACCCTGTACCATCAGCACTATTCCTTCTTCTCCTGAACCTTGTTATCAACCCACTACACCCATTCTTCTACATGCAAAACTCCAAAATCCGGTTTTTGACAGCGCCGAATCGAAAACCGATCTTTTAATGCTTCCTTCACAAACCCTACGTCGGGCAATATCAACTCCAGATACCCAAACTGCTTTTAAGAATGGTCAGCCAACACCATGGTCTTCACGATCGCCATCTCTTACACCCGCACCGACTAAAAAATCGTATTCGTCGTCCTATGCTATACCAAAACAGGACGCCAAAGTTGGTCCTAGTGATTTCTCCAAAATTCGTCTTCTTGGCAAAGGAGATGTAGGAAAAGTCTACCTGGTAAAGCAGACAACATCTGGTCAGCTTTATGCTCTGAAAGGTACATCATAATAACTGTATTTATCGCAACACTGTGCGTGAGACAATAACCATATTCATCCTATTATTTTGATTGTGCTAGTGTTATCGAAGAAAGAAATGATTCGACGTAACAAAATCAAACGAGCCCTGGCTGAACAGGCTATTCTTTCAACTGCAAATCATCCATTCATTGTGCCGTTATATCATTCTTTTCAAAGCAAGGACCATCTGTACTTTTGTCTAGAATTCTGTGTAGGAGGAGAGTTCTTTCGAGGTAAACCGTTACACAAAATGTGATACGAACCAGATCTTTCATACATTTCTCAATATGTTATTTAGCCCTTCAGCAGCGCCCAGGCCGCGTACTGAAAGAACATGAAGCTCGATTTTACGCGGCTGAAGTGATCGCCGCTTTGGAATACCTGCATCTAATGGGGATCGTTTTCCGTGACCTTAAACCAGAGAGTAAGCCATGACTTCAGTTACTGAGAAGCATACTTGGAGAAGTGATAATTTACCCGGATACTGTTAATTGTAGACATCTTGCTTCATGAATCAGGGCATCTTATGTTGTCTGATTTTGATCTATCAATTCAATCTCCTGCAGCCGCACCACCCACCATCGTGCGAGCAATTTCTCCGTTTTCGGTAAGGGAAAAATAACCATCGAAACTTTACCAATCAGGTTGAATAACAACATTTGATATTCAGCAGCAGCATTTGCTGGACACTCGCTCCTGCACCAATCTCCGTACCAATTCCTTTGTTGGCACTGAAGGTAAACCTTAAACATACGTCAGAATGATCCCGGCATTTTCTACACATCCTGACATACTCTTTCTTACTTAGAATATCTTGCTCCGGAAGTGATTCGTGGGCATGGGCATACAAGTACTGTCGACTGGTGGACCCTTGGTATTCTCATATTCGAGATGCTGGTAACTTGCTTTTCTTTTTCGGCGCTCGACAGCTCTTTTTATTTCAGTACTTCTAATACACTGTCATAGTATGGGTACACTCCGTTCAAAGGCAATACGCGAAACGATACATTCGAATTGATACTTCATCAAAATCTACAGTTTCCAGATTTTTCGATGAATCCATATTATAGTGGGCCTGAAATTACGACCCGATGCAAATCTGTCATGCGAAAACTACTGCATAAAAATGAGAAGAAACGGTTAGGAGCTCGTGCAGGCGCGAGCGAAGTGAAGTCTCACCCGTTTTTCCGATCTGTCAATTTCGCATTGCTAAGGCATATGCGACCGCCCATCATTCCCACGCGTGGCAAAGCCATCGATGCCATTCATTTCAAGGATATGAAAGAGAGCGTCAGCCTTGATCTTCAGAATGCGATACCGTCTCCTCCAGTCACTGACGATGATGACGATGGAAAGCTGGAAAATCAAAAGGATGATCCGTTTTCAAAGTTTGATTCTGGTACGTGAATAGCAAACATCCATACATTAACTATACTTTTTTCTGTGATGATTGACTGTGTTTCTTCGTGATAATGTAGTTACCCTTTTGCGTTCATAGTCAGGAAATAATACCCTTTAATGATCTGTTGCATGATCGGTATTTTTCTGTTCTATGTTTTTCCCTTTTCTGCACGTAATATTTAATCAATCGTTCTATTGTCGCGTTGTATAGCAGCATACTTGCATTAATACATATATTCTCTTACTATACCTTGGGAAGCAAAAAGAATGTGGATTGTATAAAATTGTGCTGTCCCTATTCAATTTGGGAATCACAATCAGAAGCATGATCATTTTATGTTTGAATTCAAGTTCCGCGTCAAAGGAATACTGCTTCGCTCTTGTTTCCGAATGACCTTTCGACAGGCGATATTAGAGCGACTCCACCAAAGAAATCAGCGAGAGCATGCCTTGCATGACATTATCGATGCCAGTAAATGCGCACTTTGTACAAGTAAAAGAGAACTTTGGCTAAGAAATGCATAGATCAACGTCTTTTGGACAAAGTCATTGCGCTGCAAAAGCGAAATCAGGATCTGAAATTGACGCATTCGATTTCGTCCCAAGAAGCGTAAGTGTATCGGGCTGATAATACAAGTAAAATCCTTGCAACAATCAAGCCGAGGACTAAAATTTTTGGGAGAATGGTAGGCTATCTGTGAACCACCAACAAATGCTGGATTTGGATAAAAAGATACGGGAACTGCATGAAGAAAGAGCAGAAATGTACAAGACACAGAGTGAAAATGCTCAGCGACTTGTCACTATGAATGATCAACTACGTAAAAAGGAGGAAACCGAGAAAAAACAAACTGAAGAGTATGTATTTCGATGGGCATATGGCTGAAGATCATGCTTCATCGGTTAATGCTTTCTTCACAGACTCCAAAAGTTGTCCGAAAGTTGCAAAAAGCTTTCCGCCAAATGTGAAGCTCAAACGCATCAGTTACGGGAAAAGGATGTTGCTATACAGGTATCGTCGTGTGATGGACTGCGTTTCCGGCGATTGCTTCGTCGAACGGATATTCTGAGCATGATTACACAGATATTGCAAGACGAACTATCGGCTTTGCAGCTAGAGATGGTGACGACGGAAGAACGCAGCAAGAATCTCGAAGTTGAAAACGCACAGTTGCTGCAGCGATGGCTCGATAAAATGAATGAGGAAGCGGATAAAATGAATGAAGCAACAAAGTTTTATGAAAGGTACCTCAATGTCATTCAAATAATAACCGAATACGAAGCTTACAGCTGACATTACGAGCAGCTTTTTGGAGCAAGCCCGCAGCGTTGGTCAAATCATTCGTAAATCAGGTGGACAATGGGTCATGCACCCAGCGAATAAAGGCGGTGAACAAGACAAGCCTCTATCAACTATTGTCCTGCCCTCGCAAGTTTTCAAACGCATAGTAGGTTTAACATGCTCAAATATTCTTGAAAGGACGAAATTCAGACGTTGAAATTAGTCGGCACATGATGGTGAAATTCACTGTATTCAAGCTGCTAGTACTGGAAAATATTTCGCTACTGGTGGTTCTGACAAGAAAGTCAAAGTTTTTAGCCCAAACTCTGGTAAAGGGAAAATGATAATAGACCGCTAGATGTTCTTACTAACCAGCGCGTTGTAATGATTGATTTTTGAAGGCCAACTGTTGCAAACATTGACTGGAGCTTTACAAACCATTACCTCGATATCCTTCAGTCCGAATGATGACCTGATATTGGGCTCTTCGACAGACAATGCTACACGAATATGGTCCCTTGGAAATGGTCGCATCAAGGTATATCTTGTCAATATTCTTTCTTGAACTCGTTTGGTTTGCTGACAACGATTACGTAGCATACTTTGACCGGTCATATTGGAAAAGTATACGCAGCTAAATTCTGCTCTGGTGCCAATAGAGTCGTTTCTGGAAGCCACGATCGAACCTTGAAAGTTTGGGATCTTCAGAAAGCTTATTGTCAGTACCCGTAAACAATATATACGTGAACAGTTAATGCTAACGTCACATTCCAGGCATACGCACAATTTTTACATTTTCAAGTTGCAATGACTTGTGCCTTATGGATTCCGATGGGTAACAATTGGTCTTTGTAACCTAATCGAGAATGATTGCTTACGTACAACAGTCAAACTATAGTGAGCGGCCATTTTGATAATAACATCCGTCTCTGGGATGCACGCACCGGTAACGGGATCAAACAATTGACGGGGTTGCATACCGGTCAAATCACTTCTGTATCCATGTCACCAGGTAAACTCTGAGCGATCCATAAAAAGAACGAAGCAGTATTAATTATTAATTTTACAGATGGATCCACCGTTCTAACCAACTCCCGTGATAATACGTTGAAAACGATCGACTTGCGCATGTACGAGGTTCTTCAAAGTTTTCAGTACGTATATACACCCCTTTTCCATTATATTCTATCCGTTATTCTAACAAATACACAGAGCAGAGAGCTATCATAGCGGTCTTAATTGGTCGAGAGCTTGCTACAGGTATGTGCATGTAGTGGTTGCGGTAGATACCCACATAGGTCTAATACCGGTTTGCATGGTGATAGTCCCGATGGCCATTTTGTCACGGCAGGATCTACAGGTAATCGGTCTTTTTCTGCATCCATGATATGTTTTCCAATGAATGATCCATTATATTGAATGCATATATAGATGGAATTGTCCATATATGGAATGCCCAGTCTGGTCTACTAGAAAAGGCAGTGGCTGGCCATAAGTAAGTGCTATCAAATGATGACGATAATCAGTTTCTTTTTTTCTTACTGACGTCATTACGCTTAGATCATCCATCTGCGGTGTGGCGTGGAATCCCACAGGAAATTTCTTATACAGCGCCGATAAGAATAGAACAATATGCCTATGGGAAACTGCTGTAGGACAATCGTAACCGGAAGCACGCATATGTAACACATTGAGCGGACATTCGAAAGGACAGCATAGTTTGTGTCGCAAAGCGTTTCCATTCGCATAGAAATCTCTGGAACTGTGCTGATGTTATCATCCACCTCCCGTTTAAATAAGGAAGCATTTACAACATCACTATCGGCCAGTTACAATGTCAACCATCTTTGTATACCATGATATTTTCTCATGAAATAAGGCGAAAAACTTATTGCACAGGACCCACGGACTTACTATATAATTGATAGTTTATTTCAATAGTCAATTGGCTTTTTACAGTTGTTTTTTCAGCAGATAGAGCTGAAAGATTAATGCAGTAGTTGATAGATTGCAAATTTACAGATTTTAGGCAGTCTTTTTATGTTGCTTGTAGTAGTTGATGAGACCGTTGGTGGAGGCATCGTGGGAACTGATTTGACCGGATTCCTTTAATTCAGGCAAAATGGCCTTGGCCAACTGCTTGCCCAATTCGACGCCCCATTGATCGAAGGAGTTGATATCCCAGATGACACCCTGAGTAAAGATCTTGTGTTCGTACATGGCAATCAGGGATCCAAGGGTGGCAGGAGTCAATTTCTGGAACATGATAGAGTTCGTGGGCTTGTTGCCTTTGAAAATCTTGTGGGGAACGATGTTCTCAACAACATGGGCACCAAACTCCTTGCGCACTTGTTCTTCGGATTTGCCGACCATCAAAGCTTCGGTCTGGGCAAAGAAGTTGGACAACAAGATATCGTGATGTTTACCGTTGCTGATGGGGTTGAATGTTTCAATTGGCGCCATAAAGTCACATGGAATAAGTTTGGTGCCTTGATGAATGAGCTGATAGAAAGCGTGTTGACCGTTGGTACCCGGTTCACCCCAGATGATGGGACCTGTAGAGGTCTGCACTTGTTCGCCGGAACGAGACACGTACTTGCCATTGGATTCCATATCACCCTTTGTAAATCATCCACTAGGTAAGTAACGTTGTATCGGATGTAACCTTTGTGTAATCATTCGTTTACCTGTTGGAAGTAAGCTGGGAAGCGGTGCATATACTGATCGTAGGGAAGGATAGCTTCAGTCTGGGCACCAAAGAAGTTGTTATACCAGACACCGAGGACACCCAAGAGTACAGGAATGTTGTCTTCCAAAGGCGTGTTCAAGAAGTGTTGATCCATTTCGTGGGCGCCACGAAGCAGTTGCTCAAAGTTATCGAAACCGACGTAAATGGCAATGGACAAACCAATAGCCGACCATAATGAATAGCGGCCACCAACCCAATCCCAGAACTTGAACATGTTCTTTGAGTCGATACCAAAGGCAGTGACTTCCTTGGTGTTGGTCGACAGGGCGACGAAGTGCTTCGCAACGTGCTTTACCTGAAACGATCATTGTGTTGGGATGAGTCGGACTTTGATCTGATATGTTTTTCCCGGCATCCTCCCAGTCATCCGTGTCCCCCTTGTCCCCCAAAAAAAAACTCCCAGGGAGAAAAAAAAGTATCCCAGACACTTACATCTTTGGCTTGCTGCAAGAACCATTCCTTGGCGGAAGTCGCGTTAGTGATCGTTTCTTGAGTGGTGAATGTCTTGGAGGCAACGATAAACATGGTGGTCTCGGGATTCACTTGCTTCAAGGCCTCGGCCAAATGGGTACCATCGATGTTGGAGACAAAATGAACGCGAAGGCCGTCCTTTGCATAGGGCTTCAAAGCTTCGGTAACCATGACAGGACCAAGATCGGAACCACCGATACCAATGTTGACAACATCCGTGATAGCCTTGCCAGTGTAACCCTTCCATTCACCCGAACGAATCTGTTCCGAAAATTCCTTCATATGAGCGAGCACTTCGCGAACTTCAGGCATAACATCTTGGCCATTATCCTTGATGGGCGTGTTGGACAAGTTGCGCAAGGCGATGTGAAGTACAGCACGATCTTCGGTGAAGTTGATATGCTCCCCTGTGAACATCTTATTACGCATCTCCTCGACCTTGGCTTCCTTTGCCAGCTCAATAAGCAACTTGAAGGTTTCCTCGTTGATGATATTCTTGGAGAAATCCAAAAGGATGCTTGTACCGGTCTTTTCAGAGCCATGGAATTGGCGGGAGTACTGTTGGAAACGCTGAGGATTCTGCTTGAAGAGATCCTTCATGACAAGGTTCTTGCCAACAGAGTCATAGTGGGATTGGAGCTTTTCCCAGATAGCAAGGTGATTAGCGAGGACCATATTTACGAGTGTTGAAAAAGAATAAACGCGTCAGAAACAAAAAGAGAAGCCTAGGTTTATGTTGTTCATGCCTTTATACCTGCATGGGTTTTCTGAGTCTAAACCATCCAAAATTTTTTGTAATCAGTTGAATCTTCGGAGCAGTTCTGATTGGCGGAAGATTACATGAAAGATCGGCCAAACTTCGACCAAAGGGAAAAACAAGGCTTTGGGCATAAGCTGCGCCAGTTCAACGCTATCTGATACACGCAAACTATATATACATGCTGGAATCTCTCCATTTTTACCAAGGAGTCTCATGAACATAGGTCATAATGCTCTATAGTCGATGATATAATGCCATATCATAGTTCTGGCTTTCCGATCATCTTTGCTAGGCTATTTTGACGTGGAATAACTTTTTAGACAGGCTTATTCAACATTTGTCATCTTATCTGAATCAGCAACATAGCTTACATACCAAAGTCACGTCTACAAGTGTCTGCGACATGAATGCGTATCGAATTTGCATCCATTATGTCGAATAGAGTAGGCTTTCATATAGTGGAATAATGGAGTGAGACGGCATTGAATCAAAGCCCTTCATGGCTTTTGCTTGCGCTAAATTGCATCATAGTTCGGAAAGCACGGCTTGAAAAATCAACGGTTGATTCCCATAAATAGCCTTCTGAGATTCAAAACATTGGGATATGGGTTCTCGTCAAAAAGCCCAAAATGTTCGGTTCCGGAAAATGAATCAGCGAACAGTCATCATTTCATATCCATGAACTTGGCAGTGTCCTTTTATCTTGGTGTCACCTATTCTTGCTGCGCACCTTTGGCTAATGTCCGATAGCTTAATGCAGTAACGAGGAAGTAACCCCCAATTGCAGGTGATTTTTAACCTTTTGGGCTGATGAAGTCTCTTGCCATTGATTTTTCTACGCGGTCGCGCTTCGTCACGTGTTGAAGTAATCGGCGAAACTACGACACCAAAACTTGACTTGTTATCCTCTTCCTTTTTGGTGCTGATGAAAGAAAAACCAAGAAAGAACACCATTTGTGTCTCAATGGAATATGGATGTGCACCACGGTTTTCGCTGATTGTATTCCGCAAATGAGGACAATGAGTCCAGGGCTCTCAACCCTTAAAAAATCCATGACGATCGCCTAAAGCAATGGCAACTCAGGAGATGGACATTGTACGTGTCATCCGCCATTGACCTCTTAAGGACGACATAATGCCCAGTAAAGGGTACCCCTTCATTCATAATCGAAAAGTGGAAGGATTTATTACTTTTTTGAGAAAGGCTGTAGATGAATGGTTTAAACAATTTCTCTGATGACAGTGATTTTGATTAAAATTGCTCTACACACGCTGCTGTTGTTGATACATCAGAAGTATTGTGAAGAGCTCAATGTGATAAAAATAGCGCCACCTTTACCAATAAATGACATTAGAATGCTTCTTAGGCAGGTTTTTAATCCACATCCAGAGTAATTGCTATTTTGTTAATCATCGGATGAAATGGTACTTATTGATTGGTGCATCGAATCATGTAGGGTTTAAATGTCTAGAAAGTGGATGATCTATCCGTCCCCTCATTTTGCAGGTTATGGGTATAGACAAGGGCTTCTTCCGTGGAAATGTCAAAACATGTGAGCTAAGGAGTCATGCGTCCAATTCTCCGGAAAGCCCCCCCCCCAAAAAAAAAAGAACTATAAGAGAGGCATAACAATTACCGCGGACGTCAGAGAATATTTGAAGCTCTCGGTGTACCGTTGCATAACGAATTGTTCTCATTCTTTTACTCTTAGTCGAAGCTTCGATTATGCATCGCTTCTCCTTCCCGTTTCGGAGTATAACTCGCACTTCGTTAGTGCTACTTCAACGATTTCTCTCTTTTTCTTCTTCCAAATCTTCGCTTATTCGAATGGTCTACGATTGCTCAGGAAGCATAATCCACACAACACTTGATATCGATGAACGCTATGATCTAGGTCCTGAATTCCAACGCCACCCTGTCGATGGAAAAAAACTATCCATTCATCAAGGCACCACCTTATTACATCCAGTTTCGAATGTACAGGTACGCTTTTATGAGACGAGCATACTTTTCAGTGGCAAAATACCAACAAAAATTTTAGATATTGTCTGATACTACCAGTCGAGTTGGATACACCACAGACCCTGTAAATCATGATGCGCATTCAGCCGTAGCGATACTCACCAAGGAAGCCGACTTGAACAGTTACTTTGACTATGTCAAAAGTGAACAAGTTTGCAGAGAGACACCAGACCTTATCAACGATGACAGCGGTACCTTTTCCACAACCTATACCCCAAATAATGGCGACGAAGTCCTTGAAACTTTATTTGATACCATGTCAATTGTTACGGAAAAATCTCCCCCGTCGCCGCCGGAATCTCTGGAAGCTTACCATAAAACTTTAATACGCTTATGCAACCAAAACCTACACAAGGCAGATATTCCAAGCATTCATTTAACGTTACCAGCTGTATATAGAGTTCGTCTTGCTAAATATTCGATCATGAATCATACATGATATTAAATTCTAGTGTAGGTCAATGGAGCACGTCGAACCTATTTAAAGCTAAATGTGTTTATATTTTGATTCGATGAGGTTTTTTTTTGGACCTAGTCGCTGCTGGGGTGTGGAAACCCGATAAACGGGCCATTCTCGCATACAATTAAAAACTGTGTACAGTTATAGCATTCTTTGAGATTAATAATACCCATCATGAGACCAGTTTGAAGGAGAAAATCGTTTTGTGAGAATAATGGCTTTTTCCTTGTCGTACCAGCATACTAAAACCGGAACCTTATGGCAACTTCTCCACAAACATCCTGGGAAATATTACGATTGACAGCGAAGCAAAGACTTCACGTGAACCTACTCTTGACAAATAGGGAAATACAAAACAATAGAATAGTTCAGTTACAGTTACTGCTGCTCTAGGTTTCGGAATGAAGACTTTTATCATCACCAGACATCAGCAACAAAAAATCGCGGGAGTCCACTGCATGAAAAGTGGTTATCATTTGAATTCAATGGTCTTGATCTCTAGATTACTTTTTTTTAATATGGGTTCGGCTATTGTACAATTGAGCATGACAAAGATGTCAACTTTTTCATAAACTCTATATGAAATCCCATTTTTTTGACAAATTTACATTGCCCATATTAGCAAACTTATCTAGTTCGCGCTATATTTGTCTTTTTCTTCTCTTCTCAAGCTTTGGAATTATATCATGCTGTCCGCAGGTTTCGTTGCTCCCCCAGCATGAATAAATCGATTAATGGTTTGCTTCTCCATCTGAAAATGATTTTTGAAAATACGAATTTCGTTGATGACAAACTCTTTCTTTTCCCCAGCAATTTAAAAAATGAGTGATGAGAAAATTCTGAGCATGTTTGGATCGCGAATTTATCACTGATACCGTACACTACTAATATTGGTCGCATACGAGTTACTATGACAACTACGATTAGGTTTAGTCTAAAGTCATTTCTCGCTTGAGAAATGCCCCTATTTTGACAACTGCAGTCTTCTCATCCTTATGCTACAGCATAAAAATGCGGGTGGTGAGAGCAAACGGTAATGAAGAACAGGGTTCGAGTCAGTAGCAGCACGATTGCATGACCTGGGCTCAGAGAAGGTCCGTGTACAGCATTTCGCCCAAAATTTGTGTTCTAAACTAACATCGCAAGCAAGCCAGTGGTAAAGGAACCCCGGGGGAGTTAGTAGTAATTGGCTTTACAGTCCAAAGATGGAACAGTCTTGTCGTTTGCTGGCGCATATACCGCCCAATCACCGAGGACAACCGCATCGAGAGTCGCCGAATAGCCACATATTGCTGCTTCAGAGGTGCGTATTGGTGACCTTTTTGCACGAGCAACATTCCAGACGATTGGTGTCTACGGTAGTGTGTTTCGCAGTTCGGAGGTTAACGGTGACACCGTAGATCAGTACGATTTTAATCGCCTCATTTACGAGCACAAGATCGGGCGAAGACGGCCACTGGTGTTTAACGGGCGGCAGGCTCGTTGCGAGGAGAGTTTTGTTCACAACCATGACAGAAAACCAGATTGTCCTTATTGTCGGGAACCGTTCAGGTCGTTCGAGTAGTCGTCGTAAAGATACCGAGTCGCAAGTGGTTTTCAAGGGCGCGCAAAGAAGTATACTTTCAAGTAGGTACACAAAAACATAACGCGTTTCTACGCTAAAAGTTGCAAAAGAAATAATTTGAACCCTTTATAATATTGCTCTTGGGAGAGGTGTTGTCGGTCTGCGGCAGAGATTATGAAAGCCTAAAACTGCACAATGCTAGCGAAGGACAGGCCAACCTGACTGATGCAGGCCTGTCGACAGTTGCCCTGGGAATGGGAGTTTAGGAATGACGTTGAAAACGGTAAAAATGAGGAGCCCCATTGGGGTAGAAAAGCATAATTATAGGCGCATGGAACTGAGATTTGTGATACACCGGACCTCGAAAGGATACAATCGGAGTATCGGAGTATTGTTTTAACAGACACATAGCTTGGTTTAAAAAATTCTTATAAAAGGGCTCCATGTCGACGATGCCCCCTACTCGACACACAAAAAGAGTGTCGAGAAAAGATTTTCCCCAACGGGGAATTGAACCCCGGCCACGACGGTGAGAGCGTCGGATCCTAGCCACTAGACCATTGAGGACGTTTTATTAATGAATCGTTTACAGAATGTCGATCGTCATGATCACGTGATCAAAATAAAGGCTTCTGATTGGATAGTATTTTTAGATCACCGGACACTTCCGTTTTGTGCGAGACGTCCGGGTCGGGAATTTCTATGTTCTTGCGTGCGTTTTGGCTGTGCCTTTTTTTTTTGCATTCTTTGCCATAAAGAACCTCTCAAAGCTAAGTTACGCTTGTTTGCCCGGGGCCTAAATATGTAGCAAGTTTTCACGAGATCATTAAGATTTGTTGATTTTCAAAGACTTTCCGAGGAACGTCTCTTGGAAAGTGAGAGAGTGCCTTGCACAATTCCACAGCTTACATTTTAGAGCATTGTACGTATGATTTACTGGTTGACAAACCACCAAATGAAAAATAAAAAAATCAAACTTTGTCTAATGCTGTGCTACCATGATAATAGAAATTCTGACATTCATGCAATCTCTCTCCCATCAATTCTAATAAAGAATGCACGGTTATTTTCCTACGCAGATATGCTGATGTTATCACATATGTAATTCTTTATGCGGATTTGGCATACATCCCTGATATGCATTGCAGTATATTTGCTTCCCTTTATGAGAGCGAGCCGAAACAAACGCATGATTTTTTATCTCTTTTCATGCTGCGATCCGTTTAGGCCCATTTTTATATAAGTCATCTGATACATCGTACGTAGACGTCTGAGTTTGCTTGCCGATCTCGACGGAGATAAACGGTGCCGAACTTGAGGAGCAGCCATCTTACTTCTGTCAGCTACACAACTCGCGTCAGATGTAAGTGCTCCATGCTCCATTAACTTTTCTTCACATATATATATATATATTGCCAAACGTACTCTAATGACCTTTTTTCTGTGCTGAAGATTGAGAATACAAAATGGGAAGATTGGAAGGCAAGAATGTTTTTATGTGAGTCAGTTCTCAGACTATACCTCATGTTCAAAAAGTGCTAATTCTACATTGCCATAAATGCGCCACAGTACCGGAGCTTCTGCTGGTATTGGCGAAGCGACTGCTCGTGAGTTTGCGAAAGAAGGCTCCAATCTCGTATGTTCCCGTTGTTATGTGGTGAGGTGGTTTTACTCCGTTCTCACGGTGTCATGTTAGGTTTTGGCAGCCCGACGAGCGGAACGCTTGGAGGAATTGAAAAAAGACTTGCTTGAAAAGTATCCTTCTATCAAGATTCATGTTGCCGCTCTGGATATTTCCAAGAAAGCAGAAATCGACAGGATGATGGCAGCTTTGCCCGAGGAATTCAAGGAAATTGATGTGTTGGTGAACAATGCTGGCATGGTTATTGGTGTGGACCATTTAGTGGATGTGGAAGAAGAGGTGTTCGATATCATGATTGCCACCAACATCAAGGGACTGGTTTTTCTGACACAGGCTATTTTACGAGGAATGAAAGCTCGCCAAAGCGGTCATATTATCAACCTTGGATCCGTCGCTGGAAAGCAAGGCTATGCTGGAGGCAGCATCTATTGTGGTAAGAAGAAAGAATGCCATGCTTGTTTTCCTTATTTCCCATTACTAAATTTTCCTTTAGCTACAAAGCATGCTGTCGATGCGATTACAAAGGCGCTTTTGTTTGAGTTGGTCGATACTCCTATTCGCGTCAGTCAGATTTGTCCCGGTTTGGTCAACACTGAGTTTTCAACCGTCCGCTTCAGAGGCGATAAGGAAAAAGCTGATAATGTGTACAAGGGAATCGACCCATTGCAAGCGCAGGATATTGCTGAATTGATCACATTTACCGCGTCGCGTCCTGCTCGCGTCAATATTGCTGATATGCTCGGTAAGTGATTGAAAATGAATTGCCATGATATCAATGAGACTCAACCCGCTTTCCAGTGTTCCCAATTTGTCAAGCTGACTCCAAGACTGTAAGCCGCAAGCTCTAGAATAAACGATTCATGTTTGTAGAATATAAGACAAATAAAATTATTTAAGGGCATACAAAGCGATGTATCCTACCGCAAAGGATAAACTATACCATGGTCGATAGAAATCCCAATGAATCAGTTTATTTTTAGATTGCAGGAAAGAGAGTTTCTTATCCTCTAACAAGATTGCAAAGCGTTATATTCATCCGCGTAAGCTCGTTTTGAGAGCTGCATCATTGGATGGTAATAATGTTTCTCTTTGCTGTAGGTGTTATGGCAAGTTGGTTCACATGGAGACGCTCAACCGTAAAATCGAGTGACCAAAGCGAATTTCAGAATGTGCTGTGGAAGTAATCTGAAGGAATTTCACCGACGATTCGTCTCCGAATTCATAGTTTCGAAAAAGTTATACATATCGCGACAATGATGATACATGTACTGTGAAGTTATATATCCGGTTACTCCAGATGCAGCTTGATAAAGATCTGTCAGTCGTAGGAAGCTTTGATTGACAATGGGGGATTGCCTTACCAAAGGCTGCTAGAAATTGTCGGTTTCGATCCAGTCCTATGCGTCGGCCAATAGGAACTATACAATTCAAGTCTATGTAAGATAACCATATGCCTTGACACTGAAAACTCTACTTACAAGCCACTATACCAACGGCAACTTGAAAAAGAAAGTGAGTGATTATGATCAATCTCTTTTTGCTATCATGTCACTCACTAGCAGCATAAATGCCGGTTTTATATGCGTGCTGTTGACATATACGAGGAATAACCCATTCCTATGAAAAAAAAAATAGTCAGCAGAGTGTTTGAATGTTTATTTCTGAATTTAAGCCCCTCCAACTTACTGGATGTTCTTTGGCAATACCTTGCTGTATCCGAGTATTTGACATGCGTAAATTTGAGCGTAATTAAGAGAAAATGAGAAAAAAAAGCTCGAGAAAATTTTTGGATGCGAAAAAATATGAGAGATCCATGTTTCACATGACCAGGTGATTCGGGGTTTTGGCGTGCTTGAAGTAACGGTCAATGAAGGCCCGCCTTGCTATTCTTTAAATCGCCCTGAATCTTGCTTGTATATGATTTCTACTGTATCGTCTGAATTGTTTTTCAATGAGACCGAATTCCAGATAATCATCCCTAACGTACCCACCGATAAAAAGGACCTGTCTTTTCACGATATCACCTCGGCCAAACCGCGTGATTTCGCATTCTATGGTAAGCTCACACTGATCGGCGCCCAGCATTTCCAGCTAAAAGTCTCTTTGAATTATCCAGATGAGCAACTGAGAGTATATCTCTTCGCTAGACTTCCCGCTCATATAGCGGGTGCTGGTGACGAAGAGGTAGCGAGCGCTGTACAGTCTTTCTTTAAGCAGCTGGATGTCCACATCGATGCGTCTATGACTGATGCAACATTCCAAACGAATACGTCGTCCCCAATCCAACATCGATCGGTTTCCCTCAAACACAGCTCTTCCACTTCTTTATCAAACGCTTCATCGCCAAAACTTCCGCAGCATAAAGTAGATACCAGTCGTGGACCAGTGGATGCACCGTTCTTCTACTCGCACACTTATAGCAGCCGAGGAGACGACCAAGAATGTATCACGGCCGAGGAAAATAACGCTTATTGCTGTCTCTTTCCGCTTACTATTCCAATCGGTATATCCTTTTACTGAACACAAATACGATACGCCTTCTAATCAACACGGTTTAGTTTATGTTAAAGCGCGCGGAAGTCATCCTCAGTTGTCAGTCAGCTGCAACATCTCGTATCGGCCTCTGCCACCTGCTCGAAATACCAAAGACACGGAAAAATCCGACGAAAGCGAATATGACCCAGAATTATTCGAGTCGGTGGATTTGCTAGGCGGCTTAACCGGAGGTAACCAGGACATGGGAGAAAACAAGCCGTGTCGGTCGTGCTAATTTTGAAATTTTACGCATGAAATAGATCCATTCTTCGCGAATGCTGAAGAAAGACCGATGCAGCGGTTCATGGTGGAGGTACATTCGCGAATGTCGAGCAGTAGCTTTATCCAACCAAGTAGTTCGAGCCCCAGATCATTAACACTTCGACGCCACACACGTTGCCATTTACCCGTGCGCTCCAGTCTTATAGTCAAGATGCGGACCACCAATGCATCGGTTGCTGATAAGATGGTGATGATGTCTGTGGAACTAGAGAATCCGGGAGATGTGGGATGCCCATTCCAAATCGAGAAAATAGATGTACAAGTATCGAATGCGGTCGTGGCTATGGCTTTTACAAAAGAGGTAACAGACGTATTGCTTTTTCTTTTGAGCTCTGAAGTTGTATACTCATCGCCGGGTGTACCAGTCGCCGTTCCCAGTTCTCTTGAACAGTTTAGACCAGATCGTATTCCTGTACAATGTTACGCTACTGGAAGATGGTGTCAGCAAGCCACCCATTCAACCACAACGTATGTTCCCGTCAAGGCGAGCTGCAACACAACCCGTTCCCGTTACGCACCATCAAGATGAACGGCTTCAACCGCAGCGAGTAACAATACAAGTATGTGGAGCTCCGATAGTGGATGGAGTAAAAACCCTGCCGATGCAATCCAAGTGGAATACCATGCTAGACGTTATGGGGATGCGACAGAAAAGAGAGGAAGCGCCGCCTGATCCGAGATTTGCGTCGTTATTGGCTTCCTCGACATCGCCTTTAATGAACTCATCTGAAAAATCGCGTTCGACAAGTGCCACTGTATCCCCGGGGGCTCACTCCGTCGCTAGCCCTGTCAGCCAAATGAACAGTCTTGATGGCATGGCTGCCGGGAAAAAACGTCTCGTGATCAATATGGGTCCTTCAGTTAGTCGTGATGCAGGAGCACATCGAGCACCTGAAGTGGAGATAGCGGATGGCATCGTTGTTTCTCTCACTGTCCCCAATTCCATCATTGTGGGCAAGATTTTCCCTCTTCATATATTCATCGTGAACCGTTCCAAGCATACGCGACGATTCCAAGTGATGATACCCAACCGCAAACGAAACACGTCGGCAGTGGAATCTTTTAATAACACCATGAAAACGGGTCTTCCTCTGCTACCAATGGAACAACGACCCATCGACCCTTTCATGGATGAAGCAGGTAAGCATTGTGATTGACAAAGCTGCAATTCGTATAGCGCAACTTGTTGCTAATTATCATATAGAATTCTTGCGGCAATATTTTGAAAACGAGACTCATGAAGCTGACATTGTTTGCTTGGAGAATAACGTGCGACTAAGGTACGTCAAAAAAATTGTATGTGAAAGTTATCCATCTTATATCCATTTTCCATACAGTCCATTAGGTCCGTCCACCTCGCAAACGGTGGATATTCGATTTATTGCTGTAAAGGACAATTTGCATACGATCGATCTTATTCAGCTAGTCGACCAAGATACCGGTTTCGTCACCAATTTGCGTCATGTATTAGAGGTGTTCGTCGAACCATGTTAATATTTATAGATAAAGCGATAATATCGTCGCAATGATAAAAATGAACTGTCATTGACGTTCGATCCATTTCCCGTATTATGACATTGATTGTCCGCAAATCCAAAAAAAAATTGACAGTCAGTTTGAGCGGGCGTTTGATTTTGGACCTTGGAAAACCATTGTCACAAACGAAAAAAATTTTCTATAAATTTTGCCGCCGTTGGTGTGCTTTTGCCCATTACTTTGTTACACTTCTGAAGGTAAATTACTCTCCATATTGGTTTTTTTTTTCTATTTGTTCGATTTGGATACTGTGATGAACCTTGCCGCCCCAGGCGGATATATCATGTCGAGAATTTTGCAAGAACAGCCAATTTCTATGTCTGATGTATCCTATTTGAAATGATTTTCGTTTCTTCATTCTGTTGTGAGTGCATCAATGCTTAAATGTATTCATTCTTAGATGTGCACTGTACAACTTCTCTCTGAACTTTGCAAGGTCCATCTTAGATGATAATGAAAGGTATGTATCATTATAAATTTCGCTGAAAAGACAGAAAGATGGGAATCCGTCTTTTTATGATGATCAAATCTATTCTATGCTAACACGGAGCCGATGTGACCGACAACAACACTCCCTGATAAAAAAAGACGGATTCCTATTTTTGAATCTCGCGTTATGTCGCGCTGCATTGCGAAATGAATTCTTATTCATTCTGTTTTGTTTATAGGTAAGCCTGGAAGCAGCTGCAGTAAACCAATTGTAGAAGTTTTCAAATGAATTTGCAAAATAAAAACGTTTAAACAATGTATTCCATCGCTGAAGTTGTATAATGTGGCTTGACGGGGGCTTAGGGTTGGTCACTGGAGCGTCTCAACGTGTAAGGCCGAGTGGCTTTGAACACTTTGTTTGTACTCACGGATGCTGCAAACAAAATGTCTTTTTTGAGTGGATAATCTCTCTGGTGAAACTTTGTCTGCAACGCTATGCTTCCCATCTTTCACAAAAGATCTGCACAGCTCTGCGGCTGTTGTGTTGCCCAAGAAAGAGAACAATGAAATCTTTGACATTCTCATCTTTCCCTCGCAGCTGCAATTTTTTTTTATGCCCCACCCCCAACGGGCTCTACTGCCGACATAGTACGATATCCAACAATTGATAAATGGCAATAGCATTTATCGTGATTGCAAGTCCAAGCGTGTTAAGTAGGGCTTAGATTTATAAAATGCATTATACATATGACGATAGCGCTCTTGCTTCCGACGACGGGGACCCAGCGAACCTCCAACATCGGAGCAGGCCTTGATCACCAATGTCATCTCTCTATCAACAAAGCTTGCAGATTTTCGGTGCACTTGATCAAAATAGGGTTACTGGGGTAAAATATGGTTCGGTGCATACATACCGATCTGATTTATCTGCATCAATGCGTGCTAAACTGGTGCTCGCGTATACCATGGGTTTGCCTTACAATAGGGGTTGCCAGGGAAAGGTTTCTTCGCCCGGTGATAGTCTGTCGACTGACTTGAAACGAAACGGAGAAGCTCCTTCAGTCGAACGAAATGAAACCAGTTCACGCACTTGTGAAAGACGACATAAAGTTTTCGTCGTAGTGTCTGAATCTTGAATTTCAGTGTCAAGGACAGCCGAGAATAAGATGGAAAAAAACCAGGAAATGCGATGTTCAAAATTTGTCAGCATGGCAGCATAAAATTTTCGTGCAATGCGACTCTCGTTTTTGGCGTAACTAAACTAACCACTGCTCTTTTGAATTTGGTTACTGAAAAATGTCATTCAAGTTTCCATTGATTTTGGATGGTGGGTTAGCAAGTGAATTGGAACGATCCTTTGGCAAAGACCTCACTGGTGTGTAAAGCAGTATCGATAATACAGACCTTGAAACCATAACTTACACGAGTGACAGGAAAACTATGGTCTGCTAAATGCTTGCACGAAGATCCCGCTGCTATCAAAGTAAAAACTCGTTGAACATGTGATCTCACTGATTGGTGATATTTATTGCTAAGCGGGTTTATTAAGACAGGCAGTTCACAGAAAATATTTTGAAGCTGGTGCAAACGTTGCCACGACTTGCAGCTATCAAGCATGCCTTGAGAATCTCTCGGATGAGGGCTTTTCGAGAGATGAGGCCATCACTCTGCTTAAACGTAGTGTACGACTTGCTCGTCAGGCGCGTGATGATTACGCGCAAGAGCATTCTACACAAGCTTGTTTGGTGGCTCTGTCACTCGGGTGTTATGGTGCTGTTCTTGCTAATGGTGCTGAATACACCGGCACTTATGGTGAGGTGACGCGGGAACAGCTCGTTTCTTTCCACAAGCAACGACTAGAGATACTTTTGGAAGGTAAGGGCAAAGCATGCAAAATATAAAAAGACTATATACTAAGTTTTCAAAATGAAGAACCGGGCGTGGATTTCATTATATTCGAAACTATCCCTTCTTTTCTGGAGATTCAGGCGATTCACGATATTATTGCAAAGATGGATAAGCTTCCTCCTGTTGCTGTTTCATTCTCCTGCAAGTCAAATACCTGTATTTCTGATGGCACGCCATTGCAGCTGTGTTTGGACAAATTACGTGGTCTCGACAATTTATTTGCTGTAGGCGTCAACTGCACAAAGCTTCGTTACATTGACTCCTTGCTGGAAATACTACACGGTTATACCAAAGCTGAATCCAAAGTCATTTTACTATATCCGGATGGTGGTGAGGAGTGGAACGCCGAAACGCGAAGCTTCGAAACCGGTCAAAAGGTTTCACCAGAGACATTTGGTTCAACAATAGCCGGGTACGTAAAGCGATATGGACCAAGAATCATTATTGGAGGATGTTGTGGTATTGGTCCCGACCATATTAATAGTATCTTTGCGCATCTGAATCAATAAAGCACATACAGAAATTTCACCACGGAAGACATGGCGGCAGAGATATGTCAGGCTCACGATGGTCGATCATAGGGATATCTGATTGAATAATGGAAATCACGCAACATTGTTACGAGAATGTGCTGCAAAAATTTAGTATGTTCCTTTCGTGCATTCTTCACAAGGTAAATGGATGAAAGCGTTCACTTTCTCGTGCTTTTATAACCAGTGTGGCACAATAGCAAAGCAAATGTAATTCAATTTATGATTGAATAAGTAGATGTGATTTTTGTACTGTAATGAACAATTATTATAACTTCATGGTTTGGCTGTAAGAAACAAGGCTTAGATTGTGCGCAGTTGGTGTCCAAAAGGGAAGAAGAATATCCGTAGCCGAGAAAGCCGGTGTGAAAGTCTCACCAATATTTCGGCATCAACTAACCTTAATTTGATTGTGACTTGCCAGTTGAAACACACTAAAAGATATAGCACCGACAAATGCAATTCTCATCCCATTCTTTATCCGTATTATGGTGCTCACTCAAATTCTCGTCACCGGTGGAACAGGACTTGTCGGTTCCGCCATTGCGCGCGAAGCTCAAAATAATCATAAATATCAGATTTTGGCGTTGTCGCGCAGCGCGTCTTCTGCGAACGATAGACCTGGTCTCCAATACGTGAAAGGCAACTGCCTTAACCAACAAGACTTGAAGAACGCTCTTCAAACAAACCTTTCTGTGGTGCATACCGTCGGTACCTTGATTGAACAGAGCAAGAAAGGAATTGAAGGAAGCTATGAACGTTTGAATCGCGATGCCGCCATTTCCGTTGCACGCGCCATGGCGGAGCAGTACGATGGGAAGAAGCGACAGTGTCTCGTGTATTTCTCTGCTGCAAAAGCACCTCCTAGCTGGCTTTTGGATGAGCGCTATATGAGGATGAAGCGAGAAGCTGAAGCGGCGTTAATGGGACAAGAATTTAAGAATAAAATCAGAGTTGTCGTGTTTAGACCAGGTAAAGAAAAAATAAGGAGAAGATCAATACAATGCAATTGTCCTTGGAACTAACCACAAAATCATCAAAGGGTTGATGTATTCGTACCATAGACGACAATTAATGTTGCCTTTCGCGTTTAGCTTGATTGTCGGCGCTGCTATCCTCAGACCTCTGAGTTCATATATTCCCAATCAGTTACAATACCTCACAGACCGTCCTTTACTGGATAACGAAGTGGCAAGAGCAACCTTTGAAGCTTTGGAAAACGAAGAGGTTGAAGGTATCTACGAAATTGACCACATTCGCGAGTTGGCCAAAGCATGGGAAAAAAAACAACTCGCAAAATCTGAATAAAGCACAAAAGTCATAGTAATTAAATAATACAGATTCGACTTTGTATGGCTTGAAGGCCAATTTGATGGCTCATGACTCGATAACTTGGGATTTTTTTTTTTTGCAGTATTTTGGTCATATAATGCTGGCATGTTTATGGCTCGGCTGCATTGCATTTGAATTTTGGATAACCGTCCGCAAACCTTGTTCACTGGAATCCATCGTACGATGTTTCTTTCTTTGCACTTTCGATCGAACTGATTCATACACTAGGATTAACGCGTTGAGGAAAAAAAAAAAAGCAGGTTTTTAATGATTTAAAAAAAGAGGGAATGCATTATATCTATTGTGTATGGAATGACAGTAATAACATTTTAAGGCCACTGCAAAATCTTGGGAATAATCACTTCATCCCAGCCATCACAGACGTCATGCTCACTTGATGTAGTACATAATGATTTCACATCGCTGTCTACCCACGCATCAAGCGACCTTAAGGAATTGTTCACGAGGCTCTTAACGATATTGTTCACGCTGGGATCTTCTACCATGGAACCGGCACCGTACTTGTTCAGCGAGTTATTCACCGAGTACCTTAAATCCTGGAGCAAGCTACGAACAAGCCAACCGTTATCGTAAGAAGCATCTGCTTGCATTCTTTCTTTCATGCGCTTGACGATGCGACCCTTGATCTATAATTATCAAATCCCACGTTAGACATTGAAAAGAAACCCGTGATAAAAATAAAAATAAAAAAGTGGCAAGCAACATACGTCGTCCAGGAAATGACAAATAGAAGGGGGATTGCCACAAATATAATCCATCTTTACGCCTAGAATAGAAAGGAAAATCGTCAGTCATCCGAATATCCGCTGGTGAACCCGGCCACCAATTTCAAAACACACACAGAAAAAAAGGATAAAAAAAATACGCACATTCATCGCGAGTCCATGAGTCACCGGGAGGAGGCATTCTTCTATCGACCCTTTTGGGATGGTTGCAGTCGCCTTTGAAGGGTTTGTCTTCGTTAAACATGACATTGTAGATATCTTTTTCTAAGCGTTGCCCCGCTGCGAGTTGTGAATACTGTTCCAACGTATTTTTGACAGCAGATCCGATGCCATTACGAAATTCATCTTCAGGAACCACGGAACGGATTTGGTCAGGAAATGTGAAATTGGATAAGGACTTTGACAACTCGGATTGAAGGTTGTCGAGTGTCATTCGGACAACGGGCTCGTATTGCACGGTAAAGTCGGCAGCCAGACCACGACGACATTCAGGTTCGCAGGCAAAAGCGGTCGAGGCAAACACGGCGAGTAACGCGAGACTATACTTCAGCATTATCGTTTAAAAAAAAAGAGGTTGAGAAGACGGTGAAAGAAAGAGGTTGGCACTGAAAAACCAACGAGGGAAGAAAAAGGGAAAAAGGGAAACCCCACTAAAACGGAAAAAGTGGGAAGGCAGTTAAAAAAAAAAAATATTTCTATTTGATTTGTTGTCTGAGCTTTTTTTTGCACTTTTGTACCGTTTTTGGAAAAAAGAGGTTTTTTTTATTGAATAAAAGACAAAATTTTCCTAAAAGTCAATGGCCTAAAATAAATAGGGTTACGCAGGGGTAACGTTAATGGGACGAAAATAGGAGCACAACTCAGGTTCCCAACCATACCTACATTTTCTTTACAATGACGTTGCACGTTCTCGAATACTTTCAACAGTTTTCGTCGCGCACCTATTGTGTTCACCCCAGCTGTAAGCATATCCTCATCAGACATCCGTACTACTTGCTGCCACTGCATTCCTTCAAAAGCATGTCCATATTTATGTAACCTCAAACTTCGAAGCCAGTTTTGGACATCTGTGGCAACAAAATCAGTTAGCAAAAAATAGAAAAAAAGAAAAAAAAAAGACCAAGCCATCCCATTTGCCCCATCAGCTGATGGTTGTTGTGTATCTTTTGGCTTGGACCTTTTTTCCTTGCTGTATGAATCAGAAATAGTTTTTTTTTCTTTATCCGCTCACCTTTCATGAGTTCGAAATCTACAGTCTCAGCTGCAATTTTATCTTTTAGAGCGCGTGCTGCCGATGACCGCTTTCTCCGCCGAGCCGTGCCTGTCAAGGTGGGCTCCAAATTGGACATGTCACTTTGATCGCTCAGATAGTCGCCGGCCTCATCCTCTTGAGAGGAAGGACTCAAGTAGTGGTTAGAGGGTGGTTTCTCTTCTTTTTTTGTTGCTGGTAATACGATTTTCGGGGGCTGCACCCCAACCGAAGTTCCTGGAACGGGGTCCCGATGGGCCGGTGAAACCTTTTTAAGTTTTGACAGCGATTGTTTTTGTTCCTCTCGTAAACGGGCTTGGGCTTGCTCCAAAGCAGTAATACTGTTCATCAAGGGACGCGGTTGGTTAAATTCTTGTTCAGCGGCTTGGTCTTCCTTGATCGTATCCTTTGCACACCATGGAAGATCCATCTCCTTCTTCTTTTTAGAAAGGGACCCAAAAACCCAGCTGTTATCGTCATTGGCTACAGAGGTGGGTCGCTCACCGATCCGACCTATGCTCGGTTTCTCGCTCACCATACTTCCGTTGCTGTTTCGGTTGTTGGACGACACAAGCGGGAATGGCCAGTCCGTGCCAAATAGGGGTGACCGATTCGTCGGCACAGCGGTTGTGGAACATGACGATTTTACACAAGGCGAGAACCCCATGGAAGACGACGTGGTGGAGGAATTCGACGTAACACTGGCTGTCGAGTTGGCGGCCTGGATCTGGGCTCGTGCAGCCAACGCTTTTTCATACAGCATCCCTTGCTGATGGCTCAGACCAAAAGGTCGTGAGCTAAACAGATCGCGATTTCGTCTTCGAAGATCATCCGGTTCACTGAGGGCTGAAGTGAGACGGTTACATAAGGGGCCTCGAACTGCGCGACGAGTAGGCGGGTACAGCTGCCGTTTTCGCATCTCATAAGCTGATTCGGTCGAAACCACCGATCCTGACATGGTCGGGCGCACTCCAAAAGATGTTGATGTGTGATGTATGTCTGTGTGGATAGTCAAAAAAAAAAAAAACAATCAATCCTACTGCTCGATAAAACCTGCTCATTCCTCGATCCGCATACCTTTGTCCTGTCCAGCAGGTGAAAGTAATGCGTATAGCGGGTCTTGATTTTCCAGCTGTTGAAGAACAGTAATCAAGAACCGGATTTGTATCTGTGAAGCATTTTGAACGACGGTATAAAGAGCCGCTGTTCGTTCGGCATCGGAGCGACAGCGGAACCACTGGTTTATATGCTGAAGCTCATCTTTGAAACTCTGGTCCAAACTAGCCGCTGCTACCTCTTCCAACATTTGCTCGTATCGCTGGATATTCTCGAACCATCGATCAATGGCTTCCGCTGCATTACCAAGATTGTCAACAAAAGCTTCCTGAAATCATTTCTCGGCCAATAAAAAGCAAAAAAGCACTCACCTTCAGGACTGCTATTGAATAATTGGGTCGTTGGCAAAACTTCGGAAGTCGGACGGCGAACGGAGGGACGAAGCTGTGGTCTTTGTTGCTGCTGTGGTTGACGAGTCGGAGGTAATAAAGTAATAAAGTCTGAAGCCGTCATGGATCTAAATGCAGATGAGGTTCCGGTCAAGCTCGTCGGTGAACGCAAAGGTTCATGTCGTTGATAACTTCCAAACAAGTCATCCTCCATTACGCGGTGAACATCGTGAGTCGTCATGAGAAATATGCAAAAAAAAAGATAAAAATAACAAAAAATATCTATTATAAAATAATAAAAATGAAAAAGGTTCGAAAGAAGAAGAACAAGGAACGAGAAAACAGAGAGAAAGGAAGTAAAAGAAAATTATAACTTTAACCACACGGTATGTGCGCCTATTGATACGGTACTTTCGGGAGTTCCTTCATTGAAAAAAAAAAAAAAAAGAAACCGGATAAAAGAGAAAGGATCGGCATCTGTGAGACGTTTATGCCTGTCTGATTTGCTTTGTTCTTTCGTATCATATTTCTCATGCATTCGATGACAGCTTGCCCCAAAGCCTGCATAAACATAACTTGCTTCCCCGTTATCTATGCATAATATGCGATATTCATCACCATCATTCCATGTAGACATATCTTCAGACAACAATTTTGCAAGCTACAACAGCATGGGGTCATTCAAGGAGATTTTGTTAACAAGCTCCACAGACAACGGGCCACGAACTAGCTTTAAAATTTTTCAGGGGTGGATTCCTCAAAAAGGCAATTCCCAGCGTTGAAGATCAAAAATTAAAGGGGCTCAATGGGGTTCCCAGGAGCTTCAGTAGCAATGGGAGATGAATTCAGCACCTAGTAATTTGGTTTGATGTGATGTTCTCTTGAGGTTTAATTTTATCACCGTGCAACCGTGTCACCATCAACCTCTTTTGTTTGTGCAAGTTTGACCAGCAATGATGGCTAGAACAACGATGTAAAACGAAGCGAGGCTTGTGTTTTTCACACGACAAGCACTGTCTTCATATTCCCATGCATGCTATTCTAATGATGCAGTAAAAACAATAACAGCTCTTGTACAACGAATGAAGGCCGGCCAACCTTTCATACACATTAGATAGAACTCTAAAGATGAAGAGAGGGGTGTGGAGGGGGTTGTTTAGCACGAGATTGTTCTTCCATGAATGATACTCACGGAGTGACAGCATTGATACAAAATACGCATCGGTTACTATTTCTTTCAAAAACACATGCACAAAAATGTGACAACAGTTCCTTCGACAGCTGATTTAATCCATCCATGTGTCATCCTACATCGGATAATACATCTCGACGTTTTTCATCGCAATGATTTCACTATTTGCAATTACCTGATTTGTCAACAAAACGTGCTGTCAACAGAGCGCTTACAACAACATGTTTCAGCGGCGAATTGTAGTGTCTTTTTTATTTTCCTTCTATATCCACTTCCTCAGTCAGCCTTGCAAGTAAGCGGATAGGACAGTGACACAATGATGTAAACAGCCTATCTTCTATCAACAGCCTTGTCTAGTTGCATTTTCTACCATTGTACTTCGCCTCATATTTAGTACAGCTACATAGGATTATGCAATAAATTTGCGAGAAAGACGTTTGCCATTTGGGTTTAAAGAATCGCCGACAACATTTCATTCTACGAAAAGCTTGATCAAGTTTTCATGCAACAAGTTTCTATAGAGATCCGAGATGCACATTCCATGCTTATAAGGAAATTAAAGTGTTGCTACAAAGATTAACAAAGCATAATCAAGGCATTGCCGATTTCGATGAATTCGGCGGCCAGCGTAGCTGGAGGTTAGTTTTTCTTGCAAATGGCGCTACTACTTGAAATGCATGAGATATCACTCGGACGAATACAATTTGGTCACAACATTGATAGTTAAAATCAAGTTGTCAGAATTATGCTTATATGGCGTAAATTCGGAATAGGATTGCAACTCTTGCAGAATTTTTACCCAACACATATTGACTGCAACCCTCAATGCTTACGAAATAAAATTAAACGGAGATGCACTGGTTAATGTTGCGCTCTTTGAATAATTACTGCACGGCAAAAAAAGATGATGTTTATCAAAAGTTGGACCCCCCAATTTGGTGGAAACCCATGAAATCATTGATGTGCATAAAATTCATCAAAGATCATGCTTTTATTCAAGCTATATTACTGAAATAGTAAAGTTGTGTATATCGTTGTCGTATGTGATTTTATTCATTTTACATTAGTCCTACTCCAGAAAAAATAATGACGACAGTTGCCTTTCATCTGAAACAAATTGTGAGGGTATTTTGTTTTCCCACCTCAAAATTATCCCGGGATCCGATTTTATGGGTTTGAATGTAATTTCATTAAACTGTCATTGACGTTTTCTTTCTTTTTTGATCTTTATCATATTTATTCCCACCGAGCACCTTCTTACTGTCAAAGGAACTCAATGATCCAAGATCAGTCTGCAATTTCAACTCCGACCTTGCCTTCGAAGCAATTGCAAACTTGGCGATCCCCCACCTTCAATACTCAGTTCCCTAATCACTCAACCAGTTCTGTCGATCGATATTCGCAATCCTACTCCTATGAACCCAATGATGAGAATCAACAGGATTACGATCGTGGTACCTGGTTTCAGTATGATTCCAAAGTTGAAGTAGAACCAGGTCAAGATCCCGCACCGGTGTTCATCGCTCGTCCAAAGCGAGGCTTATCATTGAAAGGAAGGAATTCCGGCGTCACATCCATTCAGAAACAAATTTATCGCATGGATCAAGGGGGGATCGATCCTACACGATTTTTATGCAAACGATTAGAAGTGTGGCGACTAGCCATCAAAGATTTGGTAAATGCTGGAACTTTATTTATTTTTTTCTTTGCGCTCTTTGTGTCACTAAAAGCGAGAATCATTAGGTGGCTTTCTTCAAGCAAATCATGGATACAGAATTAAAAACCGCTCAAGGCTATGCAATGGCAGGAAAGACTATTCAAGTACCGTTTTCTAATTCTGAAGGACAGTTTATGCCAAAGGGTGGAATTCAGGACGTCTGGGGATCTTTTCGCAATTACTCGCTGGACAGCAGTGTGCTACACCAGGAATATGCCAATTATCTTAGCAGAGAAGTCATTTATGCATTGCGCAAGGTGAAATCGGATATCAAATATACAATTGGTGCAGTTCGCAACGACAGTCGCTTAAACACCAGTAAACTCTACGATAATCGCATGAAAATCGATCAGCTTGTGAGAAAACTCGATGCCGCTATCAGAACCCTCAGCCAAGATCCTGAGGCTGCGGCAGAAAATACTGATCCCTATCTTATCAATCTCGGTGAGTCTTTCAAACCTAATTCAGAATCTTACAGAATATATAGCTGACCCTCTTATCACTAGCCATCATCAACAGCTTCCACCAATTGTATCAGCATGAGAATGAACTGCATCAAAATATCTTAAATTTGCAGAATGAACTCGGTCAATTTGAGCAACAAATTATTATACGTTGCCGCGGTGTTATCCAACGCTTGCAAGGTTTCAGACGACGCCAAAAAATGGAGCCGTCAGATATGCTTAACAAGGTCATGACGATATTCCAATCTGTGGCTCCTTCAGCCGAATGGGAAGAATTCACCAGACGCAACGCACACAGCATGGTGTCGGATAAAGCCGGATACAAAAGTGATGGCGCAATGTATTATCCGAATCAGCACCATAGACTTGCACAATCCATCAAGATGGGACCGATGGAGCGCAAAACATCCATCACGAAGCATTGGATTGAGGGGCTATACGTTCTCACGACTGGTAAGTCCGTCAAAGAAAGCAGCTTTTGATTTCTTTATTTGCTAAATCACTGTCCATGTAGCTGGATATTTACATGGATACAGAAGCATTCGACAATATGAAACCGATGGACGACATCCGGATTTCAGCATTTTTTTGCCATCCTGCGATGTGTACAATGGTTTATCCAGTGAGTTCATGCACCATAATCAGATTTTGGAGATTCGCCGTCGAAATCCGCACCCAGGACTGTCATTGGAAAAAAGTTACACGTTTAGAGCCCGAGATTTGCATGAAATGGAAGAGTGGTCCGAAATCCTCAAGCTTGCAACGCAACAGTTTCGCGAACCTCCTGCACATGGAGACAATCAACAATATTTGGGCTACGAAGACCGAGCACTGCCTCCACTTCCATCGAGCAATTCAGAAACCTCCCTTTCAACCAGACCTGGACAGATGCACAACGATATGTCTAATGCATACTACGAATATTCCAATTGGACTGATCGTAACTATGATCATGGTATGAATACGACATCATCGCAACCTTACAGCCTTATGCAGCCCCCACACGATGATACCAGATCATCATCGTTTTCCTTGGATCAGGATTCTACCAGGACATCAGGTGTAAGGACTTCTCTACTGTCGAGCTCTAGACGCAGCTCGGAAGCAGCTAAAGAACAAGGTGCATCATCCTCTTCAGCCCCATCTTCCCCGCATCGTGGTCATCGAGATGTTCCACCGCATAACGAAGCGTTGGATCAACCCCACTCCGAACCGCAGTCCAAATCCCCCACACAGGAATCGCCAAAGTCGCCTTCTTCAAAACCTAACAAGCGCGATTCTTCACCGTCGCATCATGAAAATTCTGCAAGTCGGGGCCCGGCAATAATTTACGAAGAAGAGAACACAAATGACAAGAATACGGAATCAAAAGATACGACGACTGCACGTCAACCTTTGGATGAAAGTCGACCAACAGCTTCAAATGCTGAAGAAGAACCTACTTCCGATGCACAATCAGAAGGAAGCCATATGCCAGGCAGCTATATCGAATAAGTAATAACTCGTATTTTTTCTTTTTATTGTCCGCCACCTTCATTTCAAATGAAAAACCTGTATTATACATTTTGACAAGCTTGCGTAAAAAGTTTACAATTCCATTTTCTTATGGTTTCGGGATTCTTAAAGTTTTACTGATCATAAGGGTACCACTCACTGCATAAACAAGCACGAGTGGATGAAGGTCCAAACCATTGAAGACCTTAATGATGTTTCCCGGAAGCGACTCCATGTACAGATCATTGTGTACGAAATATGCTAAAAGAGCAACCAAGGAGAGTGATGTTGGGATAGGTGTGCCTTCGAAATACGAGACTTTTCCGGTAGCGTCCTTTGGTGCAAGAGCAACCGAGGCATTATAACGCGCGAGACGGGCAATACCGCATGATACAAAGTACGTAAGCACGATGGTATCAAGATACGTTCGCATACCAACTGTAAGAAAATAACTGGTTTACATGCGTTTATATAATACTGCACTACCGTTTTAACTTACTTGCAAATGCCAAAGCCGCTGGCGCTACACCGAAAGAGATCTGACAGCGATGCAAATAGAAAAAAAAACTTCCGATCAGTTTTGGGTGATGCCATCGTCCACATTATCTTTTACTTACAAGATCCGCCAGACTATCCAGTTCTTGTCCAAGCAGTGACGAGTCCTTTCTCCAGCGTGCGACGCGTCCATCCATAAAATCAAAGAACAGGCCAAACGGCATAAATAACATGGCTCGATAAAGATCACCGACATCGTGTGACACCAAGTACTTCATAGAAGAGAGAACGGACTGTACTCCGCAGACACCGTTCATTAACGTAATAATATCAGCAACGTAGAAATTGCTACATGACTTGATCAGTGATTCGCTGGAGGGATCCTCGTCATGTTACTTACCGAACTAAAGAAAAGTGGCCTGGGTTCGCTTGTGCCAGGTTTATATCGTTCTTTGAGGCAAGCTTTTTCTTGCCATCGCCTTTGGTATTTTGTTGGACCATTTGCAGAAGGAAAAAAGAATCGGAATGTAAGAGCAAAGATTTAAAGAATGTGGTAAGATCGCTTCAATGGCAAAGCCAAACGCCGAAGTAAAAAAGAAAAAAAAAGTCTGCTGTCACAATGACGTACGTGCCAAGTTTCTCTGACAGCCAAACTTTTGAAGAGCAGGCTGGGTCAAGTGGGACTTTTCACGAAGTTAACCAGCGCATTGTTTGCCGCACCGTTTATTTGCATCCAGTCCATTTTAAGCTCTGCAAAACTGTTATAAATTCGATGGACGCAACCAAAAAAAAACTCTCGCGCTAACAAATAAAGGATAGCCTAGGTTTATGCATCGCTGTTCTACCTGGGCCAATGAAACGACGCAATTAAAATCTCAACGCCCGTTCATTGGATGCTCCTAAATTAGCTGACCAATCAAATTGCTTAAATTTTTATAATTGGATATATCAACCTTCTAAAATAAAATTTTTTAAGAAAAGCCCGGTTAGCTCAGTCGGTAGAGCGTTGGACTTTTAATCCAAATGTCGGGGGTTCGAGCCCCCCATCGGGCGCTTCGATAACTTTTTGCGTTTTGAATCATCGGTTTTTTTTTTGGAATTACAAATTCAGAATGAAAAGACCGTTTTTTTTTACCCTTTTGTCAATCATGTGGAAAGCCTGTGTGCTTTGGCAAGGCACCAAAAAAGTGGCAAAGGTAATATTCTGCGAAATTTTTCGGTGGTCGAAGTCGGCCGGGGCACCGCGTACGACAGGACAGGTTGGATGCTTCCTTCAACTAATAACATTCGTTAGCCACGATTATTTTTTATAGTTGTGGTTTTCGGCGATCATCTTCAGTGGTCTCCACAGGATCCAAAATCACGTTTTGGCGAAAGAGAGAATTCAAAGCGCAATTTGTTGTTCTGAAGGCTTCTGGGCTCAGGACAATTGGCCATTTTGCCGCTTGCTATGAATTTGCAGTAATACTGTGCCAAAATAAAAAGGACTTAAGGGTATCTATAAGTGCAAGTAGCGCACAAAGACTAGGTGGGAATAGTCGTCGTTGTTACACGTGATGGAGAAGGTCGATGATAGGGTTCAAACTAAGGAAGGATGAGAGAAAAACAAAGAACGGAAAGAGAAAAGATGACAATTTTTTTGGCACATTTAAGAGGAAAAAAATCTATGATTCGGAATGATCAAATTCCAGTGGATGAAATATGCCTGGCCGATAGGTCACTTTCCAAGAACAGCAACAGAGAATTATTTGACTGAGAATATATATCAGGACGAATGAAAGGGTCAGAATTAACTGTTTGTGCTCCCAATGGTGATCAACGGAGAAGACGTTGCGACGGAGCGCTTTTTCAGGTCCTCAATAGAAACGAACTTGAAAATAAAACAAGAGCTCTGAAAATATATATATTATATAAAGGAAGCCGTTAAATCGCTGGATGGACGCTTAAAGAAGAGATGAGGAGTGATGCCATATGCTGCAGCACTTAAGATTCAAAAGTATCTCGCCAACAGGTGAGAGGGATTATTCACCTATAGCAACATATGGTTCGTTCAAGGGCTCCGATGAATGAAAGCCAGGCATAAAACCCGAAAAGCAATCTGGAACAAAACAAACAACAAAGACGAAAAGCAAGGGCATAAAAAGGTAAGGACAAATATGGGGACGGCTCGAGGAGTGGGATTTGAACTCGATCTCAGGTGGACAGCCGTCAATGATGAAGCCACCTTTTCGTTCATGGTTTTAAACAATACTCTTAGCTTGAGAATAAAAATCCAATCCTCGTCGTTGCCAGGGTAATAGGGCGCGATGCAACAGCATAGCATGTATGTTCTTTGTCGCGTAAACTGGAAGAAGCTTGTCAAAAGATGTGCCTAAATGATTAGCCTTCTAAGGAGGCTGTTGCCCTAATTGTAAAGCTACGACTGACAGTTTGATGGAGCCGATTTTTTCGAGACATGATTAGTACGGACCCAAAAGCGCTGTTGATATTTCATCCCCCCCATTGTTCATGGAAAGTCACAAGAACAGCGGACAAGTTTAAAATTGCATAATCATAAAAAATCAGGGCAGCCAACGGTATAAATAGGGTTTGGCGCACTAACATATGCTATTGCTATTATAGTACAGTATGTTTGCTGTGTTTTCTTTTTCTGCTGTGGAAATCGGATTATCGTAGACTGCCCCATTGTCAATAATATCATTGTAGCGGCGTTTGAAATTCGACAAGCAACGGGCAGAGCACGCCATCAGCATGGACCCGCCATCCATGTCTCTTATCTGATCGTTGAGCAAGTTGGGATCTGTAAAACTAAACGAGTGGGATGCGTAAAACGTTTTCTCGTTTTTATTGGTCGTAAAGTCCCATTCCCCAAGAAACGGCTCTGTCGATGATGTACATTGTACGATGTCAAATTTTTGATGCCCGTTTTTGTCTTATAATGTACCAAATACGGAAGACACAGGTGACATGCCTTGTCACAATCTTGTCTATATACGGAGTTTTTCGATGCCAGCTTCTAGTTATATAACACCATCTCTGGTATTTTCAATCTACCTTTTTTCTTTCTACTCTACTTCCATTTCTTTTCGTAGTTGATACAAAGATGCCCGGCAAAATCGTTGTGAAGAACCCCGTCGTCGACCTTGATGGTGATGAGATGACCAGAATTATCTGGCAATTCATCAAGGAGAAGCTTATTTTGCCTTATCTCGAATTGGACATCAAGTACTACGATCTTAGCGTCGAGAACCGTGATGCTGTAAGTAACCATTTTGTCCACAGCAAGGGTACTAAGCGGGGGGAAACGTCCATTGACTTATGCCATCATTTAAATAATATAGACCGATGATCAAGTCACCGTTGATGCTGCCGAGGCCATCAAGAAGTACAACGTTGGTATCAAGTGTGCTACTATCACTCCCGATGAGGCTCGTGTTGAAGGTAAAAAAAGCTAGGATAGCATGTCAAAGCAGACTGGGAATCAATTTTTGCTTAACGAGGCGTTTTCATTCACAGAATTCAAATTGAAGAAGATGTGGAAGTCCCCCAACGGTACTCTCCGTAACATCTTGAACGGTACCGTCTTCCGTGAACCCATCGTTTTGGACAGCTTGCCTCGCCTTGTTCCCGGCTGGACCGGCCCTATCATCATTGGCAGACATGCTTTTGGTGACCAGGTAAGATTGAAATCCATGCCGCTTTTTTTGGCCGTTTGATCGTTTTTCTGGGACGAGTGTCTAACGTGTTACTTTCTTGCTGGTGTAGTACCGTGCTACTGACTTTGTCGCCTCGGGCCCTGGTAAGTTCGAAATGACCTTCACCCCCGCCGATGGCTCCGCTCCCCAGAAGTACGAAGTCTACAACTTTGAAAAGTCCGGTGGTGTTGGTTTGGCCATGTACAACACTGATGAATCCATCATTGGTTTTGCCCATGCCTGTTTCCGTATGGCCATCGAGCGCAAGATGCCCTTGTACTTGAGCACCAAGAACACCATTCTTAAGAAGTACGACGGTCGCTTCAAGGATATCTTTGAGGAAATCTACCAGAAGGAATACAAGGCTCAGTTCGATGCCTTGAAGATCTGGTATGAACATCGTCTCATTGACGACATGGTTGCCCAGGCTTTGAAGTCCAACGGTAACTTTGTGTGGGCTTGCAAGAACTACGATGGTGATGTGCAGTCCGATATCATTGCTCAGGGTTACGGTTCCCTCGGTCTCATGACCTCCGTCTTGTACACTCCTGATGGCAAGACCGTCGAAGCTGAAGCTGCCCACGGCACTGTCACCAGACATTACAGAGAACATCAAAAGGTAAGAAAGCTTCAAGAGTTGAGTTTAGGAGAGCAACAAGGTGGGCATGAATATTGACCATCCGAGCAAATGAATAGGGTAACGCCACTTCCACCAACCCTATTGCTTCCATCTTTGCCTGGACCCGCGGTTTGGCTCACCGTGCCAAGTTGGATGACAATGCTGAACTTCTTCAGTTCACCCAGGATCTCGAAAGAGCCTGTATCGAAACCATTGAGGTCGACAAGCACATGACCAAGGATTTGGCCTTGATGATTCACGGCAAGAAGTAAGTTAAAAAAAAACTGGCTGTAGACAAGTAAAGAAAACACACAAATACTAATGCGTTGCATTGTTGTTGCAGCATGACCCGTGAACACTACTCCACCACTCAAGAATTCTTGCAGCAAATTGCTGACAAGTTGGCCTCTATCCGTGAACGCCGCGCTTCCTTGTAAACAATTCCATTTATAAAATAATGAATGCCGATGGCCTGTAATAGAAGGCATTGTATTCTTTCCTCACTCTTTGTTGTTTTCCGTATATTCGTTTACATATCGTTTTTGTTTTCCCCAAATAAACCAATGAAAGCAGTTCTGTACTGTTTGTTCAGCCAATATCAGTCAGTGGGATTCTCACGATTTCCACCCTTGTCCCGTCTTTCTCGTAACGCACGTGCAACTCCGCTGGATAATCTCATCTCGGCAACAATCGGACCCGCCATTTTCCAAGCGTATCCCATATCCGTTAGTCGCCCAAGCTCAACACAGAGTCTTGCATTTTTTGCCCGGTGAACTCTGCCATCTCTAGAGCAGAAAACAGGTGGTAAAACATTTTATTAACAAACCAATTTTGAACCATCCAGTGACAGATCACTCTATATAGAAGACCCTATTCTTCCTGAGCACATCCGAACCAGAGGTTCCTCTCTACTTGGTTTTTACACTATAGAAACAAACTTTTTTGATCATATCATCATGATATGCTGGCCCCAATTTCCAATTTACTGTTCGCTAACTTCGGAATCCAAAACCTTCGTCACTCGACCAATAGCAATAGTTTTACCTAAAAACAAAGAAACCCACCCCAACGAAATTTTGTCAGTGAATGTTGGTCGAAAACAAAAAACAAATTCAGTGCAGAAATTTACCTTCGTCTCGGATAGTGAAGCGACCAAGCTGAGGATAAGATTCAAAAGGCTCTACACAGATGGGACCAGCAGTTTCAATTCTGGCAATCACTTTCTGGCCTTGCTTGACGAACTGAGGAGGACGCTTCGATTTGCGACCTGTCTTCTTGTCAATAAGATGAAGAAGAGCAGAAATGGTGATTTCTTCTACTGCAGCGTGAACGTGAAGAACGGCGTTGTAACCGGCACAGATGATGTTCTTGTGCTCGAGAATAGCAAGTTGTGCTTCCAAGACAGTGGTGGTTCGGACGGGCTTCTTCTTGTCACAAAGCAAGAAACCAGGTTGAACTTCCTACAAACGATACCAAAAAAAAAAAAAAAAAACCCTCAATAAGCGGGAATCCCTTTCACAGAGTTTTGTTTTACATACATCTTCTTCAACACCCTTTAAACGCATTCTCACGTTGTCACCGCACATAGCATGGTCCACTTCTTCTTCGGTTTCGTTGTAGATAGCAGTAACTTCAGTGAGACGCTAAAAGAAAGGGACATGGTAAGCATCAATATCGGGTGGGTTGCATAAGCTTTATATGGCAAAAATTACCTTGTTGGGCATGAGCAATACATTCTGACCCTTCTTGACTCGACCAGATTCGATTTTGCCGACAACAATTGTACCCATATCCTTAAAAAAGATGCAAAAGGTTCCTTAACAGCCTGAGCGAAAAAATCTGATTGAGTGATTAAACATACCTTGTACTTCTCAGCAACAGGAACCATCAAAGGTGCGTTAAGCTTTCTATCCAAGGTCTGCATACCGTCCAAGTATTCCAAAAGAGAAGGACCATCGTACCAGGTACAAGCCTTGGAACGATCCTTGATGTTGGCACCAGTGAAACCAGAGACAGGCATGAAGAAGATATCGCTCTTGGGGTTGAAGCCGGTTTGCTTCAAGAAAGGAGTCAATTTGCCCAAGATTTCATCGTATCTGATTAAAAGAAAACCATGTTTTTGTTAGTTTGACACGAATTTTGCAGATGACACAAAAACATGGTTTCTCAATTTACCTTGCCTTGTCCCATTCGACAGTAGGATCATCCATCTTGTTAATGACGACAATCATTTTATTGACACCGGAGGTCTTGGCCAACATGGTGTGTTCACGGGTCTGACCGCCACGTTCGAAACCAGTTTCGAATTCACCCTTACGAGCCGAAATAACGAGAACACCCACATCAGCTTGAGAGGCACCTTGAATCATGCTGGGGACAAAGTTCTTGTGACCGGGAGCGTCCAAGATGGTATATCTACGTTTGTCGGTTTCGAAATAAGCACGACCACATTCGACGGTCTTGCCCTTGGCTCTTTCTTCGATGTTGGTATCAAGAGCCCATGAAAGATACCAAGATTCTCGACCAGCTTCCTTGGCTTCCTTTTCGTATTTTTCCATGGTACGCTTATCGACCATACCCGTCAAGTACAGAATATTACCACCCATGGTAGATTTACCAGCATCTATGAAAAGAAACATTGGGTAATTTAGTCTCCAACTCCACCTCGTTGCCCCACATTCTTAAGAACCGATCACGAAGAATCACTTACCGACGTGACCCATGAAGACAATGTTCAAGTGCTCCTTGCCGTACAAATCCTGAACAACCTCATCATCAATGGCATTGAGGTCCTCCTCAATGGCATCCACCTTTTCGTTTGCCTTTTCAATAGCTTCCTTGATTTCCTTTTTAGGCGCCTTGGTAGCAGCGGCAGGTTTAGCAGCAGGCTTGGACTCGGCCTTGGGTTCGGCCTTGGGCTCAGGCTTAGGTTCAGGCTTGGATTCAGCCTTGGGAGTAGATTCGACGGGTTCTGCGGCAGGTGCAGGGGCAGCAGCTACAGAGAAGCCGGAAATCACATCTAATTAATATCACTGCCATGTGAATAGTGCATTGCAAAATCTTACCAGGCTTGGGCTCCGAAGTGAGCTTCATGACACGAGCAGGAGCTGTAATAAAAAGAAGAACGTTAGTCCGTCAAATGCAAGATGGAAGAGTTGATCAAGTGGTGGTGAATAGAGTGCAAATCACACACATACCAGGTGCAGGAGCAGGCGTAGCCGAAGGCATGCTGAACGAGGGGACGAACTCTTTAGCGGTGAAGCTAGGCTTCCATTCGGAGGCCTTGGGATTCAAGGACAACTTCGATGTCGCATTAGGAAGAGAAGTGTTTGCTTCGTTTTGGCTCATGATGTATGAAAGTCGAAAAAGCAAAGCTGTCGAAAGTGCTGAAATTTAGAAAAATTTTGTCTTTTTGGTGTGCCTTTTTCGGTCCGACCTCCCATCCTCCCAACTGTCTCAATGACGTAACCAATCAACTGCCATTTTCGGTGTCCAAAAAAATTTGGCACAGCACGTTGGCCAAAATATCCGTTGGGAGAACACACAAGCTGGTTTAGAATCAACACCCTCCAAGAAGGAAAAAAACTACGCCTTTGAAGCCATGTCTATGAAAAAGCTGCAAAGTGAGTTGCTTCCTACTTTTTATTACGCTGTAGCATGTATATAGATATATGCAGATACATAACAGTAGCAAGTCTCTTTGTTCTCAACCGTTATTACTTGTCATTGCATTTCTCCATGGCACTCATCTTTTTACGCTTGTTTTTATAGCCGAGATCGATAGGGTCTTGAAGAAAGTGAGCGAGGGTGTCGATACTTTCGAGACTATCTTTGATAAAATTCATTCCACCAATAATGCGAATCAAAAAGAAAAATACGAGCAGGATTTGAAGAAAGAAATCAAAAAGCTGCAACGATTACGCGACCAGATCAAAACATGGCTGTCATCCAACGAAATCAAGGATAAGCGTTCACTTCTTGAAAATCGAAAACTTATCGAGTCGCAGATGGAACGCTTTAAAGCGATCGAAAAAGAGATGAAGACAAAAGCGTACTCCAAAGAAGGCCTGCTGCAAAGGGAAAAGCTCGATCCGAAGGAGAAAGAAAAGATGGACACCTGCGATTGGATCACCAGCACAGTAGACGAGTTATCCAGGCAAATTGAATCGGCAGAATACGAACTGGAAACACTCCAAGGCACAACAAGAAAAGGCAAAAAAGATCACGCCAAAGTTGAACGTTCCAATGAACTCGATCACGCCATTGAACGTAATAAATGGCACATTAGCCGATTAGAACTTATTCTACGACTGTTGGAAAACGACCATCTGGAACCGGAAAAGGTGCGCTCCACTATTACACTGATGCCATGGCAAATGAGTCTTACCTATAACGCCATTGTCATTCTAGGTCATGGCTATCAAAGACGACGTTCAGTACTATGTAGAATGTAATCAGGTAAGTTTTTGCGATGTTATTTTTTCCTTCTACTTTAGGATTTGCAGCTAAAATCACATGTTCATTAGGAACCTGACTTTGAAGAAGATGAGTTCGTTTATGATGATTTGAACTTGGAAGAGGAAGAAGAGCTGTATGCTATCCGCACCGATGAATTCCACCGTGAGCAAGAAGGTAATTGCTGTTACCGTAACGATGGATGATCGTATTTTTTGTCAATGCTTATGTTTTGTAAATAGAAAAAGAAGCAGCCAAAATGGAAGAGGAGAAAATATCATCAAAACGAGCAGCCAAAGAGAAAGAAAAGGAAAAGGAAAAAGAAGAAGAGGTAAGACTCATCTCAGTTTTCATGGGATATTGAGTTATATAAATGACTCACACATATATTTCTTCCATCACAAGACACAGAGCAGTATATCTGACTTGAGTCGCAGTACTTCGAAATTGCAAATCAGTCCAAAGAGTAAGTAACAATGGCGGTGTGGTATTTCTTTCCTTTCTTTCGTGTCTGATACCACTCTCTACTAGAAGAAACGTTGGCAGCATCACCGGAGGAATGTATGTATATGGAACGACGGTGTAAACTGTAGAGCATTTTTACTCAAAAAAAACCATAGCAAAAGCGCCAGCTCCAAAAGCAGCAGCGGTCAAACATACTGAATCAGTGCCAACACCGCCCTCCACGGGACTTAAGTATGCTCAGGCAGCAGCTGCAGGTGTCAGCGGGTCTACTTCTCAAGATAATCTAGCAAAGCTGAAAGATGACAAAGGTAAAGACTGAGACCGGTTTTGCTTGTAGAGTTAGAGTTGTTCATCTTTTGACACAGACAAAGCCGCCGAAATTCCTTCTGCTTGGACCGAACCACCAAAGATAGTAGATCAATTCAAGCAACCAGCACAACAGATCGAAAAGCCAAAACAACAATCTCAATCCCCTGCACCCACCTCTGCCGACTCTGTTTCCCAAAATCTTCTTTCCGCACAGTATTCTGGCAAAACTGTAAGCTACAAATGACATGTGTTCTGTGATGTATTTATCCTGGTCTCATCCTGTTGTTTTTTACTGATGCAGTCTCCACTTGACTCTGCGGTCTCACAGTCGCAGAGCCTGGAGAATGAAGCCCGATTACCATCTTCTCTCGCCGACTTCGCGTCTTCCTTTGAAGCCATCAAATCTAAGGGTATGTGCCGAAGCGTTGGAAATGATTGATCATGGGATTACTTATCGACTTGCATAGCAGCTACCAAAGAGGATATGATGTACACACACCAAATGCTGGATGTTAGTTTACAACATGTTCCGGATCTGATTGATTCTGAAAGGTAATTGAGGTGGATGTGTTTATGCGAACGATGATGATCGAAAGTTAAAATATATTTTTTTACCTGCGATAGACCGAAAATTTATCAACCTCGAACACCGTACCTTACACCAAGCTACTATCCGCAGCAACCTTTGGCAATCTTTGATAATCCGGCATTATTCGAAAAATTCGACATGGATGCACTGTTCTTCATCTTTTACTACCAGCAAGGCACATACCAGCAGTAAGTTGATGTAAAAAGAATCTATCCTTTTAACGAGCGTTACTCACCGAATTGTTATGATCCTTTACAAAAAGATACCTAGCAGCAAAAGAACTGAAAAAACAATCCTGGCGATTTCATAAAAAGTATTTAACATGGTTCCAACGTCATGAGGAACCAAAAATCATCACAGAGGAATATGAGCAAGGCACATACATATACTTTGATTACGAAGGTGCATGGTGCCAACGAAAAAAGACCGAGTTCCGGTAAGTTCTTTGGTCGCCCATGATTTAAAGAAGTTGATTTTGCTAATACAGAGTCTTTCAGATTCGAGTATCGATATCTTGAAGAAGCCTAAGCTCAGCTTTTAGACAGGATCTAAAAATTCCGCGGCTTCGTTAAAAGTGGCACTTCTTTCCCTTTTGTTTGTTTTCGATTGCTTCAGAAGTGACTTTTTTTTTGCATAATAAACTCAAGTAAACCGACTATCAGTGACCTTGGAATGAGGAGTGTGCATTCATGCTGTACAGAACAATTCCTTGTCAAGGCTGATAAAAAAAAAGAAGCTGGCAAAGCCATCATCATGGCTAGTCAAGGGACTCAAATCGGTGCTTGGTATGCCAGGTTTTTTTTTTTTTTTTTTTTTTTTTTTTGTTATTCCCGAAAAAGCAGGCACAAGGGACAAACAACAGTCACGGTTGGGGGACGAGCGAAATGATTTCCGGTCATCCAGAAAAACTGTAAATAAAAAATAAACACTGTCGAGAACGCTACGTCTTCTTTGATTTCAGAAAAGGGCTAACCTCTAAAATAATATACACGATGGTAAATTACAAGAGACAGCGTTATCATTATATTAAGAAGAAGTTTATTGAACGTTATACCGTTTTTGCTGCTTAGATCCGCTTGACCTCCAAATTGATGCCTACTACTTCCATGGCCGCTCGCCAGAGCATTCGGTAAATTCTTTACTAGTTCCTGAACACGAAAGGATTTTTCGATATTAACTGGCCTGCTTAGTATGTCGAGACCCGTTTCTGTTCTTGCGCGACGTTGCTACACCACTGAACAACCCCTTCCCACCCCTGGTACTGACGCCAAGGCCGATCCCAAAATCGCCGCCATCGTTGATCAAATCGAGACTTTGACTTTGTTGCAGACTTCTGAACTTGTTGCACAACTCAAGGTAAGATGAAAACAGGAAAAGTTTAGATGGCAGTTATGGCTCACAGCAATGTGATGTGGTGTATAGTCTCGTTTGAACATCCAAGATATCGCCATGCCTGTTGCCATGCCCGCTGCTGGTGCACCCGCTGCTGGTGCCGCTGCTGAAGAGGAAAAGCCCGCCGAGAAGACCGACTTCAACATCAAGATTGAAAAGGTGGATGCATCTGCAAAGGCTAAGGTTATCCGTGAAGTGAAGAATTTGGCTGGTTTGAACCTTGTAGAGGCCAAGAAGTTTGTCGAAAGCGTTCCCAAGGTGCTAAAGGAAACTGTTCCCAAGGAGGAAGCTGAGAAGCTTAAGAAGGCACTCGAGGCCGTTGGCGCCACCGTTATTTTGGAATAAGTTTGTCCATTATAGAGGGTTAGAAACACTGTATATTTCCTTTTTTTTTCTCAAAACAAGTAGACAATAATTCACATTTCATTCATGCTGAAAAACCCCATCAACAACTTCTGGACTTTGTGTGGCATTGGTAAAGCTCATAGTGGAGAACGACGTGTAGGTTCGGGAGCATTTGTCAAACTTCCTGATGTGAATTGTGGGCAGTTTCCAAAAATGATGGCAGAAGCAGTCAAAAAAATATTTTATTTTATTTTATTATATTCATGACTTACTGTCATCCATTCGAACCATCATAGATTACGCTTTGCTGTTTGCGGTTCTTAATAGAGTCATTGATATTTTGGACTATATCTATCCAGCACCTTATCTTCTCTATTCATTCTATTCTGTAAATATTGCAGGGAAACGGCATTAACGCTGCTGACACAGAACCATTGATCAGTCAATTGCTGGTGGCAGCGACTTGCTGCCGAAATGCTTTTTATTTTGAGCCATTAAACTCTTTGAGGAACAAGTTCAAGTTTCCAAGGAATTTCCCTGGTGACTTGACAGCAACAGGTAAACATTACAATGATACAACAGCGATATAGCCATATGTGACATCGCTGGTGGAAAGTATAAGCGTGAATCAAGCCAGATCCCGGGATTCGATCCCTGTAAGTTTCGGATACAGTAATCGGACCACTTGTCTCTTCTCCACAAGGTGCTCTATTATTTGGTAAGAGGTTCACCGACACAACTGCAATACTGTGTACGTTTAAACGAAGCGATACTCTGTGCAACGGCAAAGACAAGGCTTTGTACTACCAGAAGCATGGTTGCGAATCATGAAAAAGATTTAGGTTCAGTTTGTAGAAATTGGACGTTTGCACTATCGGAGGTGTCAAAATTAATCACAACGGTGCAGGTTTCTAAAGTATGGCTCGTTCCCCTGCCAGGCAGTTGAATGTTGCATTTCGTCTATCGCACCACTGATAATTTAAACAAAAATCAATGAAATCAAGATGTTGTTTCAAGAAAATGGGAACAACCATCGGCGGATACTGGTGCCCGATTAAATAAGGGACAAAGATGACTGCGCAGGGTCTGAATGAACGATCATTATCAACGGAACTAACGCTGCCATGATGACATCGGGCGTAAGTAGCTGGAGAATGTATTGCTATTGTTTCTGTCCGAAACGCAGGAAAAAAGTGAGCAGAGATTAATAAGCAAGGGCATTTTGGATTCATTTGTCATCGGACCTTCCCCAGGTCGCACCATCATCCAATGATATGCCTCACAAATTCCGTCATTCTGCGCGGCCCTCCTGAATTCTGCGTTTGAAAAACGAAAGTCAAAAAAGTTATAACTTTCAAGGTAATTACTGCATTGCCAACACTTCGATCCAACCCATCTCACGATCGATCGTCCGGATCGCACTCCCATTCTAAAGGTACCAGAGCGCCAGTGGCATAATGTCCTTATAGCGGCTTTAGGTGGCTAATTTTTTTCTCGACCACTTGCAGATCGCCCCTGGCCAACAGACAACACGACCTTTGACGGAGACATGGAGAACCACTTTACTGCAAGTATAAGACATTGTGGATGTCTCGGTTTTATATTGGCTAACTTGAAGTTGTTAGGTCCGTGCGGTATGCGTGGGCTTAGCCATTGGCACTCTCATGTGTTTCTCGAACATGTATTTTGGACTTCAGACAGGCTGGATCTCGATGATGTCGCTTCAATCCTCTCTTCTCGGGTTCGCATTATTCAAACCATTTCAAAGCATGCTCAGAACAAAGTTTGGACCTATTGAAAATGTTGTATTGCAAAGCACCGCCGTTGCTACCGGAACAATGCCTCTTGCAGCTGGTAAATTTGCATGACAGATAGACAAAGTCACTGTGACAATGCAATAATCTGACGTGCTTTTGCCATTTTAGGATTTGTAGGAGTATTGCCTGCATTGGAGCTCATGAACAAGAACGACAACGAAAGTGGACCGATCATATTGACAGCCAAGCAGCTCGTTTTATGGTCTTTGGGAGTGGCATTTTTTGGAGTATTTTTTGCGGTGCCTCTACGGAAACAAACCATCGTCCGTGAAAAACTACGATTTCCATCAGGCACCGCCACCGCTCAGATGATCAGTTTATTACATCAAATACCTGATCCGTCAGTAAAGCAAGGCAGACGCCGACGACGCATTCAATCACCCGAACAAACCGAGCATCAGCCACTGCTGCATTCTTTTCCTTCCTATCATTCGTCCGCAGCATACTCTCGCCAGGATCTATCCGCCCAGATCTCGACCGTCGATCATGCCTTTGAAGAATCGTGGACATACAAACTTCGTGCACTGATCGGTTCATTCTCCCTATCATCAGCTTACACCCTCTTATCGTACTTTTTTCCTATCATTACAGCACTTCCGGTGTTCAATTGGTTAACTTTCAATATGATCAATCTCCGCGCGTGGGAATGGTACTTTACACCGAGTCTCAGTTACGTGGGACAAGGCGTGATCATGGTAGGATTACACTGGGCTGAAGCGTGACAGATGGAGAAAAAAGAAACAGAATCCTAATAACATTCCAGGGACTTCCGACGACGCTGTCGATGCTGCTTGGTTGTGTGGTTGGTTGGGGTATCCTTTCGCCCATGGCGTATTATGCTGGATGGGCACCAGGACCAATCGATGACTGGAAAACAGGCTCAAAAGGGTGGATTTTATGGGTGTCCTTGGGCGTGATGATCTCAGAATCCGTTGTATCACTCGGCATGGTAATGATGCGTTCCTTGGTGAAATTGTATCATAGCACCCAAAATGTCAAACGTTGGAACAGCCAAGAAAGTGACACAGGTGAAACAGCTGTGGCTGCGGTTGAAGACGACGACGACGACGATGCACCTGCTGAGCAACGGGTCTCTCGGACCACCACTGTCGTTGGATTGGTGCTTTCAACCCTGCTGTGTGTGTACCTCGTCCGCTATATCTTTGGACCTACTATCCTATCGGTTCAGATGACTTTATTGGCAGTAGCCGTTGCGCTGCTGCTAAGTGTGCTCGGTGTACGAGCTCTCGGTGAAACAGATTTGAATCCAGTTAGTGGTATAGGCAAGATCAGTCAAGTGATCTTCGCAGCCATGATCCCTGGCGGCATTGCAGCCAATTTGATCGCGGGTGGTATTGCCGAAGCAGGTATGGACCTAGAACTAAGAAGCTTTCCATCATGAATCATGATAACTTAAACCGAGACAAATCAGGCGCTCAGCAAGCAGGAGATTTGATGCAAGGTGGGTTTTGTACAGACATTAGATGACATAACAATACGGCTAACATTTTTATTCTGGGAACGTTCCAGATCTGAAGACTGGACATCTATTGCATGCTTCGCCGAAAGCTCAATTTTATGGCCAGTTGATCGGCTCCTGTGTGAGCGCATTTATTGCCACTTGTAAGTTGGACGACCTGTGACCTACTTGGTTGATCACGTTATCTCACAGACACATTACTGCTGCTTGATGACAGTTGCATACATTTTGTATCGCACCATTTACAGTATTCCGGGACCTGAATTTCCGGTGCCTACTGCCCAAGTTTGGTTGGACATGTCACGTTTGGTCAACGGGCATCCTCTGCCACCGCATGTAGCCGAATTCATTTTCCTGTTTTCCATGGTCTTTGCTGTCCTGGTTGTTCTCAAGGAAACTTCGGCAACCAAGTCTCGATATATTCCTCAAGGCATTGCTTTTGCTATTGGCATCTACAATCCACCAAGCTTTACGTTGGCGCGAGTGATTGGAGGTATTCTAGGATACTATTGGACCAAATACTGTGATGCCGACGACAGCGAAATCTGTGAACAAAAGAAGGGCTGGAGTCGTGTCCCCTTGTTCCTACATCATGTCTTCAAGGACTATCGACATCATGTAGGGAATGTGTTTATCATTATTGTGGCAAGCGGATTTGTGCTGGGAGAAGGTACGTTTGCCATTGTCAACATGATAATGCGAGCGTATGATATACCCCATTTTTAGACATCCATCTTTCTTTTTTGTATATTTAATCATGCATACTTTTTTACTGTACAATATCCTCATTTATTTATTTATCTCTTATCTACGATCGGCGCGTCTCTGAAGCTCGGTAGTTATTAAACATCCATTGTTTTTGCACGATTTTGAGCACCCGGTTAAATTGGGCGGGTTTGCTGAATTACCACTTGAGGTAATTTTGCCACATGGGAGACAATGCACGGAATCGGATGGTGGTTTCAAACACTTCCGGTGATTGAATCAAGATTGGGCGGACTTTTTTTCTGCTGCCACCACTACAAGGAGTTGAAAAGAGTCCTTGCTGTTATTAACGGGAGGATACAATCAGTCACAAAGACATAGTCTGATGGCTGACTGGCTGACTGGCTAACTAAACCATTTTGCATGGATTTACCACCGGTAGTGCCAGACGAAGTTGGGGTGCGGAATAATTGGATGACTGCAAAATGATATCACGAAGTAAGAAAAAGGCACATGACCAAGATAATGAGCCCAAATCTCAACTCAGGCATGTTAAGAATGCACGTGAAGCTGTTTATAACAGTTTTCCCCGCATCATCCGTCCTCCAGAACATGCTTCATTTGTCTAGGCATGATTACTTTACAAAGTAAGTCAGTGTCATCTAGCCGCAATGGCTTTGTGATGAAGCGATACCGTATGGTTTATACACATAAAGTCGGTTTGTTGTTATGGACACGGGATATGTATTCCGCTGCTGACCTTTTTGGGTGGGGCGGGAACCATAGGAGATGTATGTTTTGGACTAACCGTAGCAAGCATGAAGCACGAAATTTTTGGCCACTCCATGATTGTCTCTTGTCTCTGTGGCAGCAGTATCGAATGAACTGGGCCTCATTTCACTTTTTTAGAGATAAAAGGGCTATTTGAAAACCAATGAAAAACGTCTTGGGCCGCAGATGAAAATGTAGCAATCGGGTCCCTCTCCTTCGCAGCTCAAAGGGCACGGTGATGACGGTCCAAGTGCAACTTGTGATCGTCGGCCTACGTGTTGTGGCGTAACAGGGTCTTGGTTGTCGCGACTGTCAATCAACCAACTCTGAATATTCCATGCAAAACGCAAACATCGACTCTTTGGCCTCTACATGAATAAGAATGAAGGATGCCAAAAGAGAATGCTGGCATAACTGTTAATAGAACACCGTATCGCTTCACAGACAGTGAAGTGCTGTTATGATTGCCATTCGTGGATTGTAACCGAAACTACGGTTCAATGACGGTAATACTGGCCATGGACGTGATTTCTCAGATATAAAAGAGTAAAAACATCAATAAAGAAGCAAGGGCGAGTCTAAAGAGGAATGCATTAAACAAGAATAGAGAAAGCAAGAAAAAAAAAAGGAATGACGGTGGGATGCTGTGTCTCCTTTCGGTGTTTTTGCCTTTGTCTCTTTGGTTCCTTCTCCGACCCACGGGCTGGCTCATGATCATGCTCCAACTCACTTTTTTTTGCTTGGTGTCACACAAACCGCGCAAGACTTTCCGGAGACTGAAGTGGAGGTTTAAACTTTTCTCATTCGTACACTAAAACTCCGCGATAGCCGTTACGTCAACTTCCGCAAGGCATTTTTTTTTTAGACTGGCCAGCGCTTTGGGTTTTCTTTTCTCTTCTCACAACTCTGACAACGTCTTCCCCTCTCTCCATCTTAAATCTCAAAAACTCATCTTTTAATACTCCAAACATGGCTACTGTAAGTACTTACTTTCTGTAACATATTATATCCTCCTATGGGATGGGGTCGCGCTTCGAGAACCTTCCATGTGCCTTTTAGACGCTAAAACGTTTGAGGCCCTTTTCCTTTTCCACTTTTCTCTTTGTCCTCTGGTTTCATCTCGTCATCTGGACTCCATTTTGTGAGTCTAGTTTGCTCAAGATGACAAGATGACACTGTTGCAAATCTCATCATCGCTTTTTCAACTGCATCTTCAAGGACAAGCAGTACTCACTTTTTTTTCTTTATGCTTCAGGAGCGTGATAATAATGTTTACATGGCTAAGCTCGCTGAGCAAGCCGAGCGCTACGATGGTAAGTGGTGAAACGCGTATACACCATTATGTACACTTTATTGATATCTTTGTTGTTGCTTCTTAGAAATGGTCTCCTACACCAAGGAAGTTGCCAAGGTAAGCTGTTGGGACTTTGTCTTTTTGCCCCCCTTATTTTCTTTTTCCCATTGCCCCAGAAAAACCCAAATCACCGAGGAAAACAGGGCTTATTTTGGCTCTCTGCTAATGCTTGCGACTTTTTTTTTTCCTTACAACGATAGATGGGTGTTGAACTTACCGTTGAGGAACGCAACCTTTTATCTGTCGCCTATAAGAACGTGATTGGTGCCCGCCGTGCATCTTGGAGAATTGTTTCCTCCATTGAACAAAAGGAAGAAAGCAAAGGCTCCACCGCCCAAGTGGAAAAGATCAAGGCTTACCGTCAAAAGATTGAAAAGGAACTTCAAGAGGTGTGCAAAGACATTTTGTCCGTCTTATCCGACAATCTTCTTCCCAACGCTCAGGGTGGTGAATCCAAGGTTTTCTACTACAAGATGTATGTTGTTTATTTAACTGGACTATCTCTTTTTTCTGTCGCACGGTTTGTCCTCAATGATGTGCTTTTTCTTGAATTTTAGGAAGGGTGACTATCACCGTTATCTCGCTGAATTCCTTACTGGTGAAGAGCGCAAGCAATCCGCCACTGAGGCTCACGAAGCTTACAAGGGTGCAACTGATGTTGCGCAAACTGATTTGGCACCCACTCACCCTATCCGCTTGGGTCTTGCTTTGAACTTCTCCGTCTTCTACTATGAAATTCTCAACTCCCCCGATCGCGCATGTCATCTGGCAAAACAAGCCTTCGATGATGCTATTGCAGAACTCGACACCTTGTCGGAAGAATCTTACAAGGATTCCACTCTCATCATGCAGTTGCTGAGAGATAACTTGACTTTGTGGACTTCTGATTTGCAAGAAGGTAAAATAGCATTCACTTTCACTCATTTTGGATTTGAGGCAAAAAAAAAAAAAAGACATCCGTCTTGGAAAGAAAAGGGAGATCTCACCATTTATTTCTATAGACAACGACAAGGCTGATGAAAACAAGCCTGAAGATGCCGAGGAGTCCAAGTAGATTTCCTTTCACATATAATTTTTTCTTACCTTTTTCTCTTTTTTCTTGTTCTTTCTTTTGGTGTTGGGAAAAAGCTGATTGAAAGAGAGATTGTTATTCGTACTCAATTTATCCTTACGGTCAAAGAAAGCTTCTCTTTTAGCGTCGCCCACTTTCTTCCAAAGTTCGTTTTTTTTCTTTTATAAATTTTCATTGAAAATGAAGCCCATATATGTTGTCAACGATGGGATAAAACAGAAGCTTAAACGTGCTGTCTTGATTGACCTACGATGAAGAAGTGTCCTTGCAAACGAATACCTCTTCTGAGGACCCACGATGGTCACTGCCCTCTTTTTTTTTCGCTTCACACCACTTGTACTCCCGTAAGATACAAATCGGGGCTGGGCATGCAACTTTTTATTGGTTACTGATTGCAGCGGTCGCACAGGCACAGGTGTGTGTGTGTACGGAATCGGTTGTTCTTGGGTAACGCCAGTCTTGTGGTTGGTAAACTGGATTGCTGATGATCATTCATTTTTCCCTTTGAAACGGGATCTCCCTTTCACGTAAATAAAAAGAAGAGTTATTGTGAACTTTTGATGAACCCCTGAACCCGCATCTCCGGTTGTATCCATTGCCATAATGTAAACACACCTTCTCTTTTGGGTGTCTAGGTATTTTTAGCAACAGTCTGATAGGTCAGGAAAAAGAAAGACGCGAATTCAATATTCAGGATCGTTTTTCGTTTAAACAAATATTGATCTTCATTGTTTATTGATATCTCATCTATGATGAACCCATGTAAGCTCTTTGAGGCTATTGCCAACGTTGATGATGATATTGGTGACAAGCGGTGTCATGATATGAGAGTACGCGTATATTCTATGGTGCAACAATCCGTTATCGGAGGGAACAATAACAATGTATACAAAAAAGACAACCAAAACATCATGACTGTTGCCAAACAATCTAACTTTCCTAAATCACCACCGGGAAATGAATAGATAATTGTACATGACATTTTCATTATTCTTTGGAGTACCAATCAGTCGTGGAGCCATTGGCCTTCATAAAAAATGTGTTCCCTGTCGTCTGCAGTGACACAAGCAGATCGGATACTGTCGCAACACGGCGGGATTTAGCCGAGATACTGTACTCGCTCAACAACATTCCCGAAGTAGATCGGATGCAAGTAAAGGTAGCGCTTCTTACAGGAGAAGGGATATCATGATGGCATTAGAAATGTATATCCGTTTGTGATTTGTTAACCGCAAAATAATCAAAAAATTTGGGCTTTAATGAGAAGAGAATGATTTCTTTTTCATTACACAAAAGATTCGGTGGACGGTGGACGGTTTCCAACAATACTCTGTCACTTTTTAGTAACAGAGTATTCAGATGAGATGCGTTGCTGTAATACTGAGGAACTTGGGAAATTGATATGTTCAGTAGTTTATTTTTAACAGTCATCATGGGCGCCCTTTGAACCATCCATCTACAAATCGTGCCGTACATACAATACCATGAACGCGAGTGCTTGTTTACCTGCAGAACTTGCTCCTTCTACTCGTCTGTGGGATTCGATCAAAGAAAGAAAAAAAAATAGACTGATATCAATCCTATATAAACATGATCTTCATAGAAATTTTGCATACTGCTTGCCGCTTTTCCAGCAGCATTTCAAATCTTGAAGAAGCCAGCCATCTGTGTGATTGCGACCTATCCGCCGCCGAAAGCTGAGATATTGCATTCTGCATACTGTAAAATCATTTTGACGCATCTCTTACATTTCCGTTGTTACTTGACTGGATGATGGGCAGTTACAGCAAAATCGATCAATCCATTCTCATCAGCCTCTGTTATAAGTGCACAATATTTAATTGAATATGATTGAAAAACGTTTAGAACTTTTTAATATACAGAGAAAAATGAGAAATAAAAATGCATCTATGTTGATTTCTTGTTATGATTTACGTAACCAATGCCTACACATGTCATTAAAATGGTATTCGACTCTTCATCGGGTTGAATCTTGAAGGAAACACCGAAGAAAGCTTTGAGATCGCGCAGATATTGAATGCTAGATATACACATACATACACGTCAGTTACCATGACCAGAATGGAGTTCTCTTCACATAAAATATATATAGGTGGCTTACGTGAATGGTGTTAGCTGTCCAATGCGGATCTTTCCCACATCTTCTGGAGCAAGAATCATAAATAATAAATTTAACCACTGACTAGCCGAGTCTACACATCCTCCCTTGCGAACTTCTTCAAGTAACAGTTTGGCGGCAATGACGCCGACGTCTTCAGGAGTCTGACCCGGTTGTGCTGCCTTTTCTGCAGATAACAGTGCACCGGTAGTTGATTCTGCTACCAAACTCAAGGCGAAACCAGGAGATCTATCGAGATCGTTGGCTTAACATTTTCCTGATCCAAACAGTTGATGCCGTCCTTGCGATCACTTACTTTCCGCTTTCTGCGCCTTTGTAAACATCCGTATATATGTAAACGTCAGGAATATATCGATTCAGTAATGAACGGGCCGATTCCACTAATCGATTGGCGGTCTGAGGTGAAACGCGCGTGCAATAGGCGATGCCTCGTATACGTTTAATGCGTCCTTCGTCTGTAAACTGGACAGGTTTCAGCTGTCGTACATTGTTGCAAGAGAAAAGAACCTCGCCACCGCCAAGAGGAGGAGCACCTCGCTTTGTGATCTAGAACCGAAATTAGGGAAGGACTCAACCATCAACTTTCTCTCCTTCGACCCTACCTTTAACTCCACGTTGCCCTCAATACCATATCGACTCATTTGTGGCAATAACACGGTTCGAATGATATCCACCTGATAAAAATGGGGTATAAGTATTGTTAACCGGGAAAAATAGAGCAAAGGACCAAGAAAATCTTACCGAAACGTCGACATGATCTGTTGTAATGCCTTGCAGCTTCAGGGCAAAAGGCTTCTTCGAGAAAGGTGCCAATGCAATCATGGGCTCCAAGAAATAACTGATAGCACGCTCGTTTCCACACTCATGTTCCACTCGTCCACCCATGATGCTACCAGGTTTATAAAGAATGGAAGTACCTATTCACGAACAGTTTAGATCCATCGGTCGAATCGACAGAAACACGGCCACATACCAGTATAGCTGATCTCAATGGTAGATCCATTGGTTACTTTTTCAAGCAATTGGAGAAATTTTGCCTCATAATCTTTGTAAGAAGGAAATTAACAGGAATGCCATGACCAACTGTAAGATCCCCGTTTTTCCATACCTCGAATACCGGGATTTTCGTCGTCGGATCGAATCTTGTTGATGCGCACGATTTTACCGCTAAGGGTAGCTAATACCAGTCGCTGTCGCAAGTAATTGCTTCCCTCAAAGACGACCAATTTGCTCATGATACTGCACGCAAGAACTGGAGACAAATTATTAGGTCGTTCAGCTTTGAAGCGCTCGATGCATTTTTTGGAGCTGAGATCGACGGACGAATAACAGTCACATTTGAGCCACCAGGTTTACCGGCACTGGCAAGGAATCGACGAATCCAATGTCGGGAAACGAAACAATAAACCAGAAAAAAAAAAGCTGCATGGTTTTTCTTTATTGTCCAAAAATAACGCATGGCTTTGGATAGGAATTCAGCCGCTTGCTGGGCTTGAGACATATCATAATAGATGACAGCAGACTTGATTATGCTAAATGTACCAAAGTATACAAAGAAAATACAGAGAACGTTAGATCAAGGGGATTGCACTCGTCGGTTTTGATGCAGAGTTATTTGTGCTTCTTTTTTTTTGGACCTTCTAATCGTTGCATGCCAGCAGTCATTATTATTTCATATTATATTGATCCTGTTCCTGCATCATTTTGGGTTCCTTCTCATCCGCTAATTGAAGCAAAAGCTTGTAAGAATACGCGTATTTATTTTCTTAAGTAATTTAAGAACGGAGGGAAGAGAATCGAAGCCATCCGGCATTTGAAGACATAAACAGTGGGTGAAAGATGAAGGAAAGCAGACATCTAGTAGCTTCAAACTTAGATGCCAAGAAAAAGGTCAATGAAGGGAAGAGAAGATTCTTCTACAATAATTTCATTTCCATTTGTTGGGTATATAAAAAATGGTTGCCTACAGTTTTGCCGTCAGTCCTGGTGATTCCCGTAGCAAGCTGTTCGCCAAGTTAATTGTTCCTCAATTCCACGCTCGCGGTTGTGCAAAGCTGCGCTATGCCCTCTTGAGAGGGGCACACAATCTAAAGACACAACATGCCACAGCGTGAGAGTTTTTACAACGGAAACTTGATACCTACCATCCAATATCTTGTCAATCCAAATAAAGAGAAACACGTTCTTGCCAACTTGGGGATTAGGGTCCTCCGTGACGTATCTCATAAAAAAGTCATCCTTCACTAGAATTTCTTGTAATCTTCTTGTAAGGAACAACATATTCTGAACGCAATCAAAATGTCACCATTTTTTTATTGCTCTTTAAAGCGGACAAGAGGTAATGAAGCCGTTGCCACACACTCTCACCATGCTCTAAATTTTGATACAGCCTGCTGCTCATAGAAAAATGTCCACTGATTAACCGTCATGAAATTTCTGAAAGATGAAATTATTCATCTGCAACAGATAAACTATTTGGCGTTAAGTGGTCGATGCTCACGCAACGACATAAAATTTAAGTGCACCGTATCATCTATCCAGAGAACGAGTAAAGCACAATTTTCTGAAATCAAGTCACCAGGTTGTAAGAGGCTGTAAAAATCTTAACCTCTCGCTATTATCAACGGTATTCTCTGATGACAATGCCAAGGCAGCTTGATCACTGAAATGCGGGAATGGAATATAACGCAAATTTGTGTCGGGTTTTGAAATACTGGAGCTGGCTGGGCTCACAAAGGGTCAACGTTTTGGGAAGAAACCTCACTAATCGCCACAGACCTTTTGGCTTAAAATGTCAGGAAAAAACCAGTACAATGTCCTGGTGGACATGGAAGACGAAACTGTATACAACCAGGTTGGTCTTGTCATTGGCAGATTTACATTGTGAACTAGGAACTGATAATTGAGTCTGTGCTCGTATATATAGCCTGCCACCATTGAGAGCGATGGACTAGAATTTCAAGGTATTACCATCTATTATCATCGCGCCGTTGGCTCGCTTGTATTAAACTTGCTGTTACAGACTTTACCAGCAGCTCCAATGCAGGCAGTTCTGCCAAAGGTATTTGGAACGCAATGGTGATGCCGGCAAAACGTGTACAGCTCTTTAAGTAACCTATTCGTCACACAGCACCTCCACCACCGCCTAGCGCAAACAACATCAACTACTTTGACACACAGCAACAGACATCTCCTAGAAGCAATAAACCTCTTTGGTCGTTAGACTACTATGCCCAATTCTTTGACGTTGATACGACCCAGGTCGGTAAAACAATACATAGAAAATCGTAGGAGAGCAGCAGCTGACTTCTTCTTCACTTTCAGGTTTTGGAACGTTGCTTGAAGTCACTATACCCCGTGGGAGATTTCGCCTCAGACACGTTAAACAATCAACCTGATCTTTACGGACCGTTCTGGATCGCGACAACAGTGGTTTTTGCTGTATTTGTATGCTCATCGTTGGCAGGCTCTTTGGCAGCCTATATGAACGATGCTACGCACGTATATGACTTTCGATTATTAAGTTATGCCGTGTTCGTTATCTACACGTACTCATTCGTATCGCCAGTGTTGGTCTGGGCGTCTACAAAGTACTACGGTTGCCAGCCCAACCTGTTAGAAATCATCGATTTTTACGGTTATTCTCTGACCATTTGGATCCCAGTATCGGTAAGCGTATTGATGATTCGTCGTGTCGATCTTGCCACGAATACTGATATTTTTTTTTTTTTTTTTTTTTTTTTTTTTTTATGTAACAGGTTCTCTGTGTGATGCCTTTTGATATTGCACGCTGGGTATTTGTTAGTATTGCTTTTGCATTAACAGGTAATTCACCCCACTTGATTGGATAAAAATCAAATGAACTTACAAATTGGGCGCTCTTTTCTGTAGCCTTTTTCTTGACCAAGAATCTTTACATGGTCATTTCTCGCGCTGATGCGAAAACGTCACGTTTTATCCTACTCGCCATTCTGCTCGCTCACGCTATTTTCGCCTTGGTGCTAAAAGTGGCCTTTTACAGTTATGATTTTAGAAATACTTCAAAGTCTGAAGGTGTGTAATAATAAGCAGGCTTACACCTATAAAAAAAAAAAAAAGATCATAGAATTTTTCTGTGGAGGGATTTCCCATTGGTTGCGTGTTCTTGCTGGTGACAAAATAGAACAGCACCGTGGCTTGCTTGTTTTCCGGTGATTTCACCGCCATTTTCATTATGCCATGGCGTCTAAACGGCAGCAAAAGATCTTGGCAAAGCAGCAGCAGCTAATCGCGGAAAGAAAAAAGGAATCTAAAACGTATGTCAACCAAACACCGTTTCGGTATGCTGAACGAAATTATAAATCTCGAGTTCCGCCTCCGGACTTTTCCAAAGTCATCGATGTGCTCTATCCTGAACAGCATGAGCAACTGGTAGAAGTAACCCTCAAGCATGAACTGACCTCCCTATCACATCTTTTTGGTGATCGACCCACCAATTTCTCAAAGGCATATATCATAAAGTCTGTTCCAGGTTTGTTGCTCGGTAAAACTTGGACTTGTTGCTCTGACGATGCTCACAAGAATTGCTGTTTTAAAGGCTTGATTGTCATTCCCAACCCTTTCACGCCTCAAGCCCAGCGGTACCTTATCAAAGAAAGCTTGTCCAACTACCCTCGCCCACCAAATATATCTAACCTTGATACACACTATGACATTGATGTCGATGGACTGTGGCAGCTTTATGAGAAAGAGGAACAAGGCATCTTGAAAGATTATTTGGTACCAAAAAAAGCGACAGCCGAGAGTGACAGTAGCGATGACGATACAGACATAGACACATATGAAGAGGAACCACAACCACAGACACAGACACAGACATGTCCGGCAACTGCATGCTCACCGTCGTTTGTTCCGGATCTGTCAGGGCCCAAGCCCGACCCTCTACCTGCTGCAACGGTCCCGCTTCTAAAACCGTCAGAACTGATCCGAAAAATCCGATGGATTACCCTAGGATATCATTATCATTGGCCCACGAAAACATATCATTTTGATCGACGCTACCCTGTGCCAGACGATGTTGCCGAGCTGACGCATGCGGTGGCGGTGGCTGTTGAGGGTATCGGTTACGAAGGAGAACAGCCATGGAGGAACACGTACCGGGGTGCCGACTTTAGGGCACAGGCGGGTGTTGTAAACTATTACCAGTATCGCGATGCTTTGATGGGGCATGTAGATCGTAGCGAACTCAATATGGAAGCTCCGCTAATATCACTGAGGTGAGAGTAACAATGTACAGCAGTGATACGCCACAGTAGTATTCAATTCCAAGAAATCCAGTCTAGGCAATGCTTGTATCTATCTCATTGGCGGTGAAACACGCGATACAGAACCTGTCGCGTTACATCTGCGGAGTGGAGATATTGTAGTGATGACAGAAGCCTGTCGAAAAGCGTTCCATGGTAAGATAAGTTGGCGCAAATATGCTGTTTCTATATCAAACATTATTGATCCCCATTCTCGATAGGCGTTCCAAGAATTCTGGAAGACACACTCCCAGATTATTTATCTCCGGCTGCCACTTATCCTGATGCTCCAAATTGGAAATTGTTTGGGACATACATCTCCACGTCACGAATCAATATCAATATCCGCCAAGTATACAAAGAACATAGCTCTACTTGAAGATTCGAAATTAAAGCAGCATCACAGACAATAGAAAATGAAATTGAATGATAGTACATAAAAAAATGAGTAGCATTATGGTTGCGCGGCCAGAGGAGATATGTTTACAAATACAAATCCGTCGCTTTCTAAATCTCGCTTTAACTGATACATGTCTCTATCGCGACTTTGGGGATCTTGGCCATGCCACATTCCCACGACAGCTCCGCCACTCCCCGGGAGTTTGGCCACGCATCCATTTTGCCGAGCTATCTCCACCATCCTGAGATTAGCGCTGCCTACAACATCATCCCCGTATAGCTTTCGTCGAAGTTCAAAGTTGGCTGTCATGAGCTGAGCAAAAGTATGATGGTCGTTGTTCCTTAAGCTCTGGCAAGCGCTTTCTGTGAAATCAGCAAACTGATTCATGGCTTCTATCACCTGTATCTTCCTTGTCAATTCTGTATTCATGCTGCATTTGGTTAAGTTTGTGACCATACCTCTGTATCTCCTTTTAGAAATCGCTGCCTTATTGTGCTGTGGACTTTGCCGGAATCTTTTGGTTTAGCCACATACGCTAACCAAAGAGGTGGTAACAAGTTCATGTCAAGATACTCGTACTGTCCGTATCCGTTTTGATCCATGTACGATTTTTCAAAATTCATATACACAAGACCACCGTATACCTAATGGAATGTGTGAGTTGAATAGGGTACATCTTTTTCTTTTAACTTTCAATACGAGATGTAGATATACCTGAATGACACGGTCTTGCAAACCAGCCGTGATACCGAGTTCGTCCTGCTCCACCGACAAGATCAGACTTGCCTGCTTTTCAAGCGAGATCTGCTGTTCGGTAACACCATAAAATCTAAGCAGCCCTTTCCAAAATGCGGTGACGATGGCCGAGGATCCTGCTAAACCCACTTGCCGGGGTATATTGGTGTCGAATAAGACTCTGAACCCTTGACGAATGTCGATAGGTATCTTGTTGTTTTGGCAATATGTGTAAAACACTTTGCAGCAAGCCAGCAGTAACCGATGTCCGTTCTCGTAGCCATCAATAAGGCAAGTTGTACTCAAAGATCCCAGGTGCGTGTGATGAGAAGGATCGCTTGCAGCGTTGGCAATAATACGGATGCTGCTGAATGCTGGATCACACACAGCGTTGGGTAAAATGACAACCTCGGCCCAGAAATTGGAGATGAGTAGAGATAAAGTCTTGCCTATTCAATGGATAAGTTTGTCAACAAAAATCATTGTAAATTAAACAACTGCATACCGTAAAATCCATCACTTGGATTCCCCATCAGACCAACTCGGGCATACGCCTTTGTTTCGATTGGCTCCGTGGAAAAATGAACGCCGCTGGATAACTTGCGCTCAAGGCCTGGTGGAGAATATTTGGACCAATGACGGAGATATTCATCGAGGGTGACCGTGGGCAGCATGAATTCATGGGACTCTTTGTGTGGAATATGAACAAGGGAAGCCGTTCCAGAACGAGATGTCATGAAGTGGGTGAGTTCGTCCGTAGGTGAGTCGAATGAAGATTGGTTTTCTTCCAGATACTGTTCAATCGAGTGCAAGGTGGACTGACTGAGTGTGTATGCAATGGGTATTTCTAGCTGTGTCGAAACGATACAGCAATCGCCTGGCTCTTTCAGTTGCGAGAGAAATTCCGGATGGTGCTCGTATAAAAAGTCGCTAAAGACGACGACGACGTCTTGTCCAATGTTTTTCACTCGGTATATGCATGCAATATCGGCTAAGGCACTTGTGCTAAGAAAATAAGAAACAGTTGAGCTGATGTGACCCTTACTCAGGTGGTGCAAACGATTGTACCTGAGACCACTGTTGACGATATGATCTATCGGGAATGAGTGATCACTCGCCCACTGCTCGTATTTTTTGTAACTGGAGTACAAAGAAGTATCGAGACATTAGTGAATGATCCTGTCCCAAAGAACATGGCTCTATCATGTGGCTTACTTGTGTGCATTAGCTGCAATGTAAGTATGGGCGAAGGCTGTCCTTGCTACATCGTACCACCAACTCAATACAGGACGATTGCTTACGGGAAGCAATGATTTGGGAATTCCTCGAACTTGCAACGCCTGATCATCGAATCTCGACTATCGGCAGTACTTTGTTGATATTATTTTGACTTGCTTATTTCTTGTTCAAATTTCTATTTACCTTTGTTTGTTCAAAAAGATCCTGTGACCCTGGGGTATTTGTCAAAATTAGAAGCGTCTTATCGATAAACATCATCACCAAGGTAAACACGTAGACGATGAATTGACAACCAAAATATGAAGACTTAGTGTCTCAGCCTGGGAAAACAAAAAACCATCTTTAACAGCGATTGGCTGCACCGACGTTTCTATTATATTGAAGTGCACAGTGCATCCACACTGTCCCAATACAATCGTCTCAGTAATGAATTGTGCTTGTCTCATTGTCTTTTTAAACTTCATGTGCTTGCTTTAAATTCTCACGCTGCAGGACGGCACTACGCCATGAAAAAGTTCCCTGCTCAAGGAGTCAACTCTGGGGAAAATTGCGGGATCTGAAAAATAATCAGGTTTTTGATCGATGTGCTTACAACTCAAGATGGGTCATTTGCGAAGTATACTATTGTATTCATCAGTCAAGACCATCATCAAGCAAAAAGCGGTGGAAAATATTGCGCAGGACCCATTCAAAACAAGCACTTTCTTAGGTTTTTAGAATTCGCATTACAAACGATCAAAATATTACGCTTTTAAAATTTTCAAATTCAGTGATGAGTAATCGACCATGGTGAAGCGGCTTCCAGTGTGTAATCAACAAGAACTCGTATCATTGACATACACACTGTGTTTATTGGATGCAATGGCATGTCAGTGCTATATTCAAAGTCAACTGAGGAAGTCTGTTTAATCGCATGCGCAAAAGGAGACAAATTATGATGACAAAGCAGAGACATGCTCGTTCTTCTTGTGTTGTATATCTATAGGGTTGAAGTAGGCTAGATTTAGGCATAAAAGGAGCGACGTAATGAACAATTCCGCCTCACTATATGGGAATAATGAGATGTCTTCTCCACTTTGTGGTAGAATTTAATAGAGTCAAAAACATGCAGCAAAAAGCGGATGACCAATAGAATCACATGCCGGTTTGATTTCCATGTGAAAATTCCCAATTGTCGTACAAAATAAAAGACTTGGAGAAAGAACATCAAAAAGAGCATTATAAAATTTACAAAATTCACTGATCGTATTTCGTCACTTTTTCTCTTTTGGATTTTTTTCTTTTTAATTACTATGGCCAGCAACATTCGATTCGACGGAAAGGTCGCCATTGTCACTGGTGCCGGAGGAGGTAAACCCTCGTGAAGATGGTGGTTACGGCTGCTCATTCTGCGCAAACTTACTAACAAGCTTTCGTTCGCAGGCCTCGGTAAAGCCTATGCTCTTTTCTTCGCCACCCGTGGTGCTAGTGTTGTGGTCAATGACCTCGGTGTGTCGCGAACAGGCGATGGCAACAGCACCAATGCCGCCGATGTGGTTGTGGAAGAGATCCGTCAGGCGGGCGGTCAAGCCGTTGCAAACTATAATTCCGTCGAAGACGGTGCAAAGATCGTTGACACTGCCATGAAAGCTTTCGGACGCGTGGACATTGTCATCAACAATGCGGGCATTCTGCGCGATAAGTCTTTTGCTCGCATGACCGATGCCGACTGGGACCTCATTCAAGCTGTCCACGTCAAGGGTTCTTATGCCGTCACCAAAGCAGCATGGCCTATAATGAAGAAACAGAAATTCGGTCGTATCATCATGACCGCTTCTGCTGCCGGCTTGTACGGTAACTTTGGTCAAGCCAACTACAGTGCAGGTAAAATACTTGACAAAAATCATCAACTACCATCGATGTATATTCAATTCGTTGACTTGTTTAGCCAAACTCGCACTCGCCAGTTTCAGCAATTCTCTCGCCAAGGAAGGCGCCAAGGACAACATTCACTGCAATACCATTGCTCCCATGGCCGCTTCCCGAATGTAGGTCTAACCTCGATGGAAGTTCATACACATTTTACTCATCTTGTATGCAGGACGGAAACTGTGATGCCTCCGGAGATTCTCGCTTCTCTTAAACCCGAATTCGTCACTCCTGTTGTAGGATATCTTTGCCATGAGAACACCCAAGATAATGGCGGTATCTTTGAAGTCGGTGGCGGTTTTGTCTCCAAACTAAGATGGGAGCGTTCTACTGGCGTTGTCTTTAAGGCGGATGAATCGTTTACACCTGGTGCTGTTGGTGCCAAGTTTGATGAAATTACCGACTTTGATAAGAACAACGAATATCCTACTTCCATCATGGATACCGATTTCTTGGCTTTGTTGGAGCGTGCGAAACAAACCGATGCCAATCCCAAAGCCGAACCTCTGGATTTCAGTGGCCAGGTAAAAATTTGACTTGATAATTTGGAGCTTTTAAAAATGAAAAATGGCTCACGCTTTATTGCTCCTAGGTTGCCATTGTCACCGGTGCTGGTGGAGGTCTTGGTAGAGCCTATGCCTTGATGCTTGCCAAACACGGTGCCTCAGTTGGTAACTATCCGCATAAAATCCACGAACCAATGTACTTTTTTAACCCATTTACTTGTCTTTAGTTGTAAATGATCTCGGAGGATCCACACACGGTCAAGGCTCCGACTCTCGTGCTGCCGATTTGGTGGTGGATGAAATCCGCAAAGCAGGTGGAAAAGCCGTTGCCAACTATGATTCTGTAGAAGATGGTGAAAAGGTGGTCGAAACTGCCTTGAAAGCCTTTGGACGCGTGGATATTTTGGTCAACAATGCCGGTATTCTTCGTGACAAGTCCTTTGCTAGAATGGCGGATGCCGATTGGGATCTTGTACATCGCGTGCACTTGAGAGGCACCTACAAAGGTTGGTCCACTTTTTTATTTATTTATTTGCCATCGTGGCGGCTAAAACCAAAGAGAAAAATACTTAACGCTTTCCGTTTTCTCTCTCTCTCTCTCTCTCTCTCTCTCTCTAGTCATCAAGGCGGCATGGCCTCATTTCGTGCAGCAAAAATATGGTCGTATCATCAACACAGCATCAGCGGTCGGTCTCTACGGCAACTTTGGTCAAACCAACTACAGTGCCGCTAAATTGGGCATTGTCGGTCTTAGCAAGACCCTTGCTTTGGAAGGTCAACGTAAGAATATCCTTTGCAACGTGATTGCGCCCAATGCCGGTACTCGTATGACGGCTACCATCATGCCGCCAGAAATGGTCGAAGCCTTCAAGCCTGAATACGTTGCGCCTTTGATCGGTTATTTGGCTCACAGCAGCAACGAGGAAACTGGTGGTATCTTTGAAGTCGGCAGCGGCTGGATCGCTAAAGTCCGATGGCAGCGAACGGGTGGTGTTGGTTTCCCTGCCAACCGTACTCTCACCCCGGAACAAGTCGCTGAAGCATGGTCTCGTATCACTGATTTCGATGATGGTCGTGCCACCAACCCCGAAAGCACCCAAGAATCATTCCAAGGCTTCATGGAGAACTTTAGCAATATTGCTGAGGAGGAACAGAAGTCTAGCGCAAAATCAGAGGGTGGCGTCGACCTCGAGAGTGTCAACAAGATGAAATTCGAAGCTTTGGAATTCACCTATGAAGAACGCGACCTTATTCTGTATGCCTTGGGCGTCGGCTGCAAGCGTCAGGACCTTCGATGGGTCTATGAGAACGATGTGAACTTTGGCGCTTTACCTACCTTTGGTGTCATTCCTTCCTTTGCTTCCATGAACTCATTTCCCTTTGGCGATGTGTTGCCATCATTTAACCCCGTGAGTGATCAATCGTGGCTTGAACAGTTGGGTTCTCGAGCTCACCATTTTTGTTGCTTTCTTTTAGATGATGCTGTTGCATGGTGAGCAATTCTTGTCCCTCAAGAAGCCAATTCCAAGCAGCGGCACACTGAAATCGGTGCCCCGTGTTGTGGAAATCTTGGACAAGGGCAAGGGTGCTGCTGTGGTGATTGGTGTAACGACTACCGACGAAAGTGGGGAAGTCGTGTTCGAGAATGAATACACTCTTTTTATCCGTGGCAGCGGCGGATTTGGTGGACCCAAGAAGGGCGCTGATCGTGGTGCGGCTACAGCGGCTAATACTCCCCCCAACCGTAAACCTGACGCTGTCGTGAAGGAAAAGACCCTCGAGGACCAGGCTGCCCTCTACCGTTTGAGCGGTGACTACAATCCTTTGCATATTGATCCTGAAATGTCAGCCATGGTATGTGATCATATATTCCAAATTTAGAAAAAAAGAAAAAGAACTAACAAATTAAAATGATCGTCATCACTTCAGGGCGGATTTGACGTACCGATTCTCCATGGTCTCTGCTCCTTTGGTATCTCTGGCAAGCATGTACTCCAGACTTTTGGAAATAACAATGCTGAATCTTTCAAGAATATCAAAGCTCGCTTCGCCAAGCATGTCTTTCCTGGCGAGACATTGGAAACGCAGATGTGGAAGGAAGGAAACAAGGTGATCTTCCAAACCCGAGTTGTCGAACGTGATGTCATTGCAATTTCAAATGCTGCTGTTGAGCTTGTCAATAACCGTGACAGCAAATTGTAAAAAAAAAAACCAAAAAAAAAACTCAGAATAGCAGCAATTCCCTATTTTTTCGGTTTGTTTGAGACATTCTATTCCATAAAAGGAAATTCTATTAGCGGAAAATGTTTCATGCATTTTTTTGTGGCACGGAATTATCCAAGCGGAAAAAAACTCGAAATCCGTTTTTTATATCTCTCGTTTCTTTTTCGTTTCCCTTTCTTTTTACCATTGTCATGAGTCGATCGCCATCCCAAGGATTCCGTTGTAAAGCTTTTGTATTTGACCTTGACGGTACTTTAATTGATACCACTCCTCTTGTCATAAAGCACTGGCGCGATTTCGCCAATGAGCATGACCTCGATCCTGAAAAGGTAGGTAAAAAGTAGACTTCACGGGTGGTTTGGCGATTGCTAATCGTCCCATTCTGGACTTGCTGTCGCCAGATTTTGGAGAGCTCCCACGGTCGTCGTACAATTGAGACCATTGCTCGCTGGGTTCCAGAATTGGCCACACCCGAGGTTGTAGCGGAAATGGAACGCAAGGTCGCTGATCAAACGGAAGGTGTCAGCATCTTACCTGGTGTGCGCAACTTGCTAGATAAAATTCCACAGAACCGAATCGCCGTCTGTACGGCTGGCACTGAATATATGGCAACCACTCGTCTAAAGCAATGCGAGATTACCCTTCCCAAAGTGATGGCTACGGGCGACAGGGTATGCATACGAAAAAACGTTCACGCAATGATGAAGAAGCAGCTAATTCTGCTATTTCTGTTATTAGGTAACTCATGGCAAGCCTCATCCGGAGAGCTATTTATTGGCCGCCCACGAACTGGGATATGCACCTGAAGATTGCCTCGTGTTTGAAGATGCCCCTGCCGGTGTCAAGTCTGGACGAGCAGCTGGAATGCAAGTCATTGCATGCACGACGACGCACAGTGCCGAAGAACTTCGGGAAAGTGGAGCGACAAAGATTGTTCAATTTTTGTCTGATGTGGAAATCGTTCCCTTGCCTGACGGTAATTTTGAAGTCTTGGTGAGCAATGCTTTGTGATCGGCCGTGCGTGGCCTGTGTAATGTATCATGTCAACGTCATTTCCGTCTGTAAATTTTGAATCTCAACTAGAAAATATTATCTAAGCTGTCGAGCTAAAATTATAAAGTCCATGGTCAATCGTGTTGTTTTGATCAATGTGGTATAGCCTGAAAGTTTGGACGTAGTATTTTTTCCTGATTCTACATAATTCAATCATCCTTTTCAGCTTGTAGCATGACTGAGATCGAGCGATCAGACCCCTGCCGGAAAACGATGTGCACGTTATGCTCACCTGTGGAAAATGGGGTAACCTGACAGAAGCGTCGATCGATCACTGAGAGAAGAAAGGAAAGATGGTCAGTATGGCAAGGAACGCCGATAGGCATTCTTGCAATATCCTGCCCTGAAAAGGATAGCAAGGAAAAAGTGGCATTGTCATCGTAATTCGAAGGGAGAGCATGCTTTTTCTAAATACTTGGTTGCGCATTTGAATCAGGCACTCTCCAGTTCCTCTACTGAGCATGTCTGAAGGTTTCATCGGCTAACAAACACGACAGAGCGCCGCGCCTGCTCGTCACGTTCACGTTTTCCTGTAGTGGTTGAATCCTTTCTTTTCTATGCCATTGAACGTAGACGTCAAAAGAAGCCGTAAATAGATGAAATGCTGAGCGGGTATTTTGTTCAACTTGAAGCTACAAAAATTGAAATGACCAACAAAATGAAAAGTAAACGCCCAGAAATGAAGGTCAGATGGACAAAAATGGAAGAGTAGAAGTCAAACGTAGGGGACGTGCGCTCGCTCACTGTTGATAAAAAAGAAAAGCTCTTACTTTTGTGGCTAAAGCTTGACATTGCTTCCGGAACGTAATCTGATCGGTCAAAACAGGAAAAGACGAGAACGCTAACAAAAAAGTTGGAGACACGGGGATTTGAACCCCGGGCCTTCTGCATGCAAAGCAGACGTGATAGCCACTACACCATATCCCCTCCATTTTTGGAAATTTTCAATGTTACTTTTATTTGGTTGATTTCCTTATATGGAGTATTTGTTACACACACTAAAAGATTGTCCTCCTTGTCATGGTATGGCTTTGAACAAATATCTCTTTTTTTTATCATTTGACCTTCATCTCTACTGATACTTTTGCGAAATTGACTAGGAAAAATAAAGGAAATATCGGAGCGAAGTAAGTATAGACAGAGATCACAAAAGAACCGGCAGAAGCTGAAGGCAACAACGGATATAATCTCTCCATTGAATCTGTGAGGAGGAACAAGGACAGAGGAAGGACAACAGAGCTAAGTTTTAATAAATCAATTGGAGAACAATGTAGGTGACCAGGTGAGACGGTAATGTTCGATTGCTCATGGTGTTATCAACGAAGAAGGCTAGGCAAAAATTATTAAAATACATCACCCAAGGAGATCACTCACCGATGTAATGCATTAAATCAACTACAGTATGATATTCGCTTATGGCTTTGTCGGTGATAAAACAATGGAATTCTAACTTTCGATTTCTTGTCCGATGGGATGGCTGGTGAATCTTGTCGAGCTGAATTTCATTTTCGCCAAAAATACATCGTCACAGGCGACATTCAAAAGCACTAATTTTTGTTGTTCAAAAAGTCCCACAGCGAGAATTTCCAGAACATACATTACATGCTTGGTCGATTGCGGGCACCACCATTATTTCGAAGCGCCGTTCTCGGTGCAACCACTCGACGTGCAGCTACCCAAGTACTCGGCAGATCTACGATTAGAACCGGGGTTCTTCAGCAATTACCTACCTTACCACGCGCATGTCACACAGGGTTTCGATACTTTAGTACGACCATCGCCAGCAAACCGTTACGGTCCATAATAGATTCTATTACCGATGGCGATTTGCAACAAAAGCTGCAACTGGGAACGGCACCAAAAATCGATACAACCGTCTTTGCTGCAGCCGACGATAACATGACGGCAGTTGACGATTTGATTGCCGCACTAGACAACTATATTGCTGGCCATGGAGAAACGACACAAGCAGAAGCATATAATACCATGCTCGGTGTATTAGCTTCTGCAGGACTCTCAAGCGAAGCACAATATTTATACGATCGAGTATTTCGTCACCACGGACAGGAAGCTAATATTACCACGTTTACCTATCTAATGCTCGCCTACATCAACCATGGCCTTACCGACGATGCCTTGGATATATACTTTTCCATTCGAGATCACGTCGAATCCAAGTCGAACGCGTCAGCTTTACAAATGGACGCTACGCATTACGCCATTTTGATCAAGGGTCTATTGAACTCAACCACAACCCAAGCCGGCCACCATCCATCCGACGACATCCCCACTTACGGTTACACTGTGGAGGTTGGGCGGCAGGAGATTATGGATCTGGAGGGTAACGCCCATCCCGGTTTGTTAACGGCTTTAACGCTACTTCAAGACATGCGTCAACTTGAAATCCTCCCTACGCCAGACGTGTACATGAGTATGCTTGAAGCGTGTGCGACTTATGGCGACAAATATTCACTTGAACAAATTCATAACATGCTGCGCATGGACACCAACATTGATCCCGATATATCCACGTTCAACGCTCTAATGAAAGCTTACCTTTCTGTCGATGATGGACCGGTCGCCCTGCAAATTTGGGAAACGCTAATACCTTGTTTATCGACGGTTAATGCAGAAACCATCGCGATTGTTTTCAATACATGCCGTCGCCTGGGGTACAGCACTTACGCCGCTAGCGTGTGGAAGGAACTGAAGGATGCCAATTTTAACCTGAATCCTGAACATCATCGCTTATACCTGGATTGTTCGCCCAAGCAAGCATATGAAGAGCAACAAGTGACAGAGGAGTCAAATACGGATCCATCTACGGGCAATACCTCAGCAGATACAGATCCGACGCATAGTTCTTTGAGAGAAAGCAGAGACGCCTCGGAACAGAAAAAGATGCAAAAAGATCGATAGATAAATAGAACACAGATAATTTTCATTGTGGGTACATGGGTCAAGATAATGGTGGATAAAAGTGATCATTTTGCCATGCAGGGATGGTGCATGCATTAATAACGGTGCACCCTCGACTTTTTCAGTATGCATTTTCTTTTGTGTTACATATCCCGCTGCTAGTCTTTTATACATATAGAAGAAGCTTAATCATTCGACAAAGATATATTTTCGATTCTTCTCATTCATTTGTACAGTATGCTACGTGCCGGCCAGTGACCTGATTTCAGTCTTTTTCGACCGCCTGCTGATCAATTACCAAAATCGTGTCCTGTGTAACGCTGGACACTGAATTCGTATTAAAGCACATCTCCTCACCGTGTCACCGCTTTGGTCTTTTTTAATTTTTTTTTGGTGCTTTTACCTTGCTTTCTTTCCTTGATTCGTTTTCCGTTCCTTTGACTCTTGTTTTTTCCTTAAGTCAGCAAACACGCAATTTATTCTGAGAACATCATGGCTCACGTAAGTTGCATCATCTTGCTGCTACATGGGCGAAATATTCGAGACTAGTTCATCTGAATCATACCGTGTTGATGAATCATCAGAGACTCTACGGACGCAAGAAAAACGTGAAGAAGGGATTCCAGTTCACCTTGATGGTTGTCGGTACGTTTAGCTATAGAGTATTTTAGGCTTATTATCATCTCCACTGTAAATAAGGTCAAATATCTCGCCCATCGATGCTCATTCCAATCATAGGCGCTTCCGGTACTGGTCGTACCACGTTTGTAAACACCCTGTGTGATTCCAATGTGCTAGCAAAGAAAGCATGCCACAATCCTGAGGAAGCTCACAACGAAGAAGGAATCACCATTAAGCCAATTTCTGTTGGTAAGATAGCCAGATTTTTTAAGCGATCTTTAATACAGAGGGTTAATATCTCTCTTTTTTTTGTCAATGTACAGAGTTGGATGAAGATGGTGTCAGGTAAGCTATCGTATTACAAAAAGAATAATGAATGACAGAACTGGCAAGGGCTAGGGATTCTGAGAGTGATGATCAATGGAGGACTCACATGGGGAGAGAGGTGGATCAAGGAGGGGGGTTGCGCTGCTCAATTTTGTATTTGAGGAACATCACGCCGAAATAAGAAAGGAATCTCTAAATCTTTTATTTCGTCTAGAATTTCCTTAACCATTGTTGATACGCCCGGTTTTGGAGATAACATCGATAATGAGCGATGGTAAGTCAATTTTTTCCTCTCCTTCTCGGTATCATCCTAATACTAACATGGGTACGCTGTAACGACCAGCTTTGATGCCATTGTCGCGTATTTGGAACAGCAGTATGACGATATCCTCGCCGAAGAATCACGTATCAAACGTAACCCACGATTCTACGATAACCGTGTACACGCTCTTTTATATTTCATTTCCCCTACTGGACATGCGTAAGTAACCTATCTGTTCCCTTTTTTTAAGGCTTATACTTATCAAGGAGGTGGTAGTTTACGTGAAATTGATATCGAATTGATGCGTCGTCTGAGCCCCCGTGTGAATGTTATTCCTGTTATCGGTCGAGCAGATTCTTTCACTCCCCAGGAGCTCCATGATTTTAAGCGACGAGTAAGCGGCATAAATTACCATGGTCATCTACAGACTCATCCATAACCCCTTGCCCATCCTACAGATTATGGAGGATATCGAGCATTATAACATTCCTATTTACAACTTTCCCTACGATGTGGAAGAAGACGATGAAGACACTATCGAGGAAAACAGTGAATTGAGAGTGGGTATAAAACGTGTTCTTTAAAAGCGTCATTTTACTTACTGTTGACACTACAGGCTTTGCTCCCCTTTGCCATCATTGGCAGTGACGAAGAAATCGTTGTCAACCAACGAACTGTACGCGGACGCCAATACCCTTGGGGTGCTGTAGAAGTTGATAATCCGCAGCATTCTGATTTCGCAAGACTGCGTTCCGCTTTATTGAGGTACGATCTTTGTTTCGACTTCTTTGGCCCCATGTAGACTGAAACTTTGAATGTTTCATTTACAGCTCGCATTTGCAAGACCTTAAAGAAATCACGCACGATTTCTTGTACGAAAACTATCGTACCGAGAAACTGAGCCGTACCGTGCATGGCGGTGATGCCGAGTAAGTAAAAACGAGGACATGTGTTTATGAGCCTTTGATTATTCAATTTTTTGAACATGCAGTAATGCTGCCCTGAATGCAGAAGACATGGCTAGCCAGAGTGTGCGATTGAAGGAGGAACAACTGAGAAAAGAGGAGGAAAAGGTAATACTATAAGGGACGTCGTAAGGAATTGGATGATAACTGTTTATTTTCGATTTCCAACTGTAGCTCCGTGAGATTGAGTTGAAGGTTCAGCGTGAAATTCAACAGAAGAGAGCCGAGTTGTTGAGTAAAGAAGAGGCTTTACGTAACTTGGAGGCAAGACTAGCTCAAGCTCAGCTTTCTGATGCTTAAGAAGTTTATTTTTTATCCCACTTCCCTATTCTTTTTTTTATCCAATATAGAAATACCTTTATCATTTATATCACATCTATATCACGTCTCCGATTTGTCCCTGTTCAACGATCATTGTGATTTATCAAAGTACATCTACTAATGCCTTAACTTGATATTTTCAAAAAGTGGCTTTTTTTTTGGGGGGGGTTATTCCGCTATATCAAACGTAAACTTATACTGGTTGCTCATTTACGCTTTCATGGCATGCACCATATGACTCTGTGGTGTGCCCTACTATTTGAACCTTTTCGGATGCCGGATAGGGGTGTTCGTTTGTGCCAGAGTCATAAAGTGCTAGACGACGATATACGAATGCGAGCTTTTAAATGAAAAGAAACAAGACAATTTAGCTCCAAAGAAATACGGGTTTTAATCTAATAACAGCATGAAATAGCAGTTGTGGTAAAAGACGTTGTGGGGTCTGATGTCGAAAATTCAGCATTAGGGGCACATCAATGATTTCATCGCAACACAAGCCTCAAATTTTCATGGTACGCTTTGAGTGCACATCGGTGTTTTTCTTTCCCTGCATACGTTTATTCTTCATCTTATGACGAGTTCAGAATTCAGCAATCCTCTCAGAAAGTTCAAACTCGTGTTCCTAGGAGAACAGAGCGGTACTTTTTTCCATCTTCTTACCTCAAGTAGCATTCCATTGACAACACGATCTTTCACTTGTAGTGGGCAAGACATCGCTCATCACGCGTTTTATGTACGATACCTTTGATAACACGTATCAGGTATCAAACTGGTGCTCCTCATTTTTTTGTTATTTGTTTGTAAACCCACAAGGGTCATAAGTTGATCATCCGCTTATAGGCAACAATTGGCATTGATTTCTTATCAAAAACCATGTATTTAGAAGATCGCACCGTTCGTCTTCAGTTATGGGATACTGCGGGACAAGTACGTGCCATGAAAAAAATCAGAGCGACGTACCTCTTTTTTTTTTTTTTTACCATGTCCTAAGCTGTTTAAATTAGGAACGATTCCGCAGTTTAATTCCCAGCTATATCCGCGATTCTTCTGTTGCCGTGGTTGTTTATGATATCACTAGTACGTCTTGAATGGATTTGCGCAATCGATCCATTTTTGAGTACTGACAGAATCACTTAGATCGTGCATCCTTCGTAAGCACTTCAAAATGGATTGAAGACGTTCGTGCCGAGCGTGGACATGATGTGATTGTTGTACTTGTTGGTAACAAAACCGATTTGCAAGAGAAAAGGTAAATCTTTCTTAAAATCGAAACCGCAGGTAGCCCAATGCTTATTCCACTTTTTAAAATGCATATTGAATAGACAAGTCACTGTAGAAGAAGGAGAGCAAAAGGCCAAAGAGACCAACGTGATGTTTATCGAGACCAGTGCTAAAGCGGGACATAATGTGAAAACGCTTTTTAAACGCATAGCTCAGGTTCTGCCTGGTATGGATCAAGGTCTTGAAGCACCTACCAAGGAACAAAGTAAGCGCAATCTTGACAAAAAAGATTGAGAATACCATTCTACCGAATTATGCATTGACGTGGCACTTTATTCTAGTGCAAAAAGTTGATCTTCATACTTCCGAATCTGGCGGCGATGCCAGCGGATGCGCTTGTTAAAGAATCCTGCTACTACATCTATACCCCCTTTTACTTTGCTTTTGCCTCAAATGTACCGATGGTCACCGGTGAAGTTCTTGTTTTTATTCTGCATAGTTTTTTGTCTTGCTTTTTGTTTCCATTGCTTCTTTTTTTGTTTTCTGTGATTCGTTTTTTTTCTCCGCCAAACATCATTAAAAATTCATGAATGAGAATTTGACAAATAACAGTGCTCTATCATGTCTGTTTCCATCGCGCCCTTTAATAAACGTGAGGACAACCTTGCCGAACTTACCTCACTGATACAGCAGCTGTCAACATCTGCAACTATCTCATCTGTACAGCGTGCCGTTGAATCCGCTCACTGCTATGTATTGATTGCGCGAGATGAGTCGACACGAAAGATGGTCGGCAGTGCGACTATGGCGCAAATGGAATGTCCTACAGGTATTCGTGCTCATATTGAAGATGTGATTGTCGATGTCAATTGGAGAGGCAAAGGCATTGCAAAACGTCTATTGGAGGAGGCCATACGGTTCGCCAAATATCAAAATGCAAAAACGATCGATTTGACCAGCCGCCCTGAACGTGAAGCCGCCAATCGACTGTATCAAAAAGTTGGCTTTGTCAAACGCGACACCAACGTCTACCGTTTTCAAGATCAGTGAACCTTGCAACCCCATACATCCAATCTCCGGTGCCAGTAATAATCCCCTTTTTGTGTTGTTATCTTTGAATATTTCCTTTGAAAATTTATCTTGTCGGGTTTCTCAGAAATTTTTCGGTCTTTTGATTTTTTATCAGATGGGGGATCTCCAGTTTTTAGTCGGTCTGAATCATATTCTGGATCTAGATGATGGCGGTGCATTTTCGCTTCTCATCGCTTCGTTTCGGATGTGCATTATCATATTTGCAGTTTAAATGTGGATCTATTCATCTCGTCATGTCAAAAATTTAATGCAAAGGAGTAGGTAACATGGGAAGAGTTATAATAAGAGAGGAGGGAAACGTTGTAAAATGACTGGATGATCACACATGATATGAAGAAAAAAAAGGGCGATCTAGTATCTTGGAGTACAGATTTCCGGTCGGCAATGGTCCGTAAAATTAGCCTGCTCCGACTCGATCTGCAGGGTGGAATGATGAACACCGTACTTGTCACAAACAATATGCTGGCTCTTGGCCAAGATATCGTCGTAACTAATCGATGGATCGCGAGCCACGGTAATATGGGCTGTCAAAGAGCTCTTGCCAGGAGATAACGTCCAGACGTGCAAATCGTGGACGGCCACAACACCAGGCAATTGCAGCAAGGATTGCTCAATCATGTCAGGTTGAATATTGCCGGGGACACCTTCCATCAATACGGCCAGCGAATCCTTCACAAGATGATAAGTGGTGTACAGAACGAGAATCGAGAAGACAAATGTACAGATAGGATCCACAATGGTAAGGTCTGGCTTGAACAGCAAGATAATGGAAGACACCAAAACACCTAACATGAAAGATTTTCAGTCTACACTTCTGGCTATTTTTTCAAGGTCTCATATCAAACTTACCGATCGATGCTAACAAATCTCCAATAACGTGTAGCGCAGCGGCTCTAAGATTGATGTTCGTTTCCTTTTCGAATAACCAATGATTGATTTAACAAAGCAGGTCAAACCAGTTATGTCAAACAGTAGTATACTTACTCTGTTGGGTTTTCTGTTAACTCCTTCTTCATCGTGTTCAGAATGACCTTCATGATCGTCGTGATCATGGTCATGGCTGTGACCATGACCGTGATGATGACCTCCTAACACATAGGCCAAGCTTTTTTCATAAAGACATTAGCCAACAGTTACTGAAACGTGTACCAAGTCGTAACTGTAACTTACACAATATTGATCACAACACCAATAGATGCAGTGATACACATCTGATTATGGGCGGGTTAATTAAAAAGAATCTGATAATCCTTTGAAACATTAAAAAGCAAAAGATTGAAAAATACATACCAACTTGGCATCAATTTGTTGAGGATTCTTGATACGGTCAATGGCCTCACGGACAAGCCAAGCTGTTAACACCCAGATGGTCAAAACTGATACAAGGGCCGCAATCACTTCGGCACGATGAAAACCAAACGTATGACCTGAAGGACGGAAACGATATTAATGACATGTATACGATTGGGATAAACAAAACAAAAAATTATCCAGTCCAAACTTAATTCCACTTACGCTTGGTTGGTGGTTTTTCCGCAAGATAAATGGCTGCCAAAGCAACAATGAAACTCGCAACATCAGACAGGAGATGAAATGCGTCGGACATCAAAGCTACAAATATATCATGTGTTATAACAAGACAGCACCGTCGCAAACAGTTTCGTTTCAGGATGCCTTACCGAGTGAATTAGCAATGTAACCTGCTACAAGCTCTGTAGCAAAAAAGAGCAGAGCAAGCAACGTTGCAAACATCAATTTGCGCTTTGTCGATCTTGCAGCGTGTCCGTCCTTGGACGTAATGTTGGCACAGGCCGAATGGTTGAAGCCGTAAGAAACTACGCCACCGGTGATTATACCATTCTCTTCATTAATGAGCGGTGTACGCTCATTGGTATGGTTGGTTGAAGACATTGGTCAAAGAGAAAGAGAGTATGCAACGGAGGAAGGAGGAGAGTTTTTTTTTTTTTTTTTTTTGTTGGCCTTTTTTTTGAAGTTGGGGGGTTCAGCGGAAAAAAAAAAGGCTCCTTCTCCAAAAGGGAATCGAGAAGCAGTCCCCAATTCTCCTGTGACGAGGAAATTTTTTGCTTGGTAGCTTGCTCTTTTTGGCTGAGCTCAGTTTTTTTTGTGTTTTTTGCAACCAAACAACAACTCTTTGACAACAACGCCATGTTGAGACAGTTATGGTCATCGGTCGCTTCTCGGCTGTCGAGTGCCTCACCTTCCGTTTCAGCCATCACACCATTGCGTTCTTCTAATTTGGTTCGACCGGCTTGGATGGGTAGCTCCATTCTTGGTTCAACGTAAATGCCTGACCATACGAACATTGTGTTACTCACAAAAAAAGAATATCGACGGCTCACGACAATGTTGTTTTTGTTTTTACTTCTCATCTTTCTGTAGTATGGGCGCTTTCCGATCGCCAGCCATCGCCAATCCTTTCGCTTCCCAAATGCGCTTCGTCACATATGGAAATACCTTTCAACCTTCCAATTTAGTACGCAAAAGACGACATGGATTTCTCGCTCGAATGACAAAAAAGAACGGTCGCCGTGTCATTGCCAGACGTCGATTGAAGGGTAGAAAATACTTGTCGCATTAGGATGAATTCCCTTTATTATTTTTCAGCTGTACATTTTGATCAACGATCCCCGGAAACGACATCAATAGATCTTCTTTCTCTTTTTTCTGTGTTTTCTATATTTACAGCGGAATGCCTGCATTCGCCAGAGTATTGGACACAAGAGGTCGAATACCAGTTGGTTTACTTCTCAGCTGATTGGTAAGTTCTCGGCGAAAGGTGCGACCCTGACGACCTTTGAACAGCATCATTAGCGGTTTCACCAAGAGCGTGAGGGGCGGTAATCCGTAATCTTGGGAACCGATGTTCGTGGCCAAAAGTTTCTCAGCATATTCTGCCAATAACATTTGTCTGAGCATTTTCCCATGCCGTCAGGGCAACTTTTTTTTTTATCACTGCCTTACCTAGATATCGTTCGATAATGACCCTGCGAGATGGAAGTTCCGTTTCTGGTATGCCATAAATTTCTGAAATCTTAGTTAATAGGTGCTTTGTGATGCTTTGACAAAAATTTCAGGGGTGCGGGAAGCATGTTTAACAGAAATTTTGTTTGAGAGACAAACAAAAACCAAACACAGGAACCAGCATTACATTGAAGCAAATATGAACAGATGCATTGAAAAAAGAAAAGAAAAAAAAAAGGCAAAAACATTGCAGTACATACCTTGGTCTAAACGTTGGAGAAACAGGGGATCATTCATTACTGTAGAAAACAAGTAGTTGGATCAATAGTGTCTCATGCTGCTATGACATCGTCATTTGGATACTTACTTTGTCTTCCGATCATACATCCATCCACTTTACTCAGCGCCATAGAAACCATTAAAGTATCATTAAATCCACCGTTGATCGAAATAGGTAAACTGGGGAACGTTTCAGCTAAACGATAAACTCGGTCATAGTTGAGTGGCGGAATAGAACGATTGTCCTTGGGACTTAATCCTTGAAGTATGCATTTCCGTGCATGGACAATGAGATGTGGGGGCGGTCGTTTACAGTTCAACAGCGTTTCAACCTTGATAAAATGTTAGTCCGAAACATAAGTATAATAATGACTGTGATCGCTTACAAATTGATAGAGGAAATCAAAGGTGTCCAAATCGTCTACACCCAATCGACATTTGATAGTAACCGGGATAGATACCTCGGCTGTCGTCATAGCTTCCAAAATCTTAGCGACCACATCTGGTGATTTCATAAGCACCGCACCAAATTGCCCGCTCTGAACCCGTGGACTGGGACATCCTACGTTTATATTCACTTCTTGATATCCATTATCTTCCAGGATTTTCGCTGCTTTCGCCATTAATTGTGGCTCGGAACCGCCTAGTTGTACTACAACGTTGGATCGCGGACGACCGACGAATCGTGCAAGATGATCACTGTGATGGAGGATAGCATGAGCATGATGCATTTCGGTATAGTAGGCATAGCGTTCACTGCCGGATATAATATGAAGTAGTTCTAAAAATGACTGTGGCGGATCAGTGAATACCATGATCTACAATCAAAAGGGCAGATCAAGAAACCTACAGGCGTCGAAATGTCTACCATAGGGGCTACGCTAATTGGTCTCGGTAATCGACCTGTCCCGTAATTACGAACAGATAACTGAGCTAATCGCCATGGCCGGCATCGCTGTAGCATAATTCGCTGGCTGTCTTGTATCGTCTGGCTGAACAATATGATATAAAAAAAAATTTCCTCCTCCGCAATTAAAGACAATGTCCGTGAAATCTCATTTTTCCAGTGGAAATTTTTTATGCCAATACATGTTCATGTAATGCTGCGAGCAGCAGCCACGCATTTGAAGTACAAGGAAAAATGCAGTAACAGGATCACCATTTGGATCACACACTTCTGCACATTAAAGTTTATACTTATCCTCGAAAGCCGGATCACATTTGGACGCATATTAATGAAATAACGATAACCATAGATTCTATGAATCTCTCCTAATAAAGAAGTAATATCAAAGTTTCGGAGCCTTGGCGTTGATTAGAAAAAGACAAAAAATAAAGGCCTTTTAAGAAGAACAAGGTAGAGACAATGGTGACGTTTCCAAGTCACATAGCAGTCACGTTCTATATATGTAGAGTATTTGTTTTTTTCGAAAAAAATGTAAGCCCGCGTGGCGAAATTGGATATCGCTTTAGACTTCTAATCTAAGGGTTGCGGGTTCGACCCCCGTCGTGGGTATTTTTTGCACCCGCCGCACGGATAAATGTTTTGCCATAAGCTTGTGTTACGTTCGTGAACCTGCATGAATTGTGTCGTACTTCACTCGGATCTGATATACAGTCAAGATCACCAAAGTGGTTTGCCAAGAAATATATGTCTAGAAACGACTGGCTTTTATTGTTCTGTTTTGTTCTGTCTTTTATATCTTTTCTCTAGTTTACTGATTATTGATCTATAGAAGGGTATTAGCCCTTCTCAGAGTCTATATGTTATTGGTGTTGACTCTTCGCTTGCGAGGAAGTCCGCGGGCAGGTTCTGGTTGGTCGGTATGGAAACAGATCACGACAATTGACGGAAAGCCCACGCCCCGAACAACTTTTTGGTTGCTTGTAAATGAAATGGAGCATTAGCTATAATGTTGCAACGCTTTTTAAAGTTGCTCGGTACTTGCCTAAAATCCAGACAACGTCCGAAGGTTACATATGACTAGTAGTATTTCTTTGCTTTTGACTGTTTTGGAAGTTGACGCTTTTTTAGCTACTGCTTTGAAGGGCTTCTTACTTTGAATAGATAGCTTTCTGCCCAAAAATGGTGGTCGTGTGTGCAACTGCGTCTAGTGCACTTGGGTGCTTCCACGCTTCTAACAAGCTATTGTCTTTCGAGGGAATGATGATGTACTGCTGGTTCATCAATGCATTTTCTCGGAAATATGAATTAGTATGCAACCATGCAGTCTGCTACTCATTCTCTATCGCGCTTGGAACCTACTCAGGGAATTATCTTCTTCTGCATAGTAAAGATAAGCCTATTTGACTATTAACATATTGATTATAATCAATCTATCAATTTTTGAACCAGAAATTGACTGCTTGAGTCTTTCAAAGCTTGATCCATTGTTGTGGATGGATCGTCATGGAGATACCGTTTTGTTTTTGACTCAGTAATGATTATTTTCCTAGCGTCTTCTTTGGCTCTTTACATTTGATGTCCCTACATTCATAGTTCTACTTCCTTTTTATCTTGTATTGATCTACTTTAGTAAAGTTCTGAGCTCAAGGAGCTGGTTGCATGGCAAGATTCAGCAACAGCCAACTCCTTTTGACAAGGAAAACAATAGATCTTAACATAGCTACTTTGCTGTAATCTGTGTTCCTTTATCCTTCCCCAGACAGCAGGTGCTAGGAGTATCCTCTTTTGAAATCGATAAGATATGTTGACAAAGTGTGCGTACTGTATTCACTTGGTGCACCCAAACTAAGTTATTTGTGGTGCCGTTTTCTTTTTTTGAACATGCCAAGTGACTTTTTGGACAGAAACGTAATGTGAGTAGCTTGTACTACGATCTATCAAGCAAAGAAAATGACAGTTCATTATCAGTGCAATCAAATTCCGAGAACGGTTAATCCGCGGAGGTATTCATTGTTGTGAGCTACTAAAGCATGCGAATAGCGCCCAAGATTAAACTTGCCAGAAGCAACACACACTTCCATTTCAGATTTCTCACGAACATATGAGTATAAACGAAATGACACAAACAACGATGTATGGTTCAGTTTTAGCCGTGAAACTGATACTCCTTTGAAGCAATAGCAACAACGCCAACCTTTGGTGTTTGTTCTCAAAGGATACTTTTGTTTTTATTAGTGAGACATACCATAGCAATTCAGCTCTAATGCTTTCTATAATTGCCTAATGTCGGGAGCTTACCTTTATTGTTCATTGCTACATCATGCTTGTGAAGCTAATTTTTTTTTTCTTTTTAGCTATGATCAACTTGACTGCATGACTAAGCATCTGAGAAACTTGAACTGTCACATTTAGTTTAGATCTACTTCGTTTGATGCCGGCGACTCCTTGGACACAGTCGCAGTATCCCTGTCGAAATCATTTCATAGTGACGAATTTGCGTCCGGATAAAGATGAATACGTGTGGTTTGCTGCTTGAATCCCCGAAAAAATGGTACTTATACTCATATTACGAATGCATGGATAGAAGTAACCTTTCTTTGGAGGTTCGATGCAAACATTTGCTGAAAAAAAAAGTTCTGGACCCATTGAGAAGGTTGGGGTCAGATACTCCTGTCAAATGCCCGACTCCCGCAGCTCGCTTCAACCATAGCCGAGTCCTTAACGAGTTTTCCTCATTTGGCCATGAATCGTCGATAATTGGAAATACAGTACGCCCCGTTTGTTGGCTAAGCGATCGAGAAGCAAACTGCATCGCCAAAAAGATTTGCAGATCATGGTACTCGCTTGGTGGGAAAAATCTGCCACGAAAAAAGTTGTCTGCAGCATAGCTTAGCAACATGCACAGGATTTCCTGTCACGGAAATTTTTTTATTCTTTTTCAAAGATAAAAGGAACAAAGAATTTTCCCACCGGATGAATCTCTAGTTTTTGAATTGGTGCCTCACGGACTCTTGCAACCAAGTGCTGCCTCTGGCAATAACTAGTTGTAGGTTGGTCATGTTGCCAGCATGATCAATAGCACCCACTACTTCAATATGCTCCATAAAGTTTTTTGTTCCCTTGTTGTCCCTTTTCCCAACCCTCGAATCAGGTGTCTCAATGGCGCTTGCTCCTACGAATCAAAATATGCTATGGTTATCCGCTTCCTTACCTTTGGGCTTATTACGAAGAAATTATCAAGTCAACCTGAGCCGTGTCGTCTTAGCTCTTCGGATCGAAGATGTTATGTTTCCCAGCCTGAGTACAGGTGGTTTTCCGCGGACTATGTCGTAGTGCCGTTTGTTTCCTCGCCCAAGTATGGGTGTGTTTTCTGGCCCCAGTGTGGGTATCGTTTCCTGGCCCCCGAGTGGGCATTGTTTTCTGACCCCAGAGTGGGTATCGTTTCCTGACCCCCGAGTGGGGTTGTTTCCAGATACAGAATCGACTTTCTGTTGTTTTCGCCGTGCGGTTAGCGCGTGCAATTGCTCGTTCTCATGGTGCTTGTAATTTTTTTTTTTGGTACTGGCTCTTCGGTCTGGTCGCTTGGCGTATTCGTTGGGATAGGATAACATGTTGTCCCTTTTAGTTGAATAAACTTTGATATTGTTGTAATGAATTCCTGTGGCCTAAACTTCTTGATGTTGAGCTAAAGTTCTGCTCGGTTTATTCAGTAGTAACTGATAGTGGACGACAGCAAAAAGAGCTTTAGCAACCTTTTTCTGCCATAGACCTCCCGATGAAGTTTCTATATCCGAGATAACCTGACTAATATTCCGTTGTACGATTCCTGGGATGATTGTATAATGCTGGAGATGTTCTTATTATTATCTAGTACTAAAATTCGGTAACGCATCAAAAAAGGCATTTTACTAGTAGATTATGAATAAAAACCAAGGCATGAGTCATCATGTGAGGCAAAGTTTTGGAAATAAATAATCAACTTACCCACAGGGCACCTAGCTGTGGGAACAGCGATAACTGATCCGGATGATATCATGAATGTTTTGGAATCTTGCTACTCGAGGCTTCCGCTTCGGACCGCTTCCTCTTGAAAAGTGTCGGCCTTTCGTTATTCTCTCGGTGGCCAAACAAGATCTTGCTCGCGATTCCATAATTTATAACCATGATCATGTTTACATTTTTGATTTGTACATCTAAGAATAAGCGTGAGCAATCACATTCAATATCAAATTCACTTTCATTCATTGGCTGCATCATGACGTAAATTTGACTAAAAGCAGGTTGAAGATCATTTCGTGGTGGGAAAAGACTACCAATTTGATGGTATATGGCTCCATGGATGCGGAAACAATAGGCGCCTCTTCGGTTATTTAATACTGAAAATTTACTCCCGTAGACGTGAGACTGAGCGCACTGTTATAACTTCGAATATTTTTTCGAAAGTCCTTTGCATGTTGACTATCAGACCGGAGCAGTTCAACTAATATTGGAGGAGTAGGACTCAATAGTGGAAGCATAACTTTGCCCTGACAGCAGCACATATTGAATTTTTTTGGGTGAGGAACATCCTCCTGATATTACTTCCCCTAACCATATCTGGTCATGACAAAAATGGCATTCAATATTTTGATGGCCGAGCCAATGTCGGTCGGGCAGTCCAAGTTCTCTACCTATCATGTGCGTAGATTATAGTTATTATGGCCGAGTCAATATCGGTCGGATAGTCCAAATATCTCTACCTGTATAAGGTTGAAATGCTCGCTGTGAATGGCTTGAAATCAAAGGGCATTCACGATGAGTCAGCGAGCGTGACCTGATTGACGGCAGCTTGCACAAACTATATCCATAGACGGTGGTTGCACTGAATACGAACGGTTTGAATTCAAAGGAGACTCACGGTGAGTAGAGCGAGCATGGCCTGGTTGACGGCAACTTGCACAAATTATATTCATAAATAGCAGTTGAACTGAAAACTTATCGGATATGTATATGAAGGTAAAAGAAACCAAAGATAAAAGCCAAAAATAGACATCTTCCTTTCAAAAATAGACATCTTCCTTTCTCTTTTGTTCCAAAAAAGAAGGGCACATACACACACACTTGATTTTAACCAATTGGCAACGATCCATGTGATTGAACAAGTACATCATCATCAAACAATAGGTTAGACTTTGAAGAACATGTTTTTTTTACACAGCTGTGCCCAGTAAAATGTATTGTTTTTGCTTTCTAGCCAATCAGAGACCGTGTACCTGATTTAATGTGCATAACTCCCGAAGATTTTTTAATATACAGTTAAAATAAAAATAAAAAATAAAAAATATACAAAGCATCATTGAGTGCTTCCGTTTGACATGATCATGTCAATGCGTTTGGCTTTATCCGCATATCTGCTTTCACCCACAATGAATTTCACGAGGTTCGTCAGATATTCAAGCTCCTCGATAATCTCCTCTGTGGAGCAAGCCATAGCAAACCATGTCAAGTTACGGAACCTCACCCATTTTTCCTTATCGGATTCCTCTTGACGATGTGTGATGAGGCGAGTTCGCGCCGCTCTGGCAGAGGGCATATAAACCGGCAACGGCATTTTAGAACGCAACGATGCGGCAAGGGTATGAAAGTGAAGAAGCATGGCTGCAATCTGTAAAGTCCGCAAAACATATTAATCCATCATTCAAGAAAAAGTCATTTTAATAACTTACCATATCACGTCGGTATAGATAATATTCTTGATCACATATGTCTCGTTTCACAAAAGGCGACATTTTTGTCAATGCTGTACGGATACTTAGCATACGATCCAGCAAATTACGAAGAGCTACAATCATTTCCTTGTAAAAGTCCTTGGGAAAGGGTCCTTTAAGCCGTGGTTCATGGTTTGTCAATTCCAACAGCACTGACGCCGCGTCAATCAACGACTGAATCCGGTTCTCAATTTTTGTCGCTTTTTTGATGTCTTCTTCTGTGGGAGGAGACATGGGGTGGTGATACAAGAACTGACAGAGACACGCGTCATTTGACCATCCAATAAAATAAATAAATAGCTGTAAACAAGACTTACTGTTCCCATCAAAAAGGTGTAATAGTCGCCAAATTCACTCAGAATGCCGGATATAGATTTTCGCGTGGCATGACGGGCTATAAATGGCCACACCATCCTAACATCAGAGAGTCAGTACCGGTCGAAAATACATCACACACAATCGTGCTATTGCGACCTACCAGTTCAGGCACATGGCGACGCAAATGCCGACGATCATGGTAACGGTTCGTTTCCTGCATAGTAAGAACAACCAAAGATGAGAAAAAAAGAAGTACAGACAAAATGTTCAAGTACTGCTTACCATACAGTCTGAGCAATTGTTTCCCCTGGTACAGGGACAGCGTATCGACTCAAAGCCACCACCATGTACGTAACGAGGACTACGATACCCACTTTATTGTAGGTACTAGCAAGATGGATATAGAAAAATGGAATCGCTGAAAGGAGGATTGCATGTCAATTTCAGGAGATGACAATACTATGCAGCAGTTTTGAACTTACCAAGGACAACGGCAAACAACGCCAGAAGATAAGGGCCTCCACCACCTGCTTCCAGCGCGGCCCAACCCATGAAGGCACCAATTAAGGTTCCCAGAATACGCCAAAGACTAGCTTGCAATGTGCCACCACTATCACAAGGAGCGATCAGCATTTTTTCATTAGTGCTGCCATGTAGGCCATATCGTGCTTACCTCGTAGGATTCATAATGGCAATGACCTATGGCGTTAAAAATCATACGAATATGTAATCGTCTGATGAGAAAACAGATACTACTAGCAGCGTATACACGTCGATACATACCGTCATTGAAGCCCATTGACCACGAACGCTTCGAAACCAAGCCATTGAAGAGGGAACGAATGCAGGCAAGCACAATACAGAAACAGCCACGGCCATTTTCATTGCAAATTTGAACTCGTACCGCTTGACGTATTGAAGATATTTCCAGATGTTGTAACGAATATGCAAAAAGACAGGTGTCTTTTCCTCTGCTTGCTTTTCATAGTCTTGCGCCTCTGGGTCAAAAGATACATTTTTCTCATTGATGGTTTCTGGGGTTGTGGGCGAAGTAGTTGCGTCTGAGGATCGTGACATTCTATTGACTGCTCGACGGCGGATAGGGGTTGTGGGTGCAATAGTGCTACTTTCATGCGAAGGAGCTCTGGCAAGTTTGGACCCTCTTCTTGTCACTTGACGCTTTAGGCTACCGGTTGTCTGGATTTTGGCGAGGCGATATTCATCATGAGCATCAGGCGTCCGCTCATCGTTGGGCATAGCTCTAATTAAACTGGCTACAACACGTTGGTGGAATAAAAGAGATGATAATGTTAGGAATTTTGGAAACATAAGGAGTATATAGGTGTGTGATGGGAACCTACCGTAGGCATAACCGCCTTTGTCGCGCATGCTTTGATGATTGTTCCATGCTGACCACTTTTTCCACCATTTCACATTGATCTGCGGCATGTAAAGTCTTCGACGTCGTTTTCCTTCTCTTCCGCGCTTCCGAGAGTTCGAACGCAGTTCGTCCATATTGATAGTCATGATTTCCAGCTCATTGGCTACTTCTCGCAGCGTGAAGATGAAAAAGAATACAAGGAATAACTCCTCGCGCATACCGAGATCCAATGCGCCATTGTTGCGAGATTGGTTTGATTGGTATAGAGCTTGCATTCGCTTCTTTTCTTGTTCGTCAAACTCTCGAATAGCGTCCCGAATCGTCTGAGCACAATTACAATGATCGCGATGCAATGCCAGCTGCGAGTTGATGGATTCGGCCCGTTTTGGTCCTAATTTGAAGAGATGTCGCAGATAGGCAGCCAAGGATTTGTGAGTTGTCTTGTTAGTTTCATCATGCATGTCCAATTCGTCGAGAATGCCGTAAGAAACACACGCCATCACTTCAGTGCACTCCAGTGACAACTGCATTAAAGGATCACGCAGGCTTTCGAGATAGGTCATCAAAAGATGGCGAGTTCCATACTCGATCTGCTTTTTCGATTTGCGCGGAGGTTTGGGTTTAGGCCTGGAAAGTTTGGATAAATTGAGAAACGATTTAAAAGAAGTAACTGAGCGTTGGTGATGGTCGGATTCGTCGTCGTCGTCATCAATAGAATTGCGGCGCGAAGGGGCGCGTGATGATCGTGGACTAGTATATTTTCCTGTCTGCGTGTAATCGGTAGTCGCACGTAATGCTGCCTTCAAAAGATGCAAATCTTCCTCGCTGTAGACTTTTGGTAATCCTGATCTCCGATGACTGCTGGATTGATCTTCCTCACCGCTCGTATATACGCTTCGTAAATCGTCTTCACTTTCCATATCACTCATTTCGGCCGCCAAAAATTCAAGAGCGCTTTCAAACAATTCACGTTCTGATTTAACGCATCCACCAAGAATATTTAAATGTCGAGTCATTCGGTCCAGACTTTTGCGGATAGTGCCGAGATCCTGGGGGCGAATGCAGGCAATCGATATTTCGTACTTTGCTTCACGGTAAGCTGATTTGACTTTGGTCATTCCCGTTCTTAGTTTGGCGGCCACTTCGTCTATCTTGTCAGGGGTCATCATGTCGCTTTGCGGATCCAGAAAGAATTGACGGGTGATCATATCAAGCATGTCTCGACTACTGGAAAAGGTTTCATTTAACGCTCGTCCTAATATGGAATTTTTAGAGAATTGATGTTACAACATATATGAAATCATGCATGAACTTGCAGGAGAGCAACTTACCAAGGCCGTCGACAGCTGTTTCTGGCCATATGCAGAGGTTGATCACTAAAGATAGACCAGCCCCGATCATGAGCGGAATTCCGAAATCAAGAGGTAAATGAAATGGCACTGATGTTAGATTGACGCCACGAGTCAAGCTAAAAATCTGAACAATCATAAATTGCAAAGAGAAAAAATGGAACTTGGGCAACATTTGTCGAAGCATTTGCGCGCCAAAAATGCCACAAAACAAAAAGATGGCGTTGACAGTGAGGCCCACTGGATTATCCGTGTAAGTGTCCATATGTCGGACGTTGTAAGCGGTGGAAGCAGCTAAAGCGGCAAATGCGTACAAGACAGCGAGTACGACACCAAGAACGGCCGTCACCGTGGCATCAAATTGGGCTCCCATGCTGCGTCCAGGGTGACTGAACAGCATGCCCGTGGTAACGAGAAACGGGGCCGGCCCGAGCGCCTGGACAATCTGGGGAAACAGGCTGAACAGCGTAGAAACAAAGTAAGCAATTGTACATTTGAGGACCCTTCGTACGACTCGACTGGGAAATTTTTCGTGCAGGTATTCCAGCAATCGTTCGGTTCTTGTGGGCAACGGATCCGGGTTCTGATCCTCATCAGAACCCTGATCACAACCTTGCGGATTGGGAGGATTGAATCGTTGTTCGAGTTTTGGAGGAAAGGTGACATGACCTCCCGGTTCCTTTTCGTTCCTGCGAGTGTCAGTTCTGTCTTCATTTTCGTAAATAGAATTGGGGCGACTGGGAGTTGAAAATAACTGAGAGAGGCGAGGGTGCTCCGCTGTGTTGTTCACAGATAGATCGAAGAACCTAATATTTAGAGTTATAACATAAATCATTGATCTCTCTACTTGGATGGTCGGCTGATAGATTTACCCATGCCTCTGTTCGGTGTCCATTCAAAAAGATATAGACAAGATAAGTAAAATAACTAAACGATTCTATAAAGAAGGAAAAGGAGCCACTAACTTCCAGAAATTCCCCACTTATTCCAGCATCTCGGCGGAGTTGGATGACCTTGTTCGAGACAGTGGAAAAATGAAAAACAGGAACAGTTCCATCCCCGACAAGAAGCACTTTTACCCCATCCTCACATTGAGTGAATGCCACCATACCGAGGTTCCTATTCGAATACGCCTCCATTTTAGCATCGGAAGCTTCTCAATGCTCCTGAACTGTGGCGACCCAGGAAGTTCGGTCAAAAGCCTTTCTATTCAATTGAACCTTTTGCTGCATACCGTGCTACGTGCAACAAGTATCACCCTAGTATTGATATGGAGTGGCCTTGGATCCATGTCACCTGATAATAAAGGGAAACATCGACTTGTATGGCTGCAGACTTTATATGCACATACAATGCGTCATAACCAAGTCGACCAGAAGTTATTTTTTTTTCTGCCATCATACTTGCCTTTTTGGATAAAGATACAACCCTCGCCATCAAAAAGGGAGAGAATTAACATGAGCAAGCACGACTTGGCAAGGTTGCAAAGCAAGCGACATCTGAAGCCCCAAGTTCTGAACCCTACTTACCTTTTCGGTAATTGAGATACCAAAGTTTACATTGTGGTTATGAAGCACTTCTTATGATGATGATATGACACGAATTGGAACATTTTATTTTTCTGTAACCATACTTTTAAGCATAGTATTGCAGGGACATCTTCTTCTTTGCTTGCACTTCCTGGATAGCGTCCATGAAATCTTCATGTGAAATCTCTACTGAACCTCTACGTAACGCAAGCATGCCACCTATGAAAGCAAAAAGTTTGGGTTAAAAAGACAGAGATTTCCCCACAGCGTCTGCTAGTTGACTTACTCTCCACACAAACAGCTTTGCATTGAGCGCCATTGAATTCATCACAGCATCTCGAGAGTTCTTCAAAGTTGACATCTTTGCTGACGTTCATCTTTCTCGAATGAATTTGAATAATGCGGGCTCTCGCTTCTTCGTTTGGCAGGGGGAATTCAATTTTACGATCCAAACGTCCTGATCGAAGTAAGGCGGGATCGAGAATATCGATACGGTTGGTGGCCGCAATGACCTTGATACGATCGTCTGAAGAGAAACCATCCAACTGATTTAAGAGTTCCAACATGGTACGTTGCACTTCGCGATCACCAGATTTTTCAGAGTCGAAACGTTTTGTACCAATAGCATCCAATTCATCGATAAAGATAATTGCAGGCGCTTTTTCCTTTGCCAAATTAAAAGCATCGCGCACCAATTTTGCACCATCACCAATGAACATCTATCATTGGATTGAATATAAGTATCGACGTTCATCACCCGGTTCTGCTTGCTGTATCATCATTTCATGTCAAGTTTACCTGCACCAGCTGTGGACCGGCCAGTTTCAAATATGCTGAGTTGGTTTGTGCTGCGCAAGCTCTAGCCAACAATGTCTTGCCTGTACCAGGAGGACCATACATCAGGACACCCTTGGGAGGCTTGATACCAATATTTTTGAATCGATCAGCGTGAGTCATGGGGAGTACGACGGCTTCCACCAGTTCCTCGATCTGCTTATCCAAACCACCGATATCGTTGTAATCTTCCGTTGGTTTTTCGTCGACTTCCATGGCTTTTACTCGGGAATCATATCTGGTAGTAGTTCATTCATCGTGAGCAGTAGATTCTTAAAGGACAGATGAGCGTTTCCCACTTACTCTGCGGGTAATGTATCGAGAATCAAGTAGCTGTCCTTATTCACACCGATGATGTCGCCAGGTTTCAGTTCATCCGGATCCACCAAACCGATCAAAGGTAAGAAAATGGTCTAAAATATAGTAAGTCTAATGAACAAGTAAAAAGCAAAAGTAAAGGGCAACTTACTTGGCGTGTGGATGTTTTGATGACGGCACATTTGCCTTTACGTCGTGAATCGAGATCCACATTAGCACCTTCTTCCTCGTGCTCATCCTCTTCCGGTGCGACGTCCAAGAGCTGTAAAACAACCGATGGTTTTAATCATCATGTCATGTATGTATAAAAACTAGATAGCCGAAATGCATCCGTAGGACTTACCTCTACTACATTGCCAACAAGGTACGGAAGTTGCTTGTTCATCTTGATCTTTTCTTTATTATCTTTAATTCTTTCCTTCATAGCGGCCTGCTCATGCTGCAAGCGAACAATTTCCGACTTCATGACCTACAAAAACATCAAACACCGTTAGTTTTCCGTATAATGGGACCAGCTAGACTCGACATGCTGCGACGATCGTCATTGACGTGTCCGTCGTGTTGCATACCTTAATGTCATTTTCAAGAAGTCGCGTTCTGTTATGAATTTCTTCGGGAGCAAGACGTAAGATTTCCTGTCCAATATCGTCGACTTCTTCCTGGTTTTCCCACAGCGATTTATCTTCCAAAGTGGCCATATCTGCAATTATAAGTAAAAAAAAGAGCGCAGACGAAAAATTACGCAAGCCTGCTTTTTTGGGAACGAACTTCGCTCAAGTGCGATGAGAGTGACGTCTCCCTGACGGAGATTTAAAATAGCGGTGAATGAGGAAATCTCAACATTTGGAAGGACTTCCCCTCAGATCACGAAGCTGTTCTTGGGCCATTTTGTATTGATGATTCTGCATTCGTTATTACCAGAATAGCTGAAGTTACATGGTTGAATCAATGCCCATGAGCTTGTCAGCGCAGAATCAAAGTCCATGGTCTCTGACGACGAGGTAGTTCCCAGCTTGCGTACACCACATTTCGATTTTATAAGCTTCGTATCGGATAACCGAAAAACCAACTCGCTGCGTCTAATGATAATTGAAGAATCCTACGTCCGATATAGGTCAACTTATCATGTTGGAGCGACCAAAGCGTCCTGCGATGGATGAGAATCGAAGCTTTAACACTGGGATTGAAACACCGATGATACCCGTCACTTCTGAGAAGTTTGTTTTCCGCACGAAGCGTTGTTCTTTGATAACTGATCCATTCCCAGAACTTGAAACTCTAATGTCGATTGGCGTTCCCATCAAGCTTCTTCATGAAGCACAAGGTCACATCATTACCCTGGAGCTGAAAACGGGTCAACTATACCGAGGAAAGCTTTTGGAAGGTAAAACTTGACTTGTTTGCGATCTTATTAAATTCGACATCTCAATTTTGGTTTGAAATTATATGGGCATACTTTAGCTGAAGACAACATGAATATTCAGCTCAAAGAAATTACGGTCACAGCGCGCGATGGACGAGTATCACAGTTAGATCAGGTCTACATTCGTGGATCTCACGTTCGTTTCTTCATCGTTCCCGATATGTTGAAGAATGCGCCCATGTTTAAACGAGTTGGACCGGGAGCATTAAAGGGTCGAGGCATCGGTTTGGGACGAGGAAGGGCTACGGTGGCACGCGCACAAGGTAACTTTTTAAATCATTTTGATTCAAAGCATAAAAAGACTCATTGTCATGCATGATATTCTCTAGCGAGAGGAAGGGGTCGCGGATTTATGTCTCGTGGTGGTCGCGGTGCTCCACCTATTCGTCGTTAGAAAGCAAGTTTCTTTTAGTGTATATTGTATAGTCAACAAAGAGGGGAAAAACGCCGTGCAAAATACAGCTGCTACATTTGTGCATATTCTCAAAAAGATCCAGATTGATATCTCAAGTATATTTTGTTTTTCTATGGCAGTGAAGAACGTCGAAAACAACAAAAAAAAAAGACGAAGGTGGGATACGGTATGGACATTATTTAGCTATTTTTTTCTCTTTTCTACAGCTTGACATTGCCTGCTTGCAATTGCTGATAATCTTCTTTGGTAAAAGGGACATAGGTATCCTTTTTAAGCCAGAAAACAGCCTCGTCCTCGGGAATTTTGGTAATGTCGATGCCTTGATTTCTAAACAACACTTTTTGCTGTTTGAAAGTACCGGTTAATTCCATGGCAGGAACAAATCGGATGAATACAGGGATAGCGTATCGTGGCAATTTTCGGCGCAGGTAATTATACAGGTCTTCAAAGTTGATCGTCCTGCCTTGTTGAAGTACAATAGCCGCCATACCAGCTCTGCCGTCATGGTGAGGAACTAAGGCACCGTAAACGTTGGCTTCGGCAATCCCAGGATAAACGCCAATGGCTTGCGCGACTTCGGTAGTGGCTACATTTTCTGATTTCCATCTAAATGTATCGCCAACGCGATCTCCAAAAAAGAAGAAACCGTCTGCGTTCAGTTTAAGCAAATCACCACTCCGGAAATATCTTGAATCAGGTAGCACTTGGTCAGCGTCACAAAATGGATACACTTGAGATCCAAAACTTACGCATCTCCTTTTTCAAATACATTGGTCAAGATCTTTTTCTTTGTCGCATCCTTGTTTTTGTAATAACCATCGAACTGGAGCGCACTGTCTTGATCCATGCGAACAATAAGTTCACCTTGCTCGTCAAAGCCGCACTGAATTGATTGTTAGTCCAGTATCGTTATAGATAATGAGGATTAAGCTTACAGGAACGCAAAAACCGGCTGGTGTGCGCACCGGTTCTTCTGAAATTGGATCAATCGCTATAATCTTGAGTTCTCGGCGCAGAGTGCGGAAGAGATAACCGCGATGTCCGACAGCTCCTGCACCAAAATCACCTGTGTTTACATTGAACAAGCTTGTGGGGGCTATGTACCAAAAGCGTGTTAGTGCCACCACTCGCGCGGGGAAGAAAAAGAAAGCACTCACCTTCAGTGGCAGCGTAAAACTCGCAAATTTTGGGGATACCAAATCTGGAACGACGGTGATTAGCTAATGGGATATACTTCCCAGATCAACGAATAAAGCTTATCGCGTTGCATTACCTTTCTCGGAAACGGGTCCACACGTCAGGACGCATACCATTACCATACACCAGTCGGACCTGGTGATTGCGCTCCTGTGGGTGTGGTGGTTGGCTTAGAAGATATCTGCAGAATTCACCAATGTACTACGAAGATCAGACGAAGATCAGAGGATAAGTATATGCTCCTTGTCGATTCACGTAATAGAGTATATGCTATTTACCGTAAAAGCAGTGACTCGGTGGCGGACACAGTCATCCCAGAATCGGCTGGCTGAAAATTTACGTCCCAGGACAATCGTTCCACCTGCTTGCAATGTAACAGCCGTTGTCACAATAACTGTTGCAGGGAAAAAAGTTGCCGTTAGTTCCCAAAGCAAAGATAAAAAGATATTTATGTAGATGATTAACTTACTTCCGGAGCTGTGATAAAGAGGCAACACGCAATAAACGCGATCTTCAGGCATTACACCGGCGACAGCTGAATACATCATACCGCCAACTTATGACAGAAAATAACAAAACAAAACAATTGAGACACATCAATAGACGATATAAATCTTATGCAAACAACTTACAATTCATACGGGCATGCTGACTTAGCGCTGCTTTAGGCATGCCTGTGGTACCGCTGGTGTAGATCAACATGGCGGCATCCGAGTTCTGAATACCCTTGAGGTAGGATTCGCTCGTATCCTTGTCCGGGTAGGCCGCAAGTACACTAGGGGTAATGGTAGGGGCAATAGCTAGCGGTGGCAATTCATTCTCCTCGGTTGCCTCGCCGTAAGCAAACAGCGATACACCGAGAGCCTGCGTGCATTCTTCAGCGATAGTGGCTACTTGTGCTTCGTACGCCGGATCAAACAAAAACAGCTTGGTTCCACAAATCTTAACACAATGAAGCAAAGAATCCTCCGACAGGTTCGTGTTAATTAAAGATGGTACAGCACCGATTTTGAGAATGGCTAAAAGCGCGATATAAAAGGTGGGGTGGTTCTGTTCCATCATAGCAACCACATCTACAAGCCCAATGATTTCAATTTCAGCAGCGCAGATCATACGAGTTTTAATGGTAATGTACGAGATTGAAACAGCTCTTACCTTTTCTTTGAACCTTTTGTGCCAAAAGCCAGTAAGCCTAGGAAGAAAATAATGCGACGTGAGGTGGGACTGAGTTGCCCATTTTTGGTCATCTAACAATTACCAATCTGTTTGAAGCTAATACGGCGAATTTAATCTCACGTAAATTTGAAACTCAGCGTAACTCTGTACCTTTTTCCAGCTGACGAAATGTGTATTGCTTATCCTCGAAGATCACAAAAATACGATTTGGGTACGCTTTGGCTTTGTCCTTGAAGCGATAATAGAAATGCAGTTTGTCCTGCCATGTCCAAATTCTATGGCTGTGGTTTTACAGGTGAATAGCAGGTCGTCAAGTAGTTTGAATAGATGATCATTTACTATATTTGAGCTGCAGCACCCGCTCGTATCTGATTCCAGTCTCTGCCAAGTAACAAACGAGCGTCCAGATACATGCTGCCAATAAGACCGCCCGCTCCGGCAGCAGCAATACTTAATAATGACTCTACAATGAAAAAGCGATGAATATTACATGCAAAGAAAGTATATGGAATATCGCCGTAACGCCCTACCGGTGTCCATTTTTGGAAGTGGCTACAAAAAGGGATGAAAAAAAAAGTGGATTACAGAAATTTGTTCCACAATGACATTTATACAATTCTTTTTGAAAAAGTCATATGAAAGTTGAGGCGGCGATAAAATATAATTGGGGCAAGAACGATGTAAGAATGGCACAAATACGGAACAATACTATGACCGTGGAAAAGAGTCATCACTCCATTCTCAGTTTGGCCTTCGTGATGCACATGGACTACCACTGCTCTCACTCCTCGACAACATGTGTAAAAGTTGCTTTGCTTTACCACTGCACGTATGGTTGCCCCATACCAAAAAGCATTTATTATATACTTCCAAACCCACCCATTGTTTTCGAGTGTCGAGAGCAGTGGCGATGGATGACTTTATGCATGGCAAGCTCATTGCGTTTGTAAAAAAATAAATGAAAAACATCAACAGTTGGTATAGAGAAGAAATCTTACAGGTAAACAGAATAGTTAATTCAACATATCTGCGGAATGCACAGCAACGATTGCTTTTACGGTTGTATGCGATACCACATAATATATCAAAACGCACAAAAATACCAGAATCAGAATACGAGCGGGATATGCTTGTATAGTGCAGTCAGGTACATATTCAGAGTCATTCGTTGTGTAAACGCCAGCTCGAGGAGCTCCTCTGTAATCGTCATAGCGACCATCGTACGCAGCTGTACGATTGGTCACATGGATGGTTGGGGAAACATTTTTCATGTGGATTAAATCGCATTTGTCATATAGGCTACTTACCAGGTTGCTGATAATGATGATTAACAAGTCGTACCCTCATTTATTTGCCGCTTGCTGGGGCCAAGCTCTTTTTACTAGGGTGCCTTTCGTCAGGCATCGTCCTAATACAAATAACCTTGAGTCAGGGCCTTGGCGTAAATATCAAGCTTGACTGTAGGACACACGCGTATCAGTTTGCTCCCAATAGGCTTCAAACAGCGATGTTCGCCGATCAACATCTAAAGTTTCTTACTAAACTGGACTGTGATGCCGATACAAACAGCATCCTTTCCAGAGTGATGAGATAGTTGTTTAATTTAAAAAAAATGTAAAAGAACTTTTATAGGCAGTTGGTCTTAATTCAATGTGTCTGTAACTGGGAACGACGGTATGTCACAGTTATAAAAGCTAAGCACCCTTCGGATTTTATCTTCACATATCACTTCAGTCGAGATATTGCAGAATTAGGCCATCTACACATTACTTGCAGGAATGGCGTACACAAAGGGGCAAGTTTACGAAAAAAAAAATTGAATGCGAAGATGAGATTTTACTATGTGTGTGCCTAGACAAGCGGACAAAAGAACAAAAGGATAGTCAGGTCAAATTTACAAAAAAAGCCGAAAGATAAAGTTGGATGAAAAAAAAAGAAGAAGGAAAGGCCAAACAAAAGATAAAAGAAACAGAGGAGGACTTATTGTACTTCAACAGATGCAGATTGGGATGTGTAAGAAGAAGGCTTTTGTCTGGCATAACTGTCATTCACCCAGCGACTGATTTGTTGCAGCAATAACCGATGCCGTTCAGTGAGTGGCAAATCTTTCTTTCCTTGTCGCTTTTCCTCGTTTGTTGAAGAAGGATACAGCGAACTTGCCGCGTCATCTGATGCTTCACTCTTTGTTTCTTTCTTTTCCTGGGAATCAATCGCTAACTCGGAAAGATCGCTGGTTAACAGCTCCAGGACATCCTTGGAGACAGCTGATGCCTTTGCATTTCCGTTTGCATCTTTCTCAGCAGGCTTCTCTGCATCATCGGAACCAGCGGAAGGAGTTTCCTCTTTGGGTGTTGCTGATTTCGTCGGCTCACCAAAGCTTGCAAAAACGTTGACCAAGGTAGCCATATTCTTCTTATCATCATATGATACCGAATCTTCCTTCGTAGGCTTGGGGGACTCATCAATGTCCACCTTTTCGGTTTGACCGTCGGATGGATTAGTGGCCCGTTTTGTCTTGGAAGATGGTGCATACTTGACATCGCCGCCTTTACCGCTGGTGTAGTTCATAGCGCAACGGATTTCAGGCACAAAGTAAGTGGGTTGAATGCCCGGCGTTACTTGATAATGTTGTCGAACGCCAGTCAAAGGACCGTTACTCGCAACCGTTGGTGGTGCTGGTAGGGGCATATCAGGCATCGGGTAACCGAAATTCGGCATATTCAAAGATCCCATTTGAGCCATCATATCGTAATCACCGTACATCTTGGAAACAGACATATCTTGGTTATTCGTCATGGGATGGGATCGGACATACATATCTTGCTCTGTAGTTGAAGGATAAAGCGTGCTCGGGTCCAAATTGGAAGTTTGGTACGACTGAAGCATGACATCTGCATAGGCCATCTGCGAAGGATAGCCACAGGTGGAATCGAGAGGAGCAGCCGGTTGCGAAACTGGTTGACAAGACTGGGAATAGGTGTAATTATTTTCCTGAATCGGTAGTACGTCCGTTTCCATAGGTCCTGCATATTGCGTCCGCATGCTGTCGGATAACTGAGCTATCCAAGCGTTGATATCCGCGAGTTGTTGATCATCGTTGATATTGAGATGCAAGTCGTACGGGCTAATAGCACCTGCATCAACCATGGTTTGTAAAGCATCGAGACGGTTCGCTACATCTATGAATTACAGACACACATTAGAAGGCATTCTATACTTTAAAAGGGTATACCGCGGAAGGATGTGCTTACCCGCATTATATTCGGGTTTAACGTGGTCTTCTGCAGGGAATAACAGATTGGAGATCAGTTGCTCTGGTGTACCGTATTGATCGATTTGAGGTTGCTGTTCCATCATTGAGTTGGCAGATTGTATAGAGAAAGAGGGAGCTCTATCATGCTGCAGATCGGGTGTCAATTGCCGGGCACCGAAATTGTCGTATGAATCAGCGTAAGGAGATGCGTTGAGTTGAAGCCATGAATCTAATACCAGAGTGAGCCAACGCTTACAAAAATTTAGGCAGATGAATGGTTCCCTCACCTTCAGAATAGGTGCTTTGGGGAGGAGAAATTGGAATTCTTTGCGGGGAAGAGTAACCAGTGGAGGAATACGGTGACAAGGAGATATCACTGTTAGCCTGTCTTGGTGGAGTGAGCGGATGGTGGACGTGTGGTTGTCGGGACTGAGAACGAGATATGGTAAGGTTATCTTCGCCGCTGATATGTATCTTTTCGTGCTTTTTCAAGTCTTGAGGACGTTTGAATGACTTGCTACAAAACTGAGAAAAAGAAGGGATCGGTTTAATGTCCGCAGGATCATACAAAGGTTTAGCATATCGATCGGCTTACATTGCAATGGTGCGGCTTCAAAGGAACATGGACTCGAAGATGACTAGTGATGTGATCTCTTTTCTGCACCGTTACATCGCAGTTATCCCAGTAACAAGTGAGACAAAGATTGCCAGTTGACTTGCGACCAATGTGATCATTTGTTAAATGACTGTAAAGTTGCTCGGGATCAAGATAGCTCTTGGTGCAGCCTTTCCACCGACAAGTGTAAATATCGGTATCCATATCAAGTGTGTTGTCCATGTTGGATAGTTATTGACGTTAAATCGTTGCTCTACTTCCTGTTATTTGACTTTTTTTGTTGGTGGTGAAAGAAAAAGGAAACGGCTATAAAATAAAAGGAGCGCAGCAAGTCTTGGCGAAATGCGGGATTTGAATCTTGGAGTATCATGAGTGGTCGGCCTATTTTTACTTTCCTCCTTGGATTTGTTGCCTTTCTTTCTATGCCTTTTTTGGTAACCGTGGCTGGAATCGAACCATCGATGCCACTCAATTGAGATACTGTATCAAGCTTCATTGTTTGGAAACTCACGTTTTTTCTGTTTTGTAATGAGGCTGAAGTCATTTGTGCAACACATAATGTGCATGGCAGAATTGATCATGGTGTCAGCATACAAAGTAGACACATTCAGTCATGGTGCAACAACAGACAGGTTTTCGCCATGATAATTTTAAAACAAATGCTAGTTTTCCACAGATTCAGCAGTCTGAATAACGAATAGCTCCTGTGTGCCATTTTATCACAGAGGTCCATTGAATAAGAATTCTAGATATTCGTATCATATCGAGACAAACCGCTGTTCCAAGGTTGTAAAATCGGGGATGAGTATGGGTTAAAAAGTTTCCCCAAAAATTTGATTTGTTATTTTGCAGAATGACATTGATAGCTAGCTGCTACTGTTGATTTGCTACAGATAATCAGAACTCGCTTTCGGGAAAATGAACAATGTGGTTAATTCAGAGACCGTAGAATTCAGGGAATCATGCAGCAGATTGTTCGAGTTTCAAAGATAGTTACACTAGACCCAAGACGGTAAAACTGCGACCGGAGTCTTGGCAAAAGTCGTAAAAAGGGTCTAGAGAATGATCAGGATCACAATCTGAAAAATAGCCGAATATCCTGTAAGACCCTTATCAATGCAAGGGCCCGGTGGCATCATATCGCTCACGATACTCGTAGGACAATGTAATTTCGTATGAGGGATAAGTTTTTTTTTTTTTTTTTTTTTTTTTGGCAATGTGGATGAATCCAATCAGCACATTCACTTATTGGAGCATCGCATGCGATTGTAGAAAAAGTTGGCCTTGGTGAAGGTAGCCACTTGAATACTATAATTGTCTATTAATCCTCTATAACAAGACTATGATCCATCGGAGATGCCAAGAAAGCGCCATATGAGAGCCTTGGATCATCACTGTTCTCTCTTCGTGCTATCACTATTTATTTTGATTTCTCTAGCAAATATTTCAAACGAGTTTGAGAGCATCACATTTGAATTAGCCGGGCGTTGTATTGGATGTATTGTGTATGAGAATATGCTGTATGGATCGCGCATTTTTGATTTTCTGGATGCTGAAATATGTCTGAGTTGAATTTAAATGGAATTGACTCACTGCGAAACAGTGATTTATGAGAGAAACATTCGTGAGTTTCTTATACGATGTGGCAAATGTGAATGACACTTCATTCGGGAGCTTTGATAAATATTGGAACCTAAAGGTTTGCCCTTTGCTGTAAAATGTTCAATTACTTACAGGCTAAGGTTGCTGGTGCCTTGAAATGTTCTTGATGAGTGCATGGAAACGTGGACAATGTGGTTTATTACACAGAAGTCATCAACAAATTAAACAACGATAGACAGATATTTCTGTTTCGGTCAATGAGAAGACAGTGATTGCAAGCGGATCTTTAGAGGAAACTGAGAGAACTTCGTGTCCTCTGCAGAATACAGCTTGCAATCATCACTGTAATTTATTTCATACGACGGTCCCATTTAGTATCTGGCTCACTCAAATATTGAACGAGATGGTGTGCCTGGAATTGAAAAAAGACCACGTCTTTTGGCTTGCAAACATGGAGTTTATGCCTTTTCAAAATCAAGATCTTGGGTGGCATATATGAGGAATCCAGAAAAGGGACAATCAAACGGAAACTAAGGATCGGAGATAGCCACGTGAAGGCATATAAATACCGACAGTGTCTGCTCACGGCATCAGAAAAAATACATATACGCAAGAAAGTACTATGCATGGAATATAAAACAAACCGCAACATGCTACCAGCCCACAAGAATGGCATTAGCCAGCTGGCTTTGGGCATGTGAACAACAGTGAATTTATCGTGGATCCATGTTCGTAATGGTTTTTGGGAACAACATAAATTCCAACAACGACAATTTTGGTAGGTTCGTTGGAGATTCCACGGTGCTTTGTCAAGTTGGTGCACCCCATCTGGAGTAGTTTAACTTTTTTATTTCCAGCCTCGATAGGCGACTTCCCAAAACTGTGAAAAGCGTCATCAATTTTTGAAAATTAACTGCTGTGCGAAGTTGCCCGTCGTGGGATTCTGCACTGTCATTGGGAAAGCGGCGACCGATTCGGTAACACCACATATGGAAAGCTTAAATTTAGGATGACAAATAGGCTGCAATTGTTTATCTTCCTTCTCTCTCTTTTGCTCAGGATGGCGATTCGTTCCAAGTTTCCGGATGTTCAGATCCCTGATACTGGCCTTATAGAATTTCTCTTCGCTCAGAATCAGACATCGTCTTCACAGCCTATTTTAATCGATGCCACCACGAACAAAACTATCACCTATGGTCAGTTAAAAGATTCGGTCCTAAGATTTGCTGCAGGCTTGCAAGATAAATGTGATTTCCGAAAGGGCGACATCCTGCTCTTATATTCACCAAATCAGGTCTGTATTCCGTCGACTTTTTGTTCTGCTAATCTTCGATGACACTTTATTGATATGATCGTAGATTGATTATTCTATCCCACTCATGGGTACAATCGCAGCAGGTGACCAAGAGGCTATCCGAAAGGTTAAACGCATAATTATATGTTAATTCTTTGACTGTTCGTTGTAGGTGGTATCACTTCGCCCGCCAATCCTGCTTACAACGTTGATGAACTAGTCCATCAACTCGAAGATACGAAATCAAAAGTGCTTATCGCACACCCCAGCAATCTCGATCGCGCTTTGGCTGCAGCACAGCGTGTGGGATTGCCCAAGGATCGCGTATACGTCTTTGGCGATGTCCCGGTCGAGGGGGTCCTCCCTTATGCTTCGGAACTCTTAGGACATCGACTTGTCGATATTGAGCACATGTCTCTACAAGAAGCTCGAGAGACAGTTGCTTACCTGGCCTATTCTTCAGGCACCACAGGTGAGAAACGGTATATTAATGGAAGTGTAGTGAATATGTGATTACTGAGCTGCGCATTTCTATGCTTAGGCAAAAGCAAAGGTGTAATGACTACGTAAGTAGTAAGCTCTTCTGTTGCGATCTGCCGCCCTAACTACTTGGGACCTGCCTTGTAGCCACGGAAATATTATCGCAAACGTGCTTCAATATGATGCGATAGAACGTCCTTTTATCAATTTCGCTACGGAACGTATTCTCGGCGTACTTCCGTTCTTTCACATGTTTGGTCTCACCGTAATTCTGCACCAATCCGTGTACTGGGGTATCCCCGTCTATGTGATGCCATCTTTCGATCTTCAAGCATTCTGTGAAACGGTTCAGCAACACAAAATTACCAAAGCTTGTTTAGTTCCGCCAATTATTCTGCTGTTGGCGAAACATCCACTTGTCCTTCAGTATGATTTGTCGAGCCTGCGTCTTATTATCAGCGGCGCTGCTCCGCTCAGCGGAGATCTCATCCAGGAGGCGAAAAAACGATTAACTACAACTGTCATCAAGCAGGGCTATGGATTGACTGAGACTTCGCCCGTGGCTGTGATAGAATTGACGGATCGAGCTATGAGTGGTAAAACAAAAAAAGTATCCACTACATCTCACTTTGACACGGCTGATCACCCCCTTGTCACACAGGAACTATCGGCCATCTGGTGCCAAATATGACCGCTAGAATCGTAGATGAGGATGGAAAAGGTACCCAGAAAGTCGGCGGCAGCGCGATGCGCCTTTGCACGATAGCGTGTTGACTCACGGCTTTATTATTGTCTGATAGATGTTGGCATTAATGAACGTGGCGAATTGTGGCTAAAGGGCCCCAACATAATGAAGGTACTTGCGTCACTTCATGCATTCGGATTCCAAAAGCATCCAATAATTGAACCGGTATCGTAGGCTTACTTTAACAATACAAAAGCTACGGCCGAAAGCATTGATGCGGAAGGGTACTTCCACACGGGTGATATTGCCGTTCTGGATGAGCGCGGTGTATTCGCCATTGTAGACAGGAAAAAAGAACTGATTAAATATAAAGGTTTTCAGGTAAGCGCATGAACAATAGTAAAAAAAAAGTTATAATCTGAATTACGAGCTGACAACAATATTCTCTCTCAAGGTGCCGCCGGCAGAACTTGAGGCGATTTTGGTGAGTTGATTTTAGGACAACAAATGCAGCCAAAGCAAGATGACTTACAACTATATACAACGTTCAGTTAACATCCCCCATCGTTGCGGACTGTGCGGTGATTGGTATTTATGACGAGGAGAAGGTGACAGAGATCCCTAGGGCTTACGTGGTACTGAAGCCCGACGTACCTGCTACCGAAGCGACTCGCAAGGAACTTGAGAAGTTTGTAGCCGATCAAGTAGTCCACTATAAGCGAATCCGAAGCGTCGTGTTTATTGACGCTATTCCAAAGAGTGCGGCTGGTAAAATCCTTCGACGTGTGCTCCGTGACAGTGCTCTATCGGAACAAAAATCTAAATCAAAGTTATAAGAACCATCCATTGAATAAAAAACGGACTTTAGAGCGCTTGGTTTTCTCAATTCCAGTCAATTTGCTGCACTGTGAGCTTAACGGTTATATTTTTCAATCCCCGAAATAAACATTTTCCACCACAGCGTCCCCATCAAAACGTCCACGACGTTTTTTCCTTCCCTGTTATTAAAACCCTTTCTTCAATAAGAGTATGAGCGGTCGAAGTGTTTCGCCTGTACGTATTCGTTCGCCCTCACGATCTCCCTATGAGGATTGTCCAAGAACTCCTCCTCTCCGGAGCTATGATGGCGTCAATCGCTCACGGTATTCCTCTCCCGAACGTCCTCCGCGCAGTCGTTCCCCTTACCGTGGCCGATCGCATTCCCGGTCTCGGTCGCCTCGCTCTCCTCGTCCACCTCGCTCACGTTCACCCCGCTCACGTTCTCACTCACACGGTTCACGATCGCCGCCCTACAGAAGAGAAAGTAGCAGTCGCTCGTATCGGCGCCGTAGTATGGATCGTCATGCCAGTCGATATCCTTCTCGATCCCCGTCACCTAGACACAGCAGACGATCGCGGTCGCCTCTACGCCGCTATCACTCACGTTCCGTTTCCCCGAGACGAAACAGTCGTCCCGGTTTCTCTCAAAACAAAGACGCTCGAGTTTATGTCGGCAATCTCTCCTTTGACGCCACTTGGCGCGACTTGAAGGATTTTATGAGAGAAAGTAAGTCTTTTTAAAATTCCCTGGCTAATTATAGCATAAATATGATATTCCAGTATTCATACGTTGGACGTTCCATAGTTGGTCCAGTAGTGCATGCCGATATATTGACTTTGCCTGGAACGAGAAAATCAAAAGGCTGCGGGTGAGTACGACCGACCCCGAAGAAGGAAAAGAAAAAGAACCCACATGGGTCGATCAATCTGACCAGCCAATAGCATAGTAGAATATCGGTATTCTGAGGATGCGCAGAGAGCTATACGCAAACTACATAAAGTCGATTTCATGGGAAGACCTGTGTTTTTACGAGAGGTAATGGAAGCTGGCTACGCTACTACGGTGATTATCAATTCACAGGGTTTTGCGGTTTTAGGATAGGGAACATGATCACGTTGGTCCGCCCAGGGAATCTCGCGATGTGCCCGATGATTGTAGGCTATTTGTCGGAAATGTGAGTATATGAGTCTGTGCGTTACTGCGAACAAAGATCAATGCTGATATGAACTTTTAGCTTCCTTATGCTGCCAGCTGGCAAGATATGAAAGATCTTTTCAGAAGAGCTGGACGTGTTATCCATACGGATATTCACACTGAGCCGATGTCGCGAAGATCCAAAGGAACGGGTATTGTCATTTTTGACAACCCGCATGACGCTCGTGCTGCTATCGACATGTTTGACAACTACGAATGGCAAGGTCGGCGTCTGGAAGTGGTAGAGGTAATTTTGACGCTTGGGATGATCAATGCAAGCAGCAGACGGAGGCTGATAAAAAATGACTAGGAACGAGATGCTCATAACCGACGACCCGTTCCAAGACCTGATATTCGCGACAGTAGAGAGGTCGTGCCACCTCCCAGAACTGGTAATTTTTCTCTGTAGTCAATGTAGACGGTTGGACATGCTGCTTAAGCCGGTATAGTTGTTGACAATGATACGGGATATCCGGCTGTACCCCCGCCGCCACCCAATGTGTATGCTGCTGAACGATATCCGCCAATGTACGACGGGCCCCTATATCCACCTATGCCACCGCCTCCGCATTTTGACCCATTATCTGTCAGTGTTGTGGGAGGACCTGGTGCAGCATTACCTAGTCATGGTCCGAATCAGATTTTTGTGAATAATGTAAGTGATGAATAGCTGCTGAGAGAGAGTAAACGCATTTATTGAAACTAATGGGTCCGCATTAGTTGCCTTTCTCCACAACATGGCAAGATCTTATTGATCTGTTCCGCCATGTGGGGCCTGTTGTTCGTTCGGAAATCTTACTAATCAATGGTCAACCCAAAGGGGCTGGGCTTGTGCGCTTTGAGAACTTTGTCACTTGTGAGCGCGCCATCGGTAAGCTGTCAACTAATCAAGTCGTGAGTCGATAAATGTTCTTAAACAATGGGTTGTAGATAAATTCAATGGCTATTTATATGGTGGCCGATATTTAGATATCCGTATTGATAAATTCTCTGCGCCAGCGTAAATTCAAGCATTATTTTCATAGCATATACGTCCTATACTTTCTCTTTCTTATGATGTTCGGAAGAAGGAAGATCCAAAATAAAGGAACCCCACATCTATTACATAATGCGTATGTTCTTTTCATTCTCTGTTGTCTCTGTTTGGATGGCATGCAGAGATACAAAGTTAAAGTCTTTGACATATCGTTTGCAACCTTTTAATGAACGTTGCAAAAATGGAGATTTTCAAAGTCAATCGAGAAATATTCCACCCGAGTTCTTGCATGATATTTGCATGATCGCCCTCTTATTCTTTTAAGAATTTGATATAATAGTCTATCAGACCGACGATCGTCCACGGTTCAGACGCGTGCTCTCCACGTTGATCAGCGTGGATGATACTGTGTCCCTACTCATTTTGGTTGGTTTCTCCGGGCAAAAAAGGCCCGTCTCAAAATACAGGCTACGTTGCTGCTCAACAGCTTGCTATACTACCATACTGACTTGCTGTTTTTCCCATTTTTCCTCCGTTTGGCCATATAAGTTACTTTTTTGTTATTGACTTCCCAATTTTTTTTTGTCTATTTGACTTTGTGGTATCTCCTGGTGCTTCTCCATTTTCTTCTCCCATTTTGATGTTAAATTTTTGGTGACCTCAAGTCAAAGAAATCGGTGCATGAATCTAAAAATTTTCAACGGTCAGTAAATCGCCAATCCCACCACTGCCGAAAAGAGAAATAGAAAAAGAGATACAAACCGCTTCCGCTATATCCACCCAGCCGTTCAATGCCTTGGAGCGGGCATCGTCTGCACTTGGAAACTTATCCTTCTTCCATAAAACAAAATTGGATATAGGTTCACCTGTTTTTTCCCACAGTTGTGGTTGCTGATCCTCTTCCACTTCCTCATCGTGATCTTGATTCTGATCGTCAGCACCGACCTCTCGCCAAATATGGCCTATGAATATGGAAATTTAGCGCGCATTTTGATACTGGAAATGAAATGGCCATACCCTGACAGTTGTGTTTTTCCAGGCACAATTCATAACCGTGCAGTTGACGGCCCATGACCACGCTCGAATAAAGGCGGTGCGTTTGTAGATCTTGTGGCGCGGCTTCCTCGTGAGCCGTTAAAGAGAGATAATGCTGTGCATTGGTTGGACCTTCGCGTTGCACACTGAATGGAAATAAGTGCGCCGTCGGCAATGGATCGTCGTTGGCTATTGTCATGATAGAGCCCCCCTTCCCCCAACAGGTGGTTTTTTTTGACATTGGTGAACGTGAAATCCCAAAAACGCCAGGCACCGCGTGACTAGCAAAATTGATGTACCCCATTTTGGGGGATGTCCAAAAAAAATCCCTCTCGATTTATTCCCTTCTTTCTTTTTGGCCCAAGAAGCGAAAGCAAGATGGAGGATGAACCAGGCATGTAAAAAATGCAAACAATGCCGCGGATAGCTGGTTAATAGTTGTTTTCCCGAAAATATGTAGAAATATGCAGAGTATGCCGCTGCGAGGGAACTCCAAATCAACCACTCTTCTATCCCTGCAAATGCTCAGGCAGCATTCGCTACGTTCATCAAGACTGGTAAATTGCTTTTTTTGTTTATCGCTTCTTATACGCTGATACTATGTATCACTGAACTTATGTTTTGAAATGCTAGTTTGACAGAATGGTTATCGCACAGCAAGAAAAAGTAAGTTATTGCCTAGTAAGGCATGAAAAATTCGCTTTGAATTCCATGTAACCGAATTTTTTTCCAGATATTGCGAACTCTGTAACCATCCCTATACATTTACTTCAGGTAAGCTACAGCTGCTTTTACTGCTGGTGCGAAAAGGATGGAAGCGCTGACGACTGTGGAAAAGTGTATCGATCGGATATGCCAAAAGTACTACCGGTCAGACTTTTTGTTGGACAGATGAGGAAGAAGATTGCATTTGTTTTACGGACAGCAGCAAGAGCAGCATTTGTTTCGATCGTATGGCTGGTCATGCTACCATATGTCACGGTGTGGATGTGGCGATTATTATTGTGGTTCGTCGAAGTATACGCCGTTAATTTGGGAAAACTCCAAGGATTCTCTGAAACCATCAGCAAGATATACAACGAAGGGAGCCTTCCCACATGGCGAAAGCATAGCTGGGAAGAGACTCTGAATCCTAGGTAAAAGTCCCTACGCAAGCCCGTATGCTTTATTTGCCGATCCTGATTGTATTTCTATCATTTCCCAGAACGATGATCTCCGACTGTTTCGAGGGTCAGATCGTAACGTGTATTGTGGTGATTGCATTTGTGGGCGTGTTTCTATTGCGTGAATGGATAGTGCAAAACATCCCTGCTGATTTCGACGCCAATGAGGATGCACCGGCAGAACTACCACAACTCGTAGATGCTCATTTACGCCAATTGAATCAGGAACGCTTGGAAGAATTTCGCCAAATCTTAAGAGCGAACGCTTTGAATGAGGAACAATTACGTGCACGCGACAATACCAATCGTCAGCAAGAGAATCGAGGCTCCACTCCATCGTATGCGTGGACTTCTGATATGGAGACCAATGGCTCCACCACTGCAGGCAGCGATCCTGATTACTCGCCGGAATCAGACGATCAGGACGACGATACAAGTGACAACCATCGCTCGCCAGGACCCACCTATGAATCTCGTTCCCATTCGACCATCATTGCAGACTCCCAACGCACCGATATGCACACTCGATTTACACACGCCGAATCATCGCATTCTATTCACAGAGAGGCAGTGGAGAGTTCATCGCACAGATATCCTTTGCGAACACGCAATATTGGAACAATGGACAATCACCAGAATTCTTTTCAGATGGCAGAGGATGCGACTGAACTGGACGATCATGACGACACAGAATTCATCGAGGCAGATCATCCTGATGACGATGCATCTGATGATCAATCTTCAGGCGAGGAAGAAGCGCAATTTGAGGATGGCACCGACGATGAAGACGATGATGACGGCAATGAGGATGAAGACGACGAAGCATTGGGCGATGAAATTGATGGCGTGCTAGAAGCTATAGGCATGCGAGGCAGTTTCTCTATGCTTTTTCAAAATGTGTCGCTCATGTTCTTCTTGATCAGCTGCTGTTTATCAGTAGCTGTGTGGATTCCTTACATGTTTGGTGTGACCTTTTTATTGGTATGGATCTTGTGTAAAAACTTTGATCAACTTTTTTGCTAACAGTCACCATAGGTCACTCCTTTGGATATCGTTCGTTTTCCGTTTTACATTGCCAGCCTTCTTGGCGATCCATTGGTTGATTTTCTCCTCTTGATCACCAGTCGTTTCGTTTGGCCTGCTATCAAATCTGCGTCGCGCTGGTCTGAGCATTTTATTCAAAAGTGGTCGCTGGATGCTTACGTTCCATCTGTTATTCGCGAGCATCTGTCCCATATTTCATGGAATGTCTTTACTGGTGCAAAAATGGGTTCATTGCCAAAACCTTTGTCCATGTCAGTATCCTCCGAGCCAGCAACTATTCTCGATACAATGTGGCAGAATGTGACGCACCGATGGATTGAATGGAAAGAACTTTACAAACCATCCTTGGAAACGGCCATGTTGAAATACCAATCAGTAGCGTTCGGACACACGGCTTTGGATAGATCCATCTGCATTCTTGTCGGCTATGTTATAGTGATCATGGTGGGATCTTTGTACTTATCACGCGCGAGACAAGCCTATGCTCGCATCGGACGCACAGCTCAGGAAGTTATTCGACAGCACGGCATCATGATGAAAGTGGGCATGTTTATTGCTATCGAATTATCACTTTTCCCCATTGGGTGCGGCATCTTGTTGGATATCTCGACGTTGCCTTTATTTAACAATGCTACTTTGGAAGGACGACTCGATTTTACCAAAAACTACCCGCTGTCATCTCTTTTTCTTCATTGGTTCATTGGCACAGGCTTCATGTTTATGTTTGCCATTGTAGTGACAGTATTCCGTCAAATTGTCCGACCCGGTGTTATTTGGTTTATTCGAGATCCCAATGACCCCCAGTTTCATCCGATCAAGGAAATAGTCGAGCGTCCCGTCTTTACCCAGCTGCGTAAAATTGGTGCCAGCGGCATCCTCTATGGCATGGTCATCATGGTCGGCGTGGGCGGCGTTGTGCGTGTTATTCACAATATGACTACTGATTTGCTGCCTTTAAGGCTCAATATCTCGTAAGTGGATTGGAATGGAAGCGGAACCGATGGATGGCTTACGGATTGACCTGCTGTTTGTTACTCTGTGTAGCCAACCGTTTTCCGTTGTGCCTTTCGACCTTTTGCTGGTTCATGTGGCTATCCCTGCAATGGTCAAATATTTCCAGCCAAAGAAAGCAGTAAAAGATATGATTGTGCAATGGATCACTTTATTGGCTAGTGGTCTTCGTCTCACATCCTTCCTGTTTGGCGGTCGTCATGTGGAAGAAGAAGGCAATGTTCACTACAAGACGTGGTTGGCATGGCTTCGACGCGACAATCCTGAATATCCGGCAGACGAGCAGCAGCGAGTCACTGTGTCCAACGATACTGTATTCGTCCGAAACGGTGTATTAGCGCGTGCTCCAAAACACGATAGTGTCAAATTCACTCCCGGTCGCCGTATGCTCGTTCCCGTAGACCCTATTACTTTGCGACCTTTGGATTCTGTTGAACGTCGTCTGGGTCATCCAGCCGCCAATGCTCCCGGTGGAGAAGAAGCCAATACCTGTATTGTGTATCTTCCCCCCTATTTCAAGACGCGCGTGGTGATTTTTGTACTCACCATGTGGTTCTCATGGAGCGTTTTCCTGTGCTGTATCAGCTTGCTTCCTATTTGGCTTGGTCGCGTCTTGTTTGAACGAACCTTATCTCTCACCAACCCGCCCCACGACATTTACTCTTACTTTGTCGGTGGCAACCTGATGATTCTCGTCGGTCTCATTTTGAGTAAAATGGTCAAAATGGTGCGATCCTTGTCAAACCAAGCAAGCTTTAACAATTTCCTAACGTTACTGGCCCGGTCCTCTTATGAGAGCTCACGATGGGTAAGTGAAACATCTTAAAGTAATATCCTGCTTATTATGGTATTTACCTTCTTTGCGAATTCTCCAGCTTCTTCGTGTGCTCTTTATGACGACCGTATTTGGCGTGTGTATGCCTATGATGTTGGGCTTAGTATTTGAGCTCTATGTTATCATTCCTTTCCGCGATTTGTATGGTCAACCGCCTGGTATCGAACTTTTCCCAATGTGGTCCAGAGGTTTCGCATTCATGAGTCTTATCCATGGCTTTATCCGCGTGTTGCCTGCAAATGGATGGCAAACCACGCTTGACGAGGTAATTACATTGCTAAACGTAAAATTCTGTAGACTAATACAATTGCATAGCTATTCCAGAACGGACTTGATGCATTACAAATCAAATTGCTTATTACCAAGCTCGTGCGGCCAATGGTAACGCTCTGCGTATTAGCCATCACCGTCCCCTTGGCTATCATGGTGCTCTCTGTGAAGCTTCTAGGTACGCTTACATTCTCAAACAACCACAAAAAGAAATTTGACGTTATTGACACGTTTTCTCTGTAGGACATCAACAAGATATTGCGTCTCAAGTGAATATGCTGCAAACAGTGTATCCTGCTTCATCGGCTGCTGTTGCTTTCCTTCTTCTATACCGAGTCTGTGCGAAGTTTGGTCGACGATGGGTACAAGCAGTACGCGAAGACAACTTCTTGGAAGGTCGTATCTTGCATAACTTTAATGAGCAGCCCGTCTCCTCCTCTTCTTCATAAAGCAGTAGTCTTTGATTGTACAGTTAAATTCCCTCCTTTGCTTTTCTTCTGCTTATCTTTTTTCTTTCTTTTCGTCAGCACTTTCTGGGTTACGATATCTTACATACCCTTACTTTCATCCGATAAACAAAAAACAAATTAAAATCATGGGCAAAATAAGAAAACCATCAGTTTACAGCTCTTTCTCCATTGTGTGTGGCTGTTTTCTTTCAGCTCTTTCAATTGTCACAAAAAACTATCGCTTTTGTTTTTTATGCGCATAGAAGAATTGATTTTTATTTGTTGCATAGAACTGATAGTAAAGCATTTTATGTTATCTTCTTTACTTTACTTGTGCAACTGTCGCAAGGAAGTGAGTAAAACCAAAATTTGAATATGATGGAAAAAGAAGTAAGTCGATACTTACGTCCAACAACACCGCATGCCACTCGATCACCAGAGTTGCCTGTGGTGAGCGATAATTCTTGGCCGCCTTTACCAAGATCATCCTCACCGGCGTGCACAACAATGGTACGGCCGATAATGGAGGTCGGACCGAATAAAGTAGCTTTTTTATCGGTCAATTTAAAGTTCACTTTACCATCTTTTCCAGCGACGACGTTGCCAAAGTCACCAGCGTGACGGACTTCATCATCGGGACCCCCGTGGTTTACGTTGTCTGGATTATAATGAGGACCGGCCGAGGTACATCCTAATGCATAGAAAAAAGAGGACGTAAGATGGGCCGAAGTTTGGAACAAATGGTAAATTTTTCTACGCACCATTGGTGTTGTCACCAAATTCGTGAATATGGAAACCATGTTTTCCTGGTGTCATGTTCTCAAGCTGGGCCTCGATGGTAGTTTGATCAGTTTGGGACGATTGAGTAAAAGTAACAGTACCAGTGACCGAGGAAGAGTCACCACGCAAAACAGCGACAGCTTTAACCATGATGAATATAAAAAAATCTGGAGAAAAGTTATTGAAGCCAGCAATTCGACTGAATAAAGCTTTTAACAAAATTTTTAGAGTGAAACATTTTTTATGCAAAAATCATGACGCCATGTTGATATATATTTTTTTATTATGATGCTCTCTCTCTCGCACAAACGCATGGAAAAATAGGCATTCTTAATAGTTATCACACCAATTGCTGACAGGTAAACAAGACAAGTATTTGCATCCGGGACAAATCTGATGGGCAGTTGTTAATCACAGAATATATCAATAAATCGTTGCAAAGGATTCATCCAATTACCTGACTTGGATCTGGACTCGAGTAGAACGAATTAATGCCGACCGCAAACATGATGATCAGAATCACAAGTGCGCAAGCCCGCAAACCCCATGTCACCCATTTTGCACGCTTGGACGCCGATGGTCTCATCGGTGCAACCAACATGCCCATAACAATACCAACTGCGAAGCCACCTTCATCAAGTAAAAAAGGACATAAAATGTCAGTATACCATCGAAAATTTTAACATCTGTGATATATTATGCATGATCACCTACCTATGTGTGCAAAATTATCAAGACCAGGTAATAGACCAAGCACGAGAGAGATAATTGTAGCCAGCAAAAGCTTGACAAGCTCACGCATGGGATTAGGAATAATTCTCCAATTCACTATTACATCAATGAACATGTATCCAATCAGCCCAAACAGAGCACCGGAACATCCCATGGATGCTGTGCATGATGAGTAAATTGTATTGCTTTTGTTAGTTTTTTTTGAGGGGCATTTTACCAAGTAGATTGCCCATTTACCTGTATTTTTAGGTGACAGCATCGCGCTGAGCACAAAGCCCCATATACCGGATGCCAGATATAATAGAATATAGCGAGGAGCTCCGAGGGCACATTCAAGATCGGCCCCCAGCCTGAGATGAGTCAGCATATTCATTAGATAATGAATAACACCCGCATGGAGAAAGATGGGAGCGAAGAATCGAAGAGATTGATTCGGCTCACCACCGCCAAAACCACCGAATCCACAAAGTTGTTCAAGCGTACACGTTTCGCCGTCGCGATAGCAATCAGTTACAGATGTGCTTGGGGAATATCCGGGCAACGGTCGCATACACGGAGTATACCTCGCTCCCATATTTATAAGGACCTTGGAGGGAAAAAAAAAACGTGGTTATCAGTTCCGGGCTCAGACTTACTCATTGACTCTAACCAAGCTTTACCTGGAAACTCGGCCCAATCATCACATTGAAAGGACTTGTTTCTATGACACTACCTGTCATTGAAGAATTTTTCACTAATTCCACGACCAAAACGATCAGCATAACCGCACCGGAAAGCCAACTGAACCACGGTCTTTTGTAAGGACCTAGCAGTATTCGCATTGGTAGCCTTCGTTTATGTCCATATGGTAACGGCACACCGGCCATGAGTGGCTCTGTCTGTGAGGAAGCCACGTAAGGCGGCGCATTGGATGCATCTGTATTGGAGTTGATACGCATGAATCCATCGGAACGCGTCTGATTTGGTGCGCCCAGGTGTGACTGATCGTGAAATTCGGCTCGGTGCACGTTGCGGGTTTCCATCGATCGTTGCGGTTGCAGTTCTACGTCTTCGTCCTGCTCAGAAAATCGAGGACCGTACATATCTTCAGCGGCTGTCTTTTCAGTCCACGGCCTTGCGGGCATGGCTCTGAAGGTATCTGATCCGAAATTCGTTGGTGTCATTGTAGAGCTCTCTGCATCTGCATGGCGACTGACAGCTATACGAAGCGGCATAGCAGGAGACGGCAAGACCGAAGGGGTGCTTATCATCGAAGATGTATCAGTATACACCGGGGTAGGAATGATGCTAGGTGAACGATCGGCAAACTGAACTCGGGTGTCGCTATCGTTTAGAGAATCATCGTTGGGGGACGGACCATTGGAGTTGATTTGGCCACCATAGCTGGGCGACGGGAAATGAAGACCTTGGACCCCAAGGGTGTCATGCGAAGTATGGTCGTTGTTCATCTATTCAGTAATAGGAAGAACGGAAAGGGGAAGAACTAGAAATCCAGGATCAAACTCTTGGCTTCGCCAAAAAAAGAAGTCTAAATAAGCGGACTTTCTGCGGTTGCCTGGAAGTTTAAACTCGGGAACAAAGCACTGCTTTTTGTTTTTTTTGCAAGAACTCTTCCCACAGTGGTGCGCTTTCCATATTCATTCAAATCCGGCTGCGACTTGATGCCTTTTCTTTACTATGCATTTTCAAGATATATAAACGTAAGACGCCGGTCTTGGAAAACTGGTGATTTGGGAAGTTTTCTAAGCCCGACAGGATCGACCCTTTTATAGAAAGACTCTGGTGATCAAGCTGAACCTTTCAAGAGCTGTCGCCAAGGTCTGACGGAAATTATCTTTTTTGCACATGTAAACAAGTAAACGAGTGGTTCAGGGGGCTTATTTTGCAGGGCCTTTCTGATGTAGCAGAATCCAGAAAAAAAAGTGACTCCTCAAAAGAGTCTAACTCTCTAACAAAAACGCCGTGTATTTATTTAGAACTCTGTCCGCGCCATTGGTCAGAAATATGGCTCCCTTGCAGGATTTCGTAGTTCTAACCATCCAGACGGAAATACATCCGAAACACAGATTGTACGCACTGTCAGCTGCAACATGAAAGAAAGAAATGCAACTGTATATTTTATTGGGGTATGATATGCGTTATATTACAGTATAGGCGATGCAGGTAAAAAAAAATTACAAGTTACACAAAGGGCTATGCAAATGGGCATATGGATGTATAAAATGATGGCTGTTATCGTCTATTTGAGAAAGGCGAACCTTCTTTTGCGTGGTGATCCAAAGACGTTCTATTTCTAAAACCGGAATCATCGGCCATATCTCGCAAATAATAATCGGTCGACCTACAGTTTGGCAAGCCATCTTCCGTAGCAAATAGTTTTCGTGTCATAAAGTCGATGGGTCGATTCGGTGGCGGCCATGTGTACATGAGACACAACAAAAACCGTAATACGTAATCGAAAACGAGCATCGCGTTGAAGTAAGTCCATGAATTCGCGGCAAAAAACCATATGTATAGCACTCCGTAGATGCTGTACCATATAAATTGAATAATCATGTACCACGCCTAAGTAGGGAAATTCGACCGAAAATATTTCTTAGTATTAGCTTCAGCCACGGATGAATTACTAAAGAACACTTACACCCAAGGCGGTTGTTCTCGATTGACCTTCATTAATTCGGTTGGCGCGCCAGTGAATGAGGGATGAGAATGTGTACGTAAACGTGGATCCGTCGCAAATGATAGCGAAACACACACCCGTGATAAAAACAGGTCTGCGCGGAAAAGGTTCGTGATGGACGCTCAGCAAGATGATTTGCACGATTAGGCAGATACACGAACCGACCAAAAAGATCATTCCGATGATAACTAAAAAATGCTTCCATTCAATACCGCCGATACGAAGTTTTCGTCCGACGTCGAGATTCATCCAAAAGTGCAAAGCAAGCATCAATAACGTGCAGATCAAGTAAGCGAGAGAATTTGCGAAATCGTTGGTTTCACCCACAAAGTTGAGCGTGTTGATGATACTGCCGGGCAAGTTTAACAAGCAAAATATGAAAATACAATAACGAATTCTTTTCGGGTGAAGAATACATTGATACAATATCAGCACGGATGCCAACAAGCAAAAGACATTGCTGACGATAAAACCTATGGCAACTTGCTGCATATCTGTCTATTGGGTATTGAATGTCAGCAATCCAATGTCATAAGGTATCAATGAAATAGAACAAAGAAAGAGTGCGTAAAATGTGTTCCAGTCAAAAGAAGCTGAATGAATAAATCTGAAAAAAAGAGCGCCCAATACCATAGAAAGGTGGTGTGAAATCATGGTTACGCAAGCATAATTGCGGGGAACTGCAGCTGTTCTCGGAGAAAGGATGCAAGGAAGCACAGTCCCCTGCAAATCAAAAAAAATCCAGGTGCACCAAGAATTTCATATGCTTTTTGGAAACGGAGACATCTTCTATTTTGTTTGCCGGTGTCAGCGATCCCGCATAAAATAACACCCAGGTTGGACAACAATGGTTAATCCGAATGCATCGAATGTAACACAGGTGCCGTTTATTCAGCTTTGAAGTCACAGAAATTTAAAGTCAAATGACAAAAAGAATGGAGAAACAACAGGATAGATAAGGACAAAGATTGGAAAAACAATAACTAGTCAAATTATGCAGTTACGGAAAAATGAAAAAATAGTTAGTCAGGAATGTAGTATGGTAAAGTATGAATTTAGTTAACTTAACCGTAAATCTCAGACAGGTATTGGTTGCCCGGACAACGCAGCCAAGTGGACAGGTCGGACTACGCGGCACCATTGGAGATCACGCGTCTGAGACGTCGACCGTGGGTTGGTTGGTAGGTTATTATATCAAATCATTAGTATCGACGGTCTTGAGCTCACCTTTGCTTCGTAACAAAAAGATAATCTTGGAGATAAGGAAAGACTTCGGAAGGTCAGTGAAGGATTTCGGGAAAAGGGAAGAATTTTGACAGACGCGATGAGTGCCTATTTTAGGGCTTCCATGATAGACCGCCATTGAACTGGTTTACGCTGGGGGAAAACGGAGTCATCATTGAAGGCACAACAGCAATACAATATAACCTTGGAGATTAGGATAAAGACAGTGACACAAGGTTATAAAGCCACATTTCTTCTATACTGTTTATTCCTCATTGATAAACAAGTGTACGCAGATCCTTTTTTTTTTTACGTCTTTTCTTTTGTCAAGGATCGTGTCTGATAAGTTAGAATCTTGTTTGTATCTATATGTGAAGATCTTAGGGTAGTTTACCGATCCCCAAACTGCACTCGAAAAGAAGTAGTGCCCTTACCATCATGTCGGCAAGCCTGTATCCCTTTTGATGTATGCACCAATGCATAGGATACTGCTGAATTCTCGCATCTGTTCTTCGATTATCAGTACAGTTTTTTGTATGAGATCCTATCAATCTTCCTTTATTTTGCAGTAAGCTTGTTTTTGCTTATACAACTATTTCGAGGATGATACGTTCGAAAGTGTTCTGCAAGCCTTTGCCAGGCATTGCAAAGGCTGGTCGATCAGACAGTCGATGATCCAAATCCTGGTACTTAATATGAAAGTGGAATGCACAGCCGCTGGTCGCAAAGGCCTTCCTGGAGCAGGTCGCTTGGATGTTTCGTAAAGTACAGCATTCAAGAGAGAAGAACGAGGCGTCCCTATGGGGGCGGTATATTCAGGGATTCCCCGGTAGGAGTTGATCTAGGTTTGACGGATGGTTTACCACTTCAAAGTGGTTCTGTAAGTAAATCACACCAGGTACGATTGTTCAGTACAATGTACTATAGCATTTATTGTGGTTTAGTAAAGTTGATGAAATGAGAAGTCAATACCGTGGTACAGCCGCAGGTTAAACGTTTGATCGACCATATGTCAGTGGCACTGATTCCATTGGACAATTTCGAGCAATTCATCCATTACTGACTATCTTATCTTGAAATAAAGACTGAATATAGTTAAAAAAAATTGTCAGTTACGCCGGTTCTTCTTTTGCGCCGATTAGATTTGCTATACCAAAGTTTAGCAAATACGGAAGACAGCGCATTGGCTCGTCCGCAGATCGATGTCTGGAAGAACCTTCGAGAAGGTATGAAGGACCAATGGATGAACGAGGCATACCAAAGGTATTGCCTGGAAAACGGAAGAAATATAGCGTTCAGCATTAAAGTGGTCCGTAATACTTCTTGATTGGTTATGTTTCGGAATAATAGAAAACCGTGCAGGAAGTTGACGAGAACCTTCCTGAAGATTGTAGACATAAAAATGATCTTGATAGAAAATATAAATATGACCAGGTTATGGTAGAAATAAAGAGAATCAACAAAAACTACAGATTTAAACTGAACTCTAAAGGAGTACTCAAATCTGACAAAATGAATGCTAAAAAAACATAGCATCATACTGTCAGTTACGCCGGTTCTTCTTTTGCGCCGATTAGATTTGCTATACCAAAGTTTAGCAAATACGGAAGACAGCGCATTGGCTCGTCCGCAGATCGATGTCTGGAGGAACCTTCGAGAAGGTATGAAGGACCAATGGATGAACGAGGCATACCAAAGGTATTGCCTGGAAAACGGAAGAAATATAGACCGAATCCGTTTAGCATTAAAGTGGTCCGTAATACTTCTTGATTGGTTATGTTTCGGAATAATAGAAAACCGTGCAGGAAGTTGACGAGAACCTTCCTGAAGATTGTAGACATAAAAATGATCTTGATAGAAAATATAAATATGACCATGTTATGGTAGAAATAAAGAATGAACAAAAAAACTACAGATTTAAACTGAACTCTAAAGGAGTACTCAAATCTGACAACTGGTAGCGGCTGAAAAGAAACCCGACCTGAGCCCAATTACTATTACGACGAAACCGGAACTATGGACGCACAAATGAAGACTCTCACCGAAGCTTTGGCTTACCTTCTGGAACGCGAGAAGAAGAAGGAAGAAAACGCCGGAAAGCAGACCCAAGGTGCAGAAGTCAAGGTTCCTCTGCCTGCGAAGTTCCGAGGTGTCAAGGACCCCGTCGTTGTGGAAAACTGGATCGATGATGTCGACCAATACTTCACCTTTACAAAAATGCCGGAGGAACAGCGGTTCAACTTTGCTGTTATGCTCCTCGAAGACAAGGCGAAGATGTGGTGGCGACGTCACAAGCAGACTAGTGGTGACGATACGATCGATAACTGGGAAGATTTATGCGATGCCATTCGGCACTACTTTGTCCCAACTGGTGTGTACCGACAAGTCCGTGGAAAGTTGCACAACCTACGACAAACTGGTTCCGTGCAACGTTATGCCGAAGAATTCCAGGACTTGAGAGCGATCGCTGGTGATGTCTCGGAAGCGGAAGCTTTGGACCGCTTCACTCGTGGTTTACGTATTCCGATCCAGGAATATGTGTACACTTATAGACCGGAGACTCTGGATCGTGCCATCGAGTTGGCTATGGACTACGAAGATGCTCGCCGTGGTAATTTCCGTCCCGTATTCCGTCCCCAGCAAGCTCAACGTCGGTTCAATGGACCCGAACCGATGGATCTGGACTTGCATGAATTGGATCGTCCCAGGAGACAACGACGTCCCAACGGCAAAAAGCACCCCAAGACCCCGAAGTGCTATGCCTGTGACCAGGAAGGTCACCTCGTGAAGGATTGCCCAGTGGTTAAAGCGGCCAAAGCTGCTTTAAAAGTCAACGCGCAATAGGTCAAGAGGGGGCCGTATTGCGCAAAGAAGATGTAACCACCCCTCTACCGGAACTAGGTCCTGGAAGCAAGGATCAGGGTGCTGGGAAGAAGCAGGGCGGTGGTGTCAAGAAATCGAAAGCTTCTTCCCCTTTCAAGTGGTACCAGGACAAGGAAACTCACGACCGTTGGCAAAAGGAACGCGACCATTTGGAAGAATTACAGCATTTGGCCAACGAAGGACGTGGTGCAATTGGTTTGCCCACATATAAAGGTTATATCGCCGGAGAATCTATGCAAGTTATTATCGACTCGGGAGCCTCAGCGAACTATGTATCCAAACGTCTGGCAAAAGGTTTGCCGCAACGCAAGTTGAAATGCGCTCTGCCAGTTAAGTCTGCTGGTAACAAGACGATCATGGTGGATACGGTGGTCAAGGTGCCTTTCTCCTTTGGACAAGTCGAGAAAGAAGATCACATCGAGGCATTGGTGATTCCCAGTCGATTCGATCTCATTTTGGGCATGGATTGGCTTGAAACGGTTAACCCGTCCGTAGACTGGAAGACGAAAACATGGCGGATCCAGACGGCAAAGGGCGAGATGGTGCTCTCCCCTAACGAACGAACGGACGATGACGAACTGAATTTTGTGTGTTGCCCGAGGCAAGTGGTCAAGTCGATCAAGCAGCGAGAAGAAGTAGCCCTGTTGTTGGTCAACAGCGAGAACGACATCAAGGTGGTGTCCGATATATCGAAGAAAGCTGCTAAGTGGATCGAGGGATACGAAGACCTATTCTCAGACGAGTTACCTGGTTTGCCTCCAGAACGCGACGTACAGCATGTGATCATCGTCGGCGACGCAACACCCGTATCGAAGAACCCCTTCAAGATGAGTCCGCGTGAACTAGATGAACTTCAGCGACAGATCAAGGCGTTATTGGACAAAGGCTTGATCGAACCCAGCAAGTCACCGTGGGGTGCTCCAGTATTGTTCGTACGAAAGAAGGATGGTAGCATGCGTATGTGTGTTGACTATCGAGCTTTGAACAAACTGACGGTTCGAAACACTTCTCCATTGCCACGAATTGACGAATGTTTGGATCGCTTGGCTGGCGCACGTATTTTCTCTTCTTTGGATCTCAAAAGCGGATATCATCAA